CTCAAAGAACTGTCAAGGCATATGGGATGCATTTGCTGAGGACAACTGGGAGATAGCACACGCAGAGTTAAAGAAGTTTGTACTACAAGCGATCAGAAGGTAAGACGAGAGGTGGTTAAATAGATAAATAAACAATATATTGAAGCAATAGAGCTGGTCACTAGCTGAACACACTGCTCCAGTCCGCAGCTACCTCCATCCTCCGACCACCTCCATACTCTTTGCACCCACTGCTTCTTCACTGAAAAATCGTTTTGAGCCCTCGCCCATCCTGTGTCCCCTGGAATTTTTTCCATCTCAACTCACTGACTCATGCCCCCCAAAGCGGCGCCGATAAGCAGCAGCTGAAAAATTAACGCTGGTGAATTATCGGCGCATAAAAAGCAACAAGGAAATTTTTCAGTGTCCCCCATCGTAGCTGCTTCTTTCTTCTTCTTGCTCTTCTTCCTAACAGTAACACTCATTACATATTATATACCATGTCTCCAGTTATCCTTCACCTTAGAGCTGAAACCAAGCCTTTAGAAAAGAGAGCAGCCTTGACTCCAAAGACCACCAAGGAGTTGCTTGACGCTGGCTTCGAAATCTACGTTGAAGAGTCGCTGCAATCCATTTTCGACACCAAGGAGTACGAGGCCGTTGGTGCCACCATCGTGCCAGAAGGCTCGTGGAAGAATGCTCCAACCGACAGAATCATCTTTGGATTGAAGGAACTTCCAGAAAACGAAACGTTCCCCTTGGTTCACGAACACATCCAGTTTGCTCACTGTTACAAGGACCAAGCTGGCTGGAAAGACGTCTTGAAGAGATTCCCAGAGGGTAAGGGAACCTTGTACGACATCGAGTTCTTGGAAAATGAACAAGGTAGAAGAGTCGCTGCCTTTGGATTCTACGCTGGTTTCGCAGGTGCTGCAATTGGTGTTAAGGACTGGGCTTTCAAGATCATCAGTGGTGATGACTCTGCAGACTTACCAGGTGTCACTGCCTACGCCAACGAAGACCTTCTCATCGAGGAGATTAAGAGCGATCTTAAGTTGGCCTTGGCCAAGAACGGCGGTGTATACCCAACCTGTCTTGTTATCGGTGCTCTCGGTAGATGTGGTTCTGGTGCCATTGACCTTTTCCAAAAGGTTGGTATCCCAGACGAAAACTTGATCAAGTGGGATATGAAGGAAACCGCCCCAGGTGGGCCATTCAAGGAGATCGTGCTGTCTGACATTTTCATTAACTGTATCTACTTGTCTCAGCCAATTCCTCCATTTATCAGCTACGAGACCTTGAACGTACCAGACAGAAAGTTGACCACCATCGTTGATGTTTCTGCTGACACCACCAACCCACACAACCCAATCCCAGTGTATGAGATTGCCACTACTTTTGATTCCCCAACTGTCCCAGTCAAGACCACCGTCGGTCCAAAATTGTCTGTCTGCTCCATAGATCACTTGCCAAGTTTGTTACCAAGAGAAGCTTCGGAATTCTTCGTCAGGGACTTGATGGCATCTTTGAAAGAATTGCCTGAAAGAGACACTGCCTCCGTCTGGGTCAAGGCCAAGAAGTTGTTCGAGAAACACGTTGAAAGATTGTAAATAACGAAGAGCGAGCGTATAACAAGCTCTAACGGCCCATTGACGCTGGATAATTTTGATTTAGATAGTTGAATATAAATTGAATACGTATTACCCTCGATGTAGGAGAAAACAACTGGGCATCACTACGAGAAGTAAGGGAATATGAAAGAAAGCATGGGCGACAGCAGTTGCTCTTTCGCTTCTGCCTTCGAAGCACACCTAAAGCCAATACGATAAAGTATCTACCTGTGATTCGTTATCTATAGTATTCGCCTATGATTCTTCATCTATAGTATCTACCTACGATTCTTTATCTATAGTATCTACCTACGATTCTTTATCTATAGTATTACCTGTGATTCTTCATCTATAGTATCTACCTACGATTCTTCATCTATATACCTATTCAAGAGTAACACTGACCTTCGTCTTCTTATTCTTCTTGCTGTTCTTCTTCTTCTTCTTGTTCCCCTTCATAATGTTCTTAATCTCTTCACCGTCAGTCTCGTACTCAGACCCACTCAAATCATCCACGTTGCTCTCGTTGATTTCTTCCATTCTTCTCTTCATTGTATCCAATTTCTCGATCTGCTCTGGACATGCAACCACACAGTTCAATCTTTCCCCCGTATCGTACACTGCAACTTGATCTCTCACAGATTCGGTCACATCCCAAACAATAATCTTCCCATCTGACAGAACAGATATGAGGTATGGAACTGCCTGTGTAGCCGTAGGATGTTGGAATAACCTGAGGTCTTTTATACGGTTTGTGTGCCCCAATAACGTGAAGCTGGGCTCCAAGGTCTCGGGCTTTGTTTCCCAGATCTTGTCCTCGTCGTTGGAGTTCACCTCTGGTGCCTTCAAGATAGCATCCATCTCGTAGAAATTGATCTTACCGTTGCCGTGGCCGGTGATAAACCACTTCTTGCTGTTGAATTCAACCACTTGTATGCTCATTAAAGTGGAGTCGAACTTGATCTTCTTCCAGATCTTGGCACTGTCAGTTTGGTACACCAAGAGCTGATCCAAGAGCCCCACAAGGAAGTACTTCCCGTCATGGGACCATCTCACAAACTCTCCTGCTTGGCCCAAATGATCCTTACCTCTGATCTTCAACACTGCCGCCTTCTTGGCGGTCATTAAGTTCCAAAGCCTAATCGTCTGATCCTTAGAAACGGAAATGGCAACTCTACCGGTAGGATGAATGGCAATGTCATTGATCTTGTCTGTGTGGCCCTTCAAGACACCGAATGGCTCCCAGTCTTTGGTTCTCCATATTATGATCTTTCCGTCTTCAGACCCAGATAAGAGCCATCTACCAGACTTCTCTGTGCTGTTAATCTTGCTGTCGGAATCTTCCTCAGAGAACTTCAACGTGGTGACGGTACCCTGGTGATCCAACAAGGTACCCAACTCCTTTCTCTTCTGTAAATCGTAAATTCTTATATGCTCATCGTTGGAACCGGTTACCAAGTACCTTCTGGCCAAATCTATAGACTTAATGGAGAGCGCATGCGCTTGGAAATGGAAGATGGGCTGGAAGATAGGTTGCGCCTTGTGGAATGCTAAAGAGAGACAGAGCAAATTATGTTCATAGGACCCGACAATTATTCTGAATTGCGTAGTATTCTTCGAACTAACGGCAGTACTGCTAGCAGGGGCATCTATAGTGTTCGTAGAACCCTTTAATGCACTCTTAACCATGGTTATTTGATGCTATACGGCTCCTTTTGTAGGTAAAGAGCTCATCTCCAGCTCATCTCATCTCGAATTTTTCAGCTGGGGGACTTTTTGGGGGACGGAAAGAGAGGCTTATATGCAGGCATCGAATATGGGGCATCTCAGAGGGCAGCAGAAGGGAGCTAAGTACGGTGTTGGAGTCGGAAAAGGGGCGGAAGGGGTAGCCAGTGTGTGTTAGAGCAGACTGGTGCAGATTTGAAGCTCAGAGTGGCCTCATGTCTTGCAAGGCAAGCAGCTCTTCCAGAGCTGTGTAACTAGTAAGCGAGGCAGCGCTAGCGAGAACGAGGCCGCTCCGGTGCTACAGTACCCGTCAATTCAGCTACCCATGCAAGGTCCATCCCAAAAAACCTGCCCGTGCCCATCCAAATACGTCAAGTCAACTCTCGAAGCCCTCTAATGGAGCACAGCGGGCCAGGGGTCGAAGATCCAGCTCGTTCTCCCAGCTCTCCTCTTGCACCCAAGCAGCCCTCCTCCCAGTCTGCAGCCCGATGCTGCACAAGCTGCATTCTATATGCAGGATACACATTTGTGTGTATTTTGATTTCGATTTCTATTTACTTCACGGCTGATGGTTTGACTCTTGACAGCTATAGCACTCCAAATAACAGCATGGTGACGCAGAAAACGCCCTCGCAGCACAATTCGACCCTCTATATATCGCCACTAATTACCAATACTCGGCGGCCAGATCTTTTTGTGACCCCACCCAACCCACCAAATTCGGTCTTCGACACGCCAGGATCTAACCATTCTCTGTTCTTCGATAACAGCTACAAGCAGAACCAGAGGAATCCGAATGGGCCACCACAAAGTCAAAATCAGAGGCATGGGGGTATAGCAATGGAGAATAACGCAGGCGCTGAAAAAAAACCTGGAGTAAATGACTTTGTAGGCGAAGAGGAGCACAGCACCAAAGGCGACGAATCAAACCGCCATGGCGTTTTCTCTTCAGATGGTTCGAAGCAGTTTGAGGTTGCCAAGGAACCATTGACTCAGGCTGAAAAGCTTCGTCTTTGGCGCCACGATGCCCTCATGCAACACCACTACAAAACTGCAGAATATATTGGTAATAAGGTGTTGGCTCTCACTGATGATCCAAATGATGCATTTTGGTTGGCCCAGGTGTACTTCAATACCGGGAATTACCTTCGAGTGAAGCACTTGCTCAGTAAATACGACAAGTCTGTGAGCTGCAGATACCTTGCCGCATATGCGTTAGTTAAATTGGAGTTGTGGGACGACGCCTTGGATCTTGTGGGAGAAACCAATCCATTCGTGCGAGACGACTTCTACCAAGTAAGGCTGACCGACGGAGGTATCAAGTTGGAAGCATCCATGTGTTACCTCCGGGGAGTGATATATGCAAACCAGAATAATTTTGAAAGGGCTAAAGAACTGTACAAGGAGGCGGTTTTAATTGACGTGAAATGCTTTGAAGCGTTCGAGGCATTGATATCTCAGAATTTAATGACCCCAAGTGAAGAATGGGACTTCGTTATGTCCTTGAACTATAGAAATGCCGACGACGATAATTCAGATTTGGTCAGACTTTTGTATACTACAAATTTGTCCAAATACTTGAATGCGAGTACATTCAATGAGGCGGAAGAGATTTTGGATGAAGAGTATCAATTGGGTGACAATTGCGATATCTTGCTCGCTAAGGCTGACTATTTATATGTGCATTGTAAATTTGACGAATGTTTGGCTATTTGTGAGAGGATCTTGACTAAGGATGAATATAACTTCAAAATCATTCCCATTTACTTGTCTTGTCTACATGAGCTAGGAGGCAAAAACAAGCTTTTTTTGAAGGCACATCAACTTGCCGAACAGCACTCAACGCAACCAGTAACTTGGCTCGCTATTGGTATCTATTACCTTTCTATTAATAAAGTAATCGAAGCTAGGAAATTCTTTAGTAAGGCGACGCTATTGAACCCTAATTTTGGTCAAGCTTGGATTGGATTTGCACATACTTTTGCTGCAGAAGGTGAACATGAGCAGGCAATCAGTGCTTATGCATTTGCGGCAAGATTGTTTCCTGGTACACATCTCCCCAACTTATTTCTTGGAATGCAACATTTGCAGATGAGTAACCTAAATTTGCTGGAGGAATACTTACTTGCTTCTTACCAAATTTGCTCGACAGACCCGCTCCTACTTAACGAACTTGCCGTTATAAACTATCACAAGAATAAGTTGAAGCAGGCTGAAAGTTTTTGCCAAGATGCGCTTTCGGCAGCCAAATACTTGAATTCAGACTCAAAAACCTGGATATCTATTCACACAAACATGGGACATATATTCCGCAGAGATAATGAACCCTTTAAGGCTCTAGAATGCTTCCAACAAGTTCTCAAGATCTCGAATAGGGATGATAGTAATATATTGGCAGCAATGGGGTTGATATATTTGAAATTGGGAGATCATTTAAAGGCGATTGATGTCTTACATGATGCATTGGCAGTACTGCCTGGTGACCCCGTTGCGTCGGACTTATTGAAGAGAGCGCTTGAAGCTAATTTAGAGAATGGAATGAATTATTTAAAAAACAATAAACTGATAGAGTCGAGTTTGCCCACATTGCAGTATAGAAGAAATGTGTCAAATGCAATTACGGAAGTGAAAAACAATGCAGATATTTCTGCCGCTTCACGGTCCAGCAAGCTTGAAGCAAAGAGCAGAAGGCTGCGAGACGAAGAAACCACTGAAGCTGAACTCGAGGCAAACGAATTAAAACGCGGCGAGATTTCCAGTGAGGAAGAAGACGAGGTGATGGATATAGAGAGTGATTAGTTCGTTAGAGCTGTCCTGGAATTGTTGTATCAGAGTGTGAATTTGAGTGTGATGATTTGATACTTGTCCTTAGCACGGAGGAGAGAGGGAGTGTATGAGTCTACGGAGAAGCAAATGTATGCGCTGTTAGCCAGGAGAGTATATCTTAGACATGGGAATGCCGAGTGCGTAACTGGGGCAAAACAAAGCTGCTCAGACGTCGGTAGTATAACTCGGTTATTGGAAAATCTGAGTGTAACTAAACTACGTGAGGCGCTCAACTTAACCATTGGAAATGCGGAGAATATTATACCTGGCTCTGAGCGAGAGCGGTATACCTATCTTTTATGCGAGAGCCTACTGACCATATCGTGCGCTTAGATCTAATTACGAATTAACGAATATTCAAGTAGAGCATGAATCTGTAAGAAACATCATCTTATGAGCGTAGCACAAGAGACTTCCAACGATCGAAGCGCTCTTTACACTCTTGCACGCTTTGCACTCTTGCACGCTTTGCATTCCGTAACTGTAACACGGCCCTTTGGTATAACTGCCATCTTCCCTACCTCATCTTCCTTCACCACCTTGCCTCATTGGGCGTGGCTGCGAAAAAGGTTGCAACATTTGACGAACGCGGACTGCACCTCAATGCAGGAGACTGATAACCTACGGTGTACTGTGTACGCTAATCGTCTAATTCCGCTAGGATCGTTTAGGAGCATCACGCAGTTACTAGGTAAGGAAAATGTGGGTGTGTTTTTTTTTTTGACTTGGTTACCGGATCAGACCAGAGAGGCAGTCAGTACTGGCAGGCTGGTAGATAAAAATCGGAATCGCCTGAATATTTTTTTCTTCTTTGGGCTTTACTTTGAGTTTATTGTTTGTATTTGTTTTTTCCATTGTGTTTGTACTACATATAACCCCCTGTTTGGTACGTTAGCATCAGGTACAACACGTTAGATCTGTATACGTCAATCTAGTACTGTTTTGGCGTTCTTGAATACCTCCAATCACTCCGGAGATTAATCGCCTAGTGAGCCCACGCTGTTCCTTATTTCTATATATCTATATATCTATATATTATATACTTTGCATATCAATCACCACCACCCCCTGAGATTCAATCAGCCCTGCTCCATATATGAACACCCACAAGCCCATTGCCCCGTTCACCTCGAAGGAGCCCAAGTTCTTGGATATCAAATTCAACCAGGACCAGGGGTGCTTTGCCATTGGCCACGAATACGGGTTCCATGTTTACAATACCGATCCAATCGATTCTAGGGTACAGAGGAACTTCTACAGGGTACCGACGCAGTCACAGACCCTGGGGTCACACTCTCAGGGACCTAGTAACCAGCCTCCTTCCTCCTCCAATTCCACCGGCAGTGGTATTGGCCACATCACTATGCTCCACAGAACAAACTACTTAGCATTGGTTGGCGGTGGGAAGCATCCCAGATTCTCCAACAACAAGGTTATCATTTGGGACGACTTAAAGCGTAAGACTAGTCTCACCTTAGAATTCTTGAGCCCGGTTCTTCAGGTGTTGCTTTCAAGGATTAGGATCATCGTCGTTCTAAGAAACCAGGTGCTTGTTTACGGATTCCTGTCTCCTCCAAAGAAATTTGCCACTTACGAGACCATTGACAACGAGTTTGGCCTAGCAGACTTGAGCGTGAATTCTACGACATTCAGCGACAGCGCTGGAAGTAATGACATAACACAGAAGGGATCAACTTTATTATCTTCAGGAACTCCAACTGGCACCTCGATTGCATCTCCAATAATCCCAGTCCATGGGTCGTCATCGTCAATTTCTTCCTTGACATCCTCGTCATCGTCTTCAATTAGATCCAAGACCATTCTTGCCTTCCCCGCAAGATCTCTTGGCCAGATACAATTGGTAGATGTATCACCAACAGGACAAGAGAAAAACCTCGTCAGCATTATCAAGGCACACAAGTCCCATATTCGCTGTCTAACATTAAATAGATTAGGGACATTGATTGCATCGGCCTCTGAAACTGGAACAATAATCCGAGTGCACTCTACCCATAATACGGCATTACTCTATGAGTTCCGCAGAGGACTAGACAGAGCCATCATCACTTCTATGAAGTTTTCTCATAACGATTCTAAATTGGCTGTGTTGTCGGATAAGAACACCCTTCATGTATTTAATATAGAACAAGAGGACCACCTGCAACAAAAGCAGCAGGGCCAGCATTCACAACAACAGCTCCACAACAGTCACCAGCACCATCAGCCCGTTAACCGCCAGCATCTTTTCCGAAAGCTACCTATCCCCATACCTAATTATTTCAATTCGACATGGTCTTTCTGTTCCGTGAACATCAATAAATATCATGTCGACTTTGTGACAGACAATACGTTAGCCCATAACGGCAACCCATCGGGATCAGGATCCACCGATAGCAATACCGCGGACATTGGAGTATTGGCATGGTCTGGTAACGACAGTGTGATAATAGTATGGAAAGAAAAGAGAATATGGGAAAGATACGTAATAATCGAGAAGGTCAAACCAACTATATCAGTGGGAAGCACAGGGTCAAGTGGAAGTGAGAATAATACGGATAATGTCCAGTGGGAAATAGTCAGAGATAGCTGGAAAAGCTTAGAAGTGGATTAAACTGCTTATCGAATAATGCAACTAATTAATGTTAAAAAGTAATATACAACCTATATACAATATATACTCAAAAGCAACATGATGTTAATAGAATAATGATGAAGTTCAGCATCAGTCAAGTATTTCACACAATATCGGTTCGTAGAGTTTCTTCTCTTTCTTTGTCTGAATACTTTCCCATTTCCTACCGTGGAAATTTCTAATGAACCGTACGGCATTCGTCCTGTCAGCAAATCGTATTAAGGTGAGAGACACCTGGTTTACCGGGTCACTTATCACGCTAGTGATGCAGTCCTCGTGGGTTCCAGTGTCATGCGAAGTTGCCAAGTCGTAGTCCCAAAGAATCTTGGGCAAGGCGTGTTTAGAAAGGCCGAATGGGAGGTTCTTCACCAACACCATACTTTGCCTAGCTTCGAACATGGAATAGTCCAACATGAGCGAGTATGGGTAAGTCAAGTCCTCCTTCTTCGCCAACAGTTGCAGCTTGGGCAGCTTGACCAGATGTGGGTGGTCGATGAGCGGGGCCCGCACCTGTTCACCGTACAGAGAAGAAATGTGAGGCGACGACATCTGGTTAAGATCCTTCGAAGTGAGTTCCATAAACTCGAGCTTGAAGTCGAACCCATTGATGACCTTGCCTGCCGTTTCTAGCCAGTACGCAGCGGCCAGGCTGAACGACTGAAAGACGAGATAGTACACGCCAACTGGCTGCAAGTCCAACGAATTTCTTCCCTTAATGGCAAAGAAAGGTGGTCCATTCTTCACCAAGCTTGTAGGGAGCTGGTACTTACGCTCCCTCTCGATCGGATAGAGGTTGTGGAAGGTATCGTTGGAGATGAAGTTGTTCTTGCATTTGAACTTGAGTATATTTGATCTAATTTGGGTGGCCAGCGTTTCGGGCAAGTCCAGTGCCACCAGGGACCAAGGTTTACGATTCCAGTTGTTCGATGTGAGGTCTTCTAGTATGGATCTGGGGGGCTGGGGCTGATCTACCGCAGATGCCAGAGGAAGATCGTGGATGAACTTTGCAACTAGGGGTGTTTTGTTAGCGATTTCCACCAGAGAACTGGCGTATAGTAGATTAAGAAGTCTATCTGAAGCTCCCTTCGACAATTTGGAGGCAGTCATCAGGAATGGAGGTGGTACAGTCCAAGAACAACCGGTTGTGCTTCTGAGCAGCGCATGGCTTGATTTTTCATGAAGAAAACCGAAACCCATATCGCGGTGTACGGATGTTAGCGAATTTACGAGAAAGGTTGCAGGTGAGTGGGACAGAGTACGAGAGTGGTAGGAGAGACAAGAGAATAGCCTAGGATCCCAGGCTGCTGGTGGAGATCAGCTAGAGGAAGTGTATCTTTCAGGCAGATTCACTTCCGTTCTTCTAGTGCTGAAATGAAGAAAATGAGGTGCTATCCTGGGCTAGAGTATTCAAAAGTTAGTATTTGCACCCAACTATAGCCAAGGCAAACTTAGGTAGGGCAGATAAAGTGCAAATAGAGTGTGAATAGAGAATCGCACTGAGGAGTTGGACGTGAGTAGAGCTAATGGCAGCGTAAGTAGAGGCATTTGCTGAAGAAAGGAGCGTAATTGAGCTAGATAGAGGTACTCACTGAAGAATGGAGCGTAATAGATCTGGATAGAGTGTAAATAGAATGTAAATATAGTTATCCACCGATGAGCGGAGCGCAATTGAGGTGAATAGAGTGTAAATATAGTTATTCACCAAGGCATTGGGGTAAATAGAGCTCAAAAGAATAATCAGAGTATTTCAATGAGACATTAGGCACAAGCAGAGCAAGCAGAGCAAATAGAGCAATAGAACAAGCAGAGCAAATCGACCAAATCGACCAAATAGAGCAAGTAGAGCAAATAGACCAAATAGACCAAATAGACCAAATCGGGTGTTCACTGAGACGCAACCACCCTATTCCTCTTCTTCAACTGCTTATCGAACCTGCAATTAACAACCTCGAATGTAATAGGGTGGAGGAATTAAAGTTTGCCTAACCAAGTGTGCAGGAGCCTACTACCATCTAAGCATGGGCAGGGTTGTGAAGCGAGCGTTGGGCTCAATATACCGGCAGGCACATGGAAGGTAACACTACTGTGCTGACAATACACATGCACATAAATAGAACCTGCACTGGCAAGGGAGATATTCGACTTTTCGCTGTCTGTTGTATTTCCTCCCATTTACACTTTCGCCTGAATCCTGGACCCTGCACCCTGGACCCTGAACCTAATTTCTTCAATATGTCAATACTGAAACTATTGCGTAATTTGATTTAAGTTTTCTCCGCATGCTAACCAATGAAAAATACTGCGAACTGGATTACCAACTACTGAACCACTGTTACTATGCCCATCAGAGAGCCAGTCATTCTCCATGGCCAGCACCCAATTCTGCCTATAAAGCTGTGCTATCGGTCGCCCTGCACTACCTCTTTACCGCCACCGTCCCGCATGCGACATCCCACTGCTCTGGCCTCCCCTTTCCCTCCTCCTTTCCTCCCTCTGCGATCCCTCTGCGCTCCCTCTTTGTCCTTCTCAACCCTAGCACCACCACCCACCGCACCCACTCCAGCACCTCAAGCTTAATTTACCGCGCACCACGACTCAGGCTGATTCGTTTTCTTTTTTTTTTTATTTTGTTATTTTCTTTCGTTTGTTGATCCCAGTTGTAATTTCTCTCGTTTGTGAGCGTTTATTGATAGAAGTGACTTGGAATATCTGTAACTGCGCTTGATACAGCTAGAACTACAAAGCTAGCCCGCTCAATTTCAACAGTAAAGCAAGAACATAGCCCTGTCAACCAGCGGAGCTACAAAAGCAAAAAAAAGTGGCGACTACCTTGATAATACCTTCTTGATGCCTTCGGAAACTATATGGTCCAACTCAGGAGGGGGCACCACGCCTCCCTATAGAACAGTCCTCGACCAGGTGGACCCGTCGGTGGCCAAGTACTTTGCTGACAACGTGACACCTGTTGACGGTAGTGCCAATGGACGTAGGTTCCTGTTCAACGATGGCAGTGACATCGACCACTCCATTTTTGGCTTGAAAAAGGGTTCGTTCCTGGCCATTACTGCTCCAGTGGGCCCTACGGTCTATAGTCCAGTGAACAGTGGGCAGGCACCTTCGACTGGGTCGGGCGCCGGTGGTGCTGGAGGTAACTCTCGAATGAACTTCGGTGCAGCTTCAATCTCCGGTGGTATAGCGAACAGACACCCACCTCAGGACAGCTTCCTTAGAAAGTTTCAGTCTGTTGCGGACGCAACTAGAGACATTGAATTGGCAAGCGGAGTCCAAGGTATCAGCTTGAATGACGTGCAATCACAGTCTCATACTCAATCCAAACCACCCCAGCATAGTCAGAGACAAACTAATGACAGAAGAACCAGCTTCAATCATCACGAGCCGTTGGCAGATGTGTTGAGCTCTCCACCTGGCTCGCTTAACGAGAATTTAAACGCTTCGAGAAATTCGAGACATCAGTCTATATCTGAGAAGATTGACAATTACAACAATAATTCTCCAATCCAGGCCACTGCGGTGATGTCCTCGCCACCCCAGACTCCTGCCCAAGTTAACCATCAACAAGGCAATTCCTCCCCACATGTAAACCATGAGCAGCATTTCCAAAAAGCTGGTGCCCATGGCCAGCCTGGGAATGGCCAAAACTTTTGGAACCCTGCCACTGCCACATCGTTCATCCCAGGTAACTATTTTATGGACAATGGGTTTTATGGAAGAGGTAACAACAACGTTCCAATTGGAAATCCACCGCCATTTATGATGCCTTCACCTCCTCCACCTCAATTCATGGATCCTAGTATTTATGAAATGATGTATCCGAGACCACCACCTCAATCTGGTGCTGGAAAGGGAGTAAAACTGGAAGGAAGCGAGGAGAAGGGAGATGAAAATGGAAAGAGTGGTAACAATACTCCAGGAATAGCTGGTATTGGATTGATGAATAGAGGGGGGCCTGGCTTTATGTTCCCTCAATTTAATCCGTATAATATGTATAATCCAAATGCAAATAATGGTAACGGGCTCCAAGAGAATACTTCTGTGAACGAGCAAAATGGGAAGTTTGAGGCTGATCAAGGAAGAAATTCACCTTTGCCCCAGCAAAAGTCTCCTAGTACTAACAACGGAGGAAAGAAAACGAAAAAGAATGCTGCAAATGGGAAATCTGCAACTTCTGCCACAGGCTCTGGAGGCTCTGGACCTTCCAACGGAGGTAATGGAACTAGCTCTTCTAATGGAGGAGGTGGGGGCCATATATACCGATCTCCACTTTTAGAAGAAGTCCGTTCAAACTTCAAAGGAAAGGAATATTTTCTCAAAGATATCTACGGCCATGCCATCGAATTCACCAAAGACCAACATGGTTCGAGGTTCATCCAACAACAGTTACCTTCAGCAACAGATGAAGAAAAGGAAGTCATTTTCAACGAAATAAGAGATATATCGTTTGAATTGATGACGGATGTGTTCGGTAACTATGTAATCCAAAAGTATTTTGAATTTGGTTCGAAAACACAAAAGAAAATCTTGCTCGAGTACATGATTGGTCATATTTATGATTTAAGTTTGCAGATGTACGGTTGTAGAGTCGTTCAAAGAGCATTAGAAGCTATTGTATTGGAAGATCAAATTAGAATCATTGAAGAATTAAGAGACTACGTTTTAATTTGTGCTAAGGATCAAAATGGTAACCATGTTATCCAAAAATCTATTGAAAGAATCCCATTTGAACATATTACATTTATTTTGGAAGCTCTCGATAATCAAATCTATCACTTATCTACTCATCCATATGGATGTAGGGTTATTCAGAGGCTTTTGGAACACTCAAAGGAAGAAGATCAAACAAAGATTTTACAGGAATTGAACAGATTCATCTTCTACTTGATCCAAGACCAATATGGTAACTACGTGATGCAACACATCTTGGAAAGAGGTAACCCCAAAGATCGTGAAGAAATTTTAAAGATCGTTTTGGGATCCGTTGTAGTTTTCAGTAAGCACAAATTCGCTTCAAATGTTATTGAAAAGTGCATCAAGTTCGGAAGTCTTCAACAGAGGAAGAGAATATTGCATGAAGTCATGATTGATAATGAGAGTTTGGATGGAGAAGTTAGTGACACAAGCCCATTGGCCTTGATGATGAAGGACCAATATGCAAATTATGTCATTCAAAAATTGGTGGAAGGATTTGATGCAAAGAGTGATGAAAAGAAGTTGCTAGTTTTGAAGTTAAGACAGTACTTGAAGCAAATATCCAGTAAAAATACCTACGGTAAGCACCTTGCAAGTGTCGAGAAGATGATAATTGTCGCAGAAACTGCATTGACTGAACCTTGAATGTGAAAGTTCATTGGTACTGCCCTAAACCTTATCATTTATTTATTCAAAGAGAGTCCTGTTATCACATCAATTACAACAAAGTAATATTTTCCCACGTTCTTTTCAAGAAAATCAAGAGATAGGCGTCCGTCAGTGCCGTTCTCCTTATTCACTTTATCCCAAGGTGTTGCCTACCTTAAGAGTAAATTAGAAAAAGTTTTGATGCTTTCAAAAGAGCAAACCCTATTTTAAAATAAAAAAGAATGCAACCCTGTTTTTTTAACCTGTCTATAATATATTGTCTATAGTTTTAGTTTCCTGTGTTTAAATATTTAATCTTATATATAACGTGTCTATTTAGAAGTGAAGAAGTAGAGTTTCTGAACGAAACTATAAGGATAGTGCTCTTGCTGGTGATCTACTATTACCTATGCGGAGCAAGCCGGAGTTAACTCAGAGTTTAATGGAGTTAATCATAGCAAGCTTCTAAGGCAAAGAAGCAAAGCTTAAGGAACGCTACAGAACACGGAGCATCGCTCACGGGAGTTCATGTAATAATAATCTATATATTCATTGATCCATAAATCGGTGTCTAGCCCTATTCCGCCGGATATCAGTGGAAAGACACCAATTGAAAAATAACTTAAGTGGTCCTCACCCGCTCGACCAGTTCTCTAACAGGCGCTGGGCTTCGCCAGCGTGTTATAAAATTCTTGACTTCGTAGAAGTATCATCGTCGTAGTCAGATGAAGAAGGGGACGAAATCGATATACCGTTCGAGGACGACGGTATATACAAATTGGGCCCTCTTGAAGTAGAGGATGCGATTTGACTCAAGGATAAAAGAGAACTGGACGATGACCTGTAGTTCTCCTTGCGCTCCAGTTGAGCCAGAACTGTGCCTTCAGTAGGCAGCTCACTTTCCTGCTGTCTTAACATGTTTACATTCAAGTGGCTTAGACTAGCTCCAATGCTTCCACCTGGGTGGTTCATGGAAAAGCTCACCTTCCTCTTGGCCAAATCTGCCTCTATCAACTCACTCAAAGCCAATATCGTGGCGTCGGCAAGCGCCAAGGTCACCGTAGCAGACACTGTAGGAGCAGGAAGCCCGTGAATGCTATCTTCTTTCAAATGTGAGGGCAACTCAGCGTACAATATACTCTTCACCTGCACCGATTTGCTCAACTTGGACTCTCGGCAGCAGGTTAGCAACACTATAGGGATGTTTAATGAAATATGTGGGAGTAAATTTAAAAGCTCTGGGGTGTTTCCCGAAGCCGTGACGAATATTAAAGCATCGCCTTCTCTCAACATACCCAAATCTCCATGTAATGCCTCCAGCGGGTGCAATATAGACGACTGTATCGCCAAAGAATTGAGCGTGGCAACGAGCTTTGCGGCAATCTTATATGATTTCCCTATCCCACATAACACTATCTTGCCTCTGTGATATATAGATGTATTGTAGAGTGTATTCAACAGCTGTACGAGCTGGTTTTTCGAAAATTCGTCGGTTTCGTACTGATGTGCAATGATGCTCATTGCCTCACGTTGGAAAGCCAATGTCTTCTGTACCGAAGAGATAGCCAAGGGTGATAGATCCATAGTTGCTGGTGTCCTCTCTCTGTATAACGTTCAAAATTGTACTCTTTTTTTCCGCGCCGTCGATTCAGCTACCTTTTTGTCTTTCCTACCACTATTAATATTGCTATCACACACTGTGTGCCAGTAAAGAAAGATTACTAATTTGCTCTTCTTTTTTCACTGTGTCTGTACTGGATTACAATTTGGTCTGCTGCGGCTCACTAATAATAATTAACGAAAAGCTGCAGATGAGTGAGAGAAAATACCGTTTAAAGTATAGGCGTGCACGAAATGACGTACTAAAGTCTACTAGTAAAGGAGTGCGCTAGACGCTGGAAGATCGCAAAAAGGTAGCTGGAAGACCGCTGGAAGACCGCAATAAACAGTAAAGTTGATCCTTTTTGGTATGGCCCAGTCAGTTACCAACAGCCTCATGAATGCGAAATCGGTAATTAGTTCCCTTATCTCCTCACTTGTTTCTTTTTCCTTCATATTATGTAATATTTTGTATTATGAAATCCGTCTGGGTTTCACCTTGTTAGGAGCGTCTCCCTCGCCATCCATACAGGAAAAGCGACTTGATTACGGCCGTACAGCTCGCCTTAGTTGGTGTGCAGTTGTGCAATTTGATTTTTATTTTATGAATCACCAGTGGTTTCTCGTTCTATCTTTTTTTTTTTTGTTTCTTTTTTTAGTTTGGCACACACAACCAAACCTAATCCTACTCTGATTTACATGACACTAGTACAGCCTCCAATAGCCATTAACGTTTCTAATGCACATTGCACTGATACAGGGGGTTTGTGCACTTCTCCCTGTATGGGTACCTGGTATTACCGACTCTGGCTTCATGTATCGCTCCCTACTACTGTGGCTGGGTTGCCTTATGTCACCCGTATAGTTGGAATTTTTCGCCATTCTGGAACCTTAAGATACAAGGTGTTTCCGAGAGAGCCCCAAGCGTCTCGGGATTGAAAGGGCTGCCGCCGATAAGTAAGGGGAGATGGAGCACATTTGCTACAGGACTTTTGTGTAGGGTACTTTTATTTTCTATTTGCTTCTACGCTAGCGGATGTTCAATCTGGGATATTTCGTATTTATTCGTTATTGTCTATATCCTGTCTATATATCGCTGAATGTCCTTCTTCGTAATGTAATATTTTGTTCGATGCTCTCACTTTACTTTTTTTTTTTTGATTTTCGAAGCCTCGATCTCGTAAGAATTAACTCAAATAATAACCCACCACCTTCAGCACTGTTGGTTTGAGCTTGTCTTCGAGCTTGCTATCATTGCTGAATGTTCTCATTGCAGTTCTAGCTACCCTTGGTATCAACATTGGTGGTGTCCTCTTATTGTAGTTTTAGTTATCATCTACAAAATATATGCTCTTAAGTGTAAGAATTAAACTCAAATACCGAGTACAACCCGTCATCCTCAGCTCCAATGTATTCAAACTTGTTAGTATCAATATTGGTGATGTTTGTAATTGGATGAACATCACGCAATTGCTCCAAGAATGATTGAGCTGTGTTCGTGCCTATGCCATCACTACCTCCTCCTACTCCGCCTCCTGTCCCTACACTTCCTCTTCCTGCGCTCCCATTAATGTTTCTCTCCATTAGTCTCTCTTGTTCCTCTTTAAGTACAAGATGGTTTTTAATTGTTTTTTCCTTTAAGACTTTAATCTGGTTGAATCTGTGAGCCCAATTGGATACATACTCTCCTGTTGTGTGCCAAACGGATGCAAAAAGATTAGATATTATGGACAAATTTCTAATGAACACTGGTAACTGCTCTTGAGATATTATCTTAAAATGGCAACATGCAAATACTCCTGGAACACCTGCTCTTCTAATAATCTTAACTTTGTAATAGTTGCTGCTATTGCTTCCACTATTGCCGCTACTAGTCATGGGAAAATTGGCACTACTTAATGAATGTGGAGTAATAACAATGTTTAAGAAGTTGAATTGACTTCTGATCACATTGAAATTAAACGGTAAGCCCAGCTCATCGAAAAATATATTAACGTAGTTGTTTCCAATGTGCCTTTTCTTTAATTCAAACCTCTTGTCATTCTCATTATTTGGCATCATAGTAGTTGTGTGGAAAATTAATTGCTGTGTCTTGCTCTTCCAAAATATGGCGTAATCTCCATCGGTATTAGATTCTGTATCTAACCCTCCAACATAGACTTCCTTACATTGGTTGAGACGGATAAGAGTCCCTACTTTGTCTGAGAACTCTTGATATGCCACTGATCCAACTCGATTACCTAGTATATCTCTCTCATTCAGTTGATTGGGTCCCATATACACCAAACCAACTTTATGGAACTCTACAGTTGGAATTCTATCAAAAGTTGATATTGCTCTGTTGCTAACTGGGTCTTCAATTAGAGGGATAGGTTTCGATTTGTTGTTAACATCCATGTTGTTGAAGAGCTGAAGAAGTATGTGGTTAGAAGTAACCAACTGTTTATTGCTTGCCCCTCCTCCCAGAGATAGTTCTGCGTTATTTAAGCTAACTTTCATACTGGTGATTCCTGTAGGTCTACGAATTGTTATCTCCGAATCACCAGTACTACCATTGGTTGAGATTGTTAGAATTGTACCACCTATAATCCAGGTGTTTGTTGTAAAACTTTGATTTGAATTACTCATAGAACCAGAATTACCATTGTTGGATGATGAGCTTCCAGCTCCCCCAAAATGTTTCTTGAGAGGCTGACTCATTGTTAAATCAAGATCACTATACGTAAATCTTGTTATTAAGTCGATATATGCCATTACTTGTTGATTATCTTGAGGAACAGCGCACGAAGCAAGTAAATTCTTTATTAAGAAGCTTGATAATTGTTTCCTCTCGTTCATGTTCAACTTAAGATACCATGCCGAGATCACATGGTACAGCAATGCCAATACATAGTGTGAAAGAGTAGCAGAGGACTGCGTTGAAGTTGATGGAGTTTGGTCTATATCAGCATCAATTCCATGTACTTGTATATTGACTTCTTCTTCATCTGAGTTTTTTGTTTGTCGTTCACTGCAATGTTGAATGTATTTGAAGGCAATAGCGAAAACCCTACGAAATTCGTCCAAAGTAAAATTTGCTGTCAAAGTCTCTAAGTTTATTAACGAAAGCAAAAATTCCAACGTTGGACTTGCAGCCAATGGAGACGATATTCTGGTTTGTAACTTGTTAAGAATCAAAGATAAGAATTTCTTGATGGAAAGTGGGGTCTCATAACAACAAACTGTCAAGATATGAATACAAGGAATTGCTGTCTTTTCCCACGAACTTAACCCGAAAATAAGTGCATTAATGATTTGGTCTTCGTCATGCTTGGAAAATGGGCTATGATAACCCATAAGTGCTGAAAGAGTTCTAACGAACATAACTTGCAAATTTGCCTTGGTCGTCTTGTTTGGGATCTGGATTTGGCTCGGTAAATTCAAGGTCAATTGTTCACAAACTATCGAACGAAGCTTCAAAATTTGAGATTGATTCCGAGAGAATAATTGCATATTGGCTAATTGTGGACAGAAGTGTGCCCATATAAATGTATAAATTTCCCAGCCTACGAACTTTTGCATAATATTCAAAACAACTTCAAACCAAATTGAGATATCAAGTATGAATTGAGGCTCACTCAACTGATGGTGCAGGTTCAGTTGGATATACAAAACTAGCCTTCTACTTGGCATATCGAAATATTCTTCCGGCAAGAAATTAAGATGCTCCGGATATTCCCAAAGGTACTCCGATTTTTCGAAATTTGCATCATTTTTATTACGATTGACAGCAGTCGCCAAGCCATCCATATCCGTTGGGGCAGAGAAGTAATAATACCCTTCATTGGTGCATCTCAATCTGACTAAACATCTAGAAATAGTGAGAAGATTGTTCACGTTTAACGTAGATATTGAACTGTTCGCTATTGCAATAATAAAGTTGTACGTTACTTGTGCCCTTGCAGGATCAATTGTTGAAGTAATGACAAATATTTTACAAAATGCTTGCAACATTGAGCTATTAAAGTTGTCATCGCCCTTGGCCAGAGGAACGAGGTTAGCTGTTTTGAATGCCTCTAGAATTTCATTATAAGTAGACAAGGGAATTCTCAGTAAGCATTGTCTCACAACAATTTCTTCTAGATACTTTATCACTTGAAGATCAGTTAATGCCGACGACTTTTTGAAGATATGTAATAATATTTCCAGATCAATAGGATCAATGGAAAGTTCGAAGGCATCGTTTATAACAGATAATGTCTTGATTTTGATGCTGCTATCTGTATTGGGATTATAATAAAAGTAGTTCAATAATTTGAAAGCATTTTCTTTCCATTGAGGATTAGCATGGCAGACACAGTATCTCTCTTCTGAATAAAAGTTTAACGCAAACTCAATGGTTGTAGAGTCAATGAAATGAGGATAGAACATGAAAAGGTCAACTAACCTATCTTTTGGAGTATGCAATACATGATGCAGCTCGTACAAGTTTTGAAGATTTAGGCATATGTCCTTCCACAATAGTTCGTCTTCCACTGAGTTTAAAGATATGGCCTTTAACGCATCATACATGGATGATGTCGCAGAGTACCATATTTGGAATGGAAATAACCTTTCGAAGTACTTGATATTTTCTCCCAGGAACATTCTATTGATTGATTTCAATAGAGAAGTCACTACTGATGGCACATTGTGTTGGAATGCTGATCGTGCAGCTTTAAGAACAGTTGAGTGAATATATTCAAAATTACCCTTATTTTCCGCAGAGCTGGAAGTGTGAATCTTTTCTAAAATAGCGACAGCACCGATTGCAGCTCGAACCGATGTACATTGAGGGTCCATTTTACTCTTTTGTAGTTCATCGTTCAGTATAATTTCACACAAACTAGTTAGCACTAGATATTCACTAACATCGCTAGCAAGATTACTTATTATTTCCCACGTAAGAACTTCGTTTTGGGAATTACAGCAGCACACTAGTTCGATTACTCTATGGAAGCAAACGCTTGGGATATGACCAAATACCACAAGGGCATTAATTAATTCAAGAATCTCAGTGATTATAGGAGAATAAAGTGAGGCTGACGATGTAATAGAGTCACGACCACCATTGCCAATGTAAGTAGGGGATAATTCCTCCTCTTTCAAACATATAGCTGATCCAATACTGGCAATTTTCAACATTATTGAACCTAGTAAGGCCTCTTCTATTATATTGAAATTGAATTTAAAGCAGTTTTTCGTGAATTGAATAAGACTAAGCAAGTTCTTTTGATTCGAAGCAGCCTGATCCGCGGCGGTGTTGGATGTGGAGTGAGTAGTCGATGGTGTAATGGAGAAGAAGGTTCCGGATAAAGAGGTAGTAGCTATCACAGCGTTCTCGTGTACACTACCCACCACGTCTATCCAAGATCCAATTGTAGACATCAAATTTTCTTCGGACTTATATACAACTAAGTCATAAATATCTCGACCATCGTTTGTCAATTGAGCCAATGCTCTTAAGAACAAATCCAAATCTGGATCCACCCCTTTCGCCACAGTGTTGCTACAATATCGAGCAATATCTTGGAAGTACACCAATCGCACGCTGGCACTAAGAGTGTGATCTAGCTCAATGCATCGCACCAAAAGTTGCACTACATTTCTTCTTATAGTTTTGTTACTTGAGTTTTGCTCGCAGAGATCTCTTGCCGAATACCATATTTCTGGTATCAGAGAGATGGCAAATTTTTCCAAAGATTCTGATATTTTTATGACCGCCGTAGCTCTAGCTTGTAAGTTACCACTAGATAAGTGACTGAACAACTTTTGTTGGTCAGCTCCACCGCCTACAACTTTTGGGTTTACTTGAATCGGAGATGATGAGGCAGAGGTGGACTTTAACGACTTGGTAAACGATTTAAAAACGCTACCAAGACCTCCCGACAGTCTTCCAAAGTTTGGATAATGCGTCGACATGATTTACAATAGCACAGCTCCTATTTTGAGAGCTCCAAGCCTTGGGGTACTTGTTCTTTAGCTGATGCTCTGGTTTTTTCTGTTTGTGTTTTTCGGTGATGATGTGCAAAATCGCGGGGCATGATTCTTCGCTTGTCAGCCCTGCGAAAATGGAACCAAGCTTCAAGTACACCAAGAAGCACTTTATTAGGAAGAAGAAAGTGGAAGTAAAGCACGCCGCGTTAGTAGTAAGCTCCAATGACTGATATCTGAGTTGAGAAGAAAAAATTAATAGAAAAATTGACCTTTCAACCTAGTGTTTAGTGGTGTATGTGTCATTGAGCTTTGGGTCTTATGGATCTTTTAAGTCTTTTATTCACCTTCGGTAGTTCTTCAATACAAAACAATTTGCAGTCTATGCCATTTCATGTGAATTATCATATTGTTGTTATACACCTCTATAATCTAGTATATAGTCTATTCTATTCTATTTTATTTTGTTTTATTCCATTTGCTATGTTTTTCAGGTATTAACACCAAAACCTGTACCATCTATACCAGAAAGGCTTCATGGCCAATTCTCTCTTTTCCTCGAGAAGCTCTTCCTTTAATGCTTCGATATCGAGCTCTCTTCTTCCCACATCAACGTCAATGTTCACCGCACGAACGAACAAGATCCAATTTCCTTTCCACACTTTGTGGCCAAAGTAAAAGATAATCAAAACAACAAAGCCAAGATAACTCTGGAAAAACCCTGAAGCATTTGGTGCTTCACCTAATGGGAACAATGCAATCCAAAATTGTGCAATGAGCACTAGCGTGTTCAAAACGACACCAAACCAGGACCCTACAACACCAGTCTGAGATTTGAAACTCAACTCATCCGTACTTCTGCCTTGAACGCCCAAAGCTCTTCTAAATCTTAAGTGAGCTACACAAATAGATAACCAAGTGAAAATGGAAGACAATCCTGAAATACTTAACAACCAGTCAAAAACGACCGCCTGTTTACCAGAAGCTGCAATGAACGAGAGTAAACCAAATACATTAGTTATGAGGATAGCGACCAAAGGTCTACCTGCTCTATCAATGTAGCCACAAATTCTTGGAGCAAGTCCTTGTTCTGCTAATGCTGTTAAAGTACGAGAAGTAGCATACACCGAGGAAGAACCAACAGAGATGACAGATATTAAGATAACGGCATTCATAACTGATGGTAAACCACTAATTCCTCCTTCTTGAATTGCAATGACAAAAGGTGAAGCAGTAACATCCACTGATGATGCGCCCAAAAGTTTTGGGTTATTCGATGCCACCAAGAAGCAAATCAACGTCAAAGAAATCATGTAAAACATAATAATTCTCCAAAACACTTGCTTAGTAGCACGAGGAATTTCCTTTCTAGGATTTTCACTCTCAGCAGCAGTCAATCCAACTAATTCGGTTCCTCCGAATGAGAAAGCACTAGTAACAAAGACGGAGCAAACACCTTTAAACCCATTTGCAAAAAGACCAGGATCATGCCAATATGTGGCACCCAAATATCTATGAGTAGGGCCACCTCCACAAGCTAAGACTAATGAAACTAAGATGAACCCTACAACAGCAATCACCTTAACAAATGAAAATGCAAATTCTGCTTCACCATAAATTCTCACTCCGAAGAAATTTATAGTTGCAACAAGAATATAGAAAATAAGTACCCAGACGTCCAGGTTGACGCCGGTATGCCAATATTCCATGGTCATTGATCCTGCAACCAATTCCAATGGTAATAATACCAAAAACTGGAAGAAGTAATTCCAGGCTACTGCAAAACCAACAGAAGGGTCAATGAATCTACTAGCAAAGACATTAAAAGATCCAGAGATCGGGAAAGTTACAGCCAATTCCCCCATTGCTTGGATAGTGCAGAAGATGGACAATCCAGTAAGCAGCCAAGCAATTATAACACCCAAGGGACCTGAAGTATTTAAAGCACCCCCAGAACCAACGAATAACCCGGTTCCGATAGAAGATCCAATTGCAATCATTTGTAAGTGTCTACCCTTCAATTTTCTCTGCAATGGTGATTTACTGGTGATAATATTAGCTTTTTCTATGTCAGTTAAACCGTTCAATTCTTCTTCATCATTGAGAGAAATTGCACCTTCACATCTTTTAAATGAATCTTTGAAATCTCTCCATCTGGAAGAAGTTGTATTGTTGATTGTGTATGGAGAAGCACCACTTGCATCCGATTGACCAATTTTCAAGGTAGTAGTTCCATCCGATGCCATATTGTCAAGAGAATAGGATTCACCTATATCCCTTTTCGAGTTTTGATCAGACATAGTGCCACAATAATTTTTGAAGAAAAGAAAATGAAGAATGAGAAGAGGTGACTACCTTGGACCACTATTTTTCTTTTCTGGATTTCAATTATAACATCGAAGAGTAACGGTTTTTTTTTTGTTACTCATTTCTTTTTATTTATGCATGATGAGTCGCTAAGCTTCTCGAACGCCGTGCATATTTTTATCCATAGAAGAAGATTTAAAACCCCGGTCTCAAAGAGCTATCTTTCTTTTCTGGGGTTGGTGCATAGGTTAATGTCAACGAACATTAGTGCAAAGATTTGAAGTTATTAGTCTGAGTTTGTTGGGAAAGAACGAAGATATGGAACCACTGAATGCCTCATCGCAAGCCGCACGTTAAAAAGTATGCACCGTGATGTTCCATGCTGAAAATTAAAAACTCAAAATCTACTGTAACATAGTCTTGGTATCATAGAATAATACTCGGGAGCTAGTGCAACCAATGAATTGCACAGTGGCTACTGGTACATAAAAGATTACACAATTACGTGGTTTATCATAAGCATTTCATTCCTAAATATTATTGTGCACTAATTATTATTCGATCTGGAAATTCTCCTCGTACCTCTTTATGGAAAGAAAATATAAATAGTAGTTTCTTTTTTTCTATACTCTTGTATATAGTTTACTCATAGAATTTGTATATGTAATTAATTATTGTAGTTCTAAATGAGTCTCATAGCTGATCAGCTTCCAAATAAGTAAAGGGAGCTAACCTAGAATTAAATCGACAATGTAACAAAAACCTCCACCCCATGTGACCTTATCCAAGATCAGTTTGAACCATTTCGGGCGAACATTAATGAAGATGTTCCCACAATTATAACCTTCACTCTCCATACCAACACCCCATTTGATATTTTGCCTGATGTTGCAACCTTGCCAGAAATTCCACCACTTTCCACGTTCACAGGGAGAAAGCCTGAGTAAGTTTTTAGTTAATGGACCTGTGGGACCATCGATTTGATGGTACCCTGCAATAAACAGATAGTATTGGCGAGGATCTGAAAGTGGTAATTGTTTGTCACCCCAATGCCCAATAAATGATAACCAGTTATCATATTCAAGCTCTCTCCCAACGTGTTTAGCATTAGAATTCTTTTTTACTGGGGTAACTTTTTTTCCATCGTAAGTGTAGCCAAGATAGTTCTTTGATGGGTTCCATAATGGACCCCTATCAGTAAAATCGGATAAAATATCATAAGGCAAGTCATGAGGATGTTGACCAACTGATACATAGTTAGCATGAGTTCCTCTGGCTGAGAATATAATCGGGTGGTTTGTTTCAGTTTGTGATTTCTCCAAGTTGGGAAAATAGTAAGCACCCCCACCCCCATGAGCTGAAAGCCAAACAATTATTGGCTTTCCCTTATAAAATCTAACTAATGAATGCTCCCAATCTCCTACATGGTTACCATAAGGACCTGCCCCAGATACGAAAGGTCCCAAGTTGAATGCGTAGAAGTAAAACCAAAAGGAGTCTACCCATCCATTACCCTTATCCACTACGATAAGGGTAGCGGGAGCATGTGGGATCTCACCGTCAACAAGAGAAGGCTTATTTTTGGAGCCTGTGATCCATTCTGGATCTTTGGAGAAATCATCGTTACTGGTCAAGAATATATCTTTATCTTTGGGCAAATTAGCAAGCTTTGTCAAGTTCATATGATCAACAGTGTCATCGATTACTGTCCCATTATCGTATACGGCATGCGTATGACTTACAAAATCAGCAATGTCACAAGGTAAATAAGCCTCTTCCGAGTAGAGATAAACAAACGGAGCAAAGTCGACTACGTATTGTGGTATTTCACCTTCTTTGGTAGTTCTGTCCTTTTTCTTTGGGCGCGCTTGAATCTTAGGGAAATCAGGGAAGTTTATTGGCGATCGGAAAACGTTTTGAATATCAATTTCGGTCTGTTCAGAGTTGATAGCATTTATTATGTAACTATTTTGTTGAACATCCCAAGAAGGCAATGCAGATGCAACCACCTTCAGAACCAGAAAGGACAATACCAGTATGAGCAAAAGTTTCATCATGTTTGCAAGTTGAGTGCAAAAGTGTTATAACTCTGTTATCTTGGTTTTTAAAATTACAGGCTACTTTCAGGCGTACTTTAGGAACGTTTCGTTTATTAATGAAACATTGTATCAATTTACTACGGCAAAATCTAGTCTTTCCTTTTTTTCCCGTGACTTCCCATGTCTATGCTTGCTCATGATGCTGTATGCACCACTAGGGAAATTTATGGTTATTTTTTTTGATTCGCACGTTGCGATATGTATAGAAGCCTGTTAAATTTTGAGGTGCGCATGTGCCATGCGGATACGAAGTGCAAGCACTACATCAGATTGTATGCTATTAAATAAAGAAGTGAAACTTCGAGAGGGGATAGGTTCTACAGTGTTCACAACGAGCAATAGATTCAGGGATAAGGAGTGGAGTAAGAAAGAATGTTTTTGCTGGTAACAGTAAAGATATATTGACATATTTGCAATATTGTTTTAAAATAATTAGTAGCAATCTGTAAGGTGCATAAATAAGATTAGAAGAGACCAGACCCTGGTTGCGATGTACGAATGGGGTGGGATGCACTTTTATTATATTCTCGATGTCTTTGTTCACTTCCAGCAGGTCCGTGCAAAGGTATGTCTCCAACATCATCTCATAAGAAAATACTTTGTTCTAGATACGTTGACTTCTGGTCAAAGTTTAGTATTGAATAAATACATATAAAATTATATATAACTTTATTTCAACTTTATATTAGTGCACCCACTATTCGAAGCAAATCTTGATGAATTATTTTCATTGTTTTCTATCTTAGAAAACAAAGACCTGATCTCCCAATTTTGAGACAGGCTTGGCCTTTTCGAATCCCAATCCGACAGCAGCACGTTTCATGGCACTTACCATTGGTGGTGGACCACAGATCAAGAGACTCAGGGTTGGCTTTGGGGAAGGTAAATGCTTTTCCATGATTTCTGGGGTGATAAATCCGACAGATCCAGTCCAGTTTTCTGGGGCATCATTCAAAATGTAATGAATACTGAATTGTTCGGAGTTTTCCTTTGCCAACTTCTCTAACTCAGCTCTAAGCAAGATATCATTCTCTGATACATTGGCGTACAAGAGAGAAATCTTGGTCTTGTCTGCAGGATTTCTCAAGATGGCAGTAATAACCTGAAACATTGGGGCAATACCGGTACCACCTGCGACCATACCAACTTCCTTAATCATGTTTGGTTGGTAAGTGTAGAAACCCTTTGGACCTCTAACTTCGATATGTTCACCGATCTTCTTAGACTCAACATGACGGGAAATGTTACCGTTCTCGTAAGTCTTAATAAGCAAGTCAAAGTATCCCAATTCGTCATCGGTGGAAATTGGGGTGTATGATCTGACCACTTCCTTACCGTTGATAACAGCACCGATGGAGATATGTTGACCAATTGGGAGTCCCAATCTGTCGCTCGACTTAGGGAGCCCAAATCTGTAAATGCAGGAGTTATGCAGGACTCTGGTTTTCTGGATTAAAGAGAATTTTTGGAATTCATCTGGCTTCAACACTGGGGAGTTCTTACGTGATTGTTGAATGAAGTAGTACGCAATGGTAGCCCCAATGATGGAGGCAACGGTAGCGAAAACAATATAAGGATTTGGTTCGGATGAGCTCATTTTTCTTTGTACCTTCTGCAACCAATGTTCTACTGTTATGAAATACTTAAAAACACGAAATATTTCTTGAATTCTCTTCTATGCTCCAGCTATAGGTCCTGTTGAGTATTTATATCTTTTTTTTACAATCGATGAAAAAAGTTTAAAAGCTAAAAAATCGAACCAAAAAAAAAAAAAAAAGTGTCAATAGTAGTATGTTTAAACTCTCTATACGGTATATTGTTACACAAAACTCGCGGTGAGTGAGTTATAGCAGATAATTGATAAATATATAGTGCAACCAAAGGAACACCTGCGCACTTAACAGAGCTCAAATAAAGGATCAGCCGGAATCTACAGTGAAACGGGAACGTACGAGATCCTACAAATATATAGCTAGCATATGTTTATGTGCTTTTGCATATACATTTCATCTGCTTTAGTATAGGGAAAGTTGTTGGGTTTAGGTTAGGTTACCCGGAGGACCACGTGAAAATCTCATAATAAAGAAAAGCTCGCGCTATTTGGCTAAATTCAGCTCGAAATCCCGAGGAGTGTCCGAAGCAGGAAAGGGTCGAGTCAAAGAGCGGAGACCAAGTGTAGAGTCACAGAGAAGAGTGTTCGAAGCAGGATCTGGCATCTCGATTAGTTATTGATTTACGGCAGCGTCGAGTATTGAGAGATGATGAGATCAAAAAAATCTACTTCGAGGAAAAATAAGAAGAAGATAGGCAAGCAGCACAAGATGTGCATGATGTGCTGCACATTAGATTTGGAACCAGATTGTCCCAGATTTGCACCCATACTCTATTCTATACTTTTAATCCGCTAGTAGTAATTTTCTTTGCAACTTTCTTCTTCTTCATCTTCTTCCCATTCTTATTCTTCTTCTTGTTTTTCTTTCCCTTTTTCGAGAGGGTGTACAAGAATTGCAAAACATCCTACATCAAAATTTGCACCCAACCGTATATTCTGTATATTTGAGTCGGACTATTCTATTTTATGTACAATTGTAACTTTTAATATAGTGGTAGCCTTATTTAGCAGCTTCTTCATCGTCTTCATCGTCTTCTCCTCCATCCTTAACGTTCCATTGGCAGCTCACATCCCAACGAGAGCCCTTGGCATTGATGCTAACGTACTTGACGAACTTCAATACTGTAGGATCTCTGAGCATCAAACTTAGTGTGTTCCATTTACAGTGACTGGTATATAACACACTGTCATCATTTGGTCCACTGGCCTTGTATATTGCAGGGTCATCTTCATCGTCTTCGTTTTCTCCCTCATCATCGCTATCGCTACCAGAGGTGGCCATGCACAACTCGTAACCCCCAAACTCACCCGATTCCCAGTTTTTCTTGTTTATGGCAGTCGGGGTCAAATTTAAAGTGGCCTCAAGCAAAACATTCAACTCTTCGTCATTTCTGGCTATTTTTTTATCGGTGGTAGTCGCTAAAATGAAATCTTGTCCTGGACGGAACCTTCTTACAAGAATTTGCTCGGAAGTTGCAATAAGATCTGTGACTACACGCAACCATTTCCTGAAAGCTTTAGACGACAACAATGTACCAATTTCGAGCAATTTCTTGTCAGCATCTTCCTTAGCAAGCAATGGGTTGTTAAAGTTTGGTTTTTCAACCAGCTTGTTGGCTTTCTGGATGGAAGCGTCCGTCATACTAAATGTCAATTCTTTTCCATCAATATACATGTATCTTTGCTTGTGTGGTGGTATGGCACATTTCCAAGGCGTACTTATTTCACTGGCCGTTTTAGGTTGTCCCTTTTCCAACTCTTCCGTCTTCAAAAGAGTCCTAAGCAGCTCGGCATACTCCTCTTTCAATATGTTATTGATTTCTACGATGGATTCCTCAGAAAACAGGACATTAAGCTTGGAAAGATTCTCTTTATGGAGGTACAACGGGTTAATGTACTTGGAAAGGTATTTTAAAGTCTCGCCGTCCAATTCCCCTGCAAATTCTTCATCTTGTTCTGCTTGATGTATGTTTTCCCTCGTAGGTTTGGGGAAATCAAATTCTTGTAACTCTTTACTCTGCAACTGTTGCAATGTACTTCTTGCTTCAGTCTCTGCTTGCTCCCCTTCAATAAAACCGTCTTCGCCAGGTTGAGGGATATGAAACCAGCCTTGAATAGACAATCTCTGCCTATCAACCCTTACTTCTTCTACATCATGGAAAGATAAACCAGGTTGTACCGTGAAGAAAGCAATCTGGTTGAATTGTGGTACCAATTTACAGTGGAAGTCAGTATCGGGGACGTTTGGTACAATCGATGGGAAGAGTCTTAAGGCTCCCCCATATTGTGGCTTCCATGTCTTGTTAGGCTCAGGCAAATATAAAATGAATGAGACTCTTCTGGACCCAATCACATCGTCGTGTGTCAATAAATGACAGCCCTTGTTGTAAGTATTGATAGACATATCGGTCTTTACACCACTGAGCTTCCCACAGCCGGTGATTTTGGAAATGGCATCTCTAAACTGCTCAGAATATATACCACTACGTAATTTATACAAGCTGGGCAAGCGACTCAAGTCGTCCCAATTCAAGCCTGATAGATTAGCCAAATCTCCCAGCTGGAACACTTTATAGATATCGGTTTCTTTCTTTGTAAAAGCGATCTCGCTGAGAACTTCCTTCCGCACTTGACGCAACAAGGTATCGTCCATCAACTCCGTTATGGTCCCCCAGCGATATGGCTGCGACTCGGCTACTGATCGCTGTAAGTCAGATTGGAAATCGCTTGACCAAATCTTGGAATTGAAAAATTGCTTGACATCTTCTTTAGCAAATGATCCGTTCAATTTTTTGGCTTCTGCCTCATCTTCATGGATAACTCTCTTGCTCATGACCGTTGGATACCTGAAATGAAAGAAGTCTCTGGCTTGACCTCCAGGTAAACCACTTCTGAAAAATGGAGTGATTCTGCTTCAAGCATAAACACCAGTCTCATCTCGGTACTGCATGTAGGTCACATATACGAGCTCTGCTCATGTGGTTCTGGCATCAGCTGAAGAGCCAGAGGTGGAATGGAAGAGACCTGGTCGTATGGGGTCCTGGGAGTGCAAGACGGCCGGAGCTTTAGTGATGGCTCTCGTTCACTGAACAGCTGATTTGCGTCCTCTAACACGATTTCCATCCTACCTAGCCAATTCTATGTGCTACACATAGTTCGCTGTTGCACCAAGAGAGTCATGGTCTATTTAATTCCTGCATATAGTTTATCTATCGCCTGTAAGCACATCTGTCTGTCTGTCTATCTGCCTCACTATGGCACAGCTACAGTACCATACACCATTCCTCTTTTCTGAGGTTTTTCAGGTTCAGTGGAGCGTGGGTGTGACTAGCAGCTGCGAGTAGTCGCTGTCCAGATATCGCTACCAGCTATCGTTTTCAGCTGGCGTGTCCATAGGGCGTTCATCTGGTCCCCCAACCCAACGCACAGTAGACAGGTCTCGTGCATCTTTTTTCTCTCCGTAACCGGAGCGGCTAGCTACGTCAGTCGCAGAAGGTGTGGTAAACACCTAACAGACAGAGGGTTCGTCCCACCCTCTCTTATTCCCTCGCCTCTGACAATACCCTTACTGCTCCCATCCTGAACCTCACTGCCACCCTCTCACCCTGGGACTACTTGGCTGCAAATGTACCCTCCCTCCGTATAAAAAGAAACTTCTTCTATGCGTCGCTGCATGTAATCATAATCTTGCAGCATCATAACACGTGACCGCACGTTGACTCATTCAGAAATTTTTCAGGCTTGATCCACCCACCAAGTAACGTCTCCAGTTCTTTTAAAGATCACCGTTCAGGCACTTTTATATACTTGTTTGGCAGAAATAGCAGTAGATTATTTTTGCAAAGCTTAATTTTTACCATTATCCAGCGAAATCGGCAATTTCAAATATACACATATAATATATAGCCAGTCACATCCTTATCAATATGTCCCTCGCTAACCTGTACTCCTCAATCGTTGATCTTCAGAATGCCTCCAAGACTTGGATAGTTCAAAAGTTCGGTGGTACTTCCGTTGGTAAGTTCCCAGAGAACATAGTGGACGATATAGTTCAAGTGAATAGTAAAAACAACCGTGTTGCAGTGGTGTGTTCCGCTAGATCATCCCACACCAAGAGTGAAGGTACTACCACAAGGCTCATCAGAGCTGCCGATTTGGCAATAGAAGATGGTGACTACAAGTCTTTATTATCAGTTATCGAAAAGGATCACATTGACAACGCCCGCTTGAAGATCCAGGACTCCCAAATCCAGGAAAAGTTGGTTGCTGATACCGTAGCTGAGTTAAGAAGAGCTGACGAGTTGTTAAAGGCATGCCAGGTCATTGGAGAGATTAGTGCAAGAACTTCTGACTTGATCATGTCCATCGGTGAGAAGTTGTCTTGTTTGTTCATGGCTGCATTGATGAACGATAGAGGTGCCAAGGCTGTATACATAGATCTCAGTGAGGTTATTCCCTTGGACTATGACTTCACCAATGGGTTCAATGACAAGTTCTACTCTTTCTTATCTAAGGAGCTCGCCTCCAAGGTATTGCAGTTGGAAGACGAAGATGTCATCCCTGTGTTGACTGGTTACTTTGGTACTGTCCCAGGTGGTCTTCTTAACGGTGTCGGAAGAGGTTACACCGATTTGTGCGCAGCATTGGTTGCTGTTGGCACTCAGGCGGAGGAGTTACAAATCTGGAAAGAAGTCGACGGTATCTTCACAGCAGATCCTAGAAAGGTGCCTAATGCCAGACTCTTGGAAAGTGTCACTCCCGAAGAAGCTGCTGAATTGACCTACTACGGCCTGGAGGTTATCCACCCATTCACCATGGAACAAGTCATCAAGGCTAAGATCCCAATCAGAATAAAGAACGTTATAAATCCAAAGGGTTGTGGAACCATCATCTACCCAGACAACGTTGGAAGAAGAGGTGAAGACACCCCACCACACCCACCAGTGGCATACGAGACATTGTCTCAACAGTATATCACTTCGCATAAGAAGCGTTCTGCTACAGCCATCACTGCCAAGCAGGACATTGTCGTCATCTCTGTGCATTCCAACAAAAAGACATTGTCCCACGGGTTCCTTGCACATCTCTTCACCACGTTGGACAACTTTAAGTTGGTTGTCGACTTAATATCCACATCTGAAGTGCACGTTTCCATGGCACTTCTGGTCCAGGCTGACCAAGAAAGAAGCTTGAAGAACGCAATCAAGGAACTACAGAAAATGGGAACAGTTGAACTCACTCGTAACATGACCATTATCTCCCTTGTTGGGAAGCAGATGGTGAATTTCATTGGCATCGCAGGAAACATGTTCAAAGTGTTGGCAGATGAGAAGATAAATATAGAAATGATCAGTCAGGGTGCTAATGAGATCAACATCTCTGCTGTTATTAACGAGAAGGACACGTTAAGAGCTTTGAAATCGATCCATGCCAAGTTATTAGAAGGTAAATATGAACTCGAGGAAACCCAAAGCGCCATCGACCTCAGGTTAGAAGCATTAAAGCTTCAATAAGCATCGTATAATTATATATATTTGTATATAGGTAAAGCAAGAGGAGAAGAAGAAGTAATAAAAGAAGATACTAATTAGTTACTAGCTTTCTTGTACTGAGCAGCTTCAAAGCCTCTTGTAGCTATGTAGTTAACCAAGTAAGCAAATCGTTAGAAGGGGAATTGTTCTGTGGTTTCTACACCAAATACCTTCCTGTGTTTCTCGTACATTAATGGCCTAGATATCAAAATCTCCCGAATCTTTGCCTGATGTGTGGCTGCTACCCTTCTCTTCCACTAATTCTTCGAAATCCTTTGTCAATCCGGTTAAAAGTTCCAGTGCTAACTTGTGGTATGCCAATTGAGCCTTGGCCAACTCTAAGAATTCTTCTAATGGCTTTGCGTTATCCAACACATTCTGCATGATGTTGATAGCATCCTCCACGGTGTTGGCAAATTCGTCTTCAGTGTTTTCCATCACCACTCTTAATTGTGGTTCCTTCGCCGGATTCAGGCAATTGGTTAAGCTAAGTCTTGCCAAGTCATAGTCAATTCTCTTTTGCTCGACTTTCTTTTGTATAGAGTTGGATTGCAGAATCAACTGTCTTAAAGTGGATGTTAATGGGGTGTTGAATTTAGCCTTAATCAACTGATCTTGGCCCAAACGAGCGTTGGCAATTTTGTTCAAATTGGAGGAATACAAATCAAGGCACTTGATGAGTGGATCCTCGTCGTTATCATTCTTGGACGAGGAAGTTAAAATTGACCCGTCGGTAGCCCTTGCCAATGCATGGTAGAATGTCTTTGGCGGCTTGAATTGTCCGTCAGGAGTAACCAACGCCGCTTGGGCTTCTGCTGGAGTGGTGGCCTTGGACAAGTTGCTAACCCTGTTGGTGATATTCTTTCCAAATTCATTGAACAGTTCTTGCATATTGATTGGATAGTCATAGCCCTCGTTCTCGTAGTTGACAGTGATCTTTAAAACATTCTTGTACAACTTTTCGATGTTGTTGCACTTGGCTGCTAGCTCCAAGTATTCGCTTGGTAATTGGGAGATTTCGTCGGCATTCACCTTACCTATCTTCTCTTGAACCAATCTTGAGGTTCTTTGTGCGAGGGGTAACACCTCATTGCTGAATTCATTGCTTATTTTGTCTCCAAATGACTTTAAATCTTTGGTGAAATTTGAGAAGTTGAAAGCCATCGTAAATGTGATCTACAATTATATGTTCTGCTATATATAAACTCCAACCTTACGAAAGAAAATCTAAAAAGAGCCAACCTGCTAGTACTAAAACTTGATTCACTTCAGTTGTAATTTTGACTTGTGAACGCGCGGTTCGTTTTGCAGGGGGCGAGTAGCCGCCAGCTCGCCAAAAGAGACGGGGGCACTGTCAGACGGTAGGATATGATCACGTGAGAGAATAAGGTGAAAGGAGGGTGCAGGTTGGTTGGCGTAGAGCCCCGGCAGTTTGTTTGGTTCTGAACCCGTTAGGCTCTTGACCTTGCTAAGGATGAAATTGTACTGGTAGGATAACAGAGTAACGAAGTGTAGAGTTCGTCAAGGCTCGCTGATGTTCGTTTGTTCGCTGTGTTCTGTTGCTCGTAAACCTACATACATTTTCTAGGTTCCCCTATCTGCGTGCATATCTGTCCTGTATGTTTAGTTCCAAAAGTAGTAGAGTGCATGGAACTACCCATATGGTTGCAATTTTTCTTCTTTTATGGTGCTTGGCTCTACATCATCTTTTATGTTACAGCTATTTTGACATTGTCAATTAAAAAATTTTAATAGTTATAAGTTCATATCCACTTTAGGGTTTCCATCCTTAGGTGTGTTTTATTGTTTAATATTCTAGTCCCTTAGCGAAAAAGTCCTCAACTGCATCAACAAATCTCTTACCAGCTTCGATGATTTCCTGGTCGTTGTTTGCAGGTGCAAAGGTAAGTCTATAGAAGGTAGCCCTTTCTTCACTAAACTTCCTATCGACCGCCATGTTAGCTCCAAGGACAACTCCAACACCGAAATTTTGGAACTTAAAGTTCAATAATTGCAACTTGGCTTGAGCGTCAACCCCTTCAGGAAACTTGATAAAGACACTGGCAAACATACCAGCAGTTGGATCAATAACCCCTAAGTAGCCCTTCTTGTATGCTTCAGATTCAAATAATTGGTTTAAAAGCAAATCTCTTCTGTGAGAGTATGTTACTCTCATTTTCAAAATCCATTGCAACCATCCGTCAACTCCGCCAAATTTCTTTGCAATCACATTTTGCACAATTAATTGTGAAGTTCCCAGTGATGATCTGGTAACAACGTTAGAGTAGTTCTCTATAACTTTCGTGAATCTCTTGTGCGCAACAATGAAACCCAATCTTAAGCCTGGCGCAAATAACTTCGAAAAGGTTTCAATTCTCAACACTCTACCACTCGTATCAATTGTAAGGTAAGATGGAGTGATATGGTTTGCAATATAGTCGTCAACTTCCAAGAAATCATTGAGTTTGAACGTATTGGCAGGCTTTTGCCATGGTTGTAAAGATAAGTACCCATATGGATCGTCTTCAATAATGGCAAAATCGTACTTTTCAGCTAATGCATAAACCTTCTTACGAGTTTCCACAGATTGAGTAGTACCTGTTGGGTTCTGTCCCGTAGGGATCACATAAAGTGCCTTTGGCAGAGGTAAACCGGGCTTCTCGGTTTTCCAATTTTCTAATAAATTAGTCAAGTAATCTAAGTCCAAACCCAATTCCTTCCCACTTTCTTGATCCAAATTCAACTTAATTGGAACCGGAATACCACCACTGTTTTCAATATTCTTTAAGAAGGGCACGAATGTGAATTCTTCAAGTAAAATGACATCACCAGGATCAAGTAAGGCATCTGCAACTTTATTCAAACCATCACCTGCACCGTTGGTAATTATAGTACCCCAGCCTTCATATGCGGGTTTATGAACCCTGGTAATGAAGTCCTCGGTAAACTGAAGCAATGGAGAAAGACCTGCAACCGGTCCATATTGCAATGCTGTGGTAATATCAAGATACTTTGAATCATCTACCTTGTTGATAGTGACAGTATTCTTGCCTGTAGTAGACTTTTCGTCTGGAAAAAACGATTCCACACTAGCATTAGTGATTGGAATGGATAAGCTCTTTTGGAAAGGGTACTCCACCAAGTTCACATCAATCAGGTCAATTGGGAAAAATCCAGCATTGGGCATCCCCCAATGTAACGCCAATGGCTTAGGATGGGGCTTGAACCCTGGAGGAGCTCCTTCGGTTCCGGAACTTGAAAAATGTGTAAAAGTTCTTGCATCTGCTCTTTTCGAGACAAGATTCTCGTGTTTGAATCCGCTATCTTTGGTCATAGTAAAAATTTTTAATTACAAAAAAATTGGAAGACCGTGAATCGCTAAACTAATTTCTTATGATTATTTCTAGATAAACTTTATATCTAAGTCTACTAACTGAGTGATAAGCAATGCTAATAGAACAGACAGACCAGTTCAAAAAAAAAGTTTTTAAAGGATCTAAAGAAGAAGAAAAAAAAAGGTTTACAAGACTTCACTAAACACGAAATTAGCCTCTGTCTTTATACCTTTTGCTTTCGATCTCATTTCATTGTATCATAGCTTATACCCAGTGCTTATCGATATTTGTAATCAGATTAGGAAAAAGCGCGGGTTATGTGGCATGTGGATACATGGGTGCCGCACAAAAGTATGGACTATAAACGAGTGCATTGGAGTGCTGCATTGGAGTTTACTTAATTTAATGAACTCTGCTTGGAAGAACCGAGATCAGCGCCACTCGAGGTAAGTCAGTCGGACATCTAAAACATGGATCAAATAAATAAAAAAGATTGGAGAATGCCTACATTCTACTTAAAATTGAACGTCTATCGAACTTGATTGTGGATTATTCTCTCTTATCAACCTACCTCACCCTGCATGTTAACCATGCCAATGGCTAATATTATCGCAGTGTAGACATTTAGTCATTTTTATACTTTCTGGGGAATCAAATGCCACAGCTCTAGTTTTTGAACCACCGTCGTTTAGAGTAGATTGAAAATTTCAGTATACTACAACTTTCGTTCTGATCTAACAAGGTCACACAGTCGAATGTTTAACTTCCTATGTAGTGAGACTCTTGTAGGGTTTCCAATTCCACAATTCCAAACTTCGCATTCATCAAGTACGAATCGGGGAAAAATCCCCATGCTCTTATCTTCAAAACACATTTACCTACTCTTTGACTCACAACGGAGCAGCACTTTTTAAATAGAACAAAAGCTAACGAATTTTACCTCTTACGAATGTTACAATTTGAATATTTCAGAGATATTTTCTAATTAACTCTCTTTATATATGAATACTTCCAAGCTCTTCTGCTGAGGTCCAGTAGCTCGTCTTTCAGAAAGTTTGAAGAATAAGCTTACTAGTAGATTCATCTTACCTAATTATTTCATTTGAACTGCAAATTTTACTCTCGTTACTTTCTACCAAATATTTAGCCTTAACGTCTTGGATTCTTCTTCTTTCACCAACCTGCACTTCTTCTTTTCTTGTATTCTTCCTTCTGCGGCGGTTTGGGTGAAAAATAATGCACATTGATACGACTCTGTGCTTCAAAATACCCCACAGTGTTGCTTAAATCATGTCATCGTCGTTGTCGTCTAAATAGTTAGCATATTGACACCCTTTGTATTCGTCTATAGTTCCTAATATTGACTCTTTACATTCATTGAATATTTCCATGATTCTACCCCTCTCTTCATTACTATTGTTCTCCGTATAGTAGTTGATGTAAGCCTCTCTTTTGGCCAAGAGGTCATACTGTCGTAAGATCTTAGCGAAAACTGTAGCTATAGAAGTATTGTTGGAAATTTGTATACCAGCAAATTTAGGGTCTTTGCGGCATCCCTTGTTACCTAATATGACACTGACAGAGTTGGCAGTCCATGGCACAAACTCTAGCCTAGACTGCGATTTTAATATGCCTTTATTTATCTCGCTATTGTTGTTGCTGTTGTACTTTCCTCCGGGTATAAGGTAATCTATAACAGAAATGTATTTCGGTTTCTCTATACCTTCGACTCTGTTCATCTTATACTTATCATTCAACAATTCTAATAAGTTGTCATGTTCATTCATAGAACTTGCCGAGGGTGCTAATGAAGAAGTAATAAATTTCAAATCTGGGGTTGGTACCAATGTAGACATGATCGATTCATAGCTTGAATACATATAACTAGGGAATCTCAATGGATTCAGCACACTTGCCAGAACGAAGGAAATTAATTTGTTGGTACCCTCAAAAGCCAGAGTCTCCTTCATCCCATACAATGTATTCTCAATACTGTTTAGTGAATCATTATCAAAAACAAATGTCCCATTGCTGAAGTCTATCAATCTTTTCAAAGTTAATACGGTATTGTACGGTTGCACTACCACATCAGAGGTTCTCTCATTGGATGGGAATACCGAAAAGGTCGTAATTATCTTTTTCCCAAACCTATCGTTGAGCAATTCAAGCAAAAGTGAACCAACTCCGGAACCTGTTCCACCAGCGACAGAGTGAAATATTTGGAAAGTTGACAAGTTATCACATTTATCCACCTCTCTATCTATTAAGTCAATCAATTCATCTTGATTGGAGAGACCATATGAATAACCTTGTTGCCAATTGTTGGCCGCACCGTTCCCCTGTTCGCTAAGATGAACATTTCTGGGGTTGAACATTGGCATTTTGTTCATTGATTTAGAGATCACTGAAGGCTCCAAGTCAATCAAAATAGACCTAGGGATATACCTGTTCGTTTCAGAGACGGTGAAAAATAAATCTGGACGACCATGTTCTAATCTCAGCAGTGGTGTAGACGGCAGAGCTTCCTTAGTTCCATCTGGTAGTATGCCATGCTCTTGAGTCAATTCGTTCCAGTACTCTAACCCAACTTGGTTACCACATTGGCCAGTTTGCAACGTTATCACTTCGCTGAAAAGATGTTAGTAAAATAGAAAATAAATCAAGAGACCACGCCAAACAAAAATGGTATCTTCCCTACACGTAAGAGGACTTCTTGGTCACTGAAGTTCACCGAGCATCATGAGGAGTCCTTAAGCATTAAGTACATCTCAGAAATGACTCCTCACAGATTCATCGAAAATCATGCAAATTTGAACCTGGAAATTGGACACAGCCTCTATTAGTACATCTACACTTACCCTGGCATGTTATTACTATCTAATTCCTTCTGTAGAGGGGTCTTAACTATGCCTTAAACCACTTCCTTTAGTTTCCTAGTTTTGTAAACAAACAAAAATTCGCTATACAAAAATTCGCGTAAATATTTCGCTAGATATTGAATTTCCCAAAATGGATAGGTCACATGTTCAAAGAGAGATGAGCTTAGCAAAGTGGTACTGATGCAAGCGTAGAGTGTGCCAAATATATATGAATTGCTTTGTTTAATGAGTGTAGGAGCGGAGATTGATGAATAGGATTCTCAATGAGCAAAAATATAAAAAGATATGGACGAGACCGGAATCGAACCGGTGACCTTTTGCTTGCAAGGCAAACGCGCTACCAACTACGCCACACGCCCTATTAATCTCTTGAATAAAGAGTTTCTCTACTAGTTCAAAATGGGTATCGTCTGGGGACATCCCGTAAAAGCGGTCAGTGAAACTAGTTTTCCTCTACGAGAGTAATGGAGTATCTTCAAGAGCCTCTGCAACTCATCATTGTGGCACCCTGGTTCTTGGATTTTGGAATGCGGCAGCTTTGCTTTGGAGTTAATTGCTGTAACCCTGCGATCCTAAGGTACATTGCAGCTAGCACCTGCAAGCAAGCTTTGTTTGTGAAAGCGTCCCTGTAGGCTCCCGATAGTCACACCATATTCAATCAACCTACTACAGATCCAGAGTATCATGGGTTTCTAGGTGCAAAAATATAAAAAGAAATGGACGAGACCGGAATCGAACCGGTGACCTTTTGCTTGCAAGGCAAACGCGCTACCAACTACGCCACACGCCCGTTTATTTTTCTTTAAAAAGCCGCTCTTTTTCAATATGGGTTGCTGTATCACGGCAAGGTCAAGTAAGTGGCATACACAGCTTAGAAGTTTGAATGGAAAGAGACCAGAGGAGAGGACATGACGGAAGAAGTACTATATCATGGCGCTACGATGAGATTTTGAGGCAAGGGTTATCTGCAGAAGGACAAGACTTTTATGACCATAAAGACCCATGCTCGAGACGTATGTGATGCTCGAGGTAATAAGGAGTAGCTTTTCCCCAAAGAAATCTTGAGTCTAAGTTGATCAAGCGAGACCTTAGTAGCCGCGTGGTTTTTACTAAATAGAGCTGTTTCTGTGACGTCTCTAAAAAAAGGACTGCATTGACTTTACCAAACACTTCAGGCAACACATGTCGAAATGAGGTTCAATATCTTACTGAAACTGAAGATGGCTCCGCTTTAAAAGGAAATTAGTGCAGCCACGGGGTCTCTGACCTTAAACTATTCTAGGAAATGGAAACACAATCACATATGAAGTCTTGCCCTAATTGTATTATCAGGTTCTTTCCTCTATTCAGTAATTTGAATCTCCACATTTCGAATTTGAGTGAAAAAAAAAAAAAAATAATAAATTTCCTTTTTGAGAAGTTTCAATGCATGCTGCATTTTGCTGCATAGACATTTGTAAAATTGTCTAAAGTGAATAGGTATACCAGGATATGTCTACAATTTACAAGATAGTGTATTAATTAATAATCATATATTGAGAGTCACTGCTATTTCTTGAAAGTATTTCAAATTCACTTTCTTTTCTCTTTTCTTTCTGTTGCATTTCACATTGCTGCCAGCAGCTAAAGTCATTAAAGTACTTCTGTTTGGGCTAAGGAATATATTCAAATGAAGAAAAGTAATAAGGTATCATGAAATAAAGTCAAAATCATTTTGAACCAGATGACTTAATATAATAAGGTATGAGCATGAACAAACGTGTAAATATTTTTATAGTTTTTAGTTGTTAAATTTTTAATTTTTTGGCCTTCTAGTAATACTGTAACAAATGATAATAGTAATAATGAAGTTAATGATAAATCGCTGCGGGACTATTATTAACTCTTATATCGTTATTATAATTCGCTTAGTAGTTATAAGATCTTCTTCTTCTCTTACAAGATGATCCACCGGAACCTGCAGTAGTAGTAGTGGTACTCTTTGTGGTTGTGGCAACGTTACCAGACTTGGTAGCAGATGAAACAAGAGATGAACCACCACAGTTTCCGAAGGCAGCAGCCAAAGCATTAACAGCAACAGTCTTTAAAGTGTCGATGGTGAAGAATTGCTTGAACAAGTCAACAACAATTCCGGAGTCTTCCAAAGCGGTAACTAATTCACCAAGAGTGATAGCACCTGAGGAGAATAATTGCTTAATTAAGTCAGCACCCCAAGAGATGAATCCCTTATCAGTAATCAAAGACTTAACAACAGATGTAGCTAAACCAGATTCTTTCAAAGATTCCAATAATTGAATGACTATTCCATCTGGGTCAAGAGTACTGGAAGGTATGGCTCTTCTTTCAAGTTGTTCTTGAGTTGGGGTTGGGAGTGCAAGTAAATCCTTCTTCTTTAATCCGACCTTTCCTAAAAGTGTACTAATGAAGTTAGAGATATATGATTCAGCCAATTGGAAAATTTCTTGGTAGAAACTACAGTCACTGATTAAATCTTGAATAACACCTGCAGCTAATCCGGATTGGTCCAAAGCTTCTAACAAGGTAGTCAAGTTAACTAAACCAGATTTAACAATTGCAACAACAGCCTTAGTAACGATTGGTCCCAAGGTTGGGTCAGTAACCAAACCTGAGATAATCTTTGGGGCTAAACCAGTAGTACTAATGTATGATAAGATTTCAGTAACAATGGCGTAGTCTCTTGCTTCCAATTCTTCGTAGGTCATCAAGTCTCTCTTTGCTGCAAACTCATTAATGTTGGCAATAAGGACTTCTCCACTATGGATTTCTCTCTTGGAGAGACCTTGTTCGGAAACGGTGGCTGGAGCAGCAGCAACCTGAGTTGCAAGGGCAACGACGATGGCTGCAGAGACAGATGTAGAGAGCTTCATTGATACTTTTATGAATAAGGGTTGAAAACGAAGGAGTTTATTAAAACTTTGCTGATATTAAAATGAAAAGAAAGAAATAAAAATAATCTGCAATATAGAAAGAAATTGGAATGGCTTATATACATAAAGTTGATGTATCTAAGTTTATAACTTTTAACCCAATTTAGTTATACCTCACCTTGACCATTAGACAATTCGCACCCAATTTGAATATTCGCATAGTAGACTGTTATGAGCCCTTCTTCACTTATTCCTCAATTTGGAAGTTCTGAGTACTTAGTGTTGAACATTTACGAAATTGGAAAATTTTGGACTTCCGCATTGGGAAATCTCAGGACGGTTGCAAAAAATCAGTCGAATATTTGAGGAGAAATTTTGTATTGCAATATACCATTAGAAGTAAGAAGCCACTAATTATAGATACATGGGGCGATCTAGGTAAGCCTATACAGATATTTTCGTCGTAAAAGTTGTAACCTTGTTTACAGTTCCAAGATAAATTATCTCTCGATTAGGAATTGAATGGGCTAAAGGAATACATATGTTTCACTTTTTACAAGTCCATATGCTGTTTCCTTCGAGAACGCAAACTTATGAAATTGTAAGGAGAAATAGCTTGTGAAGGTGCAAGGTTTGATTAAGTTAATGAGGCACGAGTTAAAGAACAACATTTCCGTAAGAAGGTGAGTGTGCAATCCCAAGGGTGTTAATTATTTTAAAAAAAAAACAAAGCCTGCTGGGACAGCCCTGCTACAAAAGCGACTCCACTGGTCAGTATTGTTTGCACCGCCTATCCAGCTCCCATGCATAGCACTATTTCTTCACTACCATTGTACAGAGATGTGGGATTTGACGATGTTTTACTCAACTTACTTTTATCTTACCTAAAATGGATGTCGTGGGTGTTAATGAATCTAATTTGGAAATATGCAATTATCATAAGTAAAGAAAATTTAAAGTTTGCTGCAGGGGTACCAATTTTCACAGGATGAAGGAGATTTAATTCAGGTCCCCTCGACTTACAAAAATTCCTTCTACTGGAAGCAGGCTTCCCAAGGTCAATTGCCCTACATTCTACAAAGTAAAAGCCTGATTTGGAATAGAAATTAAGAAGAAGAAGAAGAAAAACTAAAAGAAGAAAAATACATAGAGAAAAACAAATGGATTACATCTTGTTGAACACACTATATGATTCAAGAGATGGTGTCTGTAGTTTTATCCTCCGTTCAATCTTTAAATAATCCACCTTAAGAAGCATTTTGGATAAGTAGACGCTGATAATTAAGCAGCCATTGTGTTGTAGCAGCATTTTGAGCTTGGAATAGTCTGCAACTTCGGTAAGATCTTCTTTTAGGGGCTCAAATCAAAGCCATACCCAAACGAAGATTGTCATACATTCGAAATAATATTTTTCAATGCAGAACACTCACTGTGAATTGAACTGACACTGCTACCTCTCAGCAGTTGACAACGTCGCTGACCGAGATTCTTCTTACAATGACATATAATAAGATTATTTTTCTCTTGTAACTGGGTATCTGTTGTAGTCCGCTGGTGAACAATACTAGTTTGTGAAGTAAAGCTCCAATTCTCTGAGACAACAATCAGACAATCCCATTTTAGCAAGGTAGTGCATTTGGTAATAACCAAAAAAATGTAAATTCTCTCAGGTAGTAACTTTAAACAAAGAATATTTTTCATGTATGGAAACCAGAAAATGTTAAAAAATACTGTTGGTGCACACTATGAGTTTTAGGTTAAAGTGGGTTAATCGACCCCTTTACGCTTGTTAGGCCCAGAATCTGAGGTCATTCTGCCGTTCTGGACCAGTTTTAAAGAGCTTCTTGAAAGCCAGAAGAATCTAAGGCACATTATGTACAGGGTTTATAAGAGGAGTAGAGCTTGTATATTTTCAAGACCAGTAGAGCCTAAGGCACACTCTATAATTTAAGGCACATTCTGTACAGGGTTTATAAGCTTATAAGAGGAATACAGCTTCCCATATTTTATCACGGCGTGGATCAGAGGTTTCTGCGTCTCAGTAGGATTGGAAGCTACCTAACTGTCTCTTTAACCATAGTATTTGGTTCACTAATTCAACTTCCTCTTACCCATAAGGCCCACTGAGCGAAAAGAACCCGCTGCTAATATTTTTTTCTATTTTCATACCTTCTATTTTTGTGAGACAGTTTCCGTCTGCTTGCCGGCATGTACATACACTCATACCTATATACTTATACATATATACATACCCCAGGTGTGGTATAATCTACGACTAAGCGATAGTTCCTCGCATAGAGAGGCATCACCAAAACCCCAGCCACACCATTATTCTGCAAATGTGGTAGTTTTCCTGTTATTTCATATTTGATCATTGTTTTAGCCCTACCTCCTTCCCGCCCGCCTAACCCATCACAGCAATGTGCGGATCTTCCGGCGTAACCTGAAATCTTTTATCTAAGACCCTGTACATAGATTCTCTTCTGCCTACTACAATTAAAGCTTCTGCCTTTAGTTCCGCGCATTCCTCAGCGCCTCTAACGCACCCCAGAACTGAAAATTCCATCTCTTTATCTAATTACCATTTTGATTTCATACATCTTGTGTTAGTGCACTGTCTTCACATTTATTCGTTCATTTTATTTGTATATTTCATCATCTGGTTCATTCCTTATTAGCGAGAATAAAATTGACTTGAATGCGTACTACAGTATATGTGCTTCTTGGCGCGTTGGTAGCCTTTTACTTGATTCTCTTATTCATACTAAATCAGATTCCTCAGGTTTCCGTGAAGAAGTTCGGATGGCTCTCTTTAAAGAAGATAACCATACGACTTGGATCGCAACAAATTCGAATATATAAGGTCGGAGTAAGATTTAACTTCCACAAGGACAAGAACTCGCCCTTCAGATTTTTCCACATTGAGATCAGCGGACTATCTTTAGTTGTTAACGGAATAGCTGACAAAACTGTCAAGGTTGGTGAAAAGGAACTAAAGTCACACAGTAAGGAGAATGACGTAGATCCGAAGAACCCTCTTTCTCACTTGTCATTCTCAGTTCCAAAGAAATTGATTGACAATTACTACTTTGATCGTATTTCTAATCAAATTGCTATTCATTTTTATAAGACTTCGATTGTCGATCAAAAGAAACATCAGAAATATACTACTGATTACATTCGGTTTGAAAATAAAATTGAAAAGGCTTTGGGTCAGAATAAGTTTGTCATAACACTGTTCAACGGTTTCTTGCAAGAGGATACCGACAAAGATAATCTGGTTGATTTTGATAGCCTGATAAAACTTTATCGTAATATTGAACTTACCTTATTGTGCGATACAGTGGTATCATGTAAGGTTGGCCAATTGGACAAACTTCACTTTGAGTTGAAAAACTTCCATCTTTCTCTTTCCATAGGTAAGTTGAACGTGCCGTTGGATAAGTTTAGAAATGAGGATCCACTAATACAGGAAGGAGCGGTGGACACTTCATCTTCTTCTGCTTCCTCGATAGATGAAAAGTCATCTCCTTCGATTAGAGAAAACGAAGCTTCTCCAGAGCCTAAAAAGATCATATCTAAGCTTCTGCTTCTACAGGATTTACTTGATCATTTCAATAGTGTTGATTTAAAACTAGAAGACTTCCTGGTGAACTATAAAAAGGTAAAAGTCAATATTTCCAATTTCTCCTCAAGTTTGGCAATTAAAGAAAGAGTGCCATCGAAAAAGTCGGATTTTTTCAATTTCCTGTTGAATATGGTAGACACCAAAGTACTTCATATGTCATCACCATTTGTTGAGATTCCTTCTTTCAACAACTCCTTGGACATTGATGCTCGTAGGTTGTTAGCGGCTATCGATAGAGTTAGAAAGGATCCATACACGTGTACTAAAGCTGATAACTTGGATTTGTCAATCGACAACAGATGCATGATCACCAATCCGACAATTGATTTATATTATGATCAAATTGATTTTTTGAATAAAGGTGGTGATAAGCATAAAGATGAAAAACCCAAGGAGTGCTCTTCACTTTGGTTACTTCTACATTTTTTTAGTGAAGTCACTACGAAGTTGACGGTTCTAGACCTTGATTTAAATATCCATATTCCTCCAAAGGGATTTGTTGAATTTAGGAGAAATTCCAAGGATAATAACATTCTTACGTTTCATTTATCTTCCTTTGCTCACAAATCCACTTCACGTAACTTTGCCTTAGAATCAGGTTCTATGAAAGGAGAGGCTCCAAAATTACCACCAAAGCGCTCGATTATTATCTCGCAATTATTCAAATTTAAGCATCTTCGTGCAAATGCTGTGGATAATGTAATTCAAATCAATAAAATGAATCTCATGACTTGTTATAACGTCTCCGAAGAAAATATAAGTGTCAGATTTTATATCAAGAAAATTGACTTGAAATCAGTTAATGAGGCCATCTTCCATATGATCAGAGAGATTAAGGATTGGTCGAACACTAGGTATAATAGAAAATATGAATCTTTGCAATTCAAAAAAATGGAAACAAAAATCGACAATTGCAATGTCAGTTCTGACAAGAATAACGAGAACCTAATTGTTGATTTAGATATTTTTGAAAGCATCCCAAGTGTTATTTCATCGTTTAAGATTCATATTACTTCTATAGAAGCAGATATCACATGTAAAGATGGTCTTCCATCACATGTGTTCTTGAATGAATATGACGAAAAAATTGATTTGGCTGATTTCAGGAGAGGAATAAGTTTAAAATTCCAGAATATCGAGTTTAATTTGAAGGTCCCTAAAAAAGAAATCGGAGCCTCCATTAAAGCTATTCAATGTTTCACATTGAGTGAATATGATGCAGAATACTCCCCTGAACATGACATGGGAATTAATGAAATTGCCGCAGATCTGGATTTCAGTGATGTTGCTAGTTTCGATTCCAACGTATTCAAGGGATACACTTCCGGTGGAGCAATTAAAAGCTCTTCTAACATAAATGGGCCGGAACAAAGAGCTAAAAAAGTCCTCCACATTCGTGATATTGATGTTAGTAACAAAAATGATGCACATGATGCTAACAAGCTCTTCTTAAGAATACCAGAAATAGATGGTAGAGTTACCATGTTTTTGGTTTGGTGCTCTCTTTACGCTATTCTGTTGGGTAAATATTTTGCACCCACTGTCCAAAAAGTTTGTACTAAGCAACAGATGAAAGAAGTTTCTGAGCCAGGTGGTACTGTCACAAGGAAATTAAAATTAGACATTCTTGTTGATTCAATTGCACTGATTGTCAGATTACCTAATGATGTTGACATGCTTTTGGAAGTAGATACATTGAGAGTTTCTAATTCGTTAGATACTAAGAGTGTTAGGTTTAATACCGCAAGGGCTTACGTTGTGCATCCATCTACTAAACTCTGGACAAGATTAATAGTTATCAAGAAATCGCAGGTTCTCTTGAATGGAGATTTCTCCAGTACAACTATTGAAAGTGATGGGATCAAATTAAGCATCCCTTACCAATTTATGTTCTATACAGTTATTGACAATGTCATCACATTTTTTAAAGCAATCAAGCAAATTCAACATAATTTCAAAGATTTAGTCAATGGCCGGGAGAGCTTTGAAAAGATATTCCCAACTGAGAAACCAGCTATTGTTTTTCCTAATGTTAAAGTCAAGACAAAAGGATTTTTCTTGACATTAGACAATGATCCGTTTGAAACTGAATTGGGATACATTTTTGAATTGGGTAAACTTGCAAATAAGGAAAGGCTCAAACTATCAAATGCTTTGGATAAAAAGTGTGAGCAGCTTCGAAAGGAATCTTTGGAGAGTAGAATTGAGCTAACAGAAGATACCCCGAAAGCAAAAAGTCCTCTTAGAAATGAAATTCAATTAGAAAATGTGAATGGATTGGACCCTGTTTTAGCCGATGAAGTTATAGAAGCTAAGATAAAAGAAGCTAGAGATGAATTCAATATTGGGGTTGGTAGAGGGTGGATTCAAAAGTACAAGAAGGTTCGTCAGACAAAGATTGAAAGCAAGAGGTCACAATTTAATAGATGTTGGAATGAAGCTCCAATTAATAAGACTATGTTGTCAAAATTTGACATTCTTAATTACCCTATTGGATCCAATTTATTGACTATGTGCTTTTTGGATTTAGACTTAGAGTTTGATAAGGTAGCTACCGAAATTCAGGAAAATTTGGACCAGTTTATTTTCGAGAAGGCAAAGGGGCAACCCAAGCAAAAATATTCTATCTTAATCCCGATGTTTATATCGCTAAAATGTAAGGGGTTGTACGGGTTTCTTAAAGACTACCACTTACCTTTAATTTCATTTCCCAAACATTCACAAGAAGATGCTGAGCCTACCTTTACATTGAAAGGTAATGTTGTCATTAACGAGACATTATTCAAACGCCCAGAAGAATTGAGACATATTTTTGTTCCGTTTTCCCCCGTGTTACCAAATGAAAATTACGATGACACATTTTATTCAGTTTTTATACCTCGTACTCTAACTCCAGTTAAGTTTGTGGTAGATCTTGAATGTGATATTGATACAGACAGAGCGTGTGTTCTTACCTGGTGCAAATCCTACGAGGCTGGAATTCTGGCTGCTATGTCTGCCTTGGACAATTTTACCAAACCTCAAATTGACGACAGTCCCTTGGGTTGGTGGGATAAAATGGCTTTATTGTTGCATGGTAGTTTTAAGTGTAGGGTTTCAAATGAACTTTGTCTCCATATAAAAGGATCTACTGATCCTTATGACCTAGTGGGTAAGGCATCTGGCTTGGTTTTTAGCTGGAAGAATAATGTTCTTTTGACAATTGATGGTAGCTCAGGAAAGCAAGACCAAATTTTGATGGTAACAAGTGACGATTTCTTGTTGGCGATCCCTAATTATTCAGTGAAAGAAAGTAGTTCATGGAGTATCCATCAAGAAACTTCATACTTGGGTAACGATTCTCCAATTGATTTCGAAAGTGCTGAGGCAAAAAAATATCAAAAGCGTATAATGAAATTGTCCTCTGATGCTAAAGTTAAGTGGAAGGTTGGACTTTTATTTGAAAGAAATAAAGATATTAATGATACGTTATTGTCAAGTGATCAAGAGCGAGTATCAGAGTTCAAACCCCATTATGATGTTGAAGTGACTGGACCTGCTTATAAGTATCATCCCGATTCCTATTCGGGATTCAGACTGGACTACTTACATTTTGCTATTGGAGTAGAGCTGAAGCCAATTGATAGCAGTTCAGAGAACTGCCACAATGCATTATGTTTGACTCCATTGACATTCCATTACTTTTTCCATTGGTGGGACTTAATGACTAAGTCAGTCTCTTTACCGGTAAAACAGGGTAAGTTATTTGGAATAACAGGTAAAGATAAGTCTCATGTCAAAATGGGACCTCACCTTTTCACTCTCAAATATCAACTTATTTTAGAGCCCTTGACAATTTCCCACTTCTACATGCACTCGAGTACTGAAGATTTAGATAAAAATAATAAAATTGCCTTCACGGGTTTGAAGGGTAAATTTAAGAGTTGTGCTATCGACTTGCACCAAAGAAAAGAAATTGTTCGCTATGTGAATGAAAAGTTGAATATTAATAATAAGGTATATCACCTAAAAATGAACAAAGGAGAAGTCAATATCAAAGATTCTGATATTAGAGTGGTTTCTGCAATTTTCGAAGAAAAACTGATAAGAGGTTATTTAGCAACTCAGATGGGGGCTACTCTGTCTCAATCGCTGAGTCATTTTCCTCTGGAAGTTTCGACTCTGTCACTGCTGGGAAATTATGACTTTTATGGTGCAAATTTATTTTCAAATGACTGGGTTGATACAGATGATTTTGTTGAATTAGAACAGAGAGATGTGTTATCTGCAAACCCAAGAGTTCAAATATTCCCTTTTTTCTCTTCACCTGCCTTTTCTTATGTGAGAGAGTTCTCTTTTACTAATGGAGGTAAATATCCTTTTGGAAGTGAGCTATCTCATCAGTGTGTCTTGGGACGTACGAAACCAGATGTGGTACAGCAAAATATCATCCAACAAAGGATTTCCACTTTGCTGAATGCAATAATTGGTAATGAAAAGTTATTAGAAAAGTCGGTTGACTTCCGTCAAAAAACTAGAGCTAAGAAGGAGATCAAATTATTACATGAAAAATTGGATGTGGTTAGAGCATTGCAGCAAACTTTGGAGGAAGAAGCTGAAGAAGTTACTCAAGATGAAGATGATACTTCATTGAAGTCGGGTAGCAGTGGCAAGTCACTTTCAAGAGTAAGTACTGCATTATCTTTATATACATCTCATGTGGAAGAAGAGGATATGATACATACCAGAATCCTAAATTCTGATGCATCTCACTACCATAATAGATTCATTATTCATAATATGAAGTTGCAATGGTATAACAGGTTAAGAAATGTATTTATCGATTATATTCAAAGAATAGGAGATAGAAGAAGTGAAGTCTACTTTATGAGTAAACAGGCAGTTGATTTGGTTGAAAGTATAATCAGAGATCTGAAGACTGAGGAAGACAAGCTGGATAATGAAGACATAGAAAGCAAGAAAACTGGTACTACAGTTGAGGCAGAAGAACCATTGCTTAACTCTTGTAAAAATAGTGACGATATTATGACAAGATTTGAGAAAATACTTTCTGAGACTAAAGGTGAGGAGGAAGTACAAAGGAGCTTTTTAGTGAAGCTTATCCATCCTCAAATCCAATTGATTAGTAGTAAAGAAAAGTCATCTTGTGTGCTTGTTACTGGAAGAGATTTAGAGTTGCATATTTTGTCTATTAATAAGCCTGGCATGAATGACATTATCAGTGAAAGTAGTGCTGTCGCTGGCTTAATTGAAAGCAGATACGGTGTTCTTTTCAATGACCAGCATGTATACGTTTTTAATAAGGATGATGGTAAAAAGGAAAATAACCATGACCATGATATTTTCATGGGATCAACGTTAAGCGAAGATAAAAGTTATGATCCAAATGGTAATTGGCCACCGTGGATTGATCTCGAGACCTTCTATGAGAACAGGTGGCTTGAGGACAAACTCCTTATTGAAAGGAACTCGATTGCTATGCTTTATCATAAAAAGAATCCTTTATATACTCCTGATGATGCTTCAATGGAAGTTGCAGAGTACCTGGGCGTTATTCCTACCCAAAAGCTTGCAGACACTTTAGACCTTTATTTATCTAAGGTCGTGATTAGTGCAACGCCTAAACAATATAAAGCGGTACAAACCGTCATTCAAGATCTAATTATTAAAAGTAAAACAAAAAGAGATGATAGTTTAGAGAGACTAAAAAAGGTGATGGAATTGACTGATTCTAGTGACTTTGAAGGACTTGATGAGAGGGTCATATCCTTACAAAGAAATATTAGAGAATACAGAGATATATTCTTGCAATTAGAACTGAGGGGGATCAAATTAAGTGCTCTAGAAAATCAGCAACTTGAAAATTTGGAGATTGAGCTAGAGAGAATGAAAATTGAATTGGTGGTGTTAATGAAAGGTTTGAGACTAAGAGGTAAAAGTCGCTCAAGTGAAAATGCAGTAAGCAAAATTAGAAGTATCTTTGCTGATCAAATCATTTTACACTTGTTGAAAGAAGGTAGAGAACCATTCATAGATCTTGCATTGGCAAAGCTGAAGTACACATTACATCAACATATCGATGGTGCTAATTTTAATAAACTTGAAATAATGATGATCCAAGGTTTTAATTTACAGAAAGACTCGGTTTACCCTGAGTTACTTAGACCAATGAATGAAGTTACTGAAGCTCTTTCGAATGACTCCACACCAATTATTGAGGTTACTTGGAAAATGTTGAAACCTGTTGGAGGAATAGGAATTTTGGAAAAGGCTCGATTGGCAATCCAACCATTGAAAATTGAGTTGGATTACTATACTGTCACTACCTTGATGACAATGTTATTTCCAAAATCTGAAGCTTTAGCAAATATCGATGAAAAATCTCCAAAAACGAGTAATATTGAAACAACTGTTTATGACGAAGAACTAGACGACAGTGATTCTGGCTCTCGACACAGCCTGCAATTCAGTCGCGACTCTCCTAATGGAGGTGGCTCGCCAATTGGCTCTAAGAAATCTCATAATCCATTCAAACGGTTTATTCAGAAGAGGATATCCTCGTCTCCTTCTAGTACGACACTCACTTCCGACTCTGATTCTGCTGCTCTGTCGATTATGGAAGTCCAAACTAAGGATTCTTCTGATTCATCATCGATGAGAAGTCACAATGAAAAGAAGTCAAGTAGTGGTTCTTCTTCCAGAAAATCTAAAAAAACTTTATACACTGATGATAAAGATGATATTGCACTAATTATCGAGAGAGCATCTAAGTACTTAAGTGTGGTTGATGTTGAAATAACTAAAGCTGATTTAATGATCAGCTTTAAAGCACCAAAGCATTTAAATATAATTGATGTTCATAAATTGAAGATCACCTTGCCAACATTGAATTATAGATATAAAATCTGGTCTGCAGAAGATGCTATGATCAGGCTCCGTAAAGATATCATCAAGATTGTGCTTGCACACTCAGGTAAAATTCTTGGAAACAAATTCAAGAATAGGAATAGGACGACCAGTGCTCAGCCGTTGAAGCAAATTGATGACTACAATACGTTTATGTCTGTAAAGGATTTGCAGCTGGATGGGAGATCAAGAGATTCAAATAAGTCTCCCCCAGTCCATATTCGTCCTCACTTACCCCATGCTCACCACACACTGCATACTTCAAAGGAGAGAGTTAGTAGAAGGACTTCAGAAAACATTGACCAATACTTGACAAGCATTGATTCTAATGAAAATGATGATACTGAGGAAGGAGCTGATAGAGAAGTGGAAGATGATGAAGACGATGAAGATGACGAAGATACGGAATTGAATGAAGAGAGCGATATTGAATCTGATAGTCCGGAAGCGAAATGATCATTATATTGTTTTTTTAGGTTAGTTAACCAGGAGTTATTGTAAATTCTGTATAGAAATAAAAAAAATTCATAATATGAATGTATCTCAATTATTAGCATAACTTTAGGTCTTTCTTCAAACTATGAAATGAATAAGTCAAACACATTCTGGTATTTATTTGCAAGCTCTACATGAACTCTCACGTATGTTTAACAGGAGTAGTTGCTCGACTACTTCTTGAGTCCAAAACAAGGTCCCAGGTTGAAAATTGGCTCGAAAGACCGTTCCTTTATTTTTTAGCAGTAGTCCAATTCGGCATATCTGCTGGCTAGAAATTAAAGTTTGTTGCCTAGTAATCAATTTAAGCTTAAGTTGCAGGGCGGTTATACTCAGTGAGTATTACTATCCAATAACTGCCCCTTAAACGTTATTCATATCTGCTTCATAATAAAGCGTCTAATATGAAAATCAGTCCCAATTGGAATGGTTTTCATCTTGTTTCAGACTGTCCTCCGTGGTGTCTTGGGAAGTTTAGAGTTTACTTCGCTTATATAAGCTGCATGAAAAACATGTGCACTGTAGCATTCTTCGTGCAACATAAATCTTTTGCAATAGGAATAGAAAAACTGATTTGAAATTTAATGTAATGATCCTACGATTGTACTGAGCTATTGATTGATGATTCAACGCTGCTTGTATGATTCCTAGGTTTTCTCGTATCAGAAACATCACCTTACACCATAATTAAAAGCCTAAATTACCTCAAATGCTTTTGGAAAAATTACACCTTAAAAGTATATTACCAGTAAATTTTAAGCTTCAAGAACTTTATTTGATCTCATGTTCCAACTAATCTATTGTATAGAAGTCTTATCTTGTTACGCGACTATATTTAGATTTTCCTCTTTTCTCTTCTTGCCGGATTTGTCATTGTTGCAAAGTTTATCGTCGCTTATGTAGTCTATGTGACCCTTATTTAAATGAATGAATGCCTCAGGAATTAGCGTTGTGAAGAGGAATTTTGGAAGAAGAAGTAATCATAGCTTTCTATCTATTTATCTAACTTATTTAAACTTATCCATCGAAATGAAATTTACCACACTCGCTTTATTCGCCTTATCGGTTGTTTCACCAGTAATTGCAGGTTACCACAATGAATCTATCTCCTCCAATGTAACAACTACAGCTACTTACACTTCCCTTCATGAAGAAGTAGTTACCATTACCTCGTGTCCACCAGAGGTTACTGACTGTCCATTAGGACACACTGTAACTACAGTTGTCGGGGTTGTTTACACCACTACCTACTGCCCAGCATCCACCACTCCACCATTTGTAACTCACGTTACCACCTACAAGCCAGGTTACTACACCACCTACACTTATGCCCCAACCACTGTAGCTCCAGTTACCGTTCACAGTGCAGGTGCCAATGCAAACCATAACGCAGGGGGAGTGGTAGCAGCTGGAATGTTGGCCATTGCAGCACTTTTCGTTTGAACATGCTGACTGAATGCAACTTTCAAAGTTCAAGAGTATACAAAAGACAAAAAAAAAAAAAAAAAAATTCCATACATATGCTGGCCATCTACATTATACTTTCTTCTTTTCTCCTTCTAATTTATTTTTTTCATCCTCATCTGTTGTACTTGAAGTCATATATATCTTATCAAGACATAGAATTGTAATGAGATATTATATTGCTTTTCACTAATTTCCTTCTTTCTTTTCAAGCCCAGCTTGAAATAATTTAACTAATATACGAGTATTGACTAAGTTACGTTGTAGACGGTGAAGACTGAAGCAATTAACCTCACCTCACCTACAAGTGGTTCCCTGCTTTATTTTTTAGTTGAACTTCTTCGTGTGCATACTTCGGTGCGCACCCTTGTTGCACCCATACACCTATTGCATAGATCTCAAACCTGCATCTAGAGACAGTAACGCAAAAAGAGTAGCGGGTATCTAGGGAAGAAAAGTGGTGTCAACTTAAAATACATACTCCGCCTAATTCCAGCAAGAGTAAGTGAAAAAGGCAAAATAAATAACAGTTCTATCTATTCAATTGAAAAATACAAATCTACTCTTACTTAAAGAAACCTCACTTTAAGATTCTTAGCGATAATTCGGGTACTTTCCATTCTTCTAAAGTCCGAGATTTTTAGGAATTTTTCAGATACATTTAACTATCACACAAACCCTCATTGACCCCAAGACCACCCCACGTTTTCCACTTTCCAATTCAAAGATGGCCTTCTTTGAAGCTCTTCGTGACCGTGCGGTAAACACCATAAACCAGGTTCTTGACAATAAGAAATCGGACCTTGGACTTTCCAAAGATGAAAGGTTCTGTAGGGAATATAACTTGCCAGACGGAGAAGTAATCTTAGATGAGACTGCGGCGGAAATTGGTATAAAGCACGAGAGAGTGCAACCTCAAGCACAGAGCCAGTCTCAGTCTCAGGCACATGGAAATAACAGACCTCACCTGAACCTGCTGGCTAACCAATTGGATATTCTTCCTCAAGGGCGTCTTTACTTGACTCCTCATTTCCTTGTGTTCCGCGACGCATTTGATCGTAAGGCATGCTCGTTCACTCTTCATTTGTCCACTATTAAGAAGGTTGAAAGGCTTCCGACACGTTCGTATGTGTATGCACTTTCTACAACAACCCATTCTAGACTAATAATTACATTTTACTTGGTCGGGGTCCGTCCAGAGAGTGAAAAATTTGCTCACAACCTTAAGCTCTCCCTTAGAGCAAATTTACCCAATGTGAGCAAACTCCAACCATTTATTCAAACGCTATACTCGGAATACCTTCTTTCGAAGAACAATGTTTCTTTGGAAAAGGTTGAAGAGGTGCCACCTGGTGGCTTAGGACTCAAATTTAAATTCCCTGGTAATGCCAAGGACTCCAGGGATAAGTCCAAAATGAAGCTTTGGTTTGACTTACTAAGAACTGATGGTAGAAACCTATCGGTTATTAAGACCCCAATGTTTTATAGACTTGTAAGAGTTGGTCTTCCAAATCGATTGAGGGGTGAAATATGGGAGCTTTGCTGTGGTTCCATGTACTATAGATTAGACAACCCAGATGAATACTCAAAGATATTGCAGGTTAATGAAGGGAAGCAATCTTTGGCCAAAGAAGAGATTGAGAAAGATTTAAACAGATCCTTACCTGAATACGTGGCGTATCAGCTGCCAGAAGGTATTGAGAGACTAAGAAGAGTTCTTACAGCATACTCTTGGAAAAATCCTGACGTTGGATACTGTCAAGCAATGAATATAGTTGTAGCTGCATTGTTGATCTACATGAGTGAAGAGCAAGCATTTTGGTGTCTCAACGTACTTTGTGATAGAATTGTGCCAGGTTACTATTCCAAGACTATGTACGGAACTTTGCTTGACCAAAGAGTATTTGAAAGTTTGGTTCAAGAGACTATGCCAATCTTATGGGAACATATAACCAAATATGATATCCAATTATCTGTTGTATCATTACCTTGGTTCTTGTCATTATATCTAAGCCTGATGCCCTTGGTATTCGCATTCAGAATAATTGATGTGTTTTTCCTACAAGGTCCCAAAACTTTATTTCAGGTGGCCTTAGCCATCATCAAGTTGAACGGCGAAGAGCTTTTGAAAACCGAAGATGATGGAACCTTTATCCAAATTTTAAAGAATTACTTTCAAACTTTAGATCAATCTGCTCACCCTAACTCTCCTAATGAAAAATACCGAGCCATAACTAAATTTCAAGAGCTTCTTGTGACTGCATTCAAAGAGTTTTCAGTAATTGATGAGGATGCCATAAATAAGCATAGAGCAAAGCATAGAGATACCATTTTCCAAAATATATCCACGTTTGTTAAAAGAACAGAATTGAGGAACTTACCAAAGACTGCCTTTACTCAAGAAGCATTGCTGATAATATATGATAGATTCTATTCAATGGTAGAATCTTACAACGTAACGATGGCCAGTGGTTCTTCACTCATGGATTTCAAAGCGTTTACTAAATTCATGAGTGAGATTTGTGACTGGTGTTATGCATATGAAGATGGCGACAGTGAAAAGGGTAGTGCGGGTGAATTACTGAATCCTATCGAAACTTCTTTCCTCAAACGTCTCTTCAACCATTGGGATACAGAAGACCAGGGTGCCATAACTTTATCTGATCTCGTTGTTGGACTTAACAGATTGACTGCTCCTGATTTAATGGAAAACATGGCAAATTTCTTTGAACTTTATGATCATAAAGGCAATGGAAAGATTGACAGAGAAGGAATTTTGCAAATGCTGGAAGACTTATTATACATAACCACTCCATGGAAAGAAGCGTCGTTACTAGATCTGATCACGGAAAGAGACATTGAACAGGTCATAGCAGATCAAATTGTCAAGCAAAAGAAACAGCAGGGTAGTGATACAGAGGGTGAAATAATCGTGCCTTCTGAAATAGATATAGATGATAACGAAAAGCAAAGGCTTATAAATCAACAGGTTGAAAGATATTTGTCTGGAGCTAGTACGTTCATCCAAAGAGCTTTTGAATATGCACAACCCCAGGAGGAAGAAGTTCTTCTTGAGGAGTTATCTATTACTGACAACAAGATATCGCATAATGCTGCATTGAATCCCAATGCACCAGTATATATTAACTTGCCCACTTTCAGAATGGTCGTTCTTGCAGATGAAACTTATGAATTGCTATTCAGTAAGACCTTTTCGTCTTCCATCCACGTTGATAAGCCACTAGATCTGAAATTTAAAACTATCAGAAATTTGAGAGACATGTTTGATGGCTTACTTGCTGACGGCCGTAAGGTTGCTACACAAGTTAGAAGAAGAATGGACTCGGCAGCATCTAATGCTAAGCACAACAGTGGTAATAATTCTAGTCCCGATAGCGCTTCCTTGAAATCAGCAAAGAAGGAAGAAGAAGAATACAGAGATGATGATTTTGGCGTCATTGCCATAGACGAAAAGGATAAAGATCTCCTTTTGGGAGCTGAAGCTCAAGTATTGACTGATCCAGTGAGACATAAGACTACTGGCTCTCTGAGTGATATATCAAAATTCCACAAGGCAGAAGCAGAAGCGGAAGCTGCCTCTCACTCCCCTCGTGAGACGAACTTAATTGAGTTTGAGCACGATTAAGGTACAGTGGAACAGTTCAATAGGAACGTACTCAAATTTACGACTTTAAAATTTAAGTATTTATCAATAGAAATTTATTAAATCACTTTGTATCTATACATATTACTCTCTAAAGTGTCATTTCTAATTTTTACCGAAAAGTTTTCTAAGCTTACCACCGAACTTCTTTTTCTCCTTATCGTCCGGCTTTTTTTGCAGTTTCAGCTTAGTCTTGTCTTCTCTCAAACTTATTAATCTTTCGCTTGTTTGCGAGGGTCTACTGACAGGAGATGGTAAAACACTGTTGTCTATCTCATCATCTGAATCATTGAATCTAGAATTGAACATACGATGAGACGACAGATGATTGATATTAGTGGTATTATTGTCTTTGTGACTAATAGATGCGATCGAAGTTTCTTCATCAGAGTCTAATAAACGGGACCTGAATCCGCCATTCTTTGAATTTTCAATATTTTGTGGAGAGCCAACAGTAGCACTTCCATTTTTAAGCGCATATGGATTTGGAGGCTCTGTCTTTTTATTAACCTGAGCTTGAGCTGGCTGCTGTTGTGGCTTGATTCTAGTTGGTTGCACTTGATGTGGACCACGGAGAGTTAATCTTTGCGTTGAAGCAGGAGGTGGTGCAGTCTTTCCATTACCATTAGTAACTGGTTTGCCATTATTTCCATTCCTTACTTCAGATTCTTCTCTACTGAACGACGATTTCCTTTCAATTGGTTTAAATGTGGACATTGGTCTTGCATTGGCTCTCGCATATAAGTCTGCAGCTCTAACTTTCGATGGAGACTGGTATCCTGGCTGTAAAGCTGGATGTGGCGCTATTGGTGCCACATACGACGCTGGTCTCTCCCTGAGACTTCTCCCACTCATACCAGCCGCGGCCCCGCCTCCAACTGCCTTTTGAGGGTAGTGGTGCTGATCTTGACGACCAACTCCATTTTCAACTAGAGTTGACTGTGGTCTAAGAGTCTTCGCAAACCCATTAGCTCCGTATTGTTGCTGCTGCTGCTGAGCTGGAGCTTTTCTCAAAGAAAGTCTTTTAGCCACCTGTTCTTGCTTCTGTGGAGTGTGTTGCTGTTGAGGAATAGAGTGATGCTGTTCTACCTGAAGTTGAGAAGAACTTAACTTGGAGTTTAATCTCGTATTCTCAGCCGTTGCTAATGAAAGATATGCTTGTTGAGCAGCATTTGAATTTGAGTTCGAATTTGAGCTCGATGTGATGCTTGAATTTGAATATATAGCCGAATTTTTCATCGCTGACTTCACAGGTTGCTTTAATGCTGACTTTGGGAAGCCATTGGAATCGTATGAGCCTATGGATCTTAAAGATGAAGAAGAGCTACCACCGTTACCAGAAGGCATTGGAATTTGGAGGCTCTCGTGGTCTACAATCTCAGGTGGTGGAGTTATCTGGTCATTCGTTGGTTCAATAATAACAGTGCGATCGTCAAATTTCGGACGTAAATGTTTGGCTAAAGAGGGCGACTCAGAGTCTGAATTGGAATTTGACACTTCTTCAATTCCATAGTCGTCTTCACCAATAACAATTGAGGGCTCAATGGAGTCATGGTTGTTGTCCTTCTTGTCCAATTCATCTACAACGACCTGGTGAGGGTCTACAGCGGGAGTAGTTGCTGCCACAACCTTTTCAACAGTTGTCGGGTCGAGAATATGTTCTTCGTGAGCTTCGGCTGCAGATTCAGCTTCTGATTCTGCCTCGTTAGCGGTTGCTGCAGCTTCTGCTTCTTGTTGCAATCTTAGTCTTTGTTCCTTCAATTTTGCAAACTCTTTCTTCTTTCTTTCCAATTCTTCTACTTTCTTTCTCTCCTTTTCAATTTCCAAGTCAAGGCTATCCAACTCCTTAGACTCGCTCAATCCAGTTGGACTCTCTTCCTTCATGGGTCTCAATGGACGCTTCTCAATCAAACTCGAAAGCCTAGATCCCGGGGCTCCAGTGGCTAGCTTCCCACGACTGGAAGTATTAATTTTATTGAGACTGGGAGAATTGTTCAACTTTCTCATGGATGCTGACCTCACAAAGCTGTTGTTCAGTCTGAGTGAATTGGATCTTGCAATCTCCTTTTGAAAAGATTCCTCAGGGACTTCAATGATCTGGATTCCATTGGCCGTAGGAACATACTTTTTCACCATCTTCACTACTGGGGGGGCGTTGTTCCTCTGTGGCAGTATTTGCTGTAGCTTTAAGTCATGCATACTGGCATGGTTGGAATATTCTGTGGAATCAACACTTTGTCTTCTAGCCACACTGGTGTTCCTGGAAATAGGTGGTTGATGTGTATTGTGGCTCGACGAGGCAAAGTTACTGAACGCATTTCCCGGGGAATTGGCTCCAGTCTTAGCTCCTGCGTTGCTTCCTGCCTGAGGTTTAGTTGTGATGGACGTGGAACGTTTAAGCAACGAGCTCCTGCGGCCAGTTGTCTGCTGCTGTTGCTCCAGTTGCTTAGGCGGAGGTTGCAAAGAGTACCGACGTACCAGCTGCAGCCTCGAAGCTGCAGCTCGACTGTTTTGCTCGTGAATAGGTTGCTGATGCTGGACAGCACTGATGCCGACGTTACCGTTCTCCTTCAACTTCTGGCCAATGGTCAAGGCAGCTGCCATGGCATGGTTGTCCGGCTGGTTATTAGGGCCCGCAGCGTGGTTGACCCCGGTGTACGCGGTAGTATGGGTGGTACGCGCTGCTCTTCTGTGAAACATGAGAGGATTTGCTGGGCTATGGTCTATTTAAGTTCCTGTCTCGGTGTTGATCAGGGTTTTTTGTATTTTTTTTTGAGGGGGTGCCTGAATTTTCGAAGAAGGCGTTGTTGATACTTCGAGTATTCGTGTCGTTCCCTGTTTTATCCTTCTAAAAGTCTCGTCGTACCTAGATGCTCACCGAAAAACGAGTTATACTAACACAATTGCGGTCGGCTAGTTCAATCTCTGGTTCTGGTGCAAAGAAAAGGGTGTAAGTGCCTGAAAGGACGAGAGAAACTGAAATTTAAACGAAAATCGCGCCAGCCAAGTGATGTGAAACGGGCGGCAGTAGGGAACGATTACAATTCCCATTTATAGCCTTGAGTTTTGGCCAGATACGCTAAAGGGTTAACACAGTTGCTGTGTGAAGTATGCAGGAAATTATGTACATGTTAGAGCAGGTAGACGGAGAAGAATGGGAGGGGAGGGTAGGAGCTGTGGGAGCAGAGGGAACAGTGGGAGCTGTGTCTGGGGCGATGGCGGTCGTAAGAAAAAGAGTGTTTGATTGGTAAGAAGCATGGAGAGCGGATTCATGGCAAAACAGGTGCCGTTTCTGCGTTGTTTGCCTGGTATGTTCGGTGCTTGTAGTGCCTGTTCTTCTCTATTTTTCACTCTCTTTGTTCCTCTGCTCGTCTTTTTTCTTCTGCTGCGCTCGCTCTGCAGCCCTCGCAGCGCCCGAGAGGTGGGGTCCCGATGCAGGACTATGGTATAGTCTAATTAATTAGCACGGTTCCTACATGCTTCATCCTGAGGTTCTGATTCATGATGTTACAGTACGCTTACTCTCTACAACGCAACGTGGCGCTACACAGCACAGGCTTTTGAACTCTCTCAACCTCGTGAATTCTCGTGTATTCTCGTGTATTTATCGTATTAGTTAGGCACTATGTACAGCTCCAGCAATCTCTTCTTCTCTGTTATTTTATTCTGCTCGAACAGTATTTTTTTTTTTTTATTTTATTTTTCACTTTCCAGTCATTCGGTGGTGTGCATTACCTCTTCTTTCTCTGAGGTCCGTCCCTACCTCATCTTCCCCAAGCCTATCATGTTAAACAAGTACTCTCCACTTCTCTGCCCATACCTGATGATCCCGACTCTAACAGGCCTCCAGCTTAATAGGATTCCAGCCCATATAAACCCTTGTACTAAGGGCATTATTATCTGATCTTTGAGTACTGCATATACGACGATTCCTGGAGTTACTGGGTTCAATGGGGCAGGGGCAAGGGCATCAGGGTCTCCCAGTTCAAGGGCCTGAAGTTCCTTTTCTGAAAGTCCACCGTCACTTCTCTTTCCTGCGTAGCCGTCAAGCGACCGAAGAAACGATTGCTCGAATCTGAGGTCCGGTATTGGTAGCGACATGTCGTATAAGAAGATGCTGAACCTAGTGCCCCTGCCCTCACCGAATGGAAATCTCCAGCGATTTTAATTGTGAGGAAAACCTCTTTGAGTCCTGCACATAACCCGCTAGGTGAACGTTAGGAAAAAAAAAAAGAGAGACCGAAAATTTTGAAAAATCCACAAACAAAGCTGAACGATTTCTAATCAGGCTGGAAGTTCATTCATTGTACTCAGCAGCAAGTAAACTAAAGATATTTACAGGATGGAAGTCGATCACAAGCTGGACGGACCTAGAATCACCATCAGACAGGCAGAAAGAGACAGGGTGGACTTCATAATGAAGGATGTGGACTTGTCAGTCGCCAACTCCATCCGTCGATCGATGCTTGCAGAAGTGCCCACATTGGCTATCGATTCTGTCGAAATCGAGGTCAATACGTCGGTGTTGGCAGATGAATTCATCTCGCATAGATTGGGGTTAATCCCGTTGATCAGTGAAGGGATAGATCAGTTATCTTATACCCGTGACTGTACGTGCTTGGAGTACTGTGCCAATTGCTCGGTCAAGCTTGAGTTAACTGCCAAGTGTGACACGGATCTGACCATGAACGTTTACTCCACGGACCTTGCAAAGTTTCATAACGGTTCCAAGTTGGGGGATCCTGTTGTACGCGACCACCCCCATAACAAGGGTCCACTAATCTGTAAGCTCAGAAAGCACCAGGAGCTCAGACTCACGTGTATCGCCAAGAAGGGGATCGCCAAGGAACACGCCAAGTGGTCTCCCTGTGCAGCTGTTGGGTTCGAGTACGATCCTTGGAACAAGTTGAAGCACACAGATTATTGGTACGAAGAAGATGCGGAAGCTGAATGGCCCAAGCTGGCCAACTGTGAGTGGGAAGAAGCTCCAGACCCAGATGCCAAGTTTGACTACACTGCAAAGCCAGACACCTACTACATTGATGTGGAAACGGTGGGGAATTTGCCTCCAGACGAAGTTGTTTTGAAGGGAATCGAGACCTTGCAGTTGAAGTTGGCTGGTATCTCTATGGAGCTAAACAAAGACGGTATAGAAGCCAGTGGAGCCAACGCTGGAGGTTTCACAACGTATGGAAGATCTCCAGGAGGAAATACTCCTGGCGGCAACAGCGCATATGGATCCGGAGGATTTGGAAATTCATCATGGAACTAAGAATGAGGTAGTATATGAAAAGAGAAGAAAACGATTACGTGTGGAGAAGCTGTTGGGGGCCTCTACCAAGCAGGCATTTGAGATGCCGGCAGATTTTGTGAGTGAGAGCTAAACTCGGCACGGGACGGAGAATCATCAACGGGAACATTAACAAACCAAAAACTTAAAAGAATAGATAGGAAGAAAGTAGTTCTGTACGATAATAATAAGATATTTAAAATGGAGAAAGGTTCTGTGTATGTGTGTGTATTGTTTCTCTCTATACTTGGCTGTGTATACAAGCGTTTCTACTCTAAGCTCAGGAAGAAGGACCAAGCTGGGCAGTTGTCCGACCACTGTAGAAAGGACAAAGGCGTACCCACCTTCTGCTCCCTATTGGCTCACTTCCGTGGCGCTTATGGCGACTCTCGCTCAGCTTGAATGCGCTTTGTTCCAGTCCGATACGTCTTCGAATTTCACAAGCAGCCCGCCAAAAATATCCAAAGCACTCCCGTAGGTCAAGTCCACCTTACCTTCCGACAACTGGTCAACCGTTTCCAAGTCTTGGACCAGCTTGGCGCCGCCAGCGTAGACAATATTGCCCTCAAAGCCAGCAGGACACCATTCTCCGAGCTTTCTAACCAATGCCTCGTCTATTCCATTACACAATCCCTCAACATCAGCGGCGTGGATGAGGAACTCGCTGCAGTATTTGGAAACTCTGGCAAGGAACTCCGCACTCAATACAGATTGGGTCAAGGTCTGCCATTTATTGATTGCAACCACCCATTTCTTTTCGCTGGAATCGCTTGGAACTTCTCTACAGCTTAAGTCTACTATCAACCTTGACTTACCTACGAGCTCAGATATTTTGGCGAGCTTTTCCCAGTCAAACTGTTCGTCGGTAAACAACCAACTGGTAACGATAACTTGGCGCGCCTTATACTGATCGAGCCAGAGAAGAGCGTTGCTTGCTGTTATGCCACCACCTACTTGAAGAGCGTTGGGCCAAGCGAGACACGCTTCCTTTGCAGCGTCGTCGTTGGCCTGGTTTGACCCCAACTTAATTACATGGCATCCTGTTATGTTGTGTTGCTTGTACAACTGTGCATAGTACGAGGAAGGTTTGGTGGACACAAAATTTTCTGTGGTGGTGTCGTTGTGAGAATCAACGTCGTCCTGGGTCAATGTTCCACCTACAATTTGCTTTACTTGACCAGCGTGGATATCTATACAGCCTCTAAACTTCGTCATATTCAAACGTCCGATATCCCAGTGTCTTGTGGAGAAAAACTGAGCTTTCTTTCTTTCGACCTTATCCAGTGTCAATTTTCAACTCTTCCCATTTTTCATTTTTCGTGGAGAAGCCCGGCTGGAATTTTTCAGTACCGATAGACACTTTTTTTTTTATCTTATCACCAGCGGGAAAGGGATATTTTTAAGTACATATTGTGTGTAGACCATGTCGGATGACTATATGAGACAGTTGGAGATCCAGCGGAAGAATTTTGAAGCACAGTTTGGTTCGTTGGAGACTCTTGGCTTCGAAGATAAGTCGAGAGTAAGAGATGAGGCAAGCGATGAGGAAGAGAGCGATGAGGGCGATGAGCTCAGTGGAAGCGATGAGTTCGGGAGTGAAAACGGAGACGCTGGAGATGAAAGTGAGAGCGATGGAAGCGATGAAGATGATGAAGATGATGAGACTATAGAACAAGCAGCTGCTGCGGTTGCCAAACCTGTGAAAGTGATTAAGCTTACAGATAAGTACACCTCGATGCCCAAGGCCGTACTTTCGCGTGCAGATAAAAAGCTCTTGCAATCAGGTCGAGCAGCGACGTTGGCAGAGATGTCCAAGAAACAAGACGAACTCAACAAGCTCAGCGAGAAGCAGAAGAAACAGGGAGCCAAGGAAGACGGCGACAATCTCGAAAATGACCTAAAGCTTCAAAGACTCTTACAAGAGTCGCACATCTTAGCGGACCAGCAGCAGTACTCTGGTGCGGATTTGACCTTGCAAACTTTAGACTACGAAGAACCTACCGGGAAGGCCAGACAAAGGACTTTGGACTCCAGAATCAGGTCCATTGCATCGGTGAATTCTGCAACCGGGGGTTTGCCGAAGAAATTGGAGAAAATGCCCATGTCTATGAGAAAGGGTATGGTGTCTAAGTACGAACAGAGAGTAGCCAAATACGAAGAAGATGCTAAGAATGCTGGTATAGTGTTATCCAAGACCAAAAAGGGTGAGCGCAGAAATATTCAAAGCGGGAAAGGTGCTACTTCGATAACTGATAGGATAGGATCTGGAAAGAAGTCTGATATCAGGATAAGAGACAGGGGCTTGAAGATCAGCTCGGTGGGTAGATCCACGAGAAATGGGTTGGTGATAAGCAAGGATGACATAGAGAGGATCAACAATGCAGGAAAGAGAAAGTCAGGAGGAGGAAAGAAAGGAGGAAGAAGGTGAGCCAAGGACCAAAAAAAAACAAAAACAACGAAACGAAACTAATAAAGAAGCGCACACGGAGCCCCGGTACTTAGAATGGGACTCAAGTAGAAGTAGAAGTAGAAGTAGAACGTACAGCAGTCTAATACAAGCAAAGCATAACCACCGTAGGCCCACCAGCTCCACACTCTCTTCACCAACCTAACACCCGTGCACCTCAAAGTCGTGCAGTTACCAATATGGATCCTACAATCCACGCTCACCACACGCAAAACAAACAAACAAACAAATCGAGACACAAACAACACAGACAAGAAGAAGGCAACATAGTTCTGGGTGATTGAAGAAGACTAATATAACACGCTGGTAGTACTAAAAGCACGCTCAAGAGCAGTACATAAGGACTGTCCACTTTTATATATCAAAACGCAAAGCAAACATACTCTATGTCTATACAGTTACCGAAGACTAGGGTGCCTAGTGGGCATGGCTCAGGTGCAGGACATGGATCAGGATCTGGAGGAAGAGCTTCATCCATCCACAACATTTCCAACAAAGGTAGACAAATACTGAAGAGAATTAACTCAGGATCATCGGCACAGGGAGGAAGGATAGTCAGTGGACGTGGTGAGCTTTTCAGATCTGGTGGACCAGACTTGGAAGATGCTATACACTTCGATGAGAACAAGAAGACCATCTTGTCTAATTTTGAAGAATGGATAAAATTGTCCACAGATAACAAAATTACTAGTAAAAACTCATGGCAAATTGCTCTTATTGATTATTTCAAAGATCTAAATGTCATTAAGGATGGAGAAAACATCAATTTCCAGAGAGCTAGTGCCACCTTGGATGGGTGTGTGAAGATTTATCTGAGCAGAGTTGAGAGTGTTGCCACGGAAACAGGGAAATTGTTAAGTGGGTTGAGTAAAAAGAAAGGAGAGGATGAAGCTGCAGATGGTGATGGAGAAAGTGGTGACGATGAGGATGGTGATGATGGTGAAGGGACCAACGGAGCCAACGGTGACGCTGCTCTGGGAGAAGTTGGCTTGGATGGAAGAAAGAAAAGGAAAATGAATCGAGTCTTGGAATCCACTATAGTTGATTTTGAAACGATCAGAGTTAAGAAATTGGACCAAGAGTTGGCCATAGATCCTTTATTCAAAAAGGCATTGGCAGAATTTGATGAAGGTGGTGCCAAGAGCTTGTTGTTGAATACTTTAAGCGTTGATCTGAGCGGGAGGGTGGTGTTTGATGCTGTGAGAGAAGGAAGTAATACATCGGATAAAGATGGAGAAACTGAAGCTGAAGCTGAAGGTATGATGGAAGACGTAGAAACCGTGCAAAAAAGCCGACCCATATACTCCAACAATCCTATAGATATAAATTCCCTTTCTAAGTTTATTTTCAATGACGATACGCAAGATTTTGACAATCTTGCTATTTGTCCCTCGTTGGGCGAGTTAGAATTGGTACTTTCAGACATAAATAAAGCTAAAAAGGTTCTAGGTGATGTCAACAATCGATTCTTAGATGACGAGACAAATGAGAGAAGATCTAGAGAACAGCTGCCATTTGTATTTCCAGGGTATGATTTTGATGATGATGCAGATCTTGGTCCTGGAGATGAAGATAACGATCTTTCTAACCATTTCGATGAAACCATTGTAAGGCTGGTTCTTTACAAAGATGATGATGAAAATCGCGAGAATGGTGGGCAACAAGACGAAGAAAACTTTGAATATGAAGAGAAGACTGTGCTTGACAGAGACTTGATGGCATATTTTGATGACAACATGAAGAACAATTGGAGAGGGCCTGAGCATTGGAAAGTTGCCAATATCAGAAAGAAAATGGATATTATTCCAGGACAAGCTCCGAATTTGAGTCAGAATCCAGGACTGGTTGTTGGTGCTAAGGCAGTCGAGAAGAAAAAGAATCTCGAAATTGACTTTTTCCAGCAACAAGATGACGAATTGGAAGAAAAACTATTCGAGTTACCCAAAAATATTCTTAGTACAACGCTCAGACCGGAACAAAGAGTTAATGAGAACCATAATAGGCTACCAGAGGATATTCAGTACAATTCTCTGAGGTTGACGAATTTATTCCTCAAGAAGCAAAATACCGTAATGCAATTTGTAAGAAAGGAAAAGAAGCAAGGAAGTGATGTATTAACTGATGAAAATTTCTTTTCTGAAAAGTATAAGGAGGCGGAAAATGAACAACAAAATGAAGCTCGGAATGATGAAAAAGATAATCCATTTTATGACGATGGTGACGATGACTATGGCGGGATTGACTTTAATGATGCCATAAGTTTAGCACAGGGTAATGATGAAGAAGGGGGAGTAATTAAAAAGGAAAATACCCCAGAGACACAACAATTGATAGGTGGAGGAAGAAAAGGTAGACCAGAATATGTAAACTTCTCAAGAATTGCCAAGAGGGTTGATGTCAGGTTGTTGAAGGACAATTTATGGAGAGCCATAAAGAAGGAGAGCCCAGAAGAGGAGAAAACAACAGGAATGGAAGAAGAGGATGATGTGGAAGACAAGACTAAAAATGAAAATGAAACAGAAAACACAAATGAAAACAAACCTGATCCTAATCTTGATACAGAGAAAGCGGATATCAAGCAGTTTTCGGATGTCATTTCTTCTATAGGTGGAATGTATGCTTCAGAACAGAAGAAAGACCTTAGTACCAGTTTTTGTTTCATTTGTTTATTGCATTTAGCGAATGAGCATGGATTAAGCATTTCATCCAACGACAACAATGACAATCTACAGATTAAGGGATTTTAGATCTACGCAGTCACCTTGCCGTACATAAGTACAATCTACAGATCAAGGGCTTTTAGATCTACGCAGTCAGCTTGTGCTACGAGTCTACTTCCTTCTTCTGCCTTCTTCCCTGTGGTATTAGGTGCAAATTGAAAAATTGTTGCAATTTGCGTCCTGCAGATACTCCTACTAGACCGAGACGGACCAGACAAAGCATATATAGAATGTAGCAATAAAAGGATCATTAATTGCATTTCAGCGCGGTGCCAGTATCTAGCTTCTGTAACTAACCCTCCTACTGTTTCCGCTTCGACACTCTCCCACCAGTGGCCCACTCTGCCTTCCTAGTACACTGTCCCTTTATATGAAGGAACATACTAGAATCCAATGGAACTTTGTGGTCTGCGCACGACCCTTTGTCACCAACCTCAAACGTCCCTTTTCTTTTTTTGCCTACAGTTTCAGATTACAAACGGTTGCCAAAAAGGCTGGAGAATAGTGAACAGATTAGGTATTTTTCCTTTTGATTAGTATTATTAGGTAAGAATCGTATATAATGTTGTCAAGAATATTATCTGGTGCGAAAATAGGGGGTATAAATACGGGGTTTGGAATCCCGTTGTTTGCCGCCTCCTCTTTGCGTGCTGGAAGAATACCACGAGCTATGATGGTTAGATCGGGATCAGGGCGCCCTGCGGTTGGTGGTGCTGTCGGAGGCGCTAGGTTTGCGTCGTCGTCGTCTACCCATAACCTTCTTCAGTCTCAGGAGCAGCTTGCCAACAACGATCTCAACAACACAGCAGCTCAGGCTGAGTTTTATCGGAGCCTTTTGGCGAATAACTACCCTCACATTGTTGTACAGAGATTTGAAACTCCGGGAATCGCCTCTAGTCCGGAGTGTACCATGCTCTACGTCGATGCGTTGAATAAGTTGGGCAAGAAGGGCAAAGCAGAACAGGTGCAACGTAGTTTAGTTGGAGCAAACTCAGCAAATGGTGTCAATGCTTCAGGCTTAGGTGGTGGAGTGGGTGGTTTGGGGTTAGGAAGTAGTGGAGTTGGGTCCCGTTATGAACCTGTCCACGTTATAGTGTCTGAGTCTATATTCACCATTATATCCAAATGGCTCAAGTGGCTTATCCCTGTGGCCCTCTTGACGTACGGAGCCACGAACGCTTTCAATTACTTGGTAGAAAACGGTACCATCTTTAAGAACCTGGAAGTCAACGACAAATCAGTAGATGTTTCTCAGTCTACCGTAAGGTTCAAGGATGTCTGTGGATGTGACGAGGCAAGAGCTGAGTTGGAAGAAATCGTTGAATTTTTGAAGGACCCTTCAAAATTCACGGGATTAGGTGGAAAATTACCGAAGGGTGTGCTTTTAACCGGTCCTCCAGGAACAGGTAAAACTTTACTTGCTAGGGCTACTGCTGGTGAAGCAGGTGTTCCATTTTTTTTCATGTCTGGTTCAGAATTTGACGAACTTTATGTCGGTGTTGGAGCCAAGAGAATTAGAGAGCTTTTCACTCAAGCCAGAGAAAAATCTCCTGCAATTATCTTCATTGATGAATTGGATGCTATTGGAGGTAAACGTAACCCAAAAGATCAAGCATATGCAAAGCAAACTCTCAATCAACTTTTGGTTGAGTTGGATGGATTTTCGCAAACTGAAGGAATTATCATCATTGGTGCAACTAACTTCCCAGAATCTCTTGATAAGGCTTTAACAAGACCCGGAAGATTCGATAAGGAGGTTAACGTTGATTTACCTGACGTAAGAGGTCGTATTGATATCTTAAAACACCACATGGAAAATGTAGAGACTTCTGAAGACGTTGATCCTTCCATTATTGCAAGAGGTACTCCTGGTCTCTCTGGTGCTGAATTGATGAATTTGGTCAACCAAGCTGCTGTGCATGCATCTCAGTTAAGTGCACCTTCGGTTTCTATGAACCATTTCGAATGGGCTAAGGACAAAATCCTCATGGGTGCAGCTAAGAACAATATGGTGATAACAGAAGAAGCAAGAAAGAACACTGCATATCACGAAGCTGGACATGCCATTATGGCTATGTTTTCGGAAGGTGCTACTCCACTTTATAAAGCTACAATTTTGCCAAGAGGAAGAGCATTGGGAATTACTTTCCAACTTCCAGAAATGGATAAGGTTGACATGACTAAAAAAGAGTGCTTTGCAAGATTAGATGTTTGTATGGGAGGAAAGATTGCTGAAGAGATTATACATGGCCCTGAAAATGTTACCAGTGGATGTTCTTCAGATTTGTCAAATGCGACTAACGTTGCCAGAGCTATGGTTACTTCATATGGGATGAATGATAAGATTGGGCCCATCAAACTTAGCGATGAATGGGATTCATGGTCTCCTAAGATTAAGGACTTGGCTGATAACGAGGTTCGTTCATACCTTATTGAAAGTGAAGAAAGGACAAGAAAATTACTTAATGCGAAGAATGTGGAATTGAAAAGACTTGCAGAAGGATTACTTGAGTATGAAACATTGACAAAGGACGAGATGGAAAAGATTGTAAAAGGTGAAATTATTAATAAGCAAAAGACTATAACTAATACAGTGATAAAAACTCCGCTGAAAAGTGGAAGGAAGGAGAATATTATCCCGGATCCATCATCAGTTCCTGTGTAAAAAGACTGATAGAAGGCTTCCAACCTAAAGAACATTCAGAGAGAACGAAAGAAAAATTGCATGTGTCAGATTTTGTATATAATAAAATAATTTAGAAATTAGAGTATTGAACAGTAGGACTTTTTATAAGATTCTCTTCTCCTACAATTTGGATAAGGTTATTAAGTTACGTTGATTAAATGGTCTATAAATCAAGCCTTTTCAACATGTTGATGTTTAGGCTTTTCAAACAGATTCTCTTCTTCACTATCTACGAGTTCATTAACACTCAAGTGGTCCGCATGGACGTTTAAGTCACGATGGTATCTTTCTGGACCAACAAAGGTTAAGAGCATCACATATGCAAAGATGGCACCACAGAATATAGCCATTACTTTACCATAGTTGTAAGCACCAGTGACTCCTTCGATCTCAAGTGGGAATTGTGTTCCAATACTTGCCTCAATTGTAGATGAAGCAGATGAGATCAAATTACCTAATTGATACACAAGACCAGAAAGGAAGGTCCTATGGGTAGCGTTTACTAATTCCATAAGATGGATAGGAATAACACCGTAGATTCCCATGATACAAAACACAAGAGCGAAATCTCCACCAGTCAGACCAGCTGTAGTTGACGAAAAGAAAGCAGGGTAGAGCATAGCTCCACCTACCACACATCCTATAAGAATTGCGAGTCTTCTTCCAACTAATTCCAGTAGCTGCCCAATGACAATACCACCACACATACCTCCCAAGTTAACTACTACCATAATGACAGTTCTTTGGTCAAGACTGAATTGTCTCTGCTTGTCAAGGTACGTTGGATACAAATCTTGAGAGGCATGTGAGATAAAGTTGAATCCAGCCATCAAAAGTACCAAGTAGATGAACATGAGCCATTCGGTCTTCATGGTGATAAGAATTGAAGGATCGATTTTATCTTTCCATGTTGGCTTTGCCATTTCCAAATCTAATTCCTTGGCTCTAGCCTTCTGTTGTTTTTTGGCTTCCTTCATTCTTAAGAAGTTTTCTGATTCTGGAGCGAAGAATCTCCAGACAATCAATATAACTGGTAACCCAGCAGAAAACCAAAACAATGCTCTCCAGCCTTCACCTTCCTCTGCTTTGTATGTGTTTTCGAATGCTCTATAAAATACAATGGCTAATAAGTAACCGAAATTATAACCTGGGAGGAAAAAGCCAGATAAAACTGACTTTGCCTTAACTGGCTGGTTTTCCAAGGCAGTTACAGCTGCATTACCATACATACCACCCATGGCAACACCAAACAAGGCTCTGACACCTAAAAACTGGGAATGTGTTTGAACAAAACCGGTACCAATTTCCAAAACCACAAACAAGAAGCAATTGAAGATAAAGGGCCACTTTCTACCGTAGTAATCAGATAATATTCCAAAGATAATAGCACCAACTGGTCTAAGCATCAACACTAAAGTGACACCCCAAGTGATTGATGTAATATTAACTCCTAAAGTTGCAGCAATAGCAGATGCACTAGCGGAAACACAAAAGAAGTCCATGGCATCGACTGTCCAAGCAAAGAACCCCAAAAAGTAAAAATTCCAGTGCTTAGCTTCCATTTCTCTCAAAGCTGGTAACGGATTAATTGTCTGCCATACAGATCTATCCGATTTCGTCATTGGAATATCCAAAAGAGTACTAAACCTTGTTCCAAAGTAGCGGGCGATGGCTCCAGCTGAAAGATCAGGCTTTTCATTATAAAGATTATTATTAGCAACTGGCTGATGCTCTACAATATAATCATCGCTTGGAGCGATGCCATTAAAATCGGCAGGTTCCTTGGTTTCTAATTTTGCACTCATGACAAAAAAGTTCCAATGAATGAAAATATAGATTTAGAATTTCTCATTTAAGCCGTTTTAAGAGGCGAGATGACCTTTATATACACTTGCTGATCGCAGATCTTCGTACCCGTTTCTCTGTAACGATTGAGGGGTCCAGTGAATGCTTTACGTGGGGAAACTGAGAGAGGCGGCGTTCGTTAAAAAAATATTGAAAAAGAATTTATAAATGGTTCAAACCCAGGGCTTTATCGAACTAAAAGTGGATAAAAGATTCAGATTAATCAGAAGTTGTCCGTATGTATGGAATGCCAGATCAATGTAGTTATACCTTGAATAGGGAGTTGTAGTAGGCTGAAGCGAGTTTCAAATGTCAGCGGCCCTCTACACATGAAGACTTCATTTTCGGGGCATCTGGGGAAAGTCCGTGAATTAAGCTTCGACTATGCATAAAATATGTGGGGGAGCGGCAGAGGAATGTGGTGCGGGCATACTGTAGTGCAGCCGGGCGTCTTGGCGTTTAGAGCAACAAGAAAAAATGCAACATGTAGATTTGACAAGATTACTAATAGTTCGCCTAGGAATAAAATAGTTAGTAGGAAGATGATAGGTACATAATGCTTAACTTATTGTTCACGTAAAGGAATAAAATAACTGGTAGGAAAAATATGATGAATAACTTATAAGAGAATACTGATAGCTCACGTATCTGAATGGTAAAAAAATAAGACGAATAGCACATAATGTAATACTAATAGTTAACGTATCGGAATAAGATAATTATTAGGTAAATATTATATGTGATAAGTATGGGATTACTAAACTGTACTCTTAGCCCACAGTTTCCCGCCTAATTTTGTCGCTGACATAGGTTCCTCAATCCGTTTGCAAAGCTTGGGAAGGTAACGATCTGGGAATAAGAAGTAAGAGAACGAAGAATACTAACAAGGCAAGGGAATAGCGTTATATTTTTGAGTCCAGAGTTATTCCCGGAACTACTTCCATCTTGAGACTTACGTTGCGAGCCGCCTGTGTGTAGGATTTGGGGATCGTCAAACTGGCAGCACATTACCAAGTATTCTCCTAGTACTTTCCATACCTTGTTTTTTTCAAGCGCCTGCGTGTAGGATTTGGAAAAGAGGATCGCCAAACTGGCAGTACCTTATCAAGTATTCTTCTACTACTATCCATACCTTTTTCTTTTCAAGCTGGGTGTATGCGCTACACTTCTTCGCAAGTGCGCATATCATGGATTGCTCAAGGTTCAAACGGAGTCTGAGCCCTTGGAGCTACGAACGCAAAAGCCTTCTCAAATAGAAAAGCGGAGAACAAGATCTTTTCAATCAGAAATTTTTTCATAGACAAAATCCGGAGGTCTGATCACAATGAAATGTACTCATATTGCTCCCTGCATATAGCCCAGCTAAAGCTCATTTTTGATTACAGGAATACAAAGATAATTGTATGCACACTGGCGCAAAGGTATACTGCATGCTGATGTCTTCTCCATGCAGGGACATGTACATGCAGGCTTTCATAAACTTCTTTCTCTAATGTGGTAAAATAGTTTAGCCCCACGTGGTAACCTCACACTAATTTCTATAGGTTCGAAGCTAACGGAATGAATTTAGTTGTCTTGTGTTCAATAAAACCAGGAATGCTCACATTTCAATTTTTGACTCGACATTAAGGCCGAACGCGTACAATCTGGAAGACGCTGACCTGGTTCCCTCTTTTATTGTAAGACCTTTGTAGACAAATCCACTTGGTATTAGCGTTATCTTCAAGAAGGCTGTGAGGATTTGAAATAATTGAAGATCAACACTCAAACCAAAAAAATAAATAATAAAAAAGATAATAGAAAAAAAAAAAAAAAAACCGTTGCAGATAGACAAGAAGTTAATTTTTACTTAAAACGAATCAGAGTCTGAAATTACACAAAGTATTGGTGAATTTTTGGAGAAACAACTCTTTTGACTTGATATTTTGAAACAAAATCATAGTTTAGTACTTGAAACATAACAATTTTGGTATATTGTTTCATTTACTGCTGATACAAAACACTTAATAGAGTTTGGCAAACCCGTCAAGATAGTCAGTAGTTTCATTTCTTAGTAAAAAAAATTTTCATATTTGGCGTTTCAGTATATGTTGAGCTGAACCACCCCATTGGAAGGAATACTAGACTGTCGCACAGAATCAAAGGGTTTGAATTAGGAAAGAATCGAAGGAAAGTTACACTTACTTTGACGTACGCTCACTCTGCCTCCACAAACTTACACACCTTATACTCACACACGGACAGGGTCGTACGCACACACGCACACACGCACACAGACACACACACAACACATACACAATAAACTTATGATGGAAGACTGGGCAAGAACGTTTTCTCCCCCAGACCGATCAAGTGCTATATTCTTCCAAGAATTGGGAGAGTTAGGATCCGCCGCTGCTATTACCCCAAACCACCCTTCTGCCGTGGTAGGTGCTCCCGCTGTGGGTAACAGCGCTGGGAGCGCAGTTAGTGCTGCTCTGGGTGAATCGAATACTCACACCCCAAACAATTTCCTGGAACAGGACCAGTTCTTTCTTCAACAGATCGAGAATAACTTGTATGATAGCAATGCTGGAACTCCACATATGATAAAATCGGGACATACGCCCCAAGATCAGCTTCACCTCCAGCAGCAACGACAGATTCACAACCTGCTAGGACACCAGCACCGCCACCAGGACGTTTCTCAGCATCATCATCACCATCATAGCTCAGATATATCAAACCCATCCAGTAACTCGGGCAGTAATCCCCCCACATCTACTAGCACTGGAGCAGCAGATATGGGACTAGATAACCTAAATTTTATACTTGCTGAGGAGCTTCATTACGAAAATGGACATACGTTACCCCTGCTGCATACACATCAATCTACTGCTTACCCGCCAAGTGTGCATCCACCCCCTCACACACCCAATATGCAAGCACTCAAGAATAAATCTGCCATTGACAAGAGGGTAGCTGCTGCCAGCTCAAATTCAACTTCTGGAGGGGCTAGCGGGGGAAAAGGTAGATCTTCGGGTTTTGCTTCCCCCGTGTTACCCTCTCAAAATGATAAATCTTACAATGACCAACATTTGTATCATAAACTGCAGCACCATAATCACTCTCACAGAAATTCATTGGAAGGAAGTATTCAACACCCCCCTGCTCAACATGTAAGACCTGATGCGGTATTCACTCCGCTTGTCTCACCAGCTGTAACTCCTTTGGAGTCTCAGGTTAATCTTAATAAGCTGCAGCATCATCATCATCACCAACAGTCACAATCCCTGGGTAGTGGATTTGTACCTCCTGTGCTGACAGTCTTCGAACCACTCACTTCACCTGCTTTGACTGCTCAGCAATCGGATAAGAGAAGGCCCTCTTCATCCATGTATGCACCTCATGGTGAGGAAAAACTGCTGCAATCATCTAATAAACGTAAAACGCCACATGGTACTCCAATACTTCAAGCCACTAATGGAAGTAATAGGTCGAAACAGTCACCAGTAGTCAATGCAATCTCTGCACTTTCTAGCACATTTGATAAACTACCAGAGGCAAGTGTTGATCTGAACAAATCCAGTTTGGAATCAACTCCGATGCTCCCTCCACAAGGTAAAAAGGTGGACATAAAGCGCGAGACCCCTGCTGCTCAAATGATGGGATTCACTATGGGTAGATTGGCTGAACAGCAATCATCGGATGCAAACCTGTCATTTGACTCTCCTACCATGAATGGCATGAATGGTGGTACAGTTGAGGGGCCAAGATCGACTAAGAAATTTTCATATAACTCTAAAATTCTCCCCAAGACCACATCCTCTTCTTCAGAGACTTCTCCTATTCTCTCGGGCAGTAATGATGGGTTGGCTGAACAAAAGTCGGGAGGAATTGGTAGTAGGGGTAGAACAGACAAAACTCAGCCGACAAAGAAGGCCAGTCATAAAGTTGCAGAACAAGGTAGAAGAAATAGAATGAATGTGGCTATTCATGAGTTAGCAAGTTTAATCCCAAAGAAATATCATGATGAGGTTCTGATCCCATCCAAAGCTACGACTGTTGAGTTGGCTTCAAAATATATTAATGATTTGTTAGAAGAACTTGGGAAAAGTCACGATTAATGAAATAATTATAATGATGAAGAGATGATGAGACAGACTTCAATTTAGTATGGAGCAATAACACTGGTCTCACTATTTATTTAACTGTAATAAGACTACTTTCAATATAGTTCCTTTGGAAACTATACTTTAAGAAAGATAACGCTGAGTAATGTTTAATAGTAATAGATATAATATAATGGAAAAAAAAGAAACATGATCCAGTAGAGAACTTTACTCTTATCATACATACTTAGGTATAGAGTAGCTACTTAAAGTGGAAAAAAAGAATGGACGAGACCGGAATCGAACCGGTGACCTTTTGCTTGCAAGGCAAACGCGCTACCAACTACGCCACACGCCCTATATTTCTCATACTTTTGTGCGTAGGTACCTATTCGGACTCGTAAGAACTGCACATATTACTCATCTTCTTTAGCAACTTGTTAGAGAAGTAAAAGAATGCACTATAGCAAAGAGGCTAGAACAAAGGTACTATGTGAATGCTTCCACGGTAAGTAAACAAAGTCAAAATGAGCCAAGAAATAAAGAAATCAAGCTTAGAATCATTTTGCGGTTAAAGTTCACCATTACAATCACTTCTTCCATTTATATATTTTTCAAATGCAAGTACTACGTACAATTCTAACCACCGCTCTCTTCAAGCTCTGGCCACCAGTCTGGTTCAAAAACCTTCAAACCGATGTCTTCACCATCCACTTTTATCTTATATAAGTCATTTTTTTGGATACTGGAAGAATTTATGAGAATAAAGCCTAAGTTGTCTTGGACTGAAAGAACCTTACCACTTGATTTTGCTCTTTTCCTAACTGTTTTCGATCCAAAGGGGTTACTGTTTTCAAATGGAGATGGAGAGTCTACTTTGGTATTTTCTTCTGCAGCTTCTTCATATAAGGGCTCAACTTCCCAATTGGTTATATCTGATTTTTCAGCGTACTCTTTCAATATTCCGTTTACAGGGTCATTTTCATTCAAAGCTGGCACCTCAAACTCTTCAACGTCTAGATTGGTTAATCTGAAGAATTGTACTGGGAAGATCCTTTTTCTGATGGTGCCATTGTTATATGTTCTTATAGTTAATTCTTGGCCCACATAGCATCCTTTCTCAAGCGATAATCCATTGGTGAAATCTAAGTTAGTTTCAAACGGAAGTAAAGATTGGGATCTTGGAGCATCTTTGACTTCAAACAAACCGTTTTCAAACCGCCTTTGATCGAGTACTTTCTCGGAAAGTAATTTTTCTTCATCTTCTTCAATAAAACTGTTCTTAAATTGGTCGGAGAAAATCTGCCCCACCTTTAAGTCTGTTTTGGTTATAAACTTAATACCGAAATTAGGAATCCTATTATCTATAGCAAAGCCAACAATTCCTTCCTCTGTTAATTCCAGATTGAAAACTTCTTGCAGTTCCATGAAATTACGAGACTGAGCTAAGGCATCTTGCGGAGTCATAGACTGAAAATACTTTCTCTGTATATCTTCTAGCCAATCATCAAATACCGTTGAGTCATTGTAAAAATATAATGATTTTAAGTCCAACTTCTTGATTTTAACCTTGGCATTAAGTTTATGTAAAGACATCATCATTTTCAACTGCAGATAAAAGACGTTGTCAATTTCCACGATGTAACTACAAGCATCATTTTCATTACTACTGTTATTTCTATATGCGAATGGGGTTGGGTAAATAAAGCAGTCATTCACCACCCGGCCCTTTGAATTTAAGAACATTGAGTTCAAGCCATCTCTACGTATCAATATATTCTGTTCAGGATCATATATATCTTCGTGCATGACTCCCCAGTTGGAGTGTATATCGATCAAGTCTGCCAACTCTGTATGCCTGTTTTCTGCATCACTAATTGTATGTCGTTTTTTCTTCTCTAAAAATGGTAACATTCTGGTTGTCACTAGACCATTTAAAAACTTTGTTGCGTCCGGCCCATTAATCTGAATTAGGGTCTTAGATAGCAGCGCCAATCCAGATGTAGGAAGCTTCATATTTGGCCCAGGATTGCTTGAAGTTTCAGGAAGAAATAAGGTGAACTTGATTCGTTTATGCCGATGACGTACTTAGTAATGTTCTCCGCAGGAAAAAATGTATCGAAATAAAAAATAAAGTGCTGCATAAACGCATACACAGTTGAAGCAATAAAATAGAAGTTTAAGACTAGGTAGAGGGGGTACTTGACGGAATTTTTTTTACAGTCTACATATACAGTATAGTGTTTACATTGCATTGATAATTAATCAGTCTAGATCTGGTTCATCTTAAGTTCTTTTCCTATCATATTCTTTGATCTCTCTGTCTTCTTCTCAGGTACTACATTTACAGACTCAGTACTTTGCAACCTATCTCTGATACTTTCACTAAGAGTCATACGATGTTTCATGTCATCGCTCAAGTTCAATTTGTGAAGATTAGTATTACTGTGGTTCCTGGATTGTAGTCTGGAATTGGAATTTGATGTCTGGGAGGAGTGAGAGTGAGGAAGCGATATGGAAATCTCTGAATTCAAATGTGATTGGTTATGTGAAAGGATGAAAGACCTGTTATCCAATTCACCGAAATCAAAGTATCCATATCCACCGAAAACGTCAAAGTTAGCCTTCTCTGGAGTAGATCTGCTACTTCCACTACTATTAGATGAATTTTCCAATGGGATCCGCTTATTGACGTCAATGGTCAAGTCAATAGAATTCTTAGGATTCTCTTCGGTGACGTTTTGGAGTTCCGCCTTCCTAGCCTCTGTGTCGGCTAGTTTGAAAAGGAAGTTGGATTGATTTTGAATGATCTGCTTCAATTCAATAACCACGGATTTAAAAGTATCCAAAAATCTTTCAGTCTGTCTAAATTTGGACGAAATGGTTATAATTACCTTATCAGAATGAATGATATATCCAATTCCAAAACCTTGATCAATAGCTGGAGTTATTCCAAATAAGTGGAGAGCGGGGTTCCCGCAATTGGAAATAAGCAATTCGGGAGATGAAATCTTATCAATTGAAGGATTCGAAAGTAATGGGATCTCAGTATCTCCTGATAATGGTGGAATCAGTGGCAAATCTGGGTTCAAGTTGTTCAAGTATTGTATAGCATCGGGACTGCGAACACAATGAGCTAAGGCAAGAAAGTGCCTTTGAAATCCTCTTCCTTGCATTGCATCAAGATATTGCTTGCTATGAATCTCACAGCATTCCTTAAATCTTTTCCACTTCACTTGCTGATCATCTTTACTTATAAATGTCTTTACTAAACGTGTGATCGGGTCATTCTGAACTGGGATCAATTCAGTCCTTGCATCCTTAAATTTTCTTGTTGTGATAGGTTCTAAAGTGTTAACAAGTTTCCCGTACAAGGTGTAGTACGCAATCTGAAAGCAAATTTGTAAAAATGAATCCACTGGAACATGGAATTTAGATATTAAATTTGAATCAAATTTAAGTGTCATTGTTTTGTATTCATGCTGATTGATAAGATCCGCCAATCTTGTCTCTGACAAATGGATCAAGTGGAATAATTCCGGGGTCTTTGTAATACTCAATGGCCTTGGTTCCGGCTTCGTAGGATTGTCCTTCGTCGAGGCAAATTTTATAAACTTCGTATTGAATAACGAATATTCTAACCCGTTTATATCTTTAGCTAATTTCAAAATCAGATCCGTGTATATATCCGATATATACCGCAAAATAGCAGTCAGGTCCATGGAGGCAGATTCCCAAACTACTCCAGCAACAGAGTTTTTAGTAACAATCATCTGAAGTTTATCATACCATCTTGACGTACAAGAACCCACTTGAATGTTGGTACCAGGAAGTAAATTCGAAGAACCATGGGAGATCACCGATGTTTTTTCCTGGTCAGTTTCAGGTGAGTTCAAAAAGTCAAGAACCACAACAAAGAGCGACAGATCAATCGAATGAAGGATTTTGGGATTGGATGTCGAAAGCTCCTTTCTACTTAACTTCCACATTTTGAACGTTTGTGTTGTCAATGAACCAATTGAATTGTTGACAGTCTCAATAGCATCAGATTGGGAAGAACCATCTATAATGGATTGAAGAAGTAGAGACAATTCGTGGTCATTGAACCAGAGTTCCGTAGCACTGCCTTCATTCTCCGGAACTGTCTTAATCACCTCTAACTCATAGAATTGATTGTTACATATAACCATAATGTGGGCCAGGTCTTCGTGTCTCTCGATGGTAACATGGTTTTCTTCTGGAACCCTGGTGCTACCAAACAAGTTTCTGTAGCAATTCATGGTCAAGGGATTCTTATTTTTGGGGGTTAGGTCAGGTTTCAACGTTTCGTTTCTCAAGCTCACTATGAACTTCAAACTAGAATTAATAAGCAGCGCAGCTCTCTGCGCCTGGTTTGGTGGGTTAATGGTCTTCAGGTACGGATCCTCCTCTAACACGAGGTAGGGGTTCCTGGGCAAGATATCATTATTGAGCTCTCCATATATCCCTGGGTTTACTTCATCGTTGATGGAGTTTAAGTAGCAGGAGTGGCTCTCGTTTGTAGATGCTTTAACAAGGTGGTCTTGTATCAAATTGATGTACTTACTTGAGACAAACTTGGTCGCATCCTCCAACACTTCACCGTACTCATCAGGCGATAAGAGCGGCTTTAAGGCTGCCAACAACTGCTGAGTGGTGGAAGACAAAGAGGGGACGGGCAAGTGAGGGAGATCATCCTCATAGGAGAACGTAGACATCACTGGCTGGTTTGGATAAAAATACTACGCTTAGAAGAGTTGTAAAAGAAGAAAAGACGTGCTCTTTGTAAACTTGATTTTCCAAATCGTTGCTTAAGGCCGATCTTTTGGATTGTGGGGTTGGTGAATCGACTTTGATGGAGTGGTTGTGTGCAGGAGTCACGTTTTTCCTAGCACCCCACGATTTTCACGGTGTTCTCCCAGGACCCAAACCCCCCGGGATTTGAAAAAAGAAGGCTTAAAAAACGTGGAAAATTTGAAAGTTTCTCTACGTAATTGAGCTGAAGTAGCATAAGGTTTACGAATTTTATTATACGAAATTGAAGGGAATGTGCATGACCTGACAGGAGTGAAGCGGTGAGATGTTATTGTCATTAAGCTCTGGGAGGTAGTGAACAATTTTTAATAGATGAAGATTTAGTGGACCAGCAATCTGCCACGGTCAGATTTCTTGGGCCCGTTAGGCGATGGTGCGTTTGCTCTTCTCCGCAATTTTATTCGGTGGAAGTAATGGCGGGCCAAGAACTAAGATATAAAGACGGTTGGGGATGAAAATCGTTTCAACTCATTTCAACATCACCTCTGCTGAGGTATATAAGTTGTCTCTATATCTCTCCGTGACATTCTAGTCTCTGGAATTCGCTTTCCCAGGTAAGATTGGTGTTGTTAGTGTCTAAATAGCATTACGTGAATTTTCCCTGAGCGAACCTTCTCAAACTGAAACTTGTTTATTGTTCAAATAGACTTTTGGCTCTTCATAAGCTAATTAGTTGCCAAATTTAGAGTATTTTGACACAATTTCACTCGACTGCTTGCGCCCATCAATTTCATTTTATTTTAGTCTAATTCCACCGTAATTGCAAATGCAGAGCCCAATGTTTAAATTCATTCAAACTCTCGTATTGTGTTTCCTGATACTACAGGTACTGCGGTGGAGAGACTTAAATCTTGACACATATCTAAAATTGGAAGTATTCCATGTATTTTTCATATGACTAGCTTCTCTGGCTTCGTGGGATCGTCGGAACCAGCTGTAGCCCTGGAAGGTATCCTTGAATGGGTTAGCGCTTGAAATATCGGAGTACATGAAGTGTGTCACATCGCAACGCCTCGTATTAGACGGACTTATGTAGATGTGCTATGACGCTCGGGGTTAAGTTCGCCAAATCCGAGCAAACACCCTTGCTTCAAGTGTTTCAAGTCTTTCGATGGTGTGAGATGTGTGAACCCTTCCAGTGACTGTGGAATGTCTGAGTCTCCAGACACTGTGAATTGTGAAGTGTTCCATGACTGCGAAATGTGTGAGGTAGTTCTCCAGCACTTTTGGTTCGTGGTGTTCGTTGCACTTCGTTCTCATGCCTCAGCAATGCACCCAGCCTGTATGTCAATGGCCCGAATGTCAATGCTGGATGACCACTCTTCCTACTCTGTGCCTATGTAATTGAATCAGGGACACCACTGCCCGCCCATCCTTACACTCTACGTGATCCAGTCTCTATTAATAATACCATTATTTTATTATTATTATTATTATACTGTATATATATTTTACCTTTTTGCCCAAATCCGTTCTATTTCTACCCACTTATAAATCAATACTTGTTATTCACCAACTTCCTGATAAAATTAGAGTTGTCCATCAACGATGGAGCCTCGTAATGTGGAATTGGAAGTGGCATGTAAGCTTGCTGTTGGGATTGCTGTGGGCCCGAAATACCCATTGGAACAAGACCATGTTGTTGGAGAGTTGCATTAACAGCAGAGTTTCTATTGTCGTTCTCTTTGGCCTCGTCCATTAATGGCTTAATGCAGAGCCATCCGGTTTCAGTACGGAAGTGTCTCAGTAATGCGTCGCTTCTAGCAAACTTCTTACCACATCCCCATTTGGTGCTTCCGTCCTTCAACAAACCTTCACATTTGAAGTTCTTTTCACCGCCGTGGAGTGCTTCGTGACGCTTCTTGTCGTGAGAACGAGCAAACTTTCTGTCACAGACTTTACACACGTAAGGCTTTTCGTCTGAATGCGTTTTCATGTGTGACTTGAGGTTGTATGGCTTCTGGAAGACTTTAGTGCACTTGGGGCATGGGAACTGTTGTTGTAAAGTATCATCGTTGTTGCTCATAAGAAGGTTCTTGGACTTTCTCTTGCTGCGCTTTGCAGAGAGGGTAGATGAGACGATGGAGGAGTAGTCGATGGAGTTGCTTTTCGACGTACCAGCTGAAGATTGACTGTGTCTAGCATCCAAATCCAACGAAGCAGGGGAAAGCGGGATTTGGTAACCAGTCTGCAATTGGTCCTTTCCATATGAGCTGTATTGGATAGGATATCCAATGCGTTGTTGCAGCTGTTGTTGCTGTTGCTGTTGTGGCTGTTGCTGTTGCTGTTGTTGCAATTGAACGTTTTGCGAGAGGTACTGTGGTTGTTGTTGAAGATGTTGTGGGTGCAGGTAGGGCGAGGTGACTGGGTGTCCCACTGCAGGGTTGCTTCCCTGGGCCTGTTGTTGCTGTTGCTTTTGCAGTTGCTTCTGGTACAACGGTTGGTATTCGCTAGGGTTGGGCAACAAGATGCTTGGCAACTGCTTAGCCTCGTAGTAGTATTGTGGCTGCGATGGCGGAGAGGCCTGTCTTCCTACAGGATTGGTGCCATTGTAAGCATAGCCGTAGTCGGTGGCTGGTGTGTAGTAGTAAGACATAGTGTTGATCATGTAGTGTGGGTGTATCTCTTTCTGATGCGGAAGTAACGGACTTTATATACTAAAACGCCGGAGTTTCGCTGAGATGTTCCGGTTTAGAAAGAAAGGGATCTGTTTCTGTTTAAATATGCACTAGTTGGAGACTGGAATTGTAGCAGTGCCGAATTCCCAGAGTTTCAAGCTTGTTTCTTAGCGAAACCGTAAGCTTATCAGACGTGTGTAGCAGGGATTATTTTTTTCTTGTTATATTCTTGGCGATGAAGAAAATAAGCAAGCTTTTTTAGACTAAATGTTTCCTATTATGTACCGGTAGGGTTTACAGTATGTACTATCTATATATTGCACGATTACACTAAGGTTTAAAGGTAAACTAGTTCTGGTTTGGTAGTAGTTTGTGTTATGTGTCTGCTAACCGTAAAGGAGAAAAAAGTTTGTCCTGAAACTTGTCCGGGATCTCGCACTTTCTTATAGAATTTTGACACATATGGCAGAAATGAGAAACCGTGTGAAAGCTTGCATGAGCATTTAAAAAAGATAAAAAAATATGTCGCTCGGGATATGGAGGGGGGCGGAGCCAGATTTTTTTTTTGTTTTTTTTGTTTTTTACATCTAATTGGGATTTGTGCACTTAGTATCCCGGTTGCACAGACTTATAAATTTCTTTTTTGTTTCGTACTTGTAGCAGGACTGCTTTGCATTCAGATAAGGTAAATGTACTGTGATGCTTTAGGTCGAAGAGAAGGAATTCTTCGACATGGTAGATGAGGTACGAGCGAATTGAAAATGATTGGTCTTCGTTTCTTTTCATTGTGATAGTCAAACAGGGAGTACCATTTTTGATGTGTTGTTAAGCGTGCAGAACCCACGACCTAGATGTGAAAATGGCTCACAGCAGGGCTCATGTTACTGGCCAGGCTTTAAAGATTTATGTCAAATCGGGGACCTACTTCTATTACGACTTTAAGTTTAAATTGCGGTGTTTTGATTTTTTTATTTTTTTATTTTTTTATTTTTTTCAAGTATTTTTTACATTCGCTTTATTCAAAACTTTAAATGTGGCGGGCACACCTTGGATGGGGACGCAACCCGATACTATAGGGAAAAAATCCTCCCGGAAATTCGGAATTTTTTCCTATGAGGAGGCCAAGAAAATTCGAGATTGGGAGATGCTTCGATAGCTCTACATTAATTATGGAGGTAACTTATTTAGCAAAAAGGGTTTCTAAGCTTTGGGCGTTTGACTCAGCCTCTTGTCTTTTTGACGTTGTCAGCATGCCTGTGACGTTGGTATTATTATTTCCCATTTAAACTTCTCCTGTCTGTTAAGGAGTGCTGGCATTTATTTGATCCCCTCTGTAGAGGGGAAACTTTATTTAAGGATGTCCTGTTTAGACGAATGGGAGGTGCAGGTGGCTTCGTCGTTCATTCACCGATTTCATGAAATGAGGAGCATGCCGAAGACGGGATTCTTTTTTTTTTTTTCCTCTTCTCATTCGAATTCTCGGATAACTTCCGATCGGAACGCCAAGTTTGCAAAAATGCACTTTAAATACAAAACTATACTTAACATACTCACCTGGAAATAACCAGACAGAGTACACCAAGAGACTGATAACCTGGAGAGCCTCTTCAATAGGTCTATTTTCCTTCTTTTTTTTTTCCTCAAGAGCAATGTGAGGCTGTGGATTGGGGCTTTCTTCTACATGCTCATTCCACTTCGCGCACTGGAGATGCTCAAATCCCGGTTAGTATCCGGGATATGAAAGGGATAAGAACGAGAGGCTTTGAGTTGTGCGATTTAACAATGTTAAGCCCCTATTATCTCATTCCCAATTAGGGAGTTCGTGAGACTTCAAACCCCATGTGGAAACCTAAGCCTAAGATGAGGTATTTATCCCGAAGCCTCTTCATGTTCATTTACATCATTAGTAGCCCACATTTTGAAGACTTCACGCTGGTTAGTGCCTTGCATGCGGGCTTTACTTCAAGCTTAGTAGATAGTATTAAGCTTCTCGGCGAAGCTATTGTTCCCTGTCAAAACGGGGACCAAAATCTATGTCATCTGGACTTCATCTTTCGTAATTAGATATGAGTAAACAAATTCTAGATTCTAACATGAGCTGGCACATGGATTTCGGGATGCTATTTGCTGGGAGAAGCAACTATACAAAATGAACTTTGCTACTGGTAAGGATCCATTATACTTCCAGAAAAGAAGAAACATAGGTAGGGTATTGCTGCATTCCATTCATTCTCTTTGTAGACAGCCGTTCTCTTAAATTGAATTTGAATTTCGTACAAGTCGGCCAGCTTCCCTCGTGGGCGGGGTTTGATAAATTCAGCCTGGCATTAGGGCTTTAAATTCGAGGCTACTTTAACCGACTATAACTACGCCCTTTTCTACCTGCTGCTTACAGTTCTGTGATACAATGTGCTTTAATTCTATGAAGGTTTTCTGAAAGGGGCGTAGTATCTTGAACTTTGAGGGCTTTTCTTACCTTAATTTGCTTCAAAATAAAGCCTCATACTAGAGTTGTTCGGGCTTGCTTTCTAGGTACAGCCTTCTGCTTGCACAGATTCTGACTACAAGGTCAACGGCTCAGTAATTGCTGGAGGCTACTTTCAAAGTCTCGCTTAGTTTATTGATTATAGTCTATTCATATATTCTATGTGTAGCCGAGCCGCCATCTTCACAGTTCCTCGTTATCGTACTCTTCTCTAATCTTTTTATCTCTTTCCTCGAATCGTTTACACTGCGTAGTCATTATTAAGCCTACTATACTCAAACATGCGGTATAGGTAAACCCAACGAAATACCTTGGTTGGCTTCTTGTGTCCCAAACAAGTATTGGAACCCATGCACCAGTTACATAAGCCAAGGTGTTGGTTATTACCACTATAAAATTCCTTTTTAGGTCGTCTTCTCCGGCTAGTAACCTGTTGAGCCAGGAAAATATTTGGGGCTGGCACCATGACAGTGGGACAGTGATTAACACATAACAAGCCCAATGAAGATAATATGGGATATCCCAGTACGCTAACAAAGCGCAGCCCACAAGCGTGCAACTAAAAAAGATACTGACAAACAAGTAATTCAATCTACCTTTACCAAAATAATCTCCAATGAAGCTAACAGATATTGCAGCTATTATGCCTACAGAAGATATGATTGAAGGAATAACATTGTAACTAGACGAAGGCAACTGTAAGTCATACTTCATCCATGTCTGTAAGGTCGGCTGACCGTGACAACTAGTGGAGTTGTTGAATGCAAGAAACATCAAAGGGAATACCCATATATGCCATGTCAGACAATAGCTTACTATTTGCAGGTAGCTAATGGTCTTGGAGCCTTGGCTGCTCCTATTAAATTTACTTCCTGAATCGATACTATCCCTTCTCCTTCTCTCCAACGCTACCAACCTATCCTGTTCACTAAAATAGAACAGATCCATTGTCGTTGGCGTATTTGGAATTACCAACATGGTGTATAAAGCGATAGGAAAAGTTATCAAACCATCAATAACAAACATGTACTGAAAGGGCTGCAAATTGGTGGTTTCACCTGTACTACTTTTCCACCTAAATAAGATTACTTCTTGAATAATTGGACTTAGAACTCCAGCCAAGCTGGAACTAACGCTGAACAAAGTTGATCTCTTTGCTATTTCGGTGCTGGAATAGTAAGATCCTAGTATGTACTGGATCCCAGGAAAATACGCCAGCTCTGACACTCCTACAATAAATCTCAATATGTATAAACTACTTAAACTAGTGCAATAGATTTGCAATATCGATAAAACACCCCAGGTGAGCTGCAATATTCCTAAATAGTATCTAGCTGAAAACTTAGTCATGGCCATACTGGAGGGAATTTGCCCTAGAACGTACCCCACAGTCCAAAAAGAAATAAGATAATTGTATTGGTTCTTATCCATATGGTAGTGCTCGTTCATGCCATTGATATACGCCACAGAAATATTCAGCTGGTTCAACGTCTTGATGAAATATCCAAGCATTGAAGATGAGAGAAGGAAAAAGTCCAATTTGTGAAGGAATTCTCTTTCCTTCGGATGTTTATTAAGGGAATCTATAAAAAAATTCTTCCAACTTGAACCAGAATCCCTTCTCTTCTGACTGTTTTCCACTTCATCATCGGACAGAGACAAGTCGATGTATGGAACCTCTTTCAAAAGGGGAGTGGTTGACATTTTCAACTTAACTTTGCTGAAGTCAATTGAAGACGCAATTTTTTTAAAATAACTTCTCATCCTTTTTATACATCGGCGGAGCCACCTACTACTCCCTCTGTGTATTAGTTATCACTCTATTACGTTAGATCGATCTTGATCTGTTTTAAAGCCATAGTTTACATTTCCTATTTAGCCACAATTTTGTGCTATGTAACGAATTGCAGCAATTGTGAAGGTGTATGCGATGGTTGTGAGCGCGCGGTTTCTTTCGGAGTTTACTGTATGTATAGCGATTACCAAACCCCACGGAGTTGGTTACGCTATCATGGTTCAGCGGGATGTGTTAAGCTGAATACAAGCTAGAGTTCTGCTGCTCGTCTGATTGATACACGATGTTTATTTTTTTGCTTCCACGCATACTACACTGATTCTTTACATATTTGGATTTGGTGGAACCTAGTTTTCTAAGGTTTCTATTCTTTTTATCTACTTCTTTCTAGCAAAGGTATAAACAGTATCCCAAACAATTTCGAATTGAAAGTCGTCCAGCCATCCCATTTCTTGCCTTAATTCGTCTACAAACTGTTCAGCAATATCCTTGTGTGTAGAGCCAAACTTCTTCATCCAGGTGTGGTAAGCACTCCAACTTTGTACATATTCTAAGACAGTTTGCAAGGTAACAGTTCTAGCAATGTATAAAGTGGTCCTTTCGCTTGTTCTGTCAGCGTGGTATTCTTTTCTTACTACGTCGGTATACAAATCAGAAGGAACTTCTACTTCCTTTAAGAGTGTTCTTAAGAAATTTCTACCTGGTTGTTCCCAAGATGGACCCATGTACAACTCACTACCGTCTGGGCCGATCTCTTCCCCATAGCAATACTTGTCATAAATTTCATTCGCTTTAGGGAAATCTACAAAAATTGGATCTTTGTAAAACCAGTAGGCTAATGTTCCACCTGGTTGCAAGATTCTGTGACTTTCCTTAAAGAACCTAGGATGGTCAACCCAGTGACAACATTCTGCCCCAGTTAAAAGGCTAACAGAATTTGCAGCAATTTCTTTGGGGGCCTCTTCAGCAGGACCTACAAGGAACTTCACATTCTCATGCTTGGTGTTGTTCTTATTGCAACTAGCAATCATGGTGGGAGAGAGATCAGTTCCGATAACATTATCAAAATAGCTAGCAAGTTTAAAGGTTACAAATCCTGAACCACATCCAATATCAACTGCCAATTGGTGATTAGAGTCTTTCCCTTCGTTATGATACGACATTAAGGTGTCATAAAATTCATCAGGGTAGCTGGGTCTTGCGGAATTGTAACGACTAGCGTTAAACGAGGTATCTGAATAAGTAGCCATATTGTGAAGAGTAGCTAAAGTAGAGATTGAATTTGTTGGTTTAATTAAAGTTTAGAAGTAGTATTAATCTAATAAAGTAGGATTACTATACCTTTTATATCGTTGGTCGTTAGGCAACTTTCACTAGAAACCTTAATGGGGTATACCTCTATGGACCGGTTCAGGGCCGAAACCGGCGGGTCACGTGATTGTATGGGGTAGTCCCTACTTATCTATACCTTTTTGCATCCATTACTCATACAGTGGTGTGTCATACAATTGGCAGGGGGCTACTGCATTGTCTATTGAGTCAGAAGTGCGTTCATTCAAGTCTATGTAACGGGTACTGCTTGGTTTTTTGTTCAAATCAAATTTCAATTTTTTACGAATTTTATAGACAGAAAAGCAAAATTGCAAAGATGTATCCTATATCTCTGATACAGGGCCTTTATTCAAGTTTACTGGGTAATTTGACCTCTCCATCGCCTTCTTCTACACCGTACATCTCTGAAATTCTATTATTCTTAAAAAATTTTGCATTTTTCTCAAGACTACGTATAATTTAGATTACGACTCAACATAAATGGGAATTTCCATCAAAGGGTTTAATACTACATGTGAGCTGAGTAGATTCTAAATTGCATTTGATAAATAAAAGTACATAACGTCTGTTGTAAGACAGAGAACTGTTCAACTTGTCTATATATATATGGTTCGACTTTGGTTAACAAGATGGAAGCTGCTTGTTCTTATTAGCAGCCGACTAAAGTGTTCTTAGGGAAGCTGTACCCGGCTTGTTCCCACCCAGTAAGGTTGTTGTTGCTGTATGCATTCAAGTGACTTTGAATGTAATCATAAGTTGGAAAATCCAGTGGGTCACAAGTCACATTGATGTCATCCTCTGGTTGGTACACTCTGACAAAATCGATACTGAACGTAACTGGGAATGAAATCGCAGCCCAATCAATATACGCCCAATTATTTGAAATACCCAAATTGAGAACTATTGACATTGGTTCCTTTGAAATCCTTCTCCACCCAATATTTCCATTTGGAGCAAGTGCATACGCGTGAACTGTGAGTGTTGGTTCACCGACATACCAAGTAACATACCCATCGTCATCATCGTTAAGGTACTCGAATCCATATGTTTGGAAATTGTGTTCCAAGCCACTTCCATATTGGTACCACGTTGAGTTTAATGTAGTGGTACCCGAAACGGCCTGCTGAATTGGTCCCCCTGCGTATGTGTTTACAGTTGTTACAGAAGCATTATGTATAGCCAAGAAGCTATAGTCGGGCATGTACCAAATATCCATGGGTGCGATTTGCATTGATTGTGAAGCCACTCCAACATTCTTAGTAGTATCCGTCTCAGCTTCAATAGCATCGATTTCAGGAGCTCCTCTTCCAGTCCCTGGGTTTGGATGATCTGCATTTTTACATGTGCACGAATTCAATTTTTGACCTGGAAGGTAAGAGATACCATCAGGAGAAGATTGATTTGGAGTGATGCCCGCATCACAGCTATCATAAGTATAGGGCCACACACCTTCCGTGGAAGCCATATAACCTGGACGACCTAAGTTACCCATCGACCATAAACCTGGCCATAATCCAGACACATTACCATAGTTGGGTAATCTTGCGCTTATCTCAAGCATCCCCTGTGTAAAGCAAAATTTATTCCAAGACTGTACCATACCAGAACGGTAGAATAAATCATGATTTTTATAAGCATCCATTCTCAAGTTTAACGTTCCATTTTCAGTAGAGGCAGCATCTGGGTCATACCATTCCAAATCTTTAGTCCCAGCGTACCAAATATCCACAGCTTGCCAGAATTGGTCGTCTCCATCATAAAAGGTTCTACCTTCCACGTTGAATTCATCTGAGAATACCAACGTCCAAGAGTCTCCATTCTTTACTGTTTTGGTTAACACATCACTTGGAGTATCTGGGTCAACCAACAGCCTCAACGCGCTAAGCGTAGGATATTCATATTGAGTCAATATCTCGTATGATTCTGGAGTGTATTTGACATTAATGTTACTGTATGTAAGCAAGGGGAGAACCACAAATAATCCTATTGCACCTAGGAAAAGCGCAATAACCCCCAAGAGTCCACCTAGAGATCTCCTGTCCAAGTTTTTCAAATCGTACTTGAACCTATTTCGATCATAAGCGGCATCCTCAATAGGATCTGGGTTATGCAAGTAATCATCAGGCTCCTTCTCATCAATATGGAGCGGGAAAGACGAGGCAGGATATCCACCAAAGGGGGAAAAATCGTATGTTTCAAGCATAAACGGGTCTAAGCCACGAGTATTATTACTTTTCATGTCTTCGTTCGAGTCCTGCTGTATCTTACCGTTTTTCATTCTGTATCCCATCAGGTTTAAAGAGCTGCTGGACACAACCCTCGAGCCTATTCTTGAGGGAAATCGGTCGTATTCAGCTGGACCCTTAACCCATCCAGCGTTAAGGTTATTGTTACTGTCGCCTCTTAAATTGCTGATATTTGTATTGGTAGTATTATTAATATTATTGTAATCCTCAGACAGGGAACTTTCATTGGAAAGCAAATTTGCAGTGGTACCATTTGGAGAGTCGTATGTCGCATACGTTCTCGAGGGGGGCGATTCCGAAGTCTCAACTTCGTCTTGAGCAAAAGGGTTCGCCGTCCCTTCGTCACTGCGAGGTGTATTCAGCGTTAAATGGCGTACCATATTGAGTGTTATGTGCGGCCTAGTAGATTAAAGAGCAATGCAGGAACGCAATCGTTCAAAATCCTAACCTTCTCCTTTTAAGACAAGAAACAGCACCAAATATATGCTACGGTCTGCGTTTTTTGTACTTTTTATTATGAAGCCAGTGTATACAGCTTCTCTAGTGTACCCTAAGCAACGCAATATCTCTAAAACCCCAGTGGTGGTGGTGGGAGGAGTTCGTTTCTAAATATAACTGCTGGAAGGAGTTCGTTTTTTTTTTTTTTCCTTTTTCCCAGCCTGCTCTAATTGTAAACCTCCTAGAGCTAAATTTAAATCTATTTCAGGCTGCTTTGAAGGCTAAAGTTGATTAGAATTCTCTATCTTAGATGTGTATTCTGAGTGTGCGAAATTTAGAACTTATCGCTACAAATTTACACACTTTTAGCTCTACTTATATAAGAAAAGCAAACACAAGTCCCCCAAGTTTTTAAGCCAACACCTCCTTTGTTGTGAATCACTTCATGCAAATTATTTTGGTTATTTTTGTATGCTGAGGTCGCGGGTGATGTGGGGTGCGCATGCAGGAGACCATCGTTTTGGTGGTAGTTTTTCTTGAACATTTCAAGTTCGAGGACCAAACGCAGCCGCACAAGAAAAGCCAAGGGCATATAAGAAAAACAAGAGCCGGGAATGAAAACAGTTAAGAAAAAATGGAAAGAGAAGTCAATGGGAGCCCAAGAATATCCAATGCGTGTGCTTTGCTTACATAGCCTGGAATTAAGTTTTGGGTTTGTGTAAGTTAATATCATTAAGTTTTTATACTCTAGCTGTAGGTATATTATTAAAGTTTTCTTGAATTCAGGGATCATTTTTTATGTACGGTGTTTAATTAATTAAAGTTTGATCTCAGTCCTGTGTAAAGTAAGATCAAAAGCCAAAGTGATTGGGAAAAGGTTCACAACGGATGGTTCAAAGTATTAAAGTAGCTATACCAGGTAGTGAAAAGTGGGTTTCTGGGTATACAAAGACAGTAATTCTCTAATTTTGTTCAACTTATGATCCCAGCTTTGCAATTTTCCATTTCTGTTTTCTCATCAGTCCACGGTTCGGATTCGCCTTGGGCCAGTGGTAAAAGCAATATGAGACTACAAATTCCCATCCTCCCCATATACCCTTCTTCTCTTTCATCTCAGGTATGTTTTTTTCTTGTAACCTCCTCATATATCCTTTCTTCTCTTGGATCTCAGCTATCTGTTTTCTTGTTAATTCCTCAAATATCCTTCTTCTCTTCAAATTCCAATGTATCTTCGCTTGTCGATTCCTCCATATCTTGGTTCACTCTGATTTCAGAGACTTGTACGCTCGTCGAAGCCTCCAATCCTATCTTAGGATTCTTACTCTTTGCTGCCTTTCTATTCTTCAAGAATAATCTATACTTTTCCAATGTAATTTGATGCTGTTCACTCCTGTATTCCTCTACAAATTCATATTCGGTCTTGAACATTCTGTCCCAAATGGTGAAAAATGGCTGGGAGAAATTGTGCTTAATTCCCCAAATCTGATGGTGAATGTCATGGTATACCGAATTGTTAGGGAAAATGATTTGAAAGAGATCGTAAGGAAGTCTGTATCCGCAGTGGTCGTCCACCGTCTTCATGGTAGCAAAAGTGTAAAGAAAGATAGACTCACGGGCTGAAAGTTGGGTGATAATACCAGCAACCCCAGTTCCAAGAGTGTCAAGCAAGAACCCTTCAACTGGATCATTATACAAGGCACCATACGCGTATGGAACATAAAGACGGTGGTGTCTTGAATGGAAACGCTTATACAAAGTCTTGTTAGTATGCATGTAGCGATGGAGCCAGTACTGCCATGTATCAATTATGCAAATAGCAGCCACTAGCCGAAAAGTTGGCCACAAGTACGTGTACATGAACCAAACAACTACGTTTGGTACAAACAGCGGCAACCACTGTCTCATGTGCCACATGAAATTAAGTTCATGCCCTATCGTGGATGGAGGATCTATCCTATACACAACATAGCCTACAACAGTTTGGATTATGTGCTGAAGTATCACGTCGTATACAACTTGCCTGAGTGTGACCTTGTTTCTTGAAAGTTCCTCCTCCGAAGGGTGGATTCTATACTTTTCCGCCAATTCATAAACATCAATAATATGGAAGAATGAGGAATACGTCCAGTAGGCCACAACTGGTGCTATAAGGGCAAGAATCCCATCGGGCAAGCCTTCAATAAGCGATGGCTTTAACTGTGTGAAAGTTGGAGGTGGATGCACTTGTGATATGAGTGAAATATTTTGTGGGGGGAGATAGCCTCCTAAGGTATCTACAAACGAAAAATTCATACCAGTATCTTCTTGTTAGCTGTAAGTCTGAATATACTGCGATAACGCGTTAGTATTTTATAGTAGTGATCTGGCGAGTAGTAATCTTTCACTTCCTCCGTCACCTATGATGATGAAAATATTTACAAATGTTTAATTTGGTGTTGCACTTCTGTGTGTCTTGGAGCTGCCTAGTGGCGTGTTGATATTTTGTGATGTTTTCTGATCAAGTAACTCGCTCTAAATTTTCTGAATTTTCGCACACTGTACTTTCCTTCGTTATATTAGTGCGTTCCCAGATGGCAAGTGGAGATGTGGGAGTATTTTTATTTTTCCTCTGTGGTGATTTTAGGGGCGGTTTAAATCGGATGGGGCACCAAGTGACGATGTTTTGCGATGACCGCAGGTTTGAAAAATATTATGATAGAAAATGAAAACAAATACAGCGTATGCAGGAGTTGCTATCAGCATGTCCGATTTAGGGCACTGATAGGAGTTTACAAGCTACTTAAGAGGTTAAGGGATGGCCTAGGGTACGGAAGAGGATGCCAGTTGGGGGGGACAGAAAGGGGAAAAGGCAACTAGGTAGCTGAGTTTCTGGGGTATAGGAGTAGCATTGTGGGCTGTTTTCCACTTTCTTGGGAGTCTTCGCTAAACTGGAGACTTCAATCCGATCAATCGCATATGGGAATATGCAGTACACCAAATCCAGAACCATGGGCACATTTGTCATAGTCATCTCCATTTAAACGCTTAGGAATCGTAGAAATTCTAGACCGTCGTCGAATGACTTGGATTTGTTTGTAATCTGGGGTGGTAGGACGGGACTTTTGCTAGTTCCTTCAGTAGTATGTGACTTTCACTGCTGTTGGTTCTCTATCTTTGTTGCATATGTTTTGTATGATTATGTAATCATCACCAGACAAAAATAGGGGCACCTGGAATGGATTAACCTATTATCAATGCTTAGAGTACAATGGTCCAAATTGTAGAGGTGGATTAGTTGTGTGTACTAAACTCCAGTCTCCCTGGTACTCGGGATTAATTTTTTTAATTTTGTAGTTGATTTGGAGGTGCATATATTTCTATAAAGATGAAAAGATGTATATTATCGTACATTTTTCGTAATATCAGATATTATACCCATAAAGATGTTTCCATCTCCCTTAAAAATGCCCCCGTTTAGAGATTAATTAATAAAAAGCCATTTCACTTATATAGCAATTATCAAATAGCTTTTTCCTGGCCAATATGATACTTCCCTGGTCAGTTTGAAAGGCTAGTGTGACAATTACGTTGCAGCCCTATATTAAACCCATACACCCACCAGAACTATATGCACTCCAATATTGATACTCGATCACCAGAAAGAAAAAATTACAGATAATGCCAAAAGCAACGACTACGACTTCCTTAAAAGCACATACATACATACTCAATCCACATTTAATATGTCTAAATCAACAAGATATTCAGGGGATGATATATGGAAAAATAATGTGGAAAAAATTGTAAGTAAATGTAGAGAAATGAGGACTAATTGTTGAGTTAAACTGAACTGCTCCTTCAAGAGTAAAGCATCTGAATATCGTTTGCACTCCTCGACAAGCTTTCTATAGCAAGAATTATCACGGAAGTCTCTCTTCATGCAGAAATTTATATAATGGATTGAGAAATTCATTGATAGTAACTAGAAGAAAAAGGAAAAAGTAGGCCATTTTTTGGATTTGGACTCTCACGTTTTAGATCTGTATTAACTTGATATATGGTACTAACAAGAAATTATAGAACTCCGAACTATTTAATCTCACCTATGGGTCAGTTGTCTCACAATTATGCAGAGATTATAGCAACAATTACGCAGAAGTAAATAAGCAACTAGATAAGATGGGTTACAACATTGGATTGAGACTTATAGAGGAATTTCTTGCAAAGACTGGAGCGCAACGGTGTCAAACTTTCAAAGAAACGGCAGAAATGATTTCAAAAGTTGGATTTAAGATATTTTTAAACATACAGCCAATAGTGTCCAATTGGACTGCCGACGGAAAGACATTTTCATTGATATTCCCCGAAAATCCATTATCAGAATTTGTAGAATTGCCAATAAATAACAACCCTAACAGCTCTGAAGAATTGTGGTACTCTCAAATTTTATGTGGGGTATTGAGAGGTGCATTACAGATGGTGCAATTGGACGTTGAGTGTTGGTTTGTAAAAGATGTTTTGAGAGGAGATGACGCGACTGAAATGAGATTGAAATTGAATAAGATCTTGAAAGATGAAGTTCCTGCCGGTGAGGATTGAAAGTAAGTAGTTAATAAACGGGTCTAAAGGTAATAAAAGGGCAATTAAAACTGTACATTAGAAATGATACGTATGTAGAAGGGCTTCGTTTTGCTCAGGTACTCCGCAGGCATAACTACCACATTGCAACCTTTTTCTTCCTTCCTTTGCCTAAAACGGAAGATATGCAGCACCTTCAGGTACCACTATTTTGATTACATGTGGGAGATGGTTGGTAGAAGGCTAACTGTCATGCATATACTCCCATCTTTTTATACTCTCATTTTCCCTGGCTGCTCGCACTCCGTACTACAGACTGAGCTAATACATGGGTCACCGGTGCCATAGTCCGATTCGCACGGCATGGTTATGATTTTTTCTCTTGCATCGTTAGATTGCCATTTTAACTATTTGTATGTGGGAGGGGAAGACAGATGGAAACATGCACTGATGACTAAAGTATTTACTTTCTGCGTGTTCACTTCCTTGTAAATCTCTTTTCCGCTACCATTACACTACGTTTGCTTGTAATTGAGATCGCTTAGTTGCTTTAGAGAGAATTCAATAGTGTTATTCTGCTGAACTCTACCAATTTGTAGAAAAATGATTCAAGATAATATGAAGAGCCCACCAATTGGCGAAATGGATGGCAATTTTCTCTTCAATTGGCTCCACATACTTGCGTATGACTTCGTCTTATGGTTCTTTTCCTTAATTATCCACACTTACTTTAGAGACATTGAGTCTAGAGGTGTTCAGTATATTCCCAAAACTGGCCCCATTGTGTTTGTTATCGCACCTCATGCCAATCAATTTGTAGATCCACTTGTGGTGATGACCAAGGTAAAGGATCATGCAGATAGACGTATCTCGTTTTTGATTGCCGCCAAGTCATTTAGACAAAGATTCATTGGATTTGCTGCACAGCTAACTGGAGCTATTCCTGTCGAAAGAGCACAAGATATTTTAAAAGCTGCTACTGGAAAGATCAAAGTTGAAGAGTTTGACGAAGAAACTGTAATTACAGGTGAAGGCACTAAATTCGAAACCGAGTGTATGGCTAAGGGATTAATAGGCTTGCCCAATTCTTTAGGAAACGCTCAGATTGACAGAATTGAATCAGATACTAGATTAATCTTGAAGAAACCCATTAAAGTAAACCGTAAATCACCCTCAGAAAAGGATGCCAAAGTTATTAAAATGCTAGAAGAGGGAACGTCTTTTAAGACTGCTCCTCACATAGATAACGATGTAGTGTTTAGGAATGTGTTCAAACATTTAAATGACGGCAAAGTTTTGGGGATTTTCCCGGAGGGTGGTAGTCACGATAGACCAAGTTTATTGCCATTGAAGGCCGGTGTTGCAATTATGGCACTTGGGGCAGCTGCAACTTCAGAGAACCTGACCAACATCAATGTGATTCCAGTGGGCTTGAACTATTTCCACCCTCACAAATTTAGATCTAGAGCAGTCGTAGAATTTGGCAAGCCTATAATTGTAGACCATGAAATGGGTCAAGAATACTCCCGCAATTCAAAACAGGCTATAAGTAATCTACTTGCAACTATTACTGCTGGACTAAATGAGGTCACTGTAACCTGTAATGACTATGATATAATGATGGCGCTTCAGGCAGCAAGAAGACTTTACACTTCAAATGATAGGGAAAATATTCCAATTTCAATGGTTGTCGAAATGAATAGAAGACTTGTCAAGGGATATGAAAAGTACTCTGAAGATCCCGAGCTTATTAGAATAAAAGAGGAAGTTAGTGCATACAATAAGAAATTAAAACAAATGGGCCTTCATGATTATCAAGTGGATGGACTTACAAGTCTGAATAGATTGAAGACCTTCGTAATGTTTGCTGACAGGTTGTTCAAAGTGTTTTTATTTTTGGGACTACTGCTTCCTGGAGTTTTCTTATTCCTGCCTGTTTTCATAGTAGGTAAAAGAATTTCGAAGAGAAAGGCAAAGGAAGCATTAGCTGGACTGCTTGTTAAGATTAAAGCGAATGATGTATTGGCCACATGGAAGATTTTGGTTGCAATGGGACTTGCTCCTGCTTTGTACGTGTTTTATAGTATCATTGGAACTATTCTCATAGTCAAGCTGCAAGTATTATCATCATACTACATCCCAACTTGGTTTATATTTTTAATTTGTTATGGTTGGTCCGTATTGACCACATACGCATCGTTAAGAATAGGTGAAATAGGGGTAGATTATTACAAGTCGCTCAAACCGCTATTCTATTCTGTCTTGAGCCACCACTTAGATGTCAACCAGATTCAAAAATTGAAGGAGCAGAGGAAGCATTTATCTAAGAGCGTAACTGATTTCTGTAATCTGCATGGTCCTGGTCTCTTTGATGACTATGAAAAGTTCTACCGTGAATACAACAACATTCAGGATGATTATTATAGTGAGTCTGATTCCTCCACGAAGGAGGAATCTGCCAAAATTGCAGCGGACAAGGGACCTACATCAAGTGTTTCCTTTTTCCAGGGATTATCCGACTTGGACAATCTTAATTTAACTGACAATTTGGGAGATGTTCCTATTTTCTCCAGAATTATTGGAGAAGATGATTCTTTTGACGAAGAGGGAGAAGAAGAGAGCGCTGAGGAAACTGAAGATCATGAGAAGGTGCCTGATAAGGAAGCAGAGAATAAAGAGCAAACTAACTCGAAGGATTCGCATGTAAGACAGAGAAGGACCAAAGCGGACAACTGAGCCAGAGAAAGGGGTTGAAAAAGCACGAGAGTGAAGAGCCACTGGTATTGTATAATTTTAACAATTTAATAAACGTTTCGTAAGGACAGAAAGAGAGGTTTTTTTAGATTCAGAACAATGCAGGCATTGGGCCTGAGCTTTGTTACTTGAATTTCATATGTAATGTTCAAGTAGCTTATTCTGTGCCTGGTAAAATTCCGAAACGTGAATAACACTTTTGCACTAAATGCTATGCGGACACACTACTTACAGGTTCTAATATATCATTGTGATCACTCAGCTCATCAAAACGTGGATGGCCAGACTTTCCAGTAGTTAATCCGGTGGCTCAGAATTTGCTAATAAGCTTCACCAGCCAAGCGCGGGCTGTGGGAAGGCACCTGCAACCTTTGCAAGCGTGAAACAAATTCGCGATTTGTCCCTGATTTTCACTCACCACATGGTAAATTGTTGCGAGCAGAAGAGATGTCAGGCAGACGAATAGCCAAAAGAAGTCTTACACGAACGGAAAACATCAATAAAAACAAGAGTGGTGCATAACTCACAGAGGTGACATATGTTATCAAAATTCTCGTACCACTCATTAGACATTCCTGGCTAGTTTATGGAATGCTCACAGCCAGTGGGTGCAAACTAGAAATAGTAAAATTCATCTAGCCAGGAAAAACGCGCACCATTCAGGGCTCAGAAGGTTGAAGGGGCAATGTAGCAGCTCTAAATCGTGAAACATCTGTGCTACGCATTGGAAATGGCGACGGCTGCCAGTAATATATATATATATATATATATATATATATATATAAAAGGCTTCACCTACTTCGATTGAGCTAAATAGTTTAATTTCTGTTTCTCATCAAAAAATCGTTTATCATGAAGCTCGCATACTTACTTTCACTCATAACTGCTGCCTTGGCTACACCTGTACCAGCAAATAAAGATCTCAGGCCATCTTCAACTACTGCCCTCGTGGTTGCATCGAGCTCATCGTTAGCGCTGAACACATTTTCAACTTTGATTCCATCTTACACTCCAGTTCCAAGACAATTGTCCAAAGAGGAAATTCACTTTAACAACAAGGAAGAACTTGAAAAGAGGGCAGTACAAGCTGAAAAATCGAATGTAGAATACGTAAAAAGGTCTGCACCAGTTCCGGAACCAGAAGTAGTGGAGTATAAATTGGAGTATTGAATCAAATAAGCATTCGAAAAAAAATAAACCCAATAAAGTGCAAATCTTACACTTTAGGTAGTACACATAGAATAGCCCAGAAGGTCCCACAAATGTTTCATAACGAAGTTAATGACTAATGATATATAAAAGTAATGAATGAATTGATAGAAATGCAAATCCACGTAGTACACTATTCACTATTCAGGGTATAAGTGGGAGCCGAAGCTAGTACAGCTTTATTCCAGTAACCAGGTTAGCCATTCACCTGCCATTAGCCTGCCATTAGGCTTATACATATCGACTAGCTAACTCCATTCCGAACCTCTCCTTTCACCAGTAACCTTCTAGCTTCTCTCGTAAACGGGACTTCTTGGAGTCATCTCCTGCATGGAATCAGATTAGTACATTTCTTTTTCTCATCAGCAAGTCCAAACTAAATATAGCTGCCGCTGGAACCTGCATGCACCACACACTTATCGGTGGCAACGAATCTTTTTCAGCCTCAACTCATGCCATTTTCGGTGACATGGTCAGGAAAAAAGAAACAATTTTGTTCGGCCCAACGTCACCACTAACCATACAGAATAAATAGGCTACCTGTTTTCTTGATTTCAAATTAATCTTTTTCTATCTTTACACGCCTAAACACCAACAAAAACACAAAAACTTTTACCAAGTATTTATATATACATAGACATCATCTTAGATATATATAGATCTAGACACAGCTAACGAAAACTGAAGAAGGAGCTCCGTAATATAATAGTGATTCCTTATCTTTAGATTTCTTTTTTTTTTGTTTTTTGATTTTCTCATCAAATTACTAATACTCCCCCCTTGCCAACAACAACAAATATGAGACTCACTATCAGATTAACTACAAACACTTCATACTCACTCACAGTGCCAGATAACTCAACTGTGCAAGATCTCCGTGCTTCCGCCAAAGTAGCATGCCCCTCGACTGCAAAACTCCCAACTGATTTCAAACTTATTTTCAATGGTCAGAAGCTTGATCCTTACTATAAGTCCTTACTGGACTTTGGAATCAAGGAAGATGGTGTTACCATAATTTTAATGTCTAGTGGTGCAGCATCTCCACTTTCCTCGCCAAGTTTAGGTCCAACCACAATTATCAGAAAAACTGCGACTGGTGCAACTACATCAACGAAGTCTAAGAAGTCCAAGTGCTCATTCAAGTCTTGTGGATCCGCTCCTTTACGTATGGTGGGCGAATGTTCTCATTGTATGGGTAAATTTTGTGCTAAGCATCGTTTACTTGAAGATCACCACTGTCAGGACTTACAATATTGTAGGGATTCCGCACATGAAAGGAATGCTATGAAATTGCACAATGAAAGCACCCTTGCTTCCAGCAAGGTATAATTATGATGATAACGTTTATATTTCTTATACTAATAACATTTAGAGTTGTTTTGGTTCCGGTTTTTTTTCTTAGAGTAGCGTTAGAAGCATTTTAATGGATATCTTTTTAATAATATTACTATGATTTGTATTCTATATAGATTAAATTTTTGTATTCATATTATCTAACTTACACTTATACTTGAACTTTCACCTTTACTTTTCAACTTCTTTTTATTTTGTGGCTCACTCTATCAAGTTATCTAAAATGTCCTGGTACTTTCCCTGGGTAGCTTTATTAGCCCTTCTCAAAATCTTTTCTGCATCCTTGTACAACTTTTCTTGCTCTGGGTCCTCAAGGTTGTACATATTTCCAAGAGAGATCTTTGCTTCAGCAACTGGCACCCATGTCTCAGGTTCATCCTTATCTTCGGCTTTTTCAAAGTAACCACAAGCGGTTTGGAACAACTCCTGAGCGATCTTTTGTGCCTCAGATGTAGTGAGCCCTTGTAATTCGGTTATTCCCTCGTAATCATCATCGTAAGTGAGTGTTGTATATACAGAGGATGGGATATCGGCTTCTTGGAGATATGATTGACCGAGCCTTTTGCATAATTCTCTATAAAGAGCGGCATTAGTTTCGACTGAAACTTGGTCCAAGAATGAAACTGTGTGATCTCTCCACCACTGGTTGTACTTGTCTGAAGTGGCGATTTCGTATAAGGGATGGGATTCAGATAATTCTACGTCATTTTCGTCTTCATCATCGTCTTTATCTTCATCATTTTCCTCATCTTCATCGTCATCATCTTCATCAGGACCCTTTTCCTTTCCGAAATTGTCTACAATATCCAACAAATCATCCAATGCTTCGAGGAAGGTCAAGTTCTCTGATGTAAAGTGGACTGTCGTTCCATCTTTTCTCTCAATAGCCTTGGATTCGGCATTTCCGTATACACTTAAAGCCTCATCTAGCTTCTCTTCAAGTTTTAATTTCAATTCTTCCTTTTTGGACTCTAAAGTAAGTTTTGATATGTATTGTAAGGGTATCCTGTTGATCAATATTCTACTCTTTGCAAACAAAAGATCAATAGAGTTTGGATATTTTTCGAGTCCCAATTCAATTCTTTCGAGAGAAGCTTGGAAGAACTCATCAATTTTATCAATTTTTTCCTCTTCAGTATGGAAAAGAGCGAGGTCAGCCAAAGCCAATGCGTATACAGAATGGAAATAGTCGGGAATTGCATCTTGCTTCGATTCATCCGTATTAGAGCTCGAGTTTCTCAATATTCTATCACACTCATGAATAATTCCATTAAGAACCAATTCGTTTTCCTTCTCCGACTTCGAATATGTCTGCCAGAGTGCAACGACTTGAGCGATTTCATCATCTGCATCAACTTCGTCATTCAACTCTACTGTCAATTCATTGCTAGCAACGTTTTCCGCAGATTCTTCGCTGCTTTCCACTTTTTGCTTTTTTTTGGTTTTGGCGGCCTTACCTAATCCAAGATGTTTTGATCTTTTAGCCATTATGAGATTGAAGGTGGTTTTCTATGTACAATAAAGACTATGTGATTTCTTTGCATAGTCTTAACAGAATTTTTCACTGTACTTCTGGAACCTCGTGATGATCTTCGCATATACTGCATACTGCACCAGCGAATGCAATGAAAGGTGATATTGATTACATGCATGTGCAGGAAGAAACTGCATGCGAATGAATCTTATACATGTTCACGTGACATGTGGTAATCAGAAGAGTAAGAAATTTTCAGTATGAATACTCCAGACTATATCTGAAGAGAATGAAATAATGATTACATTTGTTTGCTTCATTCATATCTCATCGTTATATCAATCAAGAAATGACTAACATACTAACGTCATGGAACTGTAAGGACGAATGTCATTTAGTTATAGGATCTTCTAATGCAGCAGCGTTAAGAGTACTGGCTATATTGAAAGCAGGTGCCAATCCAGTTGTAGTCACTGATAACGAAGACATATCGCCAATACTATCAACCTTGAAAGATGAGCATAATTTCAATATCATAACTTCTCCTTTCAATATAAGTCAAATAACGACTTTGGGAAGAGAAGATACAGATGGAATATTCGACAAGGTGTTTGTTTCACTTCCTTTATCTAAGATCGAATCAAAGAGGGACATCTACAATACATGTCGTAGATTAAGAATTCCCGTTAATATATCTGATTCCCCAGAATTTTGTACTTTCACTATATTGTCCACTTACACAGATGGAGACTTCCAAATGGGAGTAACTACAAATGGCAAAGGCTGCAAACTAGCTTCGAGAATCAAACGAGAGTTATCGACTACTTTACCCAAGAACATTGGTGATATATGTGAAAAGATCGGAGCCCTTCGTAAAAAAATTCAACTTGAAGATGAGTGCGACTCATTGCTGAAGAGAAAAGATATTGGTGAAGACGATGACGATGCTGTTAACGGATCTAAATTTAATTCGTTGGTGGAGGAATTCAATATGACTCAGGAAGAGAAGAAATTGCAGAGGACCAAATGGCTCTCTCAAATTGTTGAGTATTACCCATTGCAGACATTGGGTGAAATCTCCATCGAGGATTTGAGTGTTGAGTTTCATAAAAGCAAAATGGTTGCAAAAAACGGTACGGACACGACCAACAAACGAAGCCTGGGTGATGAACAAGCTTCAATTAAAAGAGCTAAAACTGGTAAAATTTCCTTAGTGGGGTCTGGTCCTGGAGCTGTTTCATTACTTACTGTAGGTGCTATTGAAGAAATATTTGCAGCAGATCTTATTTTGGCTGACAAACTTGTTCCTCAACAAGTGCTCGACATAATTCCAATGCAAAGAACAAACCTATACATTGCCAAAAAGTTTCCTGGTAATGCTGAAAGGGCCCAAGAAGAGCTCTTAAAATTAGGGTTAGAAGCATTGCAAAAAGGGCAAAGAGTTGTAAGATTAAAACAGGGAGATCCGTATATTTTCGGAAGAGGTGGTGAAGAGTACAATTTCTTCGCCGAAAATGGATACAAGCCGAAAGTACTCCCTGGTATAACACTGGCATTGGCCGCACCTGTTTTGACAAATATTCCTGCTACCCATAGAGAGGTTGCAGACCAAGTACTAATTTGTACTGGTACTGGTCGTCGTGGAACTTTGCCTAATCTCCCTGAGTTCATCAAATCGAGGACCACAGTATTTTTAATGGCTTTGCATAGGATTGTAGACTTGATTCCAAAGTTGATTGAAGAAAAAGATTGGGACCCAAAATTACCAGTCGCAGTAATTGAAAGGGCTTCTTGTCCTGACCAAAGAGTTATTAGGACTACTTTAGAAAATGTTGCAGCAGCAGTCGAAGCCAATGGTTCAAGACCACCAGGTTTGCTTGTAACTGGATACGCATGTGAAGTGATTGAGAAGAATAGTGCCATTGACGAGAAGAATAAGTGGGTTGTGTCCGAGGGTTGGAGCAACGAAAGTTCGTTTGGTAGCTTAATTCCACTATTGGGAAAGAAGGAGGAAAACTAGCATTTAGCATAATATTTATTTATACATTAATACAATAGAATCATAGAATGATATCAAAACGTAAATTTATCTTGAAACTATGAAATTGGACACTACTACGTAGTTATATGTTTTCCCCAGGCAAATGGTTGCAACCTTCAGGAACAATCAATCAATACTGCATACAACACATTTCGGTGGTCCATGCGATTGTTCGGTTAATTGATAAATGAACGAGTAGGTGAACCTCAGCTCTTTACTTGAAGAGTCCAGTGTATAGTGTAATTGTAAATGTTAACATATAGACCTGTAGTAACACGCTGTACAAAATTATTAACCTCACAAAGAAGGTTCTTTAATAGTGGGAAAAAGCCTATCGCATTTGTTTTCGATATCGATGGAGTTCTAGTCAGAGGTTCAAAGCCAATTCCGCAAGCAAGACCGGCACTTGAATTGCTCAATAAATCGAAAGTTCCATACATTCTCTTGACTAATGGTGGTGGCTATACTGAACAGAAGAGAATTGACTTCTTATCTAGCAAAATTGGAATTCCACTATCACCTTTACAGTTAGTGCAATCCCATACTCCTATGAAGGCCCTAGTTAATAAATACAAGAGAGTGATGGTAGTGGGTGGCCCAGATGATTTACCTCGGAAATGTGCACAATATTATGGGTTTAAAGATGTCATAATGCCTATTGATTTGGTCAGACAAGATCCCTCCATTTCGCCTCACCATAGGTTTACTGAATTCGAATTGGAAAACTTTGCAATCCCACCTTCCCAACTCAACTTAGATGTGCCAGTTGAAGCAGTATTGATGTTCAGCGATCCACGTGACATGGGAACGGACATGCAAGTGATCTTAGATCTATTGAACTCTGAAGGTGGGAAAATTGGAACCAAGAGATCCGTTCTTCTGAAAAATGTAGAAGATCTTTCAAAGCCATCTATCCCTATGATCTTCAGCAATAATGATTTCCTCTGGGCAAATGATTATCCGCTTTCAAGGTTTGGCCAAGGTGCAGTTCGTATGATGGTAGAGACATTATATGCAGGCATAAATAAAGGTGCAAAATTGGAGTCAACAATTATGGGGAAGCCCTTCAAGGTGCTGTATGATTATGCACATAACGTACTTATAGATTGGAAAAATAAAATAGATCAAGGCAAGACTTCCGACCAAGACCAAATTTTGCCTGAATTGTATGCTAGTCCGAGCAACCTGCCGTTTGAAAAAATATATATGGTTGGTGATAACCCCGCTTCAGATATCAAGGGAGCCAATGACAACGGTTGGGAGTCATTGCTACTTAGAACAGGCGTATTCAAAGACGAAGATTGGGAAACTGCAGTAGCTCATCCGACTGCAGGACTCTTTGATAATGTGCATGATGCCGTCCAGTTTGCATTAAATCAAAACGGATATAATACTTGAAAATAGAAATTCCGATGTGCAATCTCCTGCACTTCTATCTTTGGTAATTACATTCCCTTGCAGCATATTGATGATTTTTTTTATTGTATTCACCACCATGCGATAGCTCAGCCTTTAGTGAAAAGCAAAAATGATATATATTCCAATGGAACGTAAAACGCACTGATCTGGACTTGCATTTCCAAGAGCCGCGCAAATTACTGCATTATGTCGGATTACTTTCACTACCTCCATTCGCTTTTGAACAAATGTCATACCATGTGTGCGCTACTATATACCAGAATAAGATGGTGCATGCGTTCTTAGGACATAAAGATCGATTCAAAATAGCTGCAGGAAATGACTTTCGAAGAATGAATAGAGGTGCACTACATTATAGAGCTCAAGCATATGACAGAACATGTCAGATATTTATTTTGGTCTAAGGAATTGAATTATTTTTTATGGATCTTATTTTTAAAGTGCTAAATAGAATCTATATTATTACCCAATTACTCGTAAAAAAGTCATCCAAGTGAAAAATGTAATTCCTATTGTGGGATCCAGGAAACGCATTCATATGCAGCTACGTAAATCAAGTTGCAGACACTCCCACAATCTGCACTCACGCAAATACGTACATTTGTTTACGAAGACATAATTTTTTACCCTGAAAAGTGTGATGTTGACGTCAATGAGGCCTTGAGCTCTAGATCTTCTTCTCTTCTACTCTAAAAATTATTTAGAACAGATAAAGCTTGTTCCCTGTTTGCACCATTTTACAGAAAGTGATACTTGAAAAATGCGAGTTTAAATGCGGGAAAATCTCAATAAATCTCCTTGCGCATAAGATCTGCAGATTCGAGCTGTCGCTGAGGCTTATTGAATTGCGCTCGCTCTAAAGGCGGGATTTGACTGCGCGAAAAGCTGCCAATTTGTTTCGGATTTCAACACACTGTGGAATTGTATAGACGTAATTGCAGCAGAAAAGTGACTAAAGGCAGTTATTTTTTATTTTAAAAATAATATTCTCTACTCTTTTATCCGTATCTAGCTCAATAAAATTTGAAACATTAATAATTCAGTTCAGAAGTGAGAAGCTTTGGTTATTCTTATTGAAATCATGATATTTTGTATGTTATAAATCTAGCTAGGAGTTTCTAAGTATTGAATGTTCAGTATTGAAAAAGAGGCTTCAGTAGCGACCAGCACCTTGATCTATTCTATACCTCAGATAGCAATTCGATAACGCAATTGAGTTCCATAAAAAGTAGCAACTTTAAACGAGACGTACTTTAGGACAATAAGAATCTTGTAACCCACAGAATGTTTTACACCATGCAGCGCGCATCAATATGGAGAATCTCCAAAATTGAAGATTTCTCGCTAATATGGACGAAAATGAATCATCCCAGTTTTCATTGTACAATGCTCTTGCACAGATTAGGTGTATGCAAATTTTCTTGCGCCTAACAATAAGGAAATTGACTATGCAACGTGAATCTCAAAGATACTGTTTGTAGAACTAGCATAGTACAATTCAGACAAAGTAAGAACCTCTAGATGCCCTGAAAATTCTCAAGCTCTTCTGTGCAACGCTATCATTCATTACATTGTAAACTTTCCAAGTTAATACTGACTTTATTTGTATTTCTTATTATTACTAAAATCTAAAAAAAAGTAAATTTCAATAAATTAGTGACGAATCATGGAAGGAACCGAGAATGGAGGGAAGCTCTGCCCCATGATTGGAGGCAAGCCCTGTTGATGCATCGTAGGGATCTTCTCGTTTTTTAACATCTCTGACTTGATAGAGATTCTTCTACCGTTCTTTCCCTTACAAACTTTATTATTAAGTACTTCCTCTGCGGCTAATGCAGCACCCTTTCTCTTAACCAACTTAGCGTGGAAAAGTCCACAGGCATTGCATAAAGTCCTCACACCATTGGGTCCCCTTCTCCATTCAGGTGTTTCAGTTGTACCACAACGATGACATTTATTATTAGGTTTGTTGATTACTTCAGGTGTAGCGAACTGGGTACCTGCCACAGTTGCACCATGTTGGAAATATATAGGTTGATAGTAACCTTGATGTCTTTGAAGTTGTTGTTGTTGAGGAGGAGGAGGAGGAGGTGGGCCCTGCACAACTTGCGCTGCCATGTGTCCGGGATGATGGAATGCAGGGATATATTGAGGATAGTGGGTAGGTGGGGAATGATAGTGGGTTGGAGGGGAATGGTACTGTTGACCAGGAGCATGAGTGTGAGTTGGAGCAGGTGGTGGTGGAATATGCTGATGGATAGATTGTTCATGTTGTGGTGGAAGTGGAACTTGTTGGATATGTGGAGGATGAGATTGAAATTGTTGATGACTTTGATGTTCAGGGATCTGTTCAAAAGAAGCTGGAGGTACTACTGGTGAAACAACTCTCTGGTAGTTATGACTTCCCAAAATGTAGTTCGATGAAACATGAACTGGTTTTGTTGGATATTTGTAATTTGTCCCTACGGTGGGTAAGTCTTTCAAGGCACGATCGTCCTTAATGCGAGGTGATAAACTAGGGATGTATTTAGAAGTGGAAGAAGTCAATTCGCTAATTGACGGTAAGCGCACACGGTTGCTTGGAGATGCCATTTAGTACGATTTTGATTTATTATGTAGAAATTTATAGCCAAAAAAACTTTTAGTAATACTACCTGCTTGAATAATTTATGTTTTTGATTAGTTACTCTCTTAGATGAAGTAGACTACTTAGTAATATCCGAGCGTCAATAAATGGTATAATGAAAATAAATTATCAAACCAAAAAAATTAGGAAAATACAAGAACAGCAAAGCCAGGCAAGCATTCCTCTTATATAATAAATTGATGAGAGTAAAAAGAGAAAAAACTCTATGATTATTGTTTCACTGAGCCGCTCGAGAATTTACAGACCCTGAATTAACATGCTCTACAGCATCAATATCAATCAATCTAACGAGATGTGCATGCAAAGTTCGGACGCGCGCAAGGTTACGCATTGAATATAAGGTAATATATTGGGCGTCATGCAACATGTTGCAGGAAATGCACAATGACCGGTTATACTTTACATTTGTTCAAGTGTACCTCACTCCAAAAGAAATTATTATAATCATCTTAGTGTCACAAGTTGAATGGGTATTTGTACTTAGGAAACAAGAAAAGGATGAAATAAAAAAGAGTGTATAATAAGCCGGGTCCAAAATTGTCGCTAAAGCCATGCTCAAGAATACAAAGCGTTAGTTTTTTGAATTCATATTCATTAATAAAACAAAGTGCAAGAATTGAGCATACTCGAGGCGGATATTTTAGTAGCCTGAAAGTGTATTCTGTCTCGCTTCAATGTTGCGTCTCATTCTTCTATGTTTTAGAATAGAAAAAAAAAAACTGTTCCTGAGTTGCAGGCGCTCATCGACAGCGGCGAAGGGCGGACTCGTATGGTAAAATAATGTTCAGCAATCTGCCTCATCTTAGAGAATACGGGCTCATACTCAGACGACGATCTCAATTTCGACATTCTATACATCAGTGGAAGAAATCTAATTTGTAATATACCAAAATGTGAATCGTAAACAGGGTACAATTGCAAGAAAAAAATAAAAACCAGAAGTATGGAGTTGGTGTTTGATATTTATTATGTGATGCGATTTCTACGTTACTATAGGATCAGTCAATTCATTTTCATTTCTCCACTGATGAAATTCATCTGAAGCAAAATAAAAAGCTAATCATCAAGGAATCTCAAAAATAATAGATTTTATGTAGAGCTAAATTTCATCCACGATTTTCTCGGAAATAGCAATAAGAAACTGGCGGGCATAGATCAGTCGGAAGAGTCTAATCCCGGTTGTAAGAAATGGAACATTGGCAAGTGACTATGCATTACTTATATAAAGGAATGCTCGAAAGAGTTTTCTATTTTTACATGCGAGAAGATTATTTTCCACTCAATCAAGAAACATTACTCCGTTTCGTGCAGATAATGCTAACCCAAAAAATTCTAAAATCATCTGTGCCGCATCCAAAAAACACTTATCCGCACAGGTTGAAAATAACCACCTATTCCAAAAGTGATAATGCGTACATGAGTCTAGAGTGCATTTGGGATCCATGCTACCTAGGGAAGCCTAAAAGGCTTAAAATAAGGTTAATGCGCCTAAAAGTCGAATCAGTTAGTGTACCACTGAATGTTCCCAGATCATGTGGAATAAGATACATTACATATTTTTTTATTTTATAGCACATATTTTTTAAATACAAAAGAGGAGAGGTGGTTTTGATTGAAGTTCTCTCAATCAAATGGTGACATCATATAATACATGAGCTACTAGACCAAAAATTAGCGTAACTGTAGGATATATCTCGGAAATACATATAGCCGAATTACAGAAATTGTTATTCTGTTAGTACCAGCTTATTTCAGAAAAATATTCAGTTCATTTCACGTCCCCCACGTAGGATCCCATTTCTGTAACCGTTTGACTATCCTCAGCTCGTAACATTCCATCTCTTAATTGCATATTCATCTAGATTAATTTCAGCATTTGGTGGATCATGTAATAAATCCACTTCGCAACAATTCTAAAATACAATAAAATAGCTCCTGTCGGAAGGCATCATGAAAATATCTTTTTCCTTCCGTTGCGCATGAATCTCAGAATAGACATTCCAGGGTATGCACGATCGATTTGGCATGAACTCATTTTTACACCTTAATTTATTTTGTCATGCATGTAGCAAATCCAACATTGCTTTTCCGAGAGTTACATCTTTCCGTCTCTTTTTGCTTCCTTCTGCTACATCATGTATGTATAGAACAAGTACTATGGGTGATGTAGAAGATGACTTTAAAAATAATATTTTCATGTCATTGATTTGAGTGCTGTCGGATATAATTTATTATACTAATTACACTTCTCAAATAAGATGCTTAACCGCGATTGAAAAATGGAATAATCTTTAGATACCTCTAAAATAACTTTAGCTCAAAGGCGAATACTTTAATGTAAAAGACTAAATCTAATGAAAAGTCCGACATAGGCACACCACGAGAAGTACATAAGTGCGAGAAATGAGAAAAGAAGGAAAGAAAATTAGGCGGTTAAATTGAGCTGATAGACATGAATAGACTCTGTATCATTGACTTCCTTACAACAAAATTTTTTTTGAAGGATAAGAATTCATCCAGAGAATATAGTTTGATCGATTTAATACGAAAAATACTTCGCAGTTATTAGGTGTTGTTTGAACCTAAAAATTTGTGCTCTTGCAGGCTCGTCTTTCAAAAAAAAAATAAACATTACCTAATCTTGCTCGCATATAAAATAAAAGCATCTTAGAATAAGACTTAGATAAAATACTGAATAGATGCGATTAGTAAAAAATTAACAAACTGCTACATTGTAAGCGTCATTTACGCCAGAAAATCAATTACTTCTATCTGCCTCATAGCTAATTTGTATATGTAAGTTACGGATGATATTTTTGCTTGAATAGAAAGAGAATAAACAAATTTCGTCCATTATGCAGCTCGTGCAGATTTACACTCATTCGTTATTGTAAGAAGAGAAGAGCCTATTGAACCCCAGCCTTTGAAGTAGTCGCAGTTAATATGCGATGTAGTTAAATATTTTCTTCCCACTGATAGAATAAGCAGCTTCAGGGCTTGTATTAAGAGAAAACTCTGCAGAGAAGTTGTATCCTTTGATAAGCCATTTTGCTTGTATTTAGCTCTGAAAGGTTCACGAAGAGCCGAATAAAACTAAAACAGCAACCTCGACTGGTATCTTGTAATTAATTCATCCAACAGGAAGGCGGCTATTTTTGGAATTCATCTTACACAAATCTTGAACATTATTTTAAATATTGGAACTGTGCTGCATATGTCCGTTTCATTACAGCGGAATAGACTTTATCCACCCCATTTCTTAGATGGGAATGATAGATATACTTCTTCAAAATATGCGCAAATAGATTTTTGGTTTTTATTGCTAATCTAGGAAATACTGATACACATGTTTGCTTCCGTCATTTAAATTAATATTAGTGAACAAAATAGTATTTTCCAATCAGAGCTAATTGCAACTATATACTTCTAGAAAAGCCTTCCTAGAAAAGGCAAAAGAAAAGCGAGAGGAAGGAATAGCAAAAAGCGAGGAAAATAGAAGAAATGTCGGGATTGTTTCAATTCGAGCCCGCATTTCCGCATTATTTTTTGGATGCATGTGCAACGGGTAGTATCCTACATAGATTGTGCAAATTTAAGCCCACACAATCTGTTAAAAAGTGTTACAGATCGATTTGCCTTGTTGCAAGATTGTAATTGGGGACTTAACGGATACTAAGCTATATTATTTTAATATTATAATCAAAGCCCAACAATTGCATGGCTTTTAATATCTTATTTTCCACTTGAGGAATAATCCCACACCATTTTAACTTTTAGTATCTTTGAACTTAGTGTGGATCTAATCTAGGTTAATCTAAGATGCAACCAAAACAACGTGCCGGAATTCAAAATGTTGGTTTCTATAAAACAAGAAGATTTTCAGGAAGAATTAGCTAAACAATGGCTAGGATTTCTTGTGCTTGTGCAGACTTAAATTTGCTTTTAGCAATAATAGTTTTTGAACAAACACATATTTTTTGTTTTATTCTTCTGAAAGGTCCACCAGCCAGAGCTTTTTTTTAAAGTTTATTCTTTCGTTTCCTTACTTATGCGCCTTTACGCATCCTTTCAGACTGCGGGCGGTCACGATTTCCTATAACAGTAAGCGACGCAGTTGCTTTGCTTGCAGAAGAAATTTGCACATAGCAACGTGTTTAGCTTTACTCTTCAATTTCAGACTTTGTAAAAGTTTCGTTCTACCATTATTTTCTTATTTGGCTCTCATATGGCAAGTATTCCTTTCAGGTGTTGGCATTTTTTTTTCAGCTACAAAGAGATGAAACTCATGCTGCAGATGCTCCTGCCGAAATCGGTTTTTACGAAATTTTGAGCTTTGTGCATGCAGTCTTGATTTCTTTATTTTCTTCCGTGGCGGGGTACGAGAAATTCTTGTCTTATCATGCAGCATCAAATACATCGGAAGTTTGCAGCGTAAAAAATAATTGACATTGACGCCCGAGTTATCTGCGAGGGTATGCCAATGAAAAGAATGAAGAATGAGAGGAATGGGGAAGCAAGGAAGGAACAAACGAGGGAATCCCTCTGGACTAGATTCTAGAAGGAGTGAAAAACGCAAGTTTGTGACGTAGCACATAACTTGAGGCTGAAGAATATAGAATGCTAACATTTATGGTTTTACATAACCAGAAGGGACATCAGCACGGGTTAAAGTTTCTTCCGTCAATGATGAAAAAAAAGTTGAAAGTACAAATCCATATGCTGATGTTGCAGTACAATATCAAACGACCTTAATCAATGAAATTCGATGTATAAGGTTGTATTCTCTTTAGCATTCATACAATTTGCTACTTTCATTCTTGGTATTCCCCTCGTTGAAATTTAATTCACATATATTCTGCTACCTTTCATATTCCCTGACTACCACTCGTTACGAGTTATTCTAAGCTGACGAACAAAGATCACCTTGCTGTGAAGTGATTCTTAACCAGCTTGTTGAGAATATGCAGAAAAAGGATTCGAAACTTAGATTATTGCTTGGAAAGGGCAAAGTGCCCCGAGACTTAATGCAGTCACAATACTCAATACTCGTATTTGAACCCTGAATAACCAAACAAGGTTTCAAAAATCTGGCTAAAGATTTTTCCTAAATTGGTTGAGATCTCAAAAAAACAATCTGAAGATGCTAAAAGAGCAACAACTAGATGCGTGTTTTATTGAATGCTGAAGAGTAGCTGTCGTTATTCTGTTGTTGTTGCATGCAAAGGATGACGAAGTTAGTTAGCGTTTAGGCATTACAAATTCCACTAACCTAAGATGATGTTTAGTTTGGCAATTTGGCTCCTTTTGCACTTTTGCGGTTTGGTAATCTGATTAAAATTTGACTTTGAAGAAAGAGCTGGTCTCGTATAGTGGTTAGTACAGTTCGTTGTGGCCGAACAAACCCAGGTTCGATTCCTGGGACCAGCAGATTCTTACTTTTTTTTTATGGATTTCTCACAGATTAAAATTACATAATCTATTACGTAATTTCTCACCTCTAGTTGTAGTCGCCAATTACATTCAGCATGATAAAATCATTAATCAAAATTGAAACTACCTTAGCTTGAAGAGTTCTAAACCAATACTTATAAAAATGGCAGCAGAAAAATATGAATTCCCACCTCTTCGTATGTACTTGTCGGCTAGTAACCATCACAATTTAGGACTTGTCGTAAAGCTTTAGCGCTGCTTCACCTTCGTCAAATCCAAGTATAAATTAGAAGTCCCTCAAAATTTTGTACTAACGATTTTATTAGCATCTCAGGAAGAGTTAGATACTCATGACGTTCCATTCGTACATAGGGACAATTGTGCCGCTCCTTTGATCGAATACTACAAATGTCTTAACAAGGGTACGTCATTTTGCTCAGCAACCAAGGAAGAGTTCTTCAAGTGTCAATACTTTGCTCTTAAGGAGAGACTTGCCAACCACCAAAAGCAATAGGGACGAAGAGCAAAAATCAAGAAAAATTAATAAATAACCCACCCTACTAAAGGAAAGGAACCATGTTGGATTTACAATGAAATGATACATTTAGAAATACTAAAGTAGAAAAAAAACAAAAAATTCTATACAAGTAGATGAATATTAAAACGAATACGAAAGCATAACCGCATAATGTAGAAGTAATAATCGTAACCACCTAGTCTAAGCTCTGCTTTTGTAGTGTTCAGAAGAACTCTCACGAAAGGTGATGCTCTGGATACCATCAAACCTGCATATAACGTTTTTTTTGTGTAATTTTATGAAATTGACCTATAGCGTCTTTTTAATCTTCACTTACATTGTATTTTTCTTCTTGCTCCATAAAGTACTAGTGGTAGACCTGCTTTTATCTAGAGATCTGTGCATACCATGACTGTAACCGAATTCCCACCCCTTCTTTCAGAAGAAGATTTGCAAAAATATAAAATTCCATTGAGATGGAGAGACAGATGTGCTGCATACTATGCACTTTACCAAATATGTCTTACAAGACAATCAGCAAATTCATCCATTGAATGTAAATTGGATAAACATGCATGGGAAGAGTGTGAAAACTTAGACTTTATCAGAAGAAAGAAGGAATTAGCAGACCTTAAGGAGAACCTTAAAGAAAATTAGAGGTATTACAGCTAAAGATATTGTAGAGTAGATTGAAGAGCATTGAATGACGGGTATTCACATTCAACAGGGTACTATAAAAATTGAAAAATGATTTTGAAGTAGATTTTGGTTTCTCAAACTTCCATACACCCACCTTAAATCGAGGAGCAAAAAGAGAATTATTGTTTCATTTCAGATAGAGATCCTTTATATCATGTATAGATGAAAATAAACAAAAAGGGAATACACAGTATAGATGGCCGAGTAATGTAGACTTGAGAACAAGGCACGGACCCATCAAGAATGAGAACACGAAAAGTGCAAAAGTGACCAGTTAAGATGCTACAGGTTCTACAAGGAACGCAATTTTGGGTTGCACTTCTCAAAATGTCCAATAGCAGTTGTAGGGAAATAGTACACTTGATACGAAAACCACTAAATACAACCGTTATTCTTTAGTTTTGCCTCCGCTGTCCACACTCTATACCAATGGAAAGCAAGTATAAAGCTCTAAAAGTTTCGGAGTAATCTATTTTTCTATCTGAAGAAAGGAAAAGAGAAAGAAAAACTTACAAAGGCTACTGGGCTAAAATTTTTTATTTATAGCTTAGAATGAGATGGTGCGACAAATTACGCCAAGGTAGCAGAGGAGCGTAGATTTCAGAACAGGGACCCCATTATTGTGGAGTCTATCGTCACTTTAAACAGATATGACATTAGAAAGAACATAGTTTATAACAAGTTAACTCTCTTTACGATAATACAAAATGGCTGATAAACTTAAGGTTGTAGAACAAGAACCAATTGATGACCCTTCACTGGAAAAGAAGGAAACTGAACCCACTAAGAAGGAAGAAGAACCCAAGGTTGACGAGGCGCCACCCAAGGTCCCAGAGAAGGACCTTCACCTTGAAGATGAAGATGAATCTGGGCCACCACCTCCTGCTAGACCAACATCTCCCAGGACAAAAGCACTCAACGAATTGAAAGAAGCGTTCCCTTCTATTGATGAAAAGATACGCACTGCTGTCTTAATCGCATCGTCAGGTGAATTGGACCCTGCCTTCAATGCACTTTTGTACATCTCGGATCCATCATTCCAGCCGGAGATCCCAAGTGTTAGCAGTTCAGTTCCTGCCTCCGGTAAGATTTCAACTCAAACTAATAGCACACTATCGGAAGATGAAATATTGGCTAGAAAGCTCCAAAAAGAGTTTGAGAAAGAAGAACACCAAAGGAGAGTTAGAAGTAGGAGAAGAAGAGGCGAGAGATCGTCAACTGGCCAGCAACCCAACCCAGACGATTCGCCTGATGACTTTGAACAGATCAAGGAGACTTTTACCCAGGGCTTTGAGGAAGCCAGGACCACTCTTAACGGATGGGTTTCAGGTATCACGAAGAAGTTCTCGGATCTTAGTGATGAAGACCAAAGGGAACACCAGAAGCAACAACAGCACCAATCCCAACATAGTCAACAGGGCCAGCAGCGCTCTCAATCGCAGAAGAACCCCAAGCTCTTTGGAGCCTTGGGCGGTTCCTCCTACTCCAAGAAGAACAGCAGATTTGATGAAGATCCAGTGATTCTCTCTAATGACTTCCACAACAGGATCAGTTTGGAGGACAACGATAACGAAGAAGAATTAGCTCCTCTGTTACCTAGACGTAAGACATCCCATGAGCAATCTGATAGCTTCACTGAAAGCACTCCAACAACAAAGAAATGGCAACCTTTGAACTCTGACGCTCCAGTGAATTCCGATGCCTTCTTGGTCACCGATAGTGAGGAAGAAGCCGAACCTGATACGAAGAAAGCTGATAAATAGGTTCCGTGACGGGGTTATGATCTAATTCAATGATGTATGCCTAGCCCTACCGGAGTGTGTGCTCTACCATAGTGCTCTTAGCTTATCTGTAGCCACTTGTTTTACACGCGACCTAATAAATTATTTTTTCCGTTAGTCTTCCCATGTAGCAGCTTTTTTGGTGTTTCCTTGCCCATGGTGAGGTTTTTTTCTTCTCAGATCAATCCGCAGCACTGCCCTCTTTACCCTTAAAAGGTGTATCGAGCAAGTATCATTAGAAATTGGCTGCAACTTGAGGTACCACGTCCAGCGCATACTGACCGCACAATTTCAATTTCGACTAAAGCTCTACAATTAACATCTCTCTTCTGTTTTCCCTTTTATTATCAATATCTATATACACTGTAGTAAACGGCATATGTTTACAACGAGAAAACAAGCCACTAGGAGAATATGCATCTTCCGTTGGTTTCTCCACCAGTATTAATCTTTCATACTCTCCCTCCTATTCTTTTTTTTATATTTATACCTTATAACCTTAAAATCAAACTAAACTAACATAACATTTTTTATACCATTCATTCATTTCTTTTCATACTTTTTTTATCTTTTCACTTTTCATATTGACCTACTTTACTTTTTAATTTCATGCCAATTGCTTGCCGTGTCCATATATGCTTCCAGGCTGCCGGCGGCGCCGAGAAGGGAAGCACAATTACGCAGAACAAGGCGAATCCACTCAACTCAATAGTATCGTATTGAGGTAGATCTTTCATTTATACCCTCCGCTTTCGAGCTCCATGGTCGTAAAAGGGATCGCAATATGGTACGGTTCCGCTATTCTGGGGGTATCTGCCGGCCTACTGGTCGAGGGCACTAGATTCTTGGGCGAGATGAGCTCTTTTGAGTATTCACTCAGTAGATATTTACTTTTCAAACATCTTCAAACTCTTGTACATGCACTCTCTATCTTCATCGTTCAAGCACTGTCCAGAGAGATCACCAAAGCCCTGGTGGTACTTGGACCACTCGATTTGCGGAGTCCTTATAATTTTCGCCTGCTTGGGCAAATTCAACTCGTTATTGATCAATTTCAACACGAATTCGATCACATCCTCCTTATTTGAAGTATTGCTATGGAAGTCCAATAGTTTGGAAAGGTGAATAATCTGATTACTAATTTCGTTTTTCGATGAGTAGAGCAACCGAAGTGTCAGCGCTAAGGTGATATAGTCGGTATTATGGTCCAAATCTTCTGGGTGGTGATGCCCAGAATCCGTGTGAGTGTGAGCATCTGGAGAAGGTAACGACTTCGGCTTGGTTTCCTCGTAGTCGTCCTCTTCTTCCTTGGGTGTCAACAAGGGAGACTCTTCGTACGTCTTGTGGTCTGTTCTGCGAATGTCCCTAGTCTCGTTGGCGAACGTAACGCTCTTGCTTCTTGGCTTCGACGCTCTTACGGGCGATGACGATGTGTTGACGGACGAAACATCTGAAGGAGATGGTGAGCGCTGCTGCTGTGGTTCATCCTCGTCTAGCGCGGAACCGGTAGTGCCCGTGGGCATTGCCAGTTCATTCTTGTCCCTAAAACTAAAATTCGCCTTCAACCTTGACCGCAGTTTCTTGTTCCTGTATGTGTTACTGTTAGTTATGTCCTCAAGCTCGGACAACTTGCGCTTTTCCTTCGCTTGGAGTAAACTAGCAGCCATGGTGATGATGATATCGCTATAACAACACAAAAAATCCAAAAAAAAAACTAAACTTCCAAAAGGTGAAAAATTTCGAAATATGGAGGAGGAGGTGAAGGGAGGGGGTTTATACTCCAATATTTCCAGTCAAAAATTTCAGACAACAAGAAAATAAATTGCCGCTGTCTTCCTTTTTGTTCTGTTCTTTTCGGTGGTGTTTCCAGAGGCAAACGGTCAGGCAGTTCAGGTGATACACAGTAGCAACTTAGAAGTACAGTGTAGTTTTAGAATGCACCTTTAGGTTTACTCTATGGGAGTGTTTGTTTGGGGGTGTTGCAAAAAAAGACGAAAACAAAAAATAAGCCAAAATTAAAAATCAGGAATGTTTCTTGAAATGCGTCGGTCCTGATTTTTGTCCAGAAGAAAAAGGAAAAAATTCGGGAAAAAAAAAAATAAAGTCGAAAAATCTGGAACAACCTAAACACTACTGGAGTATAGCCAATGCTCAAGGGTTCGGATTTATTGGGAGACTTTTTTTAGCTGGTGAAGGTGAGATGGGTTGCTAAAGTAGGATGGGGATTATATTGGCTATCTTTCGACTGGTTTAGAACAATTTTACTGTGTGGTAGTTCGATGTGCAATTTATCCCTTTATTATCAGAAAGCAACAGTTTTCGTTCTGCAGCTTTCTAATAAGGAAAAATGCTTTTCTAATAGGAAAAAATGCAATATTTTTTTGATAAGGGGGGTAAAAGGCTGGTGGCAACTCGGAATTGCGTCCGGGTAACGCCGCGAAATTTGGGAAAAGGAGGCCCATTCGGTCACGTGTCAAAATATTTTTCGGAGTATGCAGTAGATGGTAAATCGACATACAATATGCAGACAGACAGATGGCTTCTCTCACTTAGCATAGACTGACAGCTGGATACGCTTAGTGAAGCGATAGGAGGAACATACAAGTAGGGAAAAATGGCCAATATTCATAAGGCCACCTTCCAGCAGCCCGAAACTGCGTAAAATGTTGAAAAATAACCATGGGTGGACATCTAAGTGTGTACTGCTATTCATTGATAGCCAATCCTATTGACCCCCATGCAGTACATGCTTAAAGAGGTTGCAACATTCTTTCTCACCCGAGCCGCAGCATATAGCCAACTATGATGGAAGGTTTATCTCATGGGGGCCCTAGCCTTCTATCACAGTCAATAACGAGTAGCTCACTGCAATTTGCTTCGTCTGATTTGAGTTTCAGGGCCGTCCTAGTTGTGTTTCAGGGCTCGATACAACACTACACGAGCTCTGCGCTCCCTGCCACTTCTGATAATACTCCTCAGGGCTTCTCGTCCACTGTACCGGTGGAGAATAATTTTGAGCACTACGCTAGGTGCCACAGCTGGTGGGAGAAAGCCTTTTAGAGTTGAGGGCTTGTTTACAGTAGCTTCTTACACAGCCTTCCATATGGGCTGAAGGGTGGCCTCATACGATCAAAGAAGTCGAATGACACCCAATTCACTATACTTTGTACCCACATATTTGCAGGTCAAAACCACTACATCTATCTACATCTCTACCGGCCAATGAACCCGTTAACTTGATTTGCTATTTACAGATGCTATGTACAATTACTTCTTACTTCTTACTTCTTACTTCTTTCCCTTCCCTAATAAATTCTTATCGTCAGAATCTTTCTTTCCCTCGATACCAACTTTCTCTCCTACAAACTTGCCTAGTTTTCCAATATCTTTCTTCATCTCTTTGCCCTGAAGCTTGTACCTGTAAAAAAATCCATGCTTCTCGCGCAACTGTTGCCTTTGCTTCTTGACCCCACGGTTAATTACACCAATTTGTTCGTCGTATGGCACCCCCAATTCAGCCTCTGCTACACTTTCTTTTCCAAACAAGACATCAAATACTCGCCCATCACTCCAGAAAAATCCCTTTCTGTCAACAATCCAACTCTTTGTCTTCTTGGTGGTTGGGTTGGTTTCCTTCAATGCAAAGAAGAAATGCGAGTTATCTGCAGTACCATAAAAACCTTTCCCAGTCCACACTTTGGCCTTTGCATGTCTTGTTAAATTAGACAAAGGTACAGTGTACACTGGTGTTGCTTGGCCGGGGAATAACGGATACAGCGTGAATCTGATGAATTCTGCTCCACCCTTGCCAGGTAAGAACCACATTCTTCTTATTAATCTCTGTGGAATTCTGACTATAGCCAACGCAATTCTGAGTACTATGAGCCCCGGAACCAGAAATTTTATAACATCGAAGTACCATTCTCTCTTTAATAGCTCTGGACTCAACTCCCTTTCATTCAATTCGTACCTATTTGTCGATTCAAACACTCCATACTCCAACAAGACCAACCCATAGGCAGTGAACATCAAGGCAAAGCAAATGGATGACAAAAAGTAAAGTCTGTGCGGTTCAGCTTCATAAATTAATTCTGGCTTTGTCTTTCTCTTCAAGATCTCTAAAACCTGCTTGAAGGATGTCTTTGGGCCCACTTGGGGCACCCCTGGCCTTGGCAACAAGGTGGGGACGATTTCTTTCGTCAACGGAAATCTGGGGACTCTGCTTCCCAAATCATTTTTTTGCACAGACTCTCCTGGAATGTGGTGCTTTATGTGCTTCCATTCACCTTCCGACGGTAAGTCTCTTTTTGGATTGAAATTATCTGGAAGTGATGATTTAAATCTAAAGATTGACCTTTGGTTATTCACAATCTGCTTCGATATGAAATTTCGAGACAGTATGCTCTGAGCCCTAATAATCAAGTTGAACATCGAAATATATAGCTAATAGCAATACAATGTAGAAACCAAAGGAAAAATGCTGATCAGTTCAGTACCTTGTTCACTTTGTTCAAAAACTGAAACTGGAAAATTATACTATCCTGCACACAACGAATTTCGATAATACGGCACATAACCTCTGGCTTCCTGCAACACACTTGCCTAAGGACACCACCAAGCCTACGGTAGAGTTTAACGCTTACTTAATTACGTCTTATTCTCATAAAAGTCTAAGTTCTACACTGAAATATTCAATTAAGAAGTAGATTATTTAATTTTTATTATCGAAAATGAGTTCGCTGCCATGTGCTAGACAGTATATGGTGGGCGAAAGATCTGTGAGATTCTAAGTCATCCTCTCTTGAGGTTTGTTCGTATTTTTATTATTTCTACATTAGTGAGTTTCATATCGCAGCCAACCGATATGCTCACTCCCTCCCTTCCTCTCATGGACATCGAGGAATCGTTGCAGTTCGCACTTGATCACATCTTCGCATCTATCTACCACCCCTCCGGCCCTTCTTAACTGGTTTGATATTTGTTTCAGCTCTCTTTAGCTGAACAGGATGCTGTCCTATATATTTCCCGTTCATTTCCTTGAACGCCATGAAATAGTCGTCTGGGCTCTCAAATGATACAAACCCATACCCCTTATTCTTACCAGATTTATTATCGGTCGGCACCTTCACTTTAGACATCGTCTTGAATTTCCCAAAGGCAGATGCTAGTAACTCATCGTTAGCATCAGGCCCCAAGTTCCCCACAAATAATCTGAAGTGCTTAGGGTTCCATTCAAGCAAAGACGAGTCTTCCCACGACTTATCACCAACACTACGCTTAACCGTTTTCGTGTCGCTAGATGGAGCATTGTAACTTTTATTCCCACTGCTGCTATTGCTGCCAGCCGTACTGATATGGACATTGCTAGCCTGAGCGGCAACTACATTGTGCAAGAACTTAGCTGGTTGCCTACCAGCAGCCAACCGTCTGTCTGAAGACTTCGAAGCGGTATTTGTGAATTTTGAAGGTTTAGGTTTATTTATTCGCGACGACATAATATATATATATATAACCAGGAAATAAGTGCAACCAATGAAAGAGTGTTTAAGAAGTGAAGTAAAGTGTGTTGTATTGCCATTTACTAGTGCTTAGACCTGCCTCATCTCCATTACAGATGATCCTGCATACATCCACCTTCCATCTCAATATGGAAATGCATTTTTTGAAAAAAAAAATATTCTGAAACCATTTTGATACAACACTCTTACAACTTCATTGCGTTCAAAATATGTTTATATTGTCTGAAATCTCGGATTTGGTTCGTATACCACCACATACGTTCAATATCCCCATAAAAGAGTGCATAACGAACGAATTAAGCAAAAAATACGCGAACAAAGTGGTGTCTAATTTAGGACTAGTAGTAGCTGTATGGGATATATTGGATATTAAGGATGGATTGTTGAAGCCCGGTGATGGTGCAGCATTTGTAGAAACTAAATTCAGATGTGTAGTATGGAAGCCCTTTATAGGAGAAATCTTGACTGGCTGGGTTCTGGAATGCACTTCCGACGGGGTCAAGGTGAAAATGGAGTTCTTTGATGAGATCTTCATACCCAAGAACTACTTTTTCGAGAACTGTTCATTCAGACCAGAAGACAAGGCTTGGGTGTGGGCACCGGACGATGAAACGGAGTTATTTATAGATTTGAACGAAAAGATTAGATTCAGAATAGAAGAAGAGATATTCGTAAATATAAAACCCAAGTCAAGTGCCGAGGCCGTTGGGCTAGGACAGGAAGACGAAGAGAACAAAAAAGATAAGATTCCTCCGTACGCATTATTGGCATCTTGTCAAACAGATGGTATGGGGTGTGTTTCATGGTGGGATTAAGCTGGCACAAGTAGCATTGTAAATAAATAACTAATAGACGAACTGCATGATCGAACTGTAGCAAGAAATTAGTAGTGGAGGTGGCCAAGACAGAACTGGTAAAGGCATCCACCCCGATCTGTATACCTGAGTGATGTGGAACCCCGCTAACACGATTTAGAAAAAGAAGCTTCGTCGTTGAATGCTTACCAAAGATGAAATTCTTTCACGCATTAAAAAAAGATTATTATCTTACCAATATTGTTTAATGAATTGTTTAACATATTTTAAGGAAATTAGATTTGTTTTGATGTAGGCGCTGATACGTTGAATACCGTTCCCAACTTCTGTTGATGGTTGGATGGCTCGCTAAATCCCTACACTTGCATCCACTATTCTATTTTTCTGTATTTCATGCTATATATATATAAATATATATATATATATATATAAATATACGTATATATATCTTCCCTCTAGTTGTATTGCATGTATTGAGAAGTACTGCTAAACTTCATGTTACCCTTGATAACCTTTTCAACTGCTTTCAAGAAATCCTTTTCATTAGCAACCTTCCTTCTTGCTCTAATGGCAAACATACCGGCCTCGGTACAAACAGATCTCAATTCGGCCCCTGTAGCGTTAGGACACAATCTGGAGATCAATTCCCATCTTATATCCTTTTCACAACTCATTGTCTTGGAGTGAATTCTGAAAATGTTGGCCCTTCCTTCTAAGTCCGGAAGTGAAAATTCCACCTTTCTGTCAATTCTACCAGGTCTAAGCAAAGCTGGATCCAAGGTGTTTGGTCTATTCGTAGCGAACATCACCTTGATGTTACCTCTGGGGTCGAACCCGTCCAATTGTGTGATTAACTCCAACATAGTTCTCTGCACTTCGTTGTCACCACCTGCTCCATCATCGAATCTGGCACCTCCGATAGCATCAACTTCATCGAAGAAAATGATACAAGCCTTCTTAGTACGTGCCATTTCAAACAACTCTCTCACCATACGAGCACCTTCCCCGACGTACTTCTGAACCAATTCAGAACCAATAACTCTGATGAAAGTTGCATCGGTTCTGTTAGCCACGGCCCTGGCACACAACGTCTTACCGGTTCCGGGCGGTCCATACAACAAGATCCCCTTTGGTGGATCGATCCCTAACTTCACAAACCTTTCTGGCGACAAGAGGGGCAACTCTACGACTTCTCTTAATTTTTCAATCTGTTCCTTACACCCCCCTACATCACTATAGGTCACATCTGGCTTTTCTTCCACCGTCATCATCGTAACACTGGGATCGATTCTTGGTGGTAAAGGCAACTGGATCTCATATTTTTGTCTATCAACTCCGACTCTCATACCTTCTTCGATATCAGTGGGGGAGACTCTTTCTCCTAATCCCACGACAAACTTGGCGATCTGTTTGATATTAATAACGTATTTCAGCTTGTTGTCGGCGTTTTGAAGCATGGCGGGTTGGTTGGAGGGAGATTGCTGGATTGCTTCGATGATCTTAGTGCACCTGGCAACTTGCAAAGGTGACTCTTCGTTCATTCTTTGCTTGTCGCCCATCACATCCCAAAGATGTGGAGCAGCGAGTCCGGTGTCAGACTCCTTGATCCCGATACTCTCCTTGATTCTGTCTTCGATTGTTTTCAAGTCCTTTTCCAATTGCTTCAAAGTAGAGGCGTAGGGAGCAGCACCGTATGTTTTAAGCACCTGAATATCTCCTTCGGAAAGTGGCACAATCTTGTCCTGAGCAGTCTCGTCATCTTCGTTGGGTGCAACGTATTTGTCCCAGTCAGCTTTTGGAGGCATTTTGTAATCGATTCTTTGTGGTTATGTCACTAAACTGTGATCTAAGAGTGAAATGGGATGTGGTGTGGTTGTGTTATCCGGTGTGATGAGATCGTTTTCCTATTACTTCAACCTTTTTTTCTACCGCAAGTTGTGAGTTGATGACTGTTTATGTATATGCAATCGGCTTACCAATCTTTCAACTGAAAACAAACCTAGGATTCTATGATTGAGTGCTGTATTAGCTTGGGTTGTAGTGGTGGTGACTGGCGATTTTTCTTTGGGATTTCGCCCTCCAACTGGGAACACGACAGACTATATGCAGGACAAACAAATTGGAATAGAGTGGAAAAGAGTGGGAGAGAGAAGGAGTTAAGGTGAACTGAGAGATAACACGGAACAAAAATATGGGAAGCAGGCAAGCTTTCTGGTGTGTTTATTGACGGTTATGTCGTTGTTCTACACTTGAACCGTGCAGTCTTTGGGCTGAACGAACACATCGATTGCGCCGTGTACGCTGTATCCATAGCAGTTTGATTCGGTCCTGTACTGGACAGTACACCTGCACGCACCTGCACATTGACTACAAGCATTTTTCAGTTTCGAACGCAGCTCTCAGGGTAGACCTGCAGGTAAGAGGAACACATGCATGGGTGGGCTGCGTGGAGATATCCTCCATACCCCAGATGGTGTTAGGGGTGTTGCCCATCCATGTAGAAATACTGAAGCCATAGTGGCGTTTAGGCTTACGATGTTGTCATTTTCTCCATGCTCTACGATCTACAATTATCAATTTTTCGTAATTTTTAGGCATATATTTTAAAGCTATATAGGAAATATCTGATTTCACTGTACTGCTGGGCGCTCAATTGAACCGAAAAAGGTCGCATATTGCTTCCCTGCATGCTCACTAATAAAGCGTTTACTTGGAGTCACCAAAGACAGCGTCAGAAGCCTTTTGCAAGATAGACTTGTCTTCTTCTGGGGTAGCCTTACCGGCAGCGTTGTCAACGGAACCAGTAACCTTGTCCTTTAAGTGTTCTGGGGTGGACTTTTCTGAGTCTGGCTTAACAGCGCTTGCGACCTTGTCACCGACTGATTGTCTACCGAAATCTGACATTTTAATTTAGTATTGTTTGATTAATAAAAGTAATAAGAGTAAATTGAATTTATCTTAATGAAGAAAGAAAATTAAAAACAAAAGTCGAAGTACGGATTCCTGGTCCTTTTATATTGCCCATTTACCTATCCCTTAAGCTTTAGCTTTGGTTAAGGTTGCTTAGCAACTCCACACTTTTGCCATCCTGCACACGCGCAGAACCTTGGCTCTGTAGCACTACGGAGGGCGTGTCTGCCCAAATTCTTCTTGGAAATGCAGCAACAGGGCAACGTTGCTGTCTATAGAGGAATTATCAACCTGAGACATAAATAAATGACACCATGATATTGCCTAATTGGGCGACTGGTAGCAACACAGTATTGGAGAATACGAGCTTCAGTTGCTACAATTTAGACTATTTTTAAAACATCGTTACATTAGAGGACACCTAAGGTAATGTTTAAAAAATATTACTGTAGCAATCGAGCATCGAGGCTACGCGAGCTACGCGAACGTCACCCAGTCACCACACCATTTCCAAATATGCTGCAATACTCTTGAACTCTCTACTAGTACGCTCTCACAGTTGGTGGCACAGCTTTACATTCCTTTTCATCTAGTGTATGTGAGATGACATCTCTGTAGTCTAGCTCAACCTTTGTTCCTGATCTCTTCTGATAGCTCAAAGTATGCTTCATCCAATTGACATCGTCTCTGTCTGGGTAGTCCTCTCTAGCATGTGCACCTCTCGACTCTGTTCTTGCAGATGCGGCTGCAGCCGTCTGGGTGGCACAGGTTAACAAGTTCTGTAGCTCCAATGTCTCGACCAAATCCGAATTCCAAATCATAGACCGATCAGAGGTCCGGACTTCCGAGAACATATTGTCTACTTCTAGAATGTTGGTGGAACATTCTTGAAGAGTTTCGTGTGTTCTAAACACAGCACAGCCCTTTTGCATGGTCTTTTGCATCGCAGTTCGAATCTCTGAAGTCCGTTTGGAACCATTGGCATTCCTGCACTTATCTAAGTTTTCAATTGATTCCTTACCTAGGTCCTCTGGAAATGCACCTTTGAATGGTGTATTTGGACTCAATTGTTCAGCAATGGTGTGGGAAACTGCTCTTCCGAAGACTACCAAGTCCAAAAGCGAGTTGGCTCCCAATCTGTTGGCCCCGTGAACTGAAGCGCATGCAGCTTCTCCACATGCAAATAGCCCAGGTACCACTTTGTCTTTTCCTGTCTCAGGGTTCTTAGTTACTACCTCTCCATTCCATTTGGTGGGGATACCTCCCATATTATAATGGACAGTAGGAATAATTGGAATTGGCTCTTTGGTAATATCGACTCCTGCAAAAATGTGTGCTGTCTCAGAGATCCCTGGCAATCTTTCTTTCAATACGGCTGATGGAATATGAGACAACTCCAAGAACATATGATCCTTTTCGGGACCTACTCCTCTACCTTCGTTGATTTCCATTGTGATTGCTCTAGCTACCACATCTCTACATGCCAAATCTTTGGCCAGAGGTGCATACCGTTCCATAAACCTTTCACCTTCACTGTTTACCAAGTACCCACCTTCACCTCTTGCACCTTCGGTAATTAAACAACCAGACCCATAGATACCTGAGGGATGGAATTGGACAAATTCCATATCTTCCAAGGGCAATCCTGCTCTAGCTACCATTGCGTATCCATCTCCAGTACAAGTATGAGCAGAAGTACATGCGAAGTAGGTTCTTCCGTATCCGCCAGTTGCAATTACAGTCTTATGTGCTCTAAATCTATGTAATGTTCCATCTTCTTGGTTATACGCAATTACTCCGACACATTCACCGTCTTGCATCAACAAGTCTAAGGCAAAGAACTCAATGAAAAAATGAGTATTATGACGTAAGGATTGACCATACAATGTGTGCAAAAGCGCATGTCCAGTCCTGTCAGCAACAGCACAGGTCCTGTAAGCCTGGCCACCCTTTCCATACTCTTTTGTTTGACCGCCAAACGCTCTCTGGTATATTCTTGATTCAGTATTTCTAGAAAATGGGACCCCATAGTGTTCCAATTCATAAATTGCTTTAGGTGCCTCTCTCGTCATATAATGAATTGCATCTTGATCACCGAGCCAGTCAGAACCTTTAACAGTATCGTACATATGCCAATGCCAATCATCTTTGTGCATATTGCCCAAAGCTGCATTTATTCCCCCTTGGGCTGCAACAGTATGAGACCTAGTTGGAAACACTTTGGAAATACAAGCAGTTTTGAACCCAGCCTCTGCTAATCCGAAAGCAGCTCTCAAACCTGCTCCACCAGCACCTACTACAACACAGTCGTATTCATGGTCTACGATATGGTAACTCTCTCGGACAAATTTGGCTGCATTGGTGACTTTTCCCTTTACCCCATCACCAATCACTTGAAAGCACTTGCTAGTGATCGAAAAATGACGCCTTCTAGAAACTGAAGAAGAATACTTTATAAAGTGCATAGTGAGATAGGTTATAGATACTAAAAAAGGATGAAAATGAAAGTCTGTGTTTTCTATTTCGAGTGTCTATTTAACGTGGTAACTACAATGGCAGGGTATGCTTTCAAACTACCCGCCAATCACATTCTAATCATTACCGACACTCCATTATCTGCAATGCGCCTATTTATCCACTGCATCCGGTGCCCTTATCCATGGGTACTTATACAAAATGAGAAAGAAGTTACGCATTTTAAGAATATTCCTTTCGTGAGAAGCTATTTACCAAGGAATTAAACACCAGTACTGATATGATTCATTTTATTATTAAAACGAGCATACAAACCTGTTTTAGTCCATGCTTGTTCTACAACTTTGTCAGTTACCGTGGAGATTGAGTATACGAGTATGTATATTAACTTGCTTACGTAAAAGGGTTGCATTTTTATGCACCAGTCTCAAAAAATAATTCTTCATAAGGATCATCACTGGTCAAGAGATCAACTATGGCCCAAATCTTGAAGGATTGGGAAATATTAGATCCACTACTTTTCACTCCTAGACAAAAGCATCGGGGAACAAAGTTCTATTAATCTTTTTAACTTCTCCAGCTAATTGTTCTCTTTTACCAGCTTCATCTGTCATCATAAATCCCATCATCTTCATGCCAAGTAAACTTAAATGAGCTGCAAAAGTATCGATTTTGTTATTTAAATAATTCATTTCTCCTCTATCCAGCTTGGCCAAAAATTTAAAAAGATTGATCATTAGCTGCAAGTTACTATTAAATTCGACCAAATTGAGAGGGGCATTAGCATCCCCAGCATTATCAGAAGTGACTAGGCCATCGATTAGCGAGTTCAAGCTATATTTCACAACCTGGAAAAGTTTCAGGTACCAAAACAGTGTACTCAAGGAAAAACCTATAAACTTCTTTCGATCCCCACCATTCTTCTTTCTGTTATAGTTCTTCTCATCATAATGCATAAGTAAAGTAAATGAATTTGATAAAAATTGGAGGGTAAATTGGAACGATTCACTTAGTGATATTTGATCTAATTCTATCAAATAATAATAATAATTCAAATTAACGAGGGAGATATATTCTTCTGGAGCTTCATAGTTGGAGCTGTGTATCACTCGACTAATCCCTACTCTCCATTTTTCAATATTAGAGGAAAGCTCTTTAATCTGTTGACACTTGGATTCTGGTGATTTGGATAATTTTAAAGCAAGCAATCGATTGATAAGCATGCTGTACTCAATTTCTTTATTGTTTAAATCTATTACAGACGATGGAGATGATTCTTCATTGTTACCAGCGAAAGGTAACGGAAGCCCTATAAAATCATCGTGAGGAGTTTGACTTGGTCTTTTTAATAATAAGCTGACGGTTTTATCAAGGTTATATACAGACCAGAATAATCCTTGTTCTTCAATATTCTCACTACCACTGTATATATTCAATTTAATGATACCGCGGGATAATATGCTGATTAGTTCCCAGCAATGGTCTATGCTTTCTTCTCTATACTGATTTAATTTAAATAAAACCAATAAAAACAACAACCTTAAACCTTCCAAAGATTCAAAGTTCAACACATCTACAATAGATTCAATGTTCTTCTCACTGAAGTATTCTTGGAATAATGAAGAATTGGTGGATTTATCGTGAATGAGACATCCAATACTCAACATAAGGTATACATCAAGATTTATGATAGACTCTTTGGAGAATTCTAGTTCTTTAAACGTTTGCATAAACTGATTTTGATCTATGAAAGGGCACCTGGTCTCATAATTATGAAAGAAGTTAAATATAAATCTTGTGGGGAGATCAAGGTCTGTGATTGGTTTCATGGTGATAAATTCATCTTTGAGATTAGTATGATGGCTCGGCTTTTTGATTGCTTGTAAATCTAGTTTGTCAGCAAAACGAAGAGGTGGCCCGCCACCTCTCAGCGATGTGATATTCGTAGCTTCTGTTTTGGGCAATTTAGGAATCATGGCTGTTCTACCATTATTATCGAAGCTACGCTCGTTGGAGAGCAAAGAAGAAATAGAAACAAGTTTGTGAGCTGCGAGCTCCTTCTCTTGTTCCTCACTCAATAAAGTTCTCAAAGAAGATCCGGCTCCTTCCTTCTCAGTAAAATATTCAGACTCTTTTTGGCCATTCCCATTCTTACTGAAAGACTTATGGTTAATGTCGCCGATGAGACGTTCATTTTCAGCCACTGATAGCTTTTTCCTACGCTTATTGGACCTGTTGATATACTCACAAGGAACCCCTGATTTGGTACAATTTGTGCATTTAGGGTATTCTCTCAGGCATTTCTTTTTCAACTTGTAGCATCTTCCGCAACTACTAGTGTGGTGAGTAGCGGGCGTTCCTGTAGTGGGATCCACCAATTTAGTTGAGGATTCTGTATCTAAAGGAGTGGCTTGAACTGAAGACGAGTCTTCAGACTCTTTGATCTGTTCTGGAGCCGGTTTTGGAGCAGTCGAAGGCGATGTTGGTTGTGCGGATTTTTCAACCTTCGATTCCGAGTCCATAGTAGAGCTCGGCCCAGAAGGGACACTATCTTCAGCAGCTTTTCCCTTTACTTCCGCTTCCTCGACTCCTTGGCGAAGATTAGAAGATGTCTGTTGAAATGGAGACGCATAATTTAGGCGAAACTTTGTTGTAATCGCTCCATTACCCATCAGTTTCCGATAGTAGTAATCCATTTTAATGTTGTACTTTTGAAAATTTTCAGTTGATGGAGATGGTTCCGTTATACACGCTAACTTTTTCTCCTTTTTTGGTCTTTTTCTTTCGTAGAAATCTTTTGTATCTGATAATATCACCTCCGAGGTCCTTAAAATACTACAGAATTCTATTAAATGTGCTTTTGTTACGTAAAGTATGTAGAAAAGAAGTCTTGCAAAAATTTTTCTATTTATTTCGCTTCATATGGCCGGTATTCTAGAAGCGGGGCCGCCGTCCGGCCTCGATCGCCCGCCTGATCGATCTATATACAGGTATGTACATCATAAAGTCCAAAAAGCAACCACAGAAATGGTGTGGCAATCGGAGCTCGTCGCCCAATTCGGAAATTAGACAATGTCATGTGACCCGGAAGCTGCTGCTATCGGCTCTTAAGACCGGCCACTAACTGTCTAAACAACATGGACTGGTGAGCGGTTGGGATAAAATAGAGTCAGAGGTGGAATGAACAGTTGTCGCTACATTGAATTTGCACTTTTGACATCGCAGCTGAAGGGTCATAGATCCACTTAGATGTACTATTTTCCTGGTGGGGAGTGGAGAAGCAGCGCAGTGCACCTTCCGCATATTGGTTCCGCGTTACTTTGGGTCAATGCCCCAAATGGCTCAATTTTTAGTTACATTATTAATGTGGCATCCCAAGCCGTAGTTTAAATTCATTTCACCTGCTTACCTAAGAGTTACTTCACGAGCTTATCTGTGATTGGCACACCATTGCTATTATTATAAGTAAAATATCTTTATTATTAGTGTTTACTTTATTTGTTCTATATACAGTGTTTCTATGCAGTCTTATATACTCTTTTTAATTTATTTATTTTTTTTTGTTTCATTCTTTCTCTTCGCTTTTAATATACCACAGGCCATGGGCCCTTTTAACCTTTGTCCTGTTTAAGCTGTCGATACTTGATCTCCATGCACTTGTTCCTGCTCTCCTGCTAATAACTCTCTTTCTCTTGCAAAAGCTTCAATGGCTCTCCCTCTTAACTCATCCAATAATATTGTTTGATGCTTAGGGTTATGTGCAGGTAAACTATCATGTTGAACATCTTCAGACCAATACTCATCTTCACCTTTCCTCCATAAATTCTCCCACATTATCTTGGTATTTTCTAAACCAAACTCATCGATTACATGGCTCAAGTCTGCTACAGCTTCCTGTGAATAGGTTGGTCTGTATTGACCAGAATACCAGATGTTACCATCTTCATTCTTCTTACGTAATTCTTGTGCATCTTTCTTCAATTCAGTATCTCTGGCTTGTCTAAGTTGAACTAGCCCTTCGTAAGCAGCTACTGCATATTCGTAGTTGGCAAATTCCGCAACTGCCATTATTCTCCATAAATCATTTCTTCTGGATGGTTTCCTATTTTGCCAATTTGGTCTTACGAATTGTTCATCAATTTGATCTTGATGGTATGCTGGAACTTGAGAGTACAACACTTGACCAGAAAATAGGTTCTTGAAGAGGAAAATTTGTGGTGCTAAGTTTAACTTCTGGAGATCTTCTACAGTTTTCTTCCCCTGGGCGATTCTAGCACCGTTAATTTTACGGGTTTTGAGGTGCTCGATTAAAGCCTTTCTGGCCCTCTTTTCAGCAGTAGTCTTATAAGCCATTACACTATATTATTTGTTGATTTAAGATAGACCTGAATCAACTTGGAAGGCTGTCGCTTTCGACTTCTACGATTTTTCATTTTTTTTCTTTAAAAAAGCTGAGAGTCGTGCGGAGGTCGATTACACAAAGCACTTGAGATCAATATGTATGTGCAGGACGGGACTAAATAAGTATGGAATGTGAAGCAGGAATACGAAGAGTGGAACAACACAACTCTCCACGATGTCAGTATTACTCCATGTATTGGAGTTAAGGACTCTAGTTGCATTTCATGAGCTTGATCCTCTTCTTGAACTGTTGGCAATGTATGATTTCTTTTCGTCTTTACCTATTTTCTTTTTCATGCTGTAGCTATTATGTAGTATAGCACTTATATAGCCCCAAGAGCTTGGGTTTGTATTTTACTTAGCTTCTTAAAAAATTACACTAGATTTGCAATAACATCAATTAACACTTTTTATGTATTTATTTCTCTCATTCTATGATCGTGTGTCAAAATCCACACATCTCCCTTGGAACTCCAATTGATAAGCGGCTCTACTTGATACGCAGCCCCTGCATAGGCAAGCGTTATAAAAAAAATTGAAAAATACCTCCTATCAAAGTATTTGACAGATATTGTTTACATATTGGTAGACATATATCAAGAGGCCGTTGGTGAAGATGTTTTCCCTTATAGTTTTCATACTAGTGTTTGCATTTCTATTTACAATATCCTATACTTTTACCTACAATCATAACCTTATACCGTCTTACTTGACACCTGGGAAGATAGCGAAACTGAAAATTAACAAGTATATAAATGAAATTGGATATTTATACCATGTAACTTTAATTCCTTTGAAAATTGATCCTGAAGACGAAGAACAAGCCAATTCTAATCGAAGTATCTACAATTTGGATAGCGAGATCATAGGTACTGCTAATAAGCTAGAAAATACGATCATTAAAGTTATCTTTTCATGTGGGGTTTCAGCTAGTGGGATGTTAGTGATTCTCATACTTTGCGAGCTAATAGAATTATTTGATTCCGGAGCCAGACTTTTCTGTTTTCACACGGTGATAAACCTCTTAATATTGCTTTTAACTGTGGTACAACCGTACATAGCATTGAGTTTGGTGATATTCCAAAAAGTCTCGCCCAACCGATCGTCTTCCAAATTTGGACTCTTGGTCTTTGTGGTGCTTTATTTGGCATGGTTTTATGTTTTACACGAGTTTGGTGCACTTTCGTCGGAGTTCATTCCAGAGAGTGCAATTACTGAAGGTATCCATCTTCTGTCGTCCAAAACATTAATTGAACGAAAGATTAATGAAGTTTCCATTGCTGGAATTACCATCATGGCATTACTTTCTGGAGTAGGTTCAATGTCAACACCTTACAGACAATTGCCATCTTTGTATAAGAAATTTACTAGAGGTTTGGCTTCCACCCTTAGACGAAAGTCCAAAATTACTCAACTGGAATTGAATAATTTAATTCAATCGTTTAACAATACGCAATCGTTAATCGACAAGCGGAAATTCCAGCTCAACAAATTACTTGTAAATGAAAATGGAACCATGTACAATGGAAGCTCATTGAACTATTCTATAGGAACAAGCAACAGTATCGTAAATAGCGATAGTGATATTCATTCATTACATCTGCTGAAGCAACTGAAGCTTGGTGGACTTTTCAATAAAGTACAATCCTTTGCCTCTCTCTCTGCCTTGGCTAGCATTGGAGGTAAAAAGAATTCAGAAGAAACAGAACTTCTGAACGAAATAGATTCGCTCAAAACTTTGAAGAATCATATCTACGACGATTTCCTTAAGCTTCTTGATAAGTTTAAAGTCGAACAGGATGAAAATAGAAATCAATCTCTTGTTAAACTATTATTAAAATGGTTCGACTGGGGGTTTGGGCTCTATTGTGTTTATAGAATATTCAACGTCATTTTGATCAAATTACCTTATCAGTTGTACTTTGCTACTCCTAGTATTAGCAGTGACATTGATGAAGGAATTGCAGCTAGCAAAGATGCTCTTGCAATCACGATATCCAAAATTGTGCTCTCTTTCCATTCACTACCAATAACGGAAACTCAATTGGTATATCAAGTTAGTTTTCTTCTTTCAGGAGGATTGTTCCTTTGTTCCATAACTCACGTACTCACAACATTACGTTCGTTCAAGAAATTCATTCCAAGTTTTGGAAAGTATACTTCACTGGCCATGACTTGGTTAAAACATTTGGTGATACTGGAATTACTTGGTATCTACGTTATGTCTACCGCCTTACTTATTAGAACCAATTTACCTGCCAACTTGTCCAATCAAGTGTCCAAGATTCTTTCCCTTACTGGGAGTTCTTCATCTGCGACTCCGAAACATACTACAGTTCAAGAAGTTGAATTTATTGATCTTTGGTTCGACAAAGTCTTTGCAGTGACATGTGTAGTGACATTGATCCTGTTATTATTACGTAACTATCTAGATGATGATGATAGGGATGAATTTGATGAAGAGCTGATGATTGAAACTGGAAAGTTTGCTTAATCACTGCTTCAAGTAGAAATGGAGATCTAACATAACATAAGCATTGTATAGCAAAATCATTTTTATAAATAGTACTATTACTTTACTATGGACTTTTTAAGATGACCTACATCCAAAAGCATTTACATATGATTCACTCACATCGTTACTGAATTATAAATATATAGTTAACATACATAACTTTAAACATGTTTCTTGGAATCCCCTCTCTCCAATTCAAGGTCCTCCCACTTTGGACTACCCATTCTAAACGCTGCACTTATTTGTGAAAATGGATAAGCTGTTTCATTTCTGCCACCCTCAGTATACCAGGAAACACAGCCACCAATTTTAGTTCCAAAGACCTTCTTCTCTAATATTGCTTGGACAGTGGTATTCCATCTGTCATAAACACTAGTTTTGACTTTGACTGATTTGTATGTGCCATCCAAAATCTTAGGTGCAACTTTACTGAAGTACTTAGATCCATTTTCCAAAGCTAAAACGACTGAAGAATGGCCAGTTGCAGAATTTGGCCCCCCTAAAACGAAAAGATTTGGACAATTCTTCACAAGAAGGGTTTCATAAGCAGATGCACCTTCTTTACTCCACACATCTTTCAATGATACACCATCATCTCCGTAGTAATTAAATGATGAAAATGCTTTCTTCAAGTCATACCCAGTACATGCAACTATAATATCGGCAGGGACGCGGGTTCCACTTTTCAATACAACGTGATTTTCTTCAATGTGGTCAATTCCATCATCAGTTAAGTCAACTCTTGCATCGTTTAATGATGGCACGTAAACATAGTCATAAATCATTCTTTTACACCCGATCTTATAATCAGGGATAAGTATATCATGATACTTCTTTGGAGCGGTGCTTTTGATATAACTTACTGATGTTCTGGTGTTAATCCAACGTACAATTCGTGCCCAAAATCCTGTTCCGTCGTACAACGGGTATTTAGACTCAGCAGCTGTAGCAATAATCCAACGAACAAAAAGAATACCCCACCTGTGGAATGATAATAATCGATACAAAGTATGAACAAATTTTGGTAATGGAGGCATAATCCAATGCTTCGATCTAACAACTTGTTTGATCAGTTTAGGTTCATAGTTGGCCAATAATGCAGGGATAACTTGAGCTGCAGAGCAACCGTTTCCAACAACTACAACATTTTTACCTTTGAAATCAACGTCATGTCTCCAGAGTGCAGAATGCATATATTCACCCTTGAAGTTTTCTAATCCCTTCGCTCTTAGCTGACTTGGGTAGACCAATCCACCTTGGCAGGCAACTAAAATCTTAGAAACATGTTCCAATTTTTGGCCGTTGTCCAAGTTTCTAGCTGTCAAAATCCAGTCAGCAGTCTCTGTTCTGTATCTGGCTTCGGTAATTATAGTTCTGAATTTTCCATGTTCTGTGATTTTATGCTTATCTACAACATGTTTGATGTACTCTTGCATTTCATATTGTGGTGGCCTAAGGGCACTCCAATTTGAGTTCAATTCACTGTAGAACGAATACCATACAGCTGGAATATCGGAAGCACAGCCTGGGTAAGTATTTGCGTACCAAGTACCTCCGAAATCAGCATGCTTTTCAAATATAACAAAATCTTTCTCTTTGACTTCTTTGATACATGTTAATGCAGCACTAAGGCCCCCAAAACCACCACCAATAATTGCAATCTTGGATTCAGTCCTAATTACTGGGAGTGAATCATCTTCTGGGACCCATGAGTTTGGTCCTAAGATCTGATCAGCGTCTTCATATCTACACCTAAATTTCGTTGGATTTTCATGTGATTCCTTCACAACTTGCACTGTAGACATTTTTTATACTCGAAATTAACTGTTCAATATAGATGACGAAGAAATTAATCTGTAGTCAATAAATAAATTAGAAGTCGAGAGATGAAAAATATGATCTACATGCTAGCAACATCTAACCTTCTTTTATATATAAATTTCCACCATCAGGTACAACTGGTATCGGTGTTATGATATTAATGCACAGTGCGGAGTTTACTACTGAGGAGATTCCCTTCCTGGTGAGAAATGGAAAGTTTATATGAAAAAGGAATGAACAATGCTAACGGAATGCCAATTTGGAAAAGTGGATTTTTCACATGACTATGCGAGGAAGGTTATAATTGAGCTTTCATTGAACTTTCTGTCACTGCACAAAGTGTACAATAATAATGGCCCATGGCCATTGGCAATATTGGCCCTTTACCCCAGACTTCCAGAAAAGAATTACTCTATGCAGCAAGAAATTACATGCACAATATTGCGGCTCTAGCACGCACTGAGCATTTAACTTGTTTGCAGTCAATGGTAGTATCACCCTAATGGACGTTACATGGGGCTAGTATCCATGGACATTCGGTGCTTAGGCTACTAGGTCGTTAAGACCAGCGGGGCCAGTACCCATAGAAGCGGTGCTTAGGTTAGGTTGTTAGGACCAGCGGGGCTAGTACCCATAGAAATCGGTGATTAAATGAAAGTAGGCTGATTTGACTTGCTCGTAAAACTTTTTAGTCCATTTCCCGTAGTATTGAAATAAGAGAGGAGGTGGGGTAGTATGTTTCAACCGTTCTTGAAACTTTTGTTCCGTGGATAATAAGAATGCGTAATGTCTTCACGATAGAAAATAGAACCACCTCGGTTCTCGCTGAAATGCCCGGCCACAACAGCCTGAAGACATGGCCCCGGTACCCCAGCTGAAGTAGCAATTAAAGTTACTCCTTGTCGCATGAGGGTGAAAACAGAAAGTTGCACCGCACCCGAGGAACCTATATATTGCATATTACCCCTGTGGAAGGGTGGGTTGCAACATTACACAATCTCCAGCAATGCAAACCATTGAAAGGTGTGGAAGGAATTTAAAGTATTGTTCCCTGACTGATTATAAAATAAAGTTCCAGCCCTCACCAAAGTAACATATAGCATGGAAAAAAGTTAAAAAATGTTCAGTCAGTGCTAACTTCGGTGTATCAACTCAATAGAGCCTCTCTAGTGACTAAAATGTGATACCTCTTATGACTAACAAGAGTATTAGCCAAAACCACCAAACCCTCGTAGGAATCTTGCCGTAACATAGATGACACTTTCTCTTTCACTCTTTCTCTGCCTCTGTCTGTCTTCCCCTTTCTCTTCCACTTCCTGTTTTGATTTCTTTTGAACCTAATGACTCACTGCCTTGCTCTTTGGCAATATTCAAGAGTTTGCATACATCTTCCCTCTCTTTTGGCTCGTTAACTTATACCTTTATCAACCCATTTGACTCACCAACTCCGAAGGTCGTGCACTGTGGTTAATGTAGCCCTGTCACTAAAAATTCATCACCAAAAAAAAAAAAAAATATAAGGAAGTGAAAAACCGGTCCAAGAATTTTTCAATCAGCTCCAAGTTGCTATTAGTAAGATTAACTTTCCCAAAATTTCGATATTATCCCGTTTAAAGGTTAATTGTAAGCTATATTGTGCTCATTCAAGTAGGAGAAGAATGTCCACTAACCCAAGATCTACTATCCCGTTCTCAAGAGATGCTCTTGATCAAGTCTTGAAAAGAAGATTCTTCTTTGCACCAGCATTTGAAATATATGGTGGTGTCTCTGGTTTATACGACTACGGTCCACCAGGTTGTGCATTCCAGGCCAACATTGTTGACACTTGGAGAAAGCACTTCATTTTAGAGGAAGATATGTTGGAAGTTGACACCACTATGTTGACTCCTTATGAAGTGTTGAAGACCTCTGGCCATGTAGACAAGTTCGCCGATTGGATGTGTAAGGATTTGAAGACAGGTGAAATTTTCAGAGCTGATCACATCGTTGAAGAAGTTCTCGAAGCCAGATTAAAGGGGGACAAGGAAGCAAGAGGTATCTCTGTAGCCCCAGTCGAAGAATCCGACGACAAGAAGAAAAGAAAGAAGAAGGTCAAGGAAATCAAGGCCATTAAATTAGACGACAAGGAAGTCGCTGAGTACGAAAACATTTTGGCTCAAATTGATGGTTTCTCTGGTCCTCAATTAGGTGAACTTATCACCAAGTACAACATCACTAACCCTGCTACCGGTGGAGTCTTGGAGCCACCTGTGGAATTCAACTTGATGTTCGAAACCGCTATTGGTCCATCTGGTCAATTAAGAGGTTACTTAAGACCTGAGACTGCTCAAGGTCAATTCTTGAACTTCTCGAAGTTGTTAGAATTCAACAACGAAAAGATGCCATTTGCATCTGCCTCTATCGGTAAATCTTTTAGAAATGAGATCTCCCCTAGAGCTGGTTTATTGAGAGTCAGAGAATTCCTCATGGCCGAAATTGAACACTTTGTTGACCCTAACGATAAGTCCCACCCTAAGTTCGAAGCATTCAAGGACTTGAAGTTGAGATTCTTACCAAAGGGAGTTCAAGAATCCGGTTCTACTGAGTTGATTGAAGAATCCATTGGTGATGCAGTTGCCTCTGGTATGGTTGACAATGAAACTTTAGGTTACTTTTTAGCTAGAATTTACCTTTTCTTGACCAAGATTGGTGTTGATGCTAACAGATTGAGATTTAGACAACACATGTCCAACGAAATGGCCCATTACGCTGCTGATTGTTGGGATGCTGAGTTACACACCTCTTTCGGTTGGATCGAATGTATTGGTTGTGCTGATAGATCTGCATATGATTTAAGCGTCCATTCCGCAAGAACCAATGAAAAATTAATCGTTAGACAACCATTGGCTGAACCATTAATCGTTGAAAAGTTTGAAATTGAAATCGCCAAGAAGAAGTTCGGTCCTAAGTTCAGAAAGGACGCTGGTGCCGTAGAAAAGTGGTTATTGGCTAGAACCCAATGTGAATTGGAAGATTTGGCCAAGGAATTGAAAGATGAAGGTAAGATTACCTTTGAAGTGTCGGGTGTTGAAGGAAAGATTGAATTAGACACTGAATTTGTTAAGATTGAAAAGGTCACCCGTACTGAGCACATTAGAGAATTCACTCCAAATGTTATCGAACCATCCTTCGGTATCGGTAGAATTATCTACTGTATCTTCGAACATCAATTCTGGGCTAGACCTGAAGATGAAGCTAGAGCAGTTTTATCCTTACCACCATTAGTTGCACCAACAAAGGTATTGTTGGTTCCATTGTCATCCAACTCAGAATTGCAACCAGTTGTCAAGCAAGTTTCAGCTGCATTGAAGAAGGAATTGATCCCATTCAAGGTTGATGATTCGTCTGCTTCCATTGGTAAGAGATATGCCAGAAACGATGAATTGGGTACTCCATTCGGTATCACCATTGATTTCGAATCTGTTAAGGACTTATCTATCACCTTAAGAGAAAGAGACTCCACTAAGCAAGTTAGAGGTTCTATTGAAGATGTTATTCTGGCTATCAAGGGTATCACTTATGAAAACAAGTCCTGGACCGAAGGAACTAGCAAACTTTCTCCATTTGAAACTCAAGCTGCCGAATAAAGATGACTAGATACTTAAAGCAAGCAATTTTGTAAATAATAATATGGAAAACAATGAACCTTTAACTGTAGTCACACCTCTGTGTATATTTTTATCAGGACCGAGATTTTGGGGATACCCTTGATCTTTATACATAGGATGAAAGTCGGCGCTAAGTTGTTAAGTAAGATCAGGATGAATCGAAGTTTGAACGACAATTCCCTCTGCAACAAGAATAGGCCCAAAGTGTTAAGTACAAAGAACTTAACCAAGTCAAAGTTCGTAATATTATTTAAGGATTGCCTTCTTTCTGTCATAATCATGAAGTACACAGGGTATATGAGGCACAGAACAAAGACAATATGGTCAATCATTGTTGAAGAAAAGAGAGTTCCACAGTGGTCAAACTTCTTTCCCAGCCAAATTTTGCAGCTAAAAAGCAAAAAAGCAAAAAAAAAAAAAAAAAAAAAAAAAAAAATGCAGCACTTTCTTCGGTACGTCCTGCACCAAAATTGACACAATTGGTTCCTACAGAGGGTCCTTCAGCTTGCTACATGGACATAGTTAAGCTGTAACACGAAGACCAGACGGATTTGCGTCTAAAAATCTACATTGGCATAGTTTACATATCTTAATATACATTACACTATAAATCTTTTTTCAATTGTTATTCGCTATATAATATTTTTTTTTTGCTTTTCTACCTTATTATTTTTCACTTTCTGTCCCTGTGTTCCCTATTTAAATATTTTCCTACTGAAGTTGCAGTCCACTAGTCAGAGTCAGAATAGTACTTTTCCAGAGCAGATTCATGAACAACTGCGTGCTTTCTTCTCTTTTGAGTTTCAGTGTGTGCGATGAGGATAACGGAAATCAAAAGCGCTGCAACGGAACCCCAGACTATTCCAAATACATTCTTACCAATTTCGGCACTGAGACCATCGGCATTGTATCTTTTGACGGTGTAGACATGAACATAGGTTTCGAGTGCAGCCCCAACAATAGAAAGAAGGAAACTGACAATCACGAAAAAGTGGGATACACTCAACAAGAAACTGATAGGTAAAATAAATGTTACGAATACACATGGCAAGGATACGGCAGACAAAATAAGTCCAACAAGTAACAAAATGAACCCTGCCTTTGAAATACCCTTGATGGTCTTTTTCTTGTCATCTAATGAGCTATCAGATACATTGATATAAGAAGTGTCATAGGCAAAGGCAAACTTGTTGTCTGTACATCCTGAGTTCTTGTTGTCAGTAATGGAACAAGTACCATAATTGGTCCATCTTACTCCCAGGGTGGAAGCACTAGTGGATTTGACTTGTGACCAATACAACTCGTTCAATGGCGCCTTTTCGTTTATTCCGACCAACACTACGAAAAGTAAAAGCACGAATGCTGCGAATGTGGTAAATAAACTTAAAAATAAAAGCCCTCTCATTATAATAAGTGAGTCTCTCTATAACGACTAAAATATGAAAGAAATAAGAAAATTGGGCTACTTCCCCAACCTACGTGGATCATCTGCATTTTTATACTTTAGCAAGCAATTTCTCTTCGGTTTCAGCCTTTCTGGGCTTTCTTTGTTCCTTAATTTTTAAGCTATTTTATTTTTAGCGATTGAGGCACAATAAGATTATGTGGTTAGTCACTTCTCTGATGCCTCCGCCGCAGTAGAAGTTTGACGTTAGATCAAGAAAACCGATTTCTTGAAAAATAATTTATGGAGAGTGGAGCGACGGAGAGCACCTTCAATTGCACAGTAATATTCCCTATTGAAAGGTTTGGTATAGATGGGATATATTAAGGGATCTTGAGAGGTTCTATGATCTATCGGCTACCATATCTTGCTGTATTTCATGTAAAATATGAAACTAATCCCAGTGGCATCAGTGCCTGTGCTGGTTGCAATACCAATTGAGTAATGAGCCATGCGGGTGTAAGGGTGTGGTGATTATATTTTATGAAGTTCGGCTCGTGAGGCTATGTGCACGTCTAGCGTTAAATGATAGTAGGCATATGCAACAGATTGTAGTGTAAAAATAGAAATGGAATTGGACTTGGGTATGACATTCAATGGTTAGTGAACAATAACCGACTCAAAGCCTAGCGCCTGTGAATGAGGGCTCTCCACGTTGCTACCATAACATTTTCCTTTGTTGGGGCTTATATTAGAGAATTCTTATTTTCTCCAATTTTTCTTGGATTGGAGGGTGACATAGTATATTGCTTGCTATCACTTAGAGTTTACTACAAGGTGTTTAAACTTTAAAATACCTGCAACAGTACAGAGGTATGTACAGGAAATACAGGCTTATTTCCACTCGATTGAAACTGCCGTCTTGGCCCATGTTAGAGCTCTCTCACACTTTTCTGCGAACAATATGCAGAGTGTAGTAAGGCTGCAATGTTAGCCAGCCTTTTTGCTGTACAACGAGGAATGTCAAAAAAATACCAAAAATTGGTTTGCTCGTAGATAGGAGAGGAAGAAACGGAAAACGCTACGAGTTTGCATCTGATGGTCTAAATAATGGTATTTGTATTTTCGAATTCTGAAATGCTTTGAGTAGTTGTACCATTTTTGCCAATTACCTTAGTATGGACGTGCAAATTCATCTCTATAATTCTACGTACACTATACAACAAATACTTCTACCAACTTCCCAAAATCTAACCCATCGCCAGTGTTAGTGTCGAAAATTTTGATCCCGTCAAGATTGAAAACACCTCTACTTACTCCAATTAACTTGATTTCTGTCTCAAAAACACTGTTGTTCTCTAAGGGGCCCAAACGTATATCATTGTCCAATATTATCACTCCACTCTTTACCACTTTTAATGACCTGTATAGAGATTGCAATTGACCCTGCCCGTAGATGATTGGCGTGTCAGTCTTACCGTAGTTCAAGAGTAAATTACTATGGGAGTATGATTTAGTACTTGCGTTATTACCACTACCAAGCTGCGAGCTTGGTGATTGAACCAACAAAGAGAGATTTAAGCTTCCTGTCGAATTGTTAATTGCCTGTAGCCTCCAAGTTGTTATTTGTCCTAGTTGAATACTCAACTTCCCAATAAAAGTTAACTTTAAACCTGATAATATTGACGAGCTAGTTGTTAAATTGACAGTAACAGATGAAGCAGAATTTAACACTTTTGAAGCACCGCCCAAATTCCCCCCGCTTTGGCTCGAGTACGAAATGTTGGAACTGGGTACGTTGTTGTTTATAGAGGGGATTATGTTGACATCCACGAAGCTGGAAGTCTTCTGTTTATGGGCACTACTTAGCAATGCTGCTTTACGTGGTGGTAACTTTGCGCCAAACGTAGCTTGCGATTGTATTAATGGCGAAGTTTGGAAGTGCAGCGATAAGCCACTGCTACCTAAAGTTGGTATTGCCCCAAGAGAACCACCTGGTCCAATTTGACCGCCAGTTGGGGCTGTTGCCTTCAATGAACTATTGATTGGAGGCGCTATTATGCTAAAGTCAAGATAAGGGTTCCAGGATGTCACTATGGTGTTACTTATTGTGGTGAATTCATTTTTCCCTTCACATTTTTTTTGTACTTGAAGTGTGAGCTTAATATTGACAGGTTTAGTTGAGGTGAACTGGACCCCGCTGCCGTCCTGTTGCTTTAACTCCTTGTCCAAGAAATCATTGTTAATCAACTTGTACGTTAAATTGAGCGAGTCCTCCAACTTGAATCGTATGGGGAATTCATTGCTTATCAACTCTTCTATCGTTCCTGCCTTGAACACTACGCTAAGACCAAGAATATTAAAGTACATGTTGTCCTTCTTAGTATACATCTTCTGCACCTCCTCCGACGCCTCTATATTTAGCGTAGATAGAAGTATATTGTTCCGACCAGCAGGTTTCGTAGATTTAAGCTTAATAACCAGGGACACGGTGATAGGGAGCGATACCAGACCGCTGATGTGCATAGGCTGTTCATGAACTGGTTGGGAGGGTATTGAGCCAGTAGGAATTGTCACGTCATTTTCCTCGACCCTGTCAAGTCCCGAGCCAGTGCCGGTCCTCGAGTGAGTGGCAGGGTTCGTTCGTACCTCCTTTTCTTCATAAAATTCAAACTTTTGGTTCATCAATGCATCGTCCTTGTTAACTACGCCGTGGTTCAACTCTTCGAGGATATTTGGCTTGTCAGCGTACAGATAGTCAGGCAAGGAAGCAGACTCAACAAAAGTCAACGCATTATCATCAGCTCTGTCCTCAATATCATTCACAGCAGAGGAGGACGACGACTCCTTTTCATTGAGGTAGCAGCTCACCTTGACTCGGGGGTTCCCAAACTTCTTCCTTGGGTAGACTATCGGAATATTGAAGCGCCAAACGATGCATTGGGATACTTCTATCCCCGAGCTGGAACCATCGACAATATTAGCCAGTCTCTCGGCTAGCACTTCGCCCGAGTAAACAATGTCACTTCCCGTCAACGTACTGTTCAAAATGCTGTATGAATTAGGTTGTTCGGTGGCCTCTGGCTCTGGCGTAGAGAGTGCTGGGGAAGTATGGTTTCGCTGCGGCGAGTGTAGGTTGCTGAACCTTGCTCTATTGGCCTCTTCTGGCACGATAGAAATGTCCAAATAGACGGAAAAGTCGCCAGCTCTGTCTCCGCTGTAGATCACGTATCCAGTTAGCGATTCGTCAAAGAAGATCACTTCTCTCTGGCAGTTCTCTGCTTCACTTCGTGCTAAGAAGTCGCGGACATTTTCAATTGGACTGTCCGGTAAGTTCGACTCTGCCGGGAGTATTATCCTTAAGCTCATACTTCCTAGACGACGCTCTTCTGCTGCTTGGATAGCTAAGAGCATGGTGATCTGGGCAAGTGTTGTCTTGGTGCATGGAAAAATACCAACATAGACTCGGTCACGTGGCAAGTAGCGTGCGCGAAGCTGCGACACAAAATGGTTGCAAAAAAAAAAAAAAAAAATAGCCAAGCAATACGGTGTCGGGTTTGTTAGGAGATGCTATGTTATTAGTGTGCTAACAACGTTAAATAAATATATAGGAGGTCTATGAAAGGAATCTGCCTTCACGTCTATCTTTCTTTTTTTATTTTCTTTCTTTTATATCATTTTGGCAAGTATTAAACTTGTTCCGCTTTGTTCAGTTCCAGCTTAAAAATGTACACGAGCTCCAAATAAAATGCGTAAAGAAACCCGAGTATGCAGCCTACGGTGATGCAAACAAGCAGTGTTGCATACATTGCTCCAACCACCCTAAATGCCTTCATGTTATTGAATACAGTGTGCAATTCATTGTTCGATAATGCCATGGTACCAAGTGGGAAAGTCATAGCCCAGAATGTTCTGGAAAATCTGATGACGCCGTCGAATCTCCTCTTCACAAAATGATCACTTTTCGACTTGTAAACGAACTGCGGATTGGGTGTCTGCGCGAAGGGACTAATCTTAGAAAGACAAGATGCTATCGCAATCACTGTACAGAAGTATCCAAACGACATAAGGAACAACGAGATCATGGCGCACGAGTACAAGATCACATTGCCTATAATTATGGACAATAAGAGTTGGCCGTCAGCGTCGATAACCGAATCTGATTCCATATATGTTATGTTGAGAACACTCAACTTAGAATAATTTTCCAGAATAAATCTATGCATATTGACCCCGAAAAGCATAACTCCGTATGCACCCTGTCCCATAACACCGACTGGTAAAAATGAAGTAAAGACTCTATCAGTGGACGGAATCTTGTGAACAAACAATCTCCAAAAATACACTGCAATGATAACAAAGGCGGTAGAGATCGCAACTGACCATAAGATATAGCAAATTATCATCGTGGACATCTTCAAGGTGTTGGTAGGCAAATCCTTAGTGAAAATACCACCTGACGAAGCCGCAACTGTCAATGTCACTATTGGTAAAAGCAATGTCGCATTCAAATCACGAGTTTCAGTCTTAGGTGTCAAACTATTTTTTCCAATTAAACTGAAATAGAAGACGATGCAAGCAGTGTACAAAGAAAAGAACACTGCAATCCACCATAAGCAGTAGGTCCCAATGATCCAAGATTCTCCAGTAAGGAGATATATGTAATTCACCAAAGTATTATAGCCCATTGCATAGCATCCCATGAATGGTGCCACGTTAGGGTCACAGTGGAAAGTGTACAACTTTCTAGGATGTTTAATAACACTTATAATGCAAAAGATAGTTGTCACCAACCAGAATATACTGGCGATGCCAAACATTATGTATGAGCAAACTCTGAGCCAGTGTGCAGGGTATGGAAAATTGTATAGTATAGAAGATGATATACCTGTACCCATAATGGAGACAAAGTACACTGGAGTGAACCCCTTGATTAATGTCTTGTCAATGACATGCAGCAAGCGGGCAGAGAATGAATCGGATGCATAGCATTCACTTGCATCATCATCTGAATCGCTTTTGGAAGGATCAACAGCAGCAGAAGCAACAGCAGCAGCACGGGCATTGCGAGCGCTTGGTGACAAATCATCATCGCTTAAGTTTACAACTGTAGTATTAGTGGACTCCGTATGACTCAATCGTTGTACGTTAACATCATTTTCCGGAGTATTTTGGGTTTTGCAGCCATTCATAACGGAAAAGCGTCACTTTCTAATTATTTTTTGGAGGCGAAGAGATATTTCAGTTGACAATATTGTAATATACCTGCACGTAAGGTTTTGTGTAAACTGTGGCTCTTTCTCGCAGACCTAAAAGAGAATTAAGAGCGATAAAATTAAGCTAATACTGTGGCTCCAGTTAAAATGAGTTTATAAGGCTGCAAATTTCTTCTAAGCTTGTCTTTTGCAACTTAGACGTGTAGTACAACAGTCGTTAAAATTGTTGATTCAAATTCTTATAAAAACAAGGATACGTGAACCAGTGGAAAAAATTCTTAATTGGCAAGGCGATGGAAGAGAAATTTGGAAAAAAAAAGAAAGCTGGGAAATCCATTTACTTTTAAACATGAACTTGCTCAGTGTGACCGATGCACGTGACCTGGAATTTCTTTTTTCCTAGTGGTCAGCGCCTGAAAGGGCCCGCCAGAATACCTAATTAGGCAAGTAGCGGGCGGCTCTGCTGCGTTGTGGCTTTTCTCAAAAAGTGACTCAGCGGTCTACTCAGCGGGCCACTCAAGTGCGGGTGTCACAAAGCTGTGGCCTATAGAAATGAAACGGCCCAAGCCAACAGTCGGAACAGTGCTTCAGGTCTAGGTTGAACAAACTTAAACAAGAAGTTGAAGGAGTAAACATACCCAGCAAAAACCTTAAAGGTGACGCTCGTAGTCGTGTGATGAAATGAATATAGCCTATAAAGAATTCTTTGGCATGAGAGGAGAAGGCAGGGAAATTAAGTTTGATATCTAATTGATCAATTCTCAGATAACACTCGTTAGCAGGATTTGGATTTTATCTTCTAGATAAGAAGGGTAAACATGAAACGGGTGTAGATCACACTAGTCCATGTTATCTCTGATCACAAGAATTTTAAGTTTCTACGAGAGCTTAGCTAGATAACAAGCACCACCCGTCTCATTTGTTAGGGAAAGCCGGAAATCTGGACCCGCAGCACCATGGCCGAAAAAATAAATATGCGCATGTGCTTTACCCCGACAGCACGGACGAGAAATTTTGAAATGAGCAAAATAGGAAGGTTTGCAATGAAATTGCTGGCGGGCTCGTAACATAAAATCCTTTTGCGGCAATTTTTTATCTGAACACCGTAGCGTTTTCGTGACGGCCCCGATTTCCGCGGTCCAGCGACCGCCTATATAAACAGGTGAGATTCCACCGCTTTTCATGAATTCAATTTTTTTGAACCACCACAATCGGCTCAAACAGCTAAATCAAGTACTTTTTCGCTCTATTCACTTTAAAATTTTTTTGCTTAGTCTCAGGCTTATCATCGGGAATTGTCCTTTAAATTAAAAAAAGATGCTTCACACTTTAAATAACAGTAACTTCGAATCACCTCTTCTCAGACCTTCATCTGCTTGTTCAGTTGGCTCACCAAAGCTTCCATTACCGAGCTTCAAGTCGTTAAATGAAAGCTCAGCAGCTTCTGTAGCGGCTCCTGAATCTGATAGTATGTTTGAAAACGAATTTGGGGTGCTCATTGGAAAATTAAGAAAAATTTTAGGCCCCAATAAAGGCTTGTCCTCTGAGGATGTTGACATTGAAAAGGTCAAGGAGATTATGGAAGAATACACTTCCAATGAAGAAGAATGGGGGAAATTTGCACTTCACGATCCTTCTAGGAATTACTCTAGGAATGGTATCGTAGATATCAACGGTAATGCCAACTTGTTAATCTTGGTATGGCTGCCTGGTAAAGCATCGGCAATTCACGACCACGCCAATGCGCACTGTTGCATGAAAATCTTGAAGGGTGAGTTGAAAGAGTCGTTGTACGACATCCCAAACGTTGAAGAAGAAGGCGAACATGAATTAGTATGCAAGCAGGAAACTAATTTGAAAACCGATGTTGTTGGATATATTTCCGATGATATCGGGTTGCACAAGATCAGCAACAACTTAGATAACGAAGTCAGCGTATCCTTGCATTTATATACCCCACCATATGCCCTGATGTTTGGTTGCAGCATGTATGAAGCTAAGAATGGGAAAAAGCACCATGTTGATATGAGTAAGTACTACTCATGGCAAGGAGAATTGGTCAATAAGACCGGGAGCTCCACCTGTTGAGTGGCACCCACCTGTTTATAGCATACTTATATCATACCATTTCTATGGTCCCCTTTACGACGTATTTGACCCATTACATATATAATAACATACCACATAAATGAAGGTTTTACTGTAGAAGGTTGTAGGAAATGGAGCTAGAGATGCTTGACGCTTCTTGAATAAGAAAACACTAAAAGGAATAGAAGATGAATATCAGCTCAAGCACGAGAGCATACAGCGATGGACTCATCTCAGTCTTTCGGTTGCGGCCATATCTAACAGAAAGCACCGTTTCCCGTCCGATCAACTGTAGTTAAGCTGCTAAGAGCGAGACCGAGTAGTGTAGTGGGAGACCATACGCGAAACTCTCGTGCTGCAATCTCACCTATCCTTTTTTTTTTCTTTACTGAACACATTGGGTTTCCATTTGAGATCTGCTGGTACCTACATGCTAGTTGCAATCCACATCTGGTTCTAAGCAGAAGTGAAGTGCCGTCTAGTCAAGACATTGGGACGTCTAGCGGAGAATGAAAATACTCAAAGACTACTTCGCCTTTCCTTTCTTCTCCCATTCCAGAATCTTTGAGTACTGCATTCACTGCGCAAGAGTTGCAAACCAAAATTTCTCCGCCGGGTGCACTAATGCGTTGCACTGACTCGGTACATTCTCAACCACTGGTTAAGAATCCACCATCGCCTTGGCACGGGAAGAGATTTTCCTAACACTATACCCCAGCACTCTAAGTTTACATGTAAAGTCATGTCACGACTCTCGAGTCCTCCAATTCAATACGCTATCTCCCCCTAACCCACTATTAGACCTGCCATTGCTGCAATAATACCCTTTATCGACCCCTCCGGGGAGTTTTGATGATCCTGCACACAACTGATAGCATCCTCGATTTTCCTTAGCTGAATTTTTTCAGAGGTCACGGCGTTGGAGGAGGTTGAATGGTAGATAACAAGCATCTGCATAGAGATATTGATACATTTATACGTAGCACTTCCACTTATACAATCATTCAGTCTGCATAGAATTCAAAGAGCAAAAAAAACGGCGGAAAGCGCACAGGAATCACCTAGTTAAACAAGCAAGAGCCAAACTTTGTCAGCCAATCGAAAGCAGATAATTCTATTGCATAGATCATGTCACAGCTTACTACGTACTACGGACCCAGGCCCCTACAGCCATTGAATGACCACATGAGACACGGGTTTGACCAGGACTACAACTCGGAGAATTTCCTATCTCTCCTTGCTAACACATTCTACATCTACTTCGATGATAAGCGTCACAATACCAACGGTAACCCGATCACCGAGGAGATGAAAAAGCATCCAGAATACTACAAGACATACCAGCCGATAACTGACTGGAAGGTTATGAAAGACAGGCAGAAGACCATTTCTGCCGCCATTGTGCTATGCCTCAACCTAGGAGTAGATCCGCCAGACATCATGAAGACGTACCCGTGTGCTAAGTTGGAAGCATGGTGCGATCCCTCCACGTACCCGGACACTAAGAAGGCCATAGAGCTGATTGGGAAGACCTTACAGTCTCAGTATGAAACATTAAGTTTGAGAACAAGATACAAGCAGTCTTTGGACCCTTGTGTCGAAGATGTTAAACGTTTCTGCAACACCTTGCGGAGAAATGCCAAGGACGAGAGGATCTTATTCCATTACAACGGGCACGGAGTGCCTCAGCCCACAGCGAGTGGAGAAATCTGGGTATTTAACAGAGGTTATACCCAGTATATACCTATCTCGCTCTATGACTTACAAACGTGGTTGGGGGCTCCTTGTATATTTGTATACGACTGTAACAGTGCTGGTAACATTGTCCACAATTTCAAGAAGTTTGTTCAGAAAAGAATTGATGATGATAACGAGGGAAATCATGACCTCAGTGCACCACTGCCAACATCTGCGTACTTAGACTGTATTCAATTGGCAAGCGGAAAGAGCAATGAGTTACTCCCTATGCTGCCAGACTTACCAGCAGATTTGTTTACGTGCTGCTTGACATGTCCTATCGACATAAGTGTAAAATGGTTCGTCCTGCAGTCACCGATCAGAAAGCTGTACTACCTGTTGTTGCCCAAGAATCTGATTGGAAACGTAATTATCCCAGGAAAATTAACTGACAGGAGAACACCACTAGGTGAGCTTAATTGGATTTTCACCGCCATCACTGACACAATTGCATGGACCACATTGTCCAGGCCCATTTTCAAGAGATTATTCAGACAGGACTTGATGGTGGCGGCTCTTTTTAGAAATTTCCTCCTCGCAAAGAGAATTATGCCCCATTTCAATTGCAATCCAATCAGTGACCCTCCATTGCCAGATTCAGTCCGGTTCCATCACATGTGGGATTCGTGGGATTTGGCTATAGACCAGGTCTTTAGCCAATTAATAAAGTCTAACGGGGTTGCTCCTATAAGCACCAGTGTCGTACTTGGAGGAGGCTTGAATCAAGCATTATCAACTGTAAATGGAGGAAATATCAGTACACTTAATGGTCAAATCCAAAACGGACCAAAGATCAACGGACTGAATGGGCATGTAAATGGCACTGCAAATAACATAAATAGGAATGTCTCAGGAGGCATAACTCCTGGTTCTGCGACTAGCACCAATATTCATACTCCAACAGGAGCGGCTCCTTCAGCTCAACAATTAAACTACCAGCATTCAACATTCTTTGAACAGCAGCTTACTGCGTTTGAAATATGGCTCAAATACGCAGGATCTTCTAAGATGGAACCCCCAGAACAGTTACCGATTGTTCTTCAAGTACTCCTTTCTCAAGTTCATAGGCTTCGTGCGTTGATCTTACTATCCAAATTTCTTGACCTCGGACCTTGGGCAGTATACCTTTCTCTTTCCATTGGTATATTCCCCTATGTTTTAAAATTATTACAAAGCCCGGCGCAAGAATTAAAACCAGTTTTGATCTTCATTTGGGCCAGAATCATGGCCATTGATTATAAGAGCACACAACAAGAACTCTGTAAAGATAAAGGCTATAATTATTTCTATTTGATCTTGAATTCCCAGAACCAACAAGGGACCATGAATACAAGTACAGGAACAGGAACTGTTGGGGGTGCTGGAGTAGTTGCAAATGGACCCTCAGCTAATAACATCTTAATCAATGATGACCATAAAGCGATGAGTGCATTCATTCTTACATTATTTATTAAGGATTTCAAGAATGGACAAAGATTATGCTTTTCAATAGAATTGATTAGAAATTGTTTAAAATTTTTGTCCTCGAGCGAAAACCCACTACTCAGACAATGGTGTTGTTTATTATTGAGTCAATTATGGATGGGATACCCAGATGGAAAATGGATAATATATAAAGATGGATACCTACAAAAGTTTTTGGGATTAGTGAATGATCCGATTCCAGAGGTCAGAAGCAGCATTATTTTAGCTTTAACTAACTTTTTAAGTGAACCAGACCAGCAAGCACAAGGGCAAAGTAACCATGCTCAAAATATTCAAGGGCAGAATCCTCAGGTAATTCCACAGCACCAGGATTTAAGAAAGGATGAACTAAAACAACAAGATTTGAAGCTTGCAAATACTATTCTTGGACTTTTAGGAGACGGATCTTCCATGGTTCGTAAGGAAATTGTATACTTTATTGCCAAATTTATCAAGATTTATTCAAAGTTCTTTTTAGTTGTTGCATTCAATCAATTGGAAGAAGAAATAGTTCTTATTGATAATGCCAATTATCTTATCGAATTCAGAAAGAAGTCACCTGCTTATGGTTCCATTTTTAGTTCCATATGGAAATCTTTATTGATTTTGTCAGAAGACCCTCATTTGGACGTAAAGCAACTAGCTGAAATCTTAATAGATTCAGTTATGGTTCAATTAAACGAGAGTGAGCTAGGAGGGTTAGTGAAAGAAATGCAGGATGAATTATTAAGCAAATCAACTATCAACATCAGCGAGAGCTTTAAACCTATCAACCCAATTGTAAGTCGCTTAGAAAATGGCAATGGTAATGGGCATTTAGCTAGAAGACAGGTTTCTTCTGGCTCTACATTACAAAGAAGAAACAACACATTAACAATCAATGGAATGAGATCAGCTTCGACGTCAAATATTAATGATAAGCTAAAGTCAACCGATTCAGACACTGAATCTATTCTGTCAAAAATAAAAAATCTTTCCATTGGCAAAATATTCAAGCTGCTTCAACTTAATGAAGAATCCGATTTAAAAAACTTTTCACGAATTTTAAACTTGGGCCCTGTTCCTACAAATTATGGTGTAGAATTAAAACCTAAGACCCCAAGATTCCATGCTAGAGATTTAACCATCAAGCCCGAATTGCCAGCAGAATCTGGATTTTTCCAATACAGTTGTGAATATTTCCAAGAGCCCCAAATGTCCAAGAATGAAATTGACGAACCCGGATCTAAAGAATATGCGAAAAGATTGTGGAGAAGGAATCGTAATGAATCAATAATTCAAGAAACTCAACCACAAAAAGAGTTAGCCATTAGAGGAGATTGGAACAGCAATTTAAAGATATTAAATAATAAGCTGCAACCCAAGCTCATTAAATTTACTCAGTTTGAAAAAATATTAGTATCTTCAGATGAAAAGGATAATGTTACTGTGTGGGATTGGGAATACAACAATGTAGTTAAAAAATTTTCAAATGGGAACCCATATGGTACAAAGATTACAGATATTAAATTCCTTAATGAAGATGATCAACCATTACTTTTGACAGGTAGTAGTGATGGTGTTATCAAAATCTATAAGAATTTCCATGACAATTATAGTGGCGATAACATTGAATTAATTGCATCTTGGAGAGCATTGACGGATTTGCTCTTAACTTCGAAGCTGTCTGGATTGATTTCTGAATGGCAACAATCCAGAGGTTCCTTGCTAGTTAGTGGGGATGTCAAAATTATTAGGATATGGGATGCTCCTAGGGAGTTGTGCTTAGTTGATATACCTGCTAGATCGACTTCGAGCATCACTTCATTGACATCTGATCAAGTGGCTGGAAACTTGTTTATCGCAGGTTTTGATGATGGAAGTTTAAGAGTTTACGATCGTAGATTAGATAGTAGGGAATCTATGGTGAAGACATGGAATACTACAAGCAAAAGTGAAGGTGGATACCAAAGAGGAGGTGGAGCTTCCATTAGAAATGTGCATATGCAAAGAGGTGGCTATAGAGAACTTGTCAGTGGATCCTCTAATGGGTATGTCAATCTCTGGGATATCAGACTTAACGATCCTGTTGAGTCCTTTGTCAATTCACCTGAAAAATCTATCCGTTGTATAGATGTGCATGAACATGCTCCAATTATTACAACTGGGGCTAAACTGGTGAAGCTTTGGAGTACGTCGGGTGATTTGATACTGTCGTTGAAGAATCCACACGACACATACTTGGCTAATAGAACATCCAGTTACTTATCAAGTGCTGTTTTCCATCCGCATTACATGATGATGGCCACAAATTACAATCAAGACGGACATATAAACTTGTATACTTGCACTGATACTGCGCAAGAGTATTAGAAGTAAACCAAAAATTAAAAGAGAAAAAAAAAACAAACGAACAAGGAGGGTAAGCCAACGAAAAGGCATTATGTTCTTGCAGAAGGTATCTAATTTCTAATAAAATTTACATAGAAAGTATGACTAATGAACAAAAAGATGTCCTGGTGTATTTCTTTTTTCTTCGTATTCTTCATGCAACATAGCATATAGCAAGCAAAAAGGACAACCATTTATCTGCCACATTTAGCACTATTTCTCCTTCTCCTTTCTAAATTTCCTCATCCTGTGGCACGTAATAGAAAGAATCCACCAACGCAAGCCCTACAACAAAGGAACAAACTAACATAGGCTCGTAAACTCCATCGGCCACCCATCTCTTCACCATAGCTCGCCTGCGCTTGCATTGATCAGCCGTTTTTGTGTCACGTTCCAATATGCACTTAACCGCAATCGGACTAAACTTTTCACGTCATACAGAAAATACAACAGAAGAACGTCACGGTAGACTCATATAAATAGCTCGAAAGAGTAGTAAAGTACGTGAATTCAGGAGATATATTACAAGATGTCGTTCTCGAGTGATATGGCCACCGTTATGGATGAAAACGACGTGTTAAGAGCAATAGAATACGGCAAGAAAATGCAGCTGGCGCTGCCGCCGCCACATCCATCACAATCAGAAAGTGAAAACATTACGCTAACCCAAAGGATGATAAGTGCATGCTCCGGATCGTTTATAACGTCCCTTGTGGTAACCCCCTTTGATGTGGTCCGTATAAGGATGCAACAACAGGAGATACTTCCATCAAACTGCTGCGATGGACCCCAAGAATCCGCTTTGAAGGCTCCAGCGGGAAATAGCGGTAAATCAAGGCTAACCCCATTGACGATGAGTGCTCAACAAACAGAACCTTTTTGGATCTCCCAGCATTACTGTAAGTCAGAGAACTGTACCAAGATCAATTCCACATTCTCCGGGTTTGTTACCATCTCGAAAAACGAGGGTGTGCCTACTCTCTGGAGAGGGTTGTCTTTGACACTTTTAATGGCAATACCGGCTAATATAATCTACTTCACAGGATACGAGTATATCAGGGATCATTCCCCCATTTCAGATCATGTATTAAATCCATTACTTTGTGGGTCAGTAGCTCGTACCATGGCTGCAACGTTCATAGCTCCAGTTGAGCTCATCAAAACCAGACTCCAGTCCATTCCAGCAGAAGCTAGGCAGAGTGTAGCTGGGGGCTCTCTGAGTGCCACCGCAGCTCCCAAGATGCTCTCGCATTTGCTTAGGGACCTGTTTGCGCTAGTAAACCAACGAGGTATAGGTACTTTGTTCACCGGACTTCAAATTACGCTCTGGAGAGATGTTCCCTTTTCTGGGATATATTGGTCTTCTTATGAGCTTTTCAAAGATAGAATTGGAAAGCTACTTAGCGCAGACTTTAATCTGTCGCAGGATGACGATCTCAGAGTCTTTGCAACGTCTTTTCTCTCCGGATCTATATCTGGAACGATAGCTGCGCTTTGTACTAATCCGTTCGATGTTGGAAAGACAAGGCTACAAATAACCACCTCAGCAAATGAAAAGAGGCCCACAATGTTCAAGTTTTTGATGCTGATATACCAGAGAGAAGGGATGGGGGCACTTTATAGTGGAATATGGCCAAGAATTATGAAAATAGCACCATCTTGTGCCATCATGATTTCAAGTTATGAGATAGGGAAAAAGTTCTTTAAGAAGGAGAACACCAAATATTAAGAACAAAGTAGTAATGGGTACCATAAGCTAACAGATTCTGTCCAAAAATGCATATATAACACACACACCAGTACCACAATGTGGTCTAATTTTGGAACGTAACTAGTCTAGGTTTTTATAAATATAGAGAATGTACATAGAGTTAAACAAGACTGACAGCGTAAGGAAAACCGATGGTATTCACTAGTTTCTCTGACGTATGATTCAGATCGAGCTAAATTGGGGCATTGCCCTTTCAATAATAAAATGCAACCTTCCTCCCACACAAAGAAAAGCTTAAAGTTTTGGTCTGCTATAAACGCCAAAAAAAAATGTAGAAGTGGTAATCGGAAGGGTCCCACATTAGGTAACAGCCGGAGCACGGAAAGAGGCTCGGCCACAATCGAAGCAGTCTTTCAACCAACAATAATAGAAGGTGGAGAAAAGTGCCACTGATGTCACACCAAGTATGAGCGATGAGTTCTCGGATTAATTACCCCGGGTTTCAAATTTATGTGCGCTTTCTCCGGTTGCATAACTTTTGACATGTCCACCAAATATATCAAGACTACGAATCGATTTCCTGTTCAGGGTGAATATACTGAGGCGGTGGTACTATTACCAATAACATGCGGAATATGGTAGCAACTTTAGTATATTTATATTCGCTGAACAATGGTTGCGAGCCTCATTTTAGAAAAGAAAAGACAATTGAGCGGATGCTCGGTAATAATGTAATAGAAGCTTAATGCAATTTCAGGTTCATGTTGCTACCTAGCATGATGAAAAATTGATTACAATGCATGATGATTTGCCCGCTTTAACTATGGAGCAAAAGGGTAATGGGGCATAATTGCTGCAGATAACCTGTTATTTATAAAACTATATATATGGTAGTCCCAATTTCATTTGAAATCTGAATCGATGCCTTCATGAAGTAAGCTAGTTCGTTTCACCGTAGTTATTGGACATTAAGCTGAATATTTCAAGTTGCAAATATAACAATGAGTGAGCCCTACATAGAGAAAGAACAAAATCCGGTAGAACTTGCAGATTCTGTACCCGTTGAAGATGGAATATTTGAGCATTCTTCATCTTCATCAGCAAGCGATGCAAAAAGGAATCATAATGATCTTGAATCTCACAAATCAGGAGATGCTGATCAAATGGATGATGGAATGGCAAATATCTTATCACAATATAGCGAGAAGCAGGTCATTCAAATGGGTAGAAACTATGCATTGAAGCATGGACTTGACGCTGATTTATTTGGAAAAGCTGCCGCCTTGGCTCGTACTCCCACAGAATTTAATTCCATGAGTATATTAAGTGAAGAAGAAAAGATTGCCCTCAATTTGGAAGCTACCAAGAAATGGCACATACCAAAGACTCTTTTTGCAGTCATTGCAATGGCCTCTATGGCTGCAGCAGTCCAAGGAATGGACGAATCTGTGATTAACGGAGCTAATCTCTTCTATCCTGGAGTGTTGGGAATTGGGAGTGATTCAATGAAAGATTCTTGGTTAGAAGGATTAGTCAATGGAGCTCCATATTTGTGCTGCGCAGTGATTTCATGTTGGTTAGCAGATCCCATGAACAGGATGCTAGGTAGAAAGTGGACTATTTTCTGGACATGTTTCATATCATTTATCACTTGTATATGGAGTGGTTTAGTAAATAATTGGTATCATTTATTTATTGCAAGATTTTTCTTGGGGTTTGGTATTGGTATCAAGTCAGCTACAGTACCAGCATATTCATCAGAATGTGCACCAGCTCACATTAGAGGTGCTTTAGTCATGTTGTGGCAATTCTTCACTGCGGTTGGTATAATGTTCGGATATGTTGCAGTATTGGCGTTTTATTATGTGGGATCTCATGGTATTGGAGATGGTCTTAACTGGAGATTGATGTTGGGATCTGCTGCCATTCCAGCTCTAATTGTGATGTTCCAAGTTCCATTTGTTCCTGAGTCTCCTCGTTGGTTGATGGGTAAGGGAAGGCACAAAGAAGCCTTTGAATCTTCCTGTCAGCTTAGGCATGACAAAATATCTGCAGCAAGAGACATTTTCTACCAATATGTCTTACTAAGTGAAGAAAGCTCTTATGCTGGAATCCCCACATGGAAGCGTGCTATTGAAATGTTTACGATTAGACGTAATAGAAATGCTACTCTAGGTTCTTGGATAGTGATGTTTATGCAACAGTTCTGTGGAATTAATGTAATTGCATATTATTCTTCTTCAATTTTCATTGAATCCAAGATGGGTGTCATTCCTTCACTACTTGCCTCTTGGGGATATGGTATGCTTAATTTTGTATTTGCCATACCAGCATTTTACACAATTGATTCCTTTGGTAGAAGAAATCTTTTGCTAGTGACTTTTCCCTTAATGTCTATTTTTTTGTTAATGGCTGGTTTTGCATTTTGGATTGAAGATCTTCACACAAGGGCAGGGGTTGTTATCACAGGTATCTATTTATTCACTTGTGTGTACTCTTCAGGTGAAGGTCCAGTCCCATTTACTTATTCCGCTGAGGCATTCCCGTTGTATATTCGTGATTTGGGTATGGGATGGGCCACTGCAACATGTTGGTGCTTTAATTTTATTTTGGCTTTAACTTGGCCATCAATCCTAAAAGCTTTCAAACCTCAAGGTGCTTTTGGTTGGTATGCCGCCTGGAATATTGTTGGATTCTTCTTGGTATTATGGTTCCTCCCAGAAACAAAGGGATTGACCTTGGAAGATCTAGATGATGTTTTTGCAGTAAGTACAGCCAAGCATGCTAAATGGCAAACACAACACATTTTAAATAACTTTCAAAGGTACATTCTCAGAAGAAATATCAGTCCACTTCCTCCATTGTACAAACATCAAAGAATGGCTGTTACAAACCCTGATTGGAATGACAAGTCTGAAGTTGAACACGTGGAAGATAGTTGAAATATGAAATTATGGCTTTATATACGAGTTAATACAATGATCAAACTACTAATATGTAGAACATTTATTAAGGCAAGCGAGGACATCTTGTAGTTCAATTTTTAGATCTTCCTAATTTACTTCTTTTAATACTTTGATTTTACAACTACATCTTAAGATACTCAATTCCATTGTTCCATTGGCATGTATTCTCGTACGATCGAATACTCTTTCGTATCTCTAGATTCGGATGGATGAGTGCATGGCGTTAAAATCCTGCTATATTTCTCTAGCTTTGAACATTCGCTACACAATGGCGGGCCGTTCTGATGAGTGTGATCATAAGGAGACGATGATGCTTTTCGACTAGGACTGTTGGTAGTAGAACCTTTTTGCATTTCTTGTGATCTAAAACTTGAAACGGCCCCACTGTTTGCTGATTGGTATATGAAGTCTTTTCTAGATTTTACTGGGGAAGTTTTTCTTAATCCTTCTGTATCCAGTTGACCAAGCGTAGGAAGCACATTAACTCCACTTATATTACTGCCATTGTTATTGTGTGAGTTGGAGTTATTGAATACCCCTTGTTCAATTGCAAGCAAGCAACCGTAGTAAACTTGTGTAGCTTCATCTAATATGGATGTGGTTAGTTGGAGACTCACTAAGTATTCAATAATCGACTCTTTTAGATTTTTATTGATAGACCTCAAATACTGTAATTCCACAACTTCCAAATTACAAACATTTTCTTCTAATTTTTCTTTTATAAGGGTACTTCCAGAAGCACCAGGCCCAAACTTGGCTTCAGAATCCTTTAGCTGTCGTAATAACTTTTCCTTGGTAACTAATAGATCCTTTTGCTTTTTCTCTCGCTCATGTACATCGATTAGATTTAATCTCAAAACATCTAGCTTTTCGCTCAATGTTACATTGGTATCAACTTGACTCAATAGTAACGTCCCGAACTCACTAATCATAGTTTCACATTCTAGATTTGCAATAGAGGAAGCCCACGTTCTAAAGTCTTCGATAAGTTGTTGTTTCTGTTGTCTTAGTTTTTGCTCTGATTTCAATATCTTCGAAATTTTGGTCTGTAAGTTGAATGCCATTATAGGAGAAGTGCCTAAATTCCGTTTGGGCATGTAGGTGCGGTCATTTTTGGGATTTGTGGCTTGAGGATAGGGAAGTTTTAGATTCAAGTTGAACCCTGAGACTTCACTAAGCTTGTCTAAGACTCTGGAAATCGTAGTGGGACGACTGGTTGCATTTGAAGGTTTACCTTGGAGATTTGCAGCCATTTAAAAAATTGTTGATAATCTTCTGGAGTGGCATAAAATGAGTCCTAGTAAAATCAAAGAACAAGTTATTTCGGGATGTGAAGTCCTTAATCTTCAACTTCTGCCAAATCAAGAATATAACGAAGTACAATGGAAATGTTTTCTCACAAACCACAAGGAACTCATGATGTATATACATGCATACATATAGGCGAGAAAAAATGTTAGAACAGTGTGCACAAATAGCATAATGTTGCACTTGTGTAATGATGATATGTAGCTGTAAGGGACTGTCGTTGTACAACAACACTAGTGTGGGAAACTTTTCAAGTAGTTCATGAGAGGCTTGCCAAATACATACGGATTACATCGCAAAAGGAACATTTGCATTTGTTTCTATATGGTATGTCGTTTATTTTTAGTTTTATAGTGTGTTTCCTACCTTTTACTTCTTGCTTACTTCTTCATCCAAGTTCAATCCTGTAATATCAGCAATTGACTTTCTTAAACTTTTTACACCGTTGTCTAACTTCAATTGGCCATCAACAGCAGTATTCTCCAACAGCTCCACAAGTGCTTTACTCTTATTTACGGCAATTGTTTGACCCTCTGCTAATTGGGGTAAGTTCTTTTGTTCCAACTTCCATGCGAAATTTGAAGTTCTTCCAAAAGTCTCTGGAAGGAAGTACTTGAAACCTACTAACCCGAAAAAGATCGGGAACGTTACCTTTGCTACAATATTTCTTTGGCGTGCTAAGATATTACCCAGTAATGCAGCGATAATTACATATATACCATTCGGTAAAAGGTCTTCATGCTTAGCATGTAAATCGCTAACTGTGGAGGTTAGCTGTTCTTCCGTTTTGTGATACTTTTCATATCCGTTATCTAAGTAATGTAATGATTGGGTGTATAAAGATGTCAACGATTCCCTTGTTGATCTGAAAAATGACTCTAATGAGGCTGGGGAACGAACAGAGATCCCGTCTATTAATCTATTTTGGCCCAAAGCTTGTAATTCGGTACCTGAAGATGGCACTACGGTACCAGGAACTGGTACTATTTCTTTGTCGTCCTCGTAAAAATTACGCTTCTTGGAAGATTCGTTATAAATCGATGTAGAGGAAGAATTATGCATTGAATAGGCGGTTATTCCCACAATTGAAGACCCAATTTTTACAAAGCGGGACATATTACTTGATTCTAATATAAATATAGGTATATCTGACAGGTATAAAGCTAACTAGCAGTGGGAGTTTATGATTTCCTGGTGAATTTTCAAGCTTCAATTTTCACTGGCCCACATATAAATCTTATATACAGGAAACCTTGAGTGAGAATAGAGCACGTGACTATGCTTCTTGCATATTACTACAGATGTTGGTATATGTAGGACAGGTGATGCAAGATGCATAGCTAAGAGATGATGAGTCTGGTAGTCACAGCTTAGCATTTTGTTCTTTACCTGAAATTAGAGTTGCTTAATTTGTAAGGTCAGTATGTCCGACGATGAGGAGGTAGACGCCATCCAAGATTGGAAAATATTGACCCAAGATGTTGTGCCGAAAAGAGGTGACAAAGATTTTGCTCCAGACGGGACTTTGGTTCAGTCTCAATTGCTTGAAGACTCAAGAAATGCAATGTATGCTGCACTTGCAGTTCGTAGAGGGCACACTATAAAGCAGGAGCTTGTAGCAATATGGTACCCAGAACGTAAAGAAGCGTATGTACCTCATTTGAGAGGTCCTTATTTTAAAGATATCGGGAGACCTTCGTCATCACCCAGTAATAAGATCCAAGCTGCTTGGTTAAATCCAATCGAAACGGTCTACCTTTGCGAAAGAGGTTCGGTAAGAATTTTTTTACATAATGATAGCTACGAACGGTACAAGACTAGAATTCTACAGAATTACATACAGAAGGAGAAACTGCAAGGGCAGGGTAACAACTTTGATGATGACGATGACGAACAGTTCGACTTTGAGTCGAACTTGGTTTCGCTCTCTCTAGCACACTTATACGCACTAGCTTTCTCACATGATTCGACTCTAGTCGGTAAATACCAGGTATACTCTTATTTGAAACGTCTTGGATATCTTGTATTGGACTTTAAGGATAGTACTACTAGACAATTGGATGAATACCATAAGTTGGTGGAAAATAAAGCAAATGAAAGCAGTATATCCATATTCCAAGCATTAAAGTCATACACGCTATCTCTCTTTTCTCTGAAAGTGAGTAATATCCTCCTAGCAAAAAGGCATTATTTTACTTATAAATCAATTTTCAGGTCTTTGAGATTAATACCGTCTTACTCGACGTATGATAGTTTGAAAAAGCTTAAAGAACCCACTGAAAATAAGTTGACACCATGCTTCGATGTTTGGAAACCTACACCACAATTCTCCAAGAAGAATCCCACACAGCCAGACTTTCAAATTGTTATTGCTAACACAAATCAGAGCTCATTCCCTTCGCTTTCACAAATTCAAGAGCTATTCAACTCAAGTAACCACATGTTAAACTCTAATACTACAAAGAATACTCCAGCAACCATCAAGAATTCGTCTTCTGGTCCATCGAAACGTGAAATCAGAGCCCAAAGAGCAAAAGAAAGATACCTGAAGCTTGATCCAAAGATCCAAAGAAGTATAGATTACAACAAGCTCAAAGATAAGAAGTTTAAATTTGGAAATTCAGGTAGGTGCTTTATCGTTGCGCTTATCGATAACGGAGTAGTGAACTTTGTAAACCTCAGTGAAGGAGATTTTTCCCTTGCAGGTTTTGGCACAGATGATTTACAAGAATTGCTGCTGAATCCAAACGAAAGGATAGATCACGGAATTGTTTGGTAATTTCTTCTAGAAATCTTCTATTAATGCATGTATATATATAATTTAATGCTTATTTAAAGATAAAGCATCAGGGTTCGTAGTTGACCGTTCCTGCTATATGACGAGTTGCCTAGCTAATGTTGACAAATTCCTTTCCTCCAGGATGAATCTGTGAGCTTTTTCAGATCTAGTTTGAAATTTAAAATATTCTAATGATTCCTCTCGTAATTGCTGAAGTTCGCTGATTGTCAATGGCAGATCTCTATAGTGGTCAACCAAACTGAAGCACCACTTAGCAGCGTCTTGCGAGTTGAGTCTGTACCACACAGCAAAATAAACGTTGAACTGTTGTTCTAAAAGATTGATACACTTGGATTCATCAAAATCCCTTTCCAGAAAACTCTTCGAAATTTTTGTAGAGAAACTGTTCACTTTAGATATCAAGTCTGTTTTGCAGCTCACTGCAGATTTTAATAGGGAGTCAGTTAAAGCCAAAAACTCTTCGTCCAAACGAGAGGAAACTTTCATGAGTCTCAGCTTAACGACAATTTCGTATAACTTGGCTCCTTCTATTGATTGTGATGCTAAAATTCGTTGTAATGTAATTGTGTCACTCTCCGTATTCTTGACTAGGACACGCGATATGACCTCGTAGTCATTCAAAATGAACGGAAGTTGTATAAGATAGTCTCTATGCTTGAGTTTTGCAAGATCATTTTGGTTGTATACGGGGGAAAGGTGAGCTGGATGCAGACTCTCTTGGTTGTCCTTTGTCAACCAATAGCTTCTCTTATTGGCGGAAGGTTGATGCTCGATTTTAAATTGACGAGGAAGCTTATAATTCCCTCTACTTTCGTTGGAGCCAATGACGGTACCATGTTGTTCATTATCAATGTTTAGCATTGACCTTAACCTCTGATCTCCATTCACCATTGACTCAACGTCCTTTAGCAAGAGTTCAATCGCAGTGTCCGGTCTCTTGATAAAATGCATTGCAATCGCCTGAAAGGCATTCAAGGACTTATTCAATGTCAAAGTATTATCATTTTTATATTTCGATTCATCAAAACTTGTCTCGAAAATATCGAGAAAGGTCCTTATATAATCTTGGTACATTCCCAAGCCTTCAAAACCTCCTTCATGTCCACGTTCGCTGACCCCTTGATCATTCAAATACCGTACGACGATATACTCATATACGCTCTTTCCTAGAATGGATGAGTTTTCGGTTCTGTATAACAGTCGGGTCAAAGAAGGGGCTGTCATTCCGTAAGCCGCTGGGCTAGTTTCCGTTTCAGAACGCTCCCTGGGAGAAATATTTAACATTGGCTTAAGATTAAAAAAATTATCCAAATAACCAGCACCCAAATGAGTATCAGCCTCGTTCTGTTTGGCAAATGGAGCCTGCTGATCTACAGGTATATCAGCCAGAGAAGGGGTTTCCTTATGCAGCACACTTCGCTGGGCTTCTTCCAATATACCAAGAATGGTATTCATCGATGCGACTGATGATAAATCCGAGAGCCCAGGCTCTGAGAGATTGCTGCTAGTGGATGATCGCACTGTCAGCTGGGGGATTTTATTATTGTACTCAGAATTCTTCTTGAAATAGTTGGATGTTGGTTTAGTGGATCTTGTTTGAGTTACTTTACCATTGCTCTTTGGTGGTCCAGCTATTTTACTAGTGTTGTTGTTGTCGCCAGCAATCCTACTCTTGCACCTTATATGCCGTATGTAGTATATGTTAGGACGCCAGGCAAGCCTTTTTTGTAACATCCTACCACAACGAACCTATATTGCTAGTGTAAAGTAGTGTTGCCAATAGGAAGAGGACTTCGTTGAAAAATGCTCCGCTCCTCATCATAGTACTTGTTATATGCAGTCTTTGGTACTGCATATAGTGTTTTGGTGGTATATGGTCTGTCAAGCTTGCAACCATGTCTGCCGAAGAAAGGGCTAGGATTGTTGCCATAGAGTAGTTGGCTACGTTGGTAATCGTTTTCCAAGGAGTACTCACTGGTCAGCTGGTACAGGGTTTGGCTTTTTAGCTAAGATTTTCTTGGGCTTCACGACGTTAGAAGCAGTGCTGTCCGATTTTTCAGCGGATTTCTCCAGCTTTTCAGGCTTGTTATCCGATTTTCCAGTAGCTTTCAGTTTGGTCTTAGATTTCTTCTGTTTAGGTTTTGCCTGGCTTGTGCTTTGATCTTCACCTCCTTCTACTTTTGGATTGGCTTTCTTATTCTTGGATTTCAGCTTGTTTCTCTTTTTAGACTTAGCTGCTGTGTTTGTAGAGTCGGTGGGAACACCAGGTTTGGGTTCCTTGGGGTCAGACTCTTTGGCTCCTTCGCCTTCACCGGGTCCTGTCTTAGCTTTTTTAGAACGTCTTTTCTTAGACCTGGATTTAGACTTGATTGTCGGTTCAGAGGGTTCATTAGCTTCCGCAGAAGACTCAGGTTGTGGCTGCAGCAGACTCTGTTTATTCTGAGTGTTCTTCTTTTTCTTGTTTGTTTTGGATTTTGGAACGCTAGTGCTGTCATGGTCTCGCTTAATAGCTTTTGCCTTTGCTCTTGCTTTCAGCTGCTGCTTTTTGAGAAGTAGCTTCTTCCGCTTCTCTTGGGCAGAAATCTGTGCAACTGTATCCAATGAGTATGAAGGGAGCGTACCAGCAAGGTAACGCAAGAACACTGTAAACCGGAAATCATCGTCGATGGAAGCTGTCTTTTTAGCTGTTTGAGCGGGCAGCGGTTGTTTCTCTTCTTCCACGTTTTCTGACGATTCGTCCTTTGGACTATCGACAACTTCTGGCGGAGGCATGTCATTGTAGAATGGGCTGTTTCCAATAACAGGGATCAAGGAGTCACGAGGTCCCAGATCTTCAGCAAAGGGTTTATCTCGTACCTCTGCAACAAACTTAGTGAAGAAATCTCTACTGGTGAAAAGTATGTAGCACCGAGAATACGTAGGTCTTTCATACGGGGTCTTCGAGTAGTGCCCTTCAACGTAATACGAAGAGACTATGACTTCAGGTGAAGTGCTGGTATAGGATGCAAGTTGTTTGAAGAAGCTTTGTTGAGTAAGCGTAGGTGGTAAAAGTCTAATAACTGCCTTAACACATGGCGAAACTGATGTGGTTGCACCTTTGCTTACAGGTTCCGGTTTAGGAGTTGCATGTCTAGGTTTCTTTGCGAATTTCTTGGGTTCACGTTGTTGTTCCTTTAGAACCCTCGGAGGAGCGACAGACATCCTATAATTGGAAGAAACTAATGAACTATGTCAATGTAGCTCCAGCTAAGACCTTGTTGTAAATGGAAAAGAAAAAAATTAATATCGCACAAAGCTAACTGAAAAATCGTTGTTACGGATTATCATTAGAAAAAAAAAATACAAGATCTTGATTTTTTGTTAACTACCTACTTCTTTTCAATTTTCCGTGGCTACCACTTGTTACGAATTTTTCTTTTGTAGGGGTTGTTTTGATGACGATGGAAGACATCTTGTCGCACTTTTTAAGAGACATAGGGAGTGCTGCCATTCAAAATGATAGGAACCAGCTTTCGCACCTACTCTGCATAGACCCAGCTCAGAACAAGTACGTGGTGAGCCTTAACGAAGCTGCTGGTCAACAACTTGCCAACATTACAGATCAACAGCTTAATAACTTAATAGATGGCCAGCATTACTTCAACGACGAGTGGCTAGCGTTCAATGAGTTGGTGATATCTTTCATTAAGCTCAGTAGAGATCTCAATCCATGGTCTGTATTGGAATCCTACGACTTGTACACCACCTACTTAAATGACCTTTCCATTGCATTTAACAATAATAATCGAGGGCATTTCTTGACAAGATTAGTCCATTCGACGATCACTGTTATCCTTCCACTTACGGTGAAGTTGGATTTCCAGTTATACTACAAAGAGGATTGCCTACAACCAAGGTTGGCATACTTGGCATCTGTTTTGCTTAAGACGTTTAACAATATCAGGTCGCAGCTGACCCAGGGTAATGATAAGAAGCTCATAATTCTATTCATTGGCTACAAACTTTGCTACATTTACTTCAAGTTGGATAACCCATTACTTTGCCAAAACATATTTTCCAATATGAATAACGCCAGTTTGGTTTTCAGCTCTTTTAGCATGAACGAACAAGTGCAATACAGATATTACTTAGCAAGATTCTACTTGATCAAAAATCAACTTGCTGATGCATTTTTACATTTTAGTTGGTGCCTTAATGTTGTTCCCGCTCAGTGTAAACAGGCTACAGTGATTTTGAAGTACTTGATACCAGTTGCCATATTAATGGGTAAAAGGCCAAATTTCTCGTACATCCAAAACTACTACTATAATCACAACCAGGGACAACTCGCACCCCAATTCTTAATAACCTACCACAGCCTCTACCAATGCATAAGACTTGGAGATTATTCCAGGTTCACCAGCCTCATCTCGCAACCAGACATATTTAATTCCCTTAAGAAGGATAATTTACTCATATTAATCGGACAAAAATCCCTCATAATATTGATCAGGAACTTGATTAAACGTGTTTGGATTATGTTGGATAAACCTCTCAGACTCAATTACGAAGTAGTCAAGATCGCTTTAAGAACTACAACCGCTGCATCCGGTGCTTCTGGCTTGAATATGTTTACGTTGCTCACACAACCAATACAAGACATAACAGTTGAAAATGTTCTCATAACACTAGTGGATCAAAATTTACTCAAGGGGAAGCTATTTCTGAACCAAAGAGCAATTGCATTGGCTAAAGTGAACGTCTTCCCTCCTATTGATTCGATTTATTTTGTGAGATTTGGTAATGGACAAGAAGGAAAATTAGGTCATAATGATAAGTGGATGAACTCATAGACGTCATTGTCTTATTGTGTGGGTTTTTGCAAGCTCAAAATAACACTTTTCTTTTTGGCCCCTATTGAAACTCATTTCTTAATTATCTTTTGAGCGTGTTACAAGCCTTACACATTGTCCAAAAATCGGGGTGCAACGATACCACAGTGAAGTTTTAAACATGACTTCTCGTTTGGCCCCTATTGAATTATATTTTTTTTTTTCAATCTTTATTTGGGCATGTTCTTACCAGCCCAAGGCATTGATGTATACATCACGATGAAATCAATGAATCTTGAAAATGGAAAGTATAGCGATACCCCACACTAGAACCAACAATGTACGATGGCTTTTGGGGTACACGTACATCATAACTAGCTTTGGGGCCACTTTTTAAATTATTGAATAGCCCTTCGGCTCTGAGGAAGGGAGGGGTGTTTGGATATTGACATATATAGAATATTAGTAAACATGAACCTAATTTTCCTAAGAAACTGTAAGCGACGGAACGATGAGTTTGAAACTCTGGTTAGTCGAGCGCAATTTTGTCTCCCACTGTGGAATAAAAATGTGGGCGCGCGGCATTTCTATTTTGAGGTTACTTGGCTCTGGTGGAAATGGAATGTGGAAGAAAGGATGACTTGGGGTAGAAAACAAAGAATTGCACTTCTGCAATAAAAGCTTAGTTAACACAACAAAAACATCAGGAACAGAGACCAGGAAGTGTATGTTACAGAGCTTGAATGCTTTTCATCCTAGTCCTCTAGTCCAGCTCATCGCAATTGAATCTTCTATGGCACATTTTTACTCCACGTTTCGGAGATGCGGGAGCTGACGGAGAGATTTGGAGCCCCGGTATATTTCTGTGAGTTTTCACTCTTGGCTAAGGCGTCAGTCACAGTTTATTTGCAGCCACGGATATATATAGCCATTATAAATACACAAGCAAACGAAGCAATGAAGACGGTTTATCGAATTAAAACATCATTCAGTAGTAATAGAAAGCTTTGAAATATTTACAGGTCATATTCATGATGACATCCACTTGCACTCTCTTGGAATTCCCCTTCCATATTCTCGATGAAATAATAGATCTCCTCGGCAAAGATGCTGCACAGTTGAGCCAGACCAGTTCGATTTTCAACCACATAGTTAACCAAAAGTTATATAGAGAAATTTTTATAGTTGATGGAAAAGGTAAAAACTACAAGAACTTGCTCCATTCAAGCCGCAACACCATTGTTCCACTTGATAGACTAGCAAAATTCAGTGAAAACTTGACCCCTAGGAACATACGCTATATGAAGAGGATTGTCCTCGCTAGCCAATCTGACGGCACTGAAAATATTTATTATCCTTTATACTGTAAATTAAGAACATCCAATTCGGGCCTGATACAGGTTGATAATTTGGATATTAACAACTTGAGATGCTTTAATTCTATTACACAGTACAATAGAATAAATAAAAACGTTGCGTTTGAAGGTGAAGAAGAAGACAGCAACGATATGGATATTTGCCAAATGGATGCGCCACTGGGATTGCAAAATTGGACAATTTTCGATTTCAATGAGTTGAATGGCATTTCAAATGAAAATCCATCTGTAGATGAATTAAGTGTCTATATTGAAAATGGAAGCAGTTATGCCAATATGGCATCCAATTCTAAGCTAAGTGACATGAGCTCGGTAGTTAATATTAAACATATCCTTCCTAATTTAAAGAATCTTTATTTGAATCTGCCTGCTTCTACACTTACATTTTGCTACAATTATTTCAATTATGTCAATACTCCTCTTTCCTTGGAGAAGCTTTCGTTGACAAATTCTCATTCATTTAAGAATTTTGGTTTTAAATCTATCAATACAAAACTTTCGTACAAAAAGCTTTCTAAACTCATTGATTTTTCAAACTTAAAAGAGTTAGAACTCAAAATCAATTGCGACTTCCATAATAGATGTGAAGAGAGCTGTATATTAGAATTTTTCAGGCAATGGAAAGATGATGCTAAGACGGAGATGAAACTTGAAAAGTTGGTACTTATTAACTTCAAATCAAATTCATCTGAAGGGAACCTTGGTCAAATCACAGCACTTATAAACGATTACTTACCATTGGGAATGTTTCCAAATCTCAAAGAATTATATATTCAGGTTGATGACTTCAAGAATATGCAAAAGATTTCGAATGTACAGCTGCAACGTGATGCATTTACTCCAGTACTTGACTTTGTAAAGCTTCACCACAATATTAAAAATTGTCCTAATCTCACCAAAATTACGTTACCAGATTTCTTCAGCATGTGGTTTGTTCCAATGGATCATGAACGGAAGGGCAAGAGGATTAACTATTTTGACAACTTGGTGAATGGATGCAAATGCTCGACCTGTGAGGAGAGCAGAGGCTTGTTTGCAAGATACGCTAAATACGACTCTTTGCATGGATACAGTCACAGATTTAGACATTTAGAAGAAGAGATGAAATTAGATATAGAAGGAGATTATACAACGGTGGATCCATATTCAATCGCAAACTTCAAGTTTTTAAACTATCTTACCAACACTTTTAAGGATTACTTTGAGTTTTCTCACAAAAATTTGTTCACAGTCAACTCGATTCTTAAAAGAAGTGAGGTACCTTATGAAGGGTTACCAACTGATTACAAAAAAATGATTCAGATGATGGAGCATCTGTGTTTAAATGATATGACGAAGGGTTTTTGTGAAGAAACCTCGATCAAGGAGCTTTGTCTTGGAGGCATCAATTTTGGTTAGCTTTAAGACCCGCCCACATTAATAATAGAATACTGCTAAGAAAGGATGGCTAAAAATAATAGATACTTATATAAATATAGAGATAATTAATAGAATAGAATGACACGCATTAAAAAGATTTACTGACACTCCTATAAATTCACTCGTTCCACTCCATTGTAGGCAATCTTATATGTCTTTCTATATGATTCTGCATTGTGTGAGATATTAGTCCTTTGTCGGACATTAAACTTTTTAGCGTCCGACTGTCGGGCCCTATTTTTTAGCTCTTGTGCGCAGTTTCCTCCTTAATCAATGAGCAATTTAATTTTCAGTTCATTAGTGGTTGCTCTACTCCTATTCAAGGCAACTTATAGCAATGCCTAACCCTACAGTAACTCCGGATAGGCTTGATAAATACAAGAAGCAATTGTATCAATCTGGAGCGATTGGTGGACTCGAAGGAACTTTGGTCGGCTTGCTTTCTGGGTTTTACATTCTACATACATATAACCATGGAAGAAATGTGAAAGCATTTAGTCTTCCAATTAGAGTTCTCTATTTAAGTTCATGGTGTGTAGCTGGAATTGTATTCTCCACGAATGTAGAGAAGTCAAGGATAGTCAAGCAGATGTTAGTGGAGCACAACATCAAAAGAGAGCAGTTTCTCAATGAAGAATTCAACAGAAAGGTTGAGGGTAAGAGGTAGATGGGTTAAGCTGAATGTGAGTGTAAGAAATAGACAGAAATGGTGTGGAAGGTACTTGATTGTAGGCATATATTCTCTAATCTTGAATAGCATATAATTTTACATATATAAGTAGCTAGAGCATCAAAACGTATCTAGAAGTAAAGGAACTCAGAGCAGAGACGGATCAGTTTGACGGATAACTCAATATTTACAAAAGATTACAAGTATCAAAGAAAGGCAATTCTTTCAAAAGAAAGTGGTCCTTTCACATGGATGTACTCGCATAACTCAATATTTAGTCATATACTATACATTCATATATATTTGTTATAGCTCCCTATAATGGGTAAATAAAGGTCTTGTCCTCTAAATCTGTAAGATCTAAGGCTGCGATATTTACCTCAATTAACTCACCTTCCTCATTTTTGACATATCCAACAGTATCATTTTCTTGCAATGCAGCCAATCTTTCCTTATTTCTTCTATACAAGAGATACCATACCAAGCCAATCAATGAAGGAGCAACAGTGAAACTCAAAACGATTTGGACAACCCAAGCAGGTACATAATTTGGAGCATCTTTTGCTCTCCATAATTGGGGAGAAATAATATTGGAAACCGAATAGCTAGCCATTACCATTGCATTTCTCACTAATCTTTTGGTATAACTTGATCCAGCAGTTGTCTGAGCCAACCCAAAGGCACAAATCCAGCCGACTCCAAAAGAATTTGCTGCTAGAGAAATTGCACCAAGCTCACCAATAGCATTACTTAATGGAAGAGCAACAGCTGCAATAGATCCAACAAGTGAGGGAAGAGTTGACCAAATGATAGTTAAACAGGTAGTTTTTGGGAATATGAATAAGAAAATAGCAGCCGCAACGGACCAAAGAACAGCAAATCCAGAACTTGCCACAGTTACCAATGTAGAGTTCAAATTACTTAACCCACCCATCTCTTCATACAAGATAGTCTGCTGGTAAGGTAAGTTATTAGCTAATTGTTGAAGGAGGAAAAATCCACAAATCAACCAAGAGATTGGGTCCTTGAAAGCTTCAATTGCATGCGATCTTTTGAAGTGCTTTTGCTCAATACTCTGGTGGGAGGATCCTTGAATTTTTCTGACAACCCAGACCTTTTCTTCTGTAGATAAAAAGGAGGCCTCGAGTGGGTTGTTAGGATAAATGAAAAAGATAAGTATAGACAAAAGGAAGGTAAGTCCACCGATAATTATATTCAAAACCCTCCAATCTCCAATTGATGCACCGGCATGCAAAACACCATAACTGATAAAACCAATAGGAATAGGTGAAGCCATACAGGACGCATAGAAAATAGGCTGGGTCAATTCTCTGATATGTTGACTCAAGAACATACCATTTGTTGTCATCATGATTGGGATTGCAACCGACTCCAAGAACCCAAGGAAAAAACGCAACACTATTACACCTGCATAATTATAAGCCGCACAGTGTAAAAAAATATCCAAGGACCATAAAAATGCAATGGCAAAGATCAACTTACTGATGGGAAACCTTTGAATCAAGTAAGTCCCTGGGATTTGACCAACTGCAAAACCAACATAAAACACCGTATTCACGTTGTTATATTTGTTTTGATCCAAGCCGGTTGCTTCCCAAAAACCAGAGATAGAACTGTACGATAATGTAGCTTTATCCATGTACATAATCATATTGATAAGGAACGTAAGTCCCAACACTCTCCATAACAACTTTCTATTAAGCTTCTTGTCTTGTTCTGGAGTAATTTCTGAGGTTTGTGCATCATAGGTGTGCATAAAGTCAACAGCAAGATCGGCATACTTAGTCTTCACTGCATGTGTAGAGCTTTTCAGAGAAACTTCTGCCTCGGAGACCTTAGAGGAGGTGTTGTGGATCTTCTCAGACATCTTCAATTACTTTAGATACTGGTGTTAGTTTTCCAGCATCTCCTTCAGTTTCAATTTTACTCATTTCTATGTCGGTTTATATATGCTAATTTTTTGAAGACTGTGGCTCCTTTCTTTATATGTATAAATTAAAGTTTTTTTTGCAAATATCGAAAATTTTTTATTTTAAAGCATTTCGAAATATTTTTCATCTGCTTTCGGGACTTAGGAGCACATTGAAGACTCTATATGGTCTTCAACACTAGAACTGATCTTATAAGGTGCATTTTTAAGTTTTCCACAATCTTGCGGTCCGTTTCGGATAATTGAAAAGTGGTATAGTTGGATAACTGAAAGTGGTGAAGTTGTGTCCAAAGCCTTATCTGGATGCACTTTAGAGTTTCAAGCTTATTCAGATTGCTATCGACAAACCAATATTTAAACTTAATTGACTCATTCATAGAAGGGGCTGAAATGTGTCATATCATCGTAAATACTCGGCGATAGTAGCATTTTCATAAATTGCTGAACCATTTTTTTTCTGCAGCTCTTGGAAAGATCTGAAGAGTGCTTGAAAGTTATGTGCAACATGAACTGTGGCTTCTACCTTATATAGTAAGATTAAATAGACTTTTACATGGGATGACAAATTAAATTGTGATCGCCGTTTTATTTTTCGATATCTTATGGACTTAAGAGCTCATCGATGGCGCTTGATACCAAAGAGGTATGTCTTAGCGCTAGCTAAAATAAAGTGAATATGCCCAATGTCAGTTTAAAGCATAGCTTGAAAAAGTAATTGCTAATATTAACATGTGTTTTTACCTTGGATCAAAAATCATTTCAGAGAGAGCTGCATGGAATTTACCTTCCAATAACTCGTTTTACTGTGATGAGATTGTTGTACCTTAATGCATGAAATGTTTTTATATCTAACGTCGAGATTCAGGCGGCGATACATAACCGAGATGCGAAGAGCTCAAAAGTTTTATGCAAGAGCTTAACTCCTTGAAGCAATTCGTGATTGCACGGTGAGTACAACCACTACAGTCCTTCACCATACTAACGTCTCCAAGCTTTCCAAAGTGTGGAGTGGAAGTTGCCCTCGATCCAAAATACTGCTTCTGGGCCCTTTTCTTTTTGTAAATGCATGAAATCTGGGTTTAAAGTTTGACTTACATATCTAAGTTTACAAGATATTATAGCGCCAATAGATCACAAAGATATTGCAGTAGGAAAAAACCAGAAGCTGATACTGTTTCATAATACATTCGAAGGTACTTTTTGCGTAGAAGTTCTGGTTTATATCACTGCCAGTACTCTCCTGTTCTAATCGTGCGGGTCGGAATTCCTTCAAGCAAACCCGAAAATTTTCACGGCTTAGGAGTAAAATGCACCAAGCAATGTTACTCCCCCATGTACAGATCAAGGGCTGAAGGTGTGCCATTCGTACTAAAATTTCGCCGATGGGGCAAACAGAAAAATGAAGAATACAAATGTAACTGAATGCTATATAGTTGACCAGAGAGTTGACCTTTCTGGTTGCCATAACCACTACAGTCCACTAGTTCACTGCCCAATGAAATTCTTGCATTTGCTAATATATGCAACAATCCAGATCGAAATGGTTGCAAAATATACATTCTATGGGAAATATTTACAGTTATAACTCCAAAGGTGTCAAAGAAGGGTACTAGAACAAAAGTACTTAAATAGGAAAGAATCCATAAGTTCTTTAAAGCTCTTCCCCAAAAGAAGGATCACCTACATTACAATAGCATTTTCAATGGTGTCTGTGAAAAGATACGAAAGACAACCCATCCCTATAACCTTGTTATCGGGTTTCTTGGGTTCAGGAAAAACTACCCTCCTCGAGAAGATATTAACAACTTCCCATGGGTTGAAAATTGCTGTCATAATTAATGATATGTCTTCCTTGAATATCGATGCTGCTCTCATCCAAGACCACAAAGTGACCAAAAAGGAAGAAAAGCTAATTCAACTTCAAAATGGTTGCATTTGCTGTACCTTGAGAGGAGATTTATTGGATGAGTTGGTGAAGTTGGCCAAATCAGGTGAATTTCAATATATTATTATCGAATCAACTGGTATAAGTGAACCCATTCAAGTGGCGGAAACATTCACAACAGAGTTTACTGAAATGCTTCTAAGTTCAGATTCTGGCGAGGATGACCAAAAACTATCAGTAGAAGAGCGGAAGGTTTTGGCAGAAATTATTGACTTGGGTGGATTGAACAAGTTGACTAAATTAGATACATGTGTTACAGTAATTGATTCTCACAGCTTCATGTCCAATTTTGAAACTACGGACTTCTTAATTAATAGGTTTGGTGACTCTGGTCAAAATGAGCAGGAGCGTACAATCACCGATTTGATGGTCGATCAGATAGAATTTGCAGACGTGATAATTATTAACAAGGTGTCTACCGTTTCTAAGAAGAAAATGAAGAAAATTGATTCATTAATTCATTCATTGAATCCTGTTGCTAAGATATTGAAAAGCAACTATTGTAATGTTGATATTTCGGAGGTTTTAAATACGGGGCTATATGATTTTGAAAAGGCTTCTACCTCAGCTGGATGGTTACAGAGTATAAATGAGATGACTCAGAGGAAAGGATTTGGCAAGGAAGTAACTAAAGCAAAAATGACTCCAAAGCCAGAGACTGAAGAGTTTGGAATAAACAATTTCGTTTACCAGTCTAGGAAGCCATTCCACCCAGAGAAATTGTATAAATTGATTAGAGATAAGTTTGTGATTATCGAACAGGCTCAATTCCCTGATGACGCTGCAATTAGTGAACATCATGATCAAAGTGATATTGACAATGAGATCGAAAGTGAAGACGTTGAATACTCCGAAGATGAACTACTGCTCTCAGATTCAGATTCTTTCACGCAGCCATCCGAGAAGCAAATCGTTAGAAACAAAAAGAAATCAGCTTTTGCGCCTCTACTTCGATCTAAGGGATTCTTTTGGTTGGCATCAAGGCACATAATTAGAGGTGAATGGTCCTCAGCTGGGCCTATGTTAACTTTGAAAGGAGGGATTCCGTGGTTCGCGGTCACTGGCCCCGATTTCTATCCTCCAGAAGCAAAGAAATTAATCGAAGAGGATATGAAAGGTGAATTTGGAGACAGAAGAAACGAATTGGTGTTTATTGGTTTGAACATAGATAAAGGAAGACTAACAAAAGAACTTGATGAATGTTTGCTTTCGGACTCAGAATACAACGACTTCAAGAGAATAGTTAAAGGAGAAAAGAACTTGTTTTACGTGGAGAAGAAACTTTCTCAAACATATAACGATGGGTTTGAAAATTGGCTCGTATTTGATGACAAAGATATAGAGGAAGTAGACGAAACTATTGAATCAGTAGCAGACGCACACGGTCACAATTTGTGCCAAACTAAGGTGTCCACTTAAATTATGCGTGTGAAAGAGTTGCAATTAAAAAAGAAATGGCGACAACTGCAGGACTCGAACCTGCGCGGGCAAAGCCCAAAAGATTTCAAGTCTTTCTCCTTAACCGCTCGGACAAGTTGCCTTTTTCGAACACTTTTCGCTGATATGGTGCTATCTTCATAGAGTCACGTGATATTGTACTCTTGTTGGCGGTTCCGTCTCTTGCCAACTAGACCAGTACAATATACATCATTGACTTGTAAAATTGTAGTAGTTTATATTATTCTAAACAATCTAGTTCAATTCATGATGTACTTTGACTTTGGAAATACCTTAGTATCGCAAAATCCACATAACAAAAGAAGAAAAATTTTCTATACTCATGAAGTATGACAGTCGTATAACTCTTTAGTGGTCAGCATTCTACATTTTTTATTCTGATATGACAATTTTAATAATACAAACTAATAAGTCTATTAATTGAATTGCAATTGGTATTGCTCTATAAACGAAGATTAAAAAAAGATAAATAACACATAAAAGTTATAAGAAATTAACAAATGAAAATATTTTGGTATCTGGTTAGCCCAATGGAAAATGTAAGTCCAGCACATTCCTAAGCTCCACAATTATTGGGGAGGAATGAGATTCAGGAGTCAATGCAAATCCTTCGTTAGCATTTTAAAAATGATAACAATGTCGAAGAACTTGAAAAATGGGAAATGTTAAATGGATATATTAATAGCTTGAAGTCTTTTTCCACTTAGTAGAAGAAAGAAAGCAATAAGACGACAAAGGTTCCACCAAGGGCGTTCTTTGATGCTGCACCAGCATAGCTGGAAACAGTGTATTCGCTGGTTTGCACATAACTTGAACCGAGAACTGGAACAGCAGTAGATTCTGATTCTTCAGAAGCTTCTGAGGCTGCAGCGGCGGTAGTGGAAGCTGGAGCAACGGTTGGGAAAGTAGTAACAGACCCTTCAGCAGCAGCGGTAGCTTCGGTGGATTCTTCAGCGGCAGTAGTAGCCTCGGCAGATTCCTCAGCAGCAGTGGTGGCTTCAGTAGATTCCTCAGCGGCAGTGGTTGCTTCAGCTGACTCTTCAGCGGCAGTGGTAGCTTCGGAGGATTCTTCAGCAGCAGTGGTAGCTTCGGAAGATTCTTCAGCAGCAGTGGTAGCTTCGGAGGATTCTTCAGCGGCAGTGGTGGCTTCGGTAGATCCTTCGGCAGCAGTGGTAGCTTCGGTGGATCCTTCAGTAGCAGTGGTAGCTTCAGTGGCTTCTTCAGCAGTAATTGGGCAGTAAGTAACATACAGGGTGAATTCATCGACTACAGTAGTGTATCCAGTGGTAACTGGGACTTCGGTACATTTGTTGTCTGAACATGATGTTATAGTGATAACAGTGGTGTTGATGTCAGTAACAGTAGAGGTAGCTTCGGAAGATTCATCAGCAGCAGTAGTGGCTTCAGTGGCAGCAGTGGTGGCTTCAGTTGCAGTGGTAGCAGTAGCTTCTTCTGCGGTAAGTGGACAGTAGGTGACGTACAGAGTGAATTCATCAGTTACAGTAGTGTAACCAGTGGTAACTGGAACTGCGGTACACTTGTTGTCAGAACATGAAGTGATAGTAACAACAGTGGTGTGGATATCGGTTTCAGTTGAAGTAGCGCCTGTAGTGGTACCAGTGGCAGCACCAGTTCCTGTAGTAGTAGCAGTAGCAGCACCAGTAGCAGCACTTGAAGAGGCACCGGCGGCACCAGAGGTGGCAGCACTTGAAGAGGCACCGGCAGCACCAGAGGTGGCAGCACTTGAAGAAGCACCAGAAGTAGCAGCACCTGAGGAGGCACCAGAGGTAGCAGCACTTGAAGAGGCACCAGAAGTGGAAGCAGTAGTGGTAGCAGCACTTGATGAGGCACCAGAAGTGGCAGCGCTGGTGGCAGAAGTAGCAGAAGAGGAACTTCCACTATCAGTTGGGTTAACAATTACTTCAACGATATCAACTACAGTTCCGTCAGGAAGAGTAACAGTGATGGTGAACACAGTAGTTGAAGTGACATCAGCGTAGATAATAGTAACAGGGTAAAGAGTTCCGGCAACAAGTTCAGCTGTGACATCACCGGAAGATTCAATAACGACTGGAGTACCAGTTGCTCTCTTCTTTAATGAGCTACAGCCTGATTCACCTTCGGCACCGAAATAGATAGCAGCATCATTTGGCACACCAGATAAAGAAATTGTGTACTCACCATCAGACTCTGGGCTGACATAACCGACTAATTCCAAAGTGGAAGCAGTTGCATTGTATCCACTGTTTGGAATGATATTGGCAAGACTGGTAACACCAGATTTGGTGGTTTCTAATCCGCCAGCGGTGTATCCACCTTCAAAGTAGGCTTCGTCAATGGTAGTACCAGCGACGAACTTGTAAATGTTGGCAATAAATCCAGAACTGGTAGAACCAGAATAGTCACAGCCATCAGAAGGAACTGCAACTGAGCTTGAGGTTGCTGAGGCAGAGCTTGTAGTAGATGAGTTGCCGTAGTATGTGGCAGCAGATACTGCATTTGCAATTGCAAGTAATGAGACAGCACTGAACTTCATTATTCTATTTTCAATTCAAATTTGTCGTACACTTTATTTAGGATTCATAAACCTTCAGCAGCTTAGCCTTGTCTATATATATACTACTGGTTGGCTCCTTTTTCAGTAATCACTGTACGTCAAATATGATTTGTTTTGCATCCATTTATATGTGGGATATGCTGCAGCATTCATCATGCGGGACGTGCATTAAGATAATATCTCGATAGTGTTCCCAATCCAGTTAGGGCCAGCGAAAAAATAAAACACTAAATTAGCTCAAGCAAAAAAATATCAGCCGATATTAATAATATTCTTGGGGTACTAATCTATATCCAAGCTGTGTGAATATCGAACAGTATTCGATTGAAAAATGAATTGTTATATTGGATGAATAATGGTATTCCGACTTCTAGTATTATTTTCCAAACGTTTAGCGTCTCCGAACTTAAGATTGAAATGTCTTCAAATCTTGGCCCAAGTGCGCGGCTTATTGTTCAGTGAATTAACAATCGCGTTTTATCTCACGTCTTATGCTCCTTAAAAATTTGATGCCTCTACTTGATAGAGCAGTCATCCACTGAAAACTTGATCTGTCTTGAGTCAGCCACAAATATTTTTCCTGCACTTCCCAATGAGTCTAGGGGGCCACCTTCTTAGAGAAATGCTCCAGTAAAACCTGGCTCTACTTTCCTTTTTTACGCACCGGAGCGATGATCGCGCCGCTCCAAGTACCTCAATCACAAGGGACATGAGCAATGTTAAAATTGCTTAAACGCAAGGAGTGGATTGGAATGGTATTTTCGAGAAGAAGAGTAGAGTATTCTGCAATTAATTTAAAGACAGGAATGGAATGTACGTCATTGAGTAGAGCGCGATGGAGATCTAGACGAGAGCCAACCTTTTGTATGTAAAAATACCAATTACTATTGCAACTCAAGCGTCTGTGCGATTTTGATGTGACTAGAGTGCGTAAACTTATTGGTTGAGAAGACGATAAGAGATGGACAGCTACTGTACAAGTTAGCAAGAAATAGAAAATACTCGGAGTATCAAGCTTGAAAATATAAAGTATAGTTATGCACATCAACTAGCAACGCACGATAGATATCTTTGCTTTACGAAATTGTTGACTAATCGATCGCCCTTGTGAGCCGCATTGGAACCGTTAAAACTGTTTTTTAGACAATGGGCGAATGCTGGACTTGAAACAAATTGAGCGTAAGAAACACTCGTACACCTGGATGTTCTAGATGATGTAGAATCTCCGAAAGTCGTTTCTTAATCTATGATTGCTGCCTCCGCCCCTCCTCGTTCACTACGGAGTAGAATTTACCCAGGTCTTCTCGAGATGTGCCAATTTATCACACTTGGAATGTTAGAGATTATTTATTATATCACAATACGATTATTTTTTAGAAAAGTTTTTATGGTACAAGATCGAGATAGGTTGGCTTTCAGGAAATGAGAATTAGACAATTCACTGTAGTATGGTACCTTTTCGACTTAGTCTGTGGTCTGTGGGCTACGTCAGGCGTTAATTCTTAATTACAGACCACATACTTAATTAATCGGCTTTTGCGCTGATTGAGTAAACTTTTGTTCACTGCTGCGGCTCGATGCTTATTGGATTTAATTTCCGCTGAAAGGGGACTATTTCGGAGCTTGAAGTAAACATTACAGTTGAAGTGCATTGAGAAGCGCGTTTAACAAGTTACACATTTCAATTGTTCATGTCGGTTGCAGCATGTTTAATTACGATCAAGAGCTGTAAAGCTTAAACAATAAAAACAAATTCTTCATTCCGAATCGAACTTTAAGCTCTTCGCGTTCATAGGTTACTACTGCCTCACACATCATTGAGGAATGTGTTTACTCGTTACAGACAAGATTAATGAATAGGGCTACTTGAAAAAATGCAAAAATATAATAAATAAGCAAATCTAGACTCTGCTAAAAAAATTTCACTTTTCTGCATAAGCTTCTAGGAACAATAAGTGTATCGTGATGGGAATTGCCTGATTTCGCATACCTTCTATTTGGGAGCATACTCCAGTAGACCAAATATCTCCTTTTACATGCTTTATTTTATAAAGAATCTTCTATCAATCTTTAATTTTATATAATAGAAAAGTTTAAGCCCGATTTAAACAATTATACCATTATTTTCTAGTGTATAGCTTTTGCTCAAAAAATGGCCATTAATTTTAAAGCTTTCAAAGAGTTTGTAATTCTGATAGTAATTAACGACTTAAGCGGCGAATGGTATCATTTTTAAGAGAGCCTCTTGTACAGAGCTCTACTTAATTTGAGTCATATAAATTACAAAATGAATTTAGTCATTAAGTCTAAGTAAATCTGCAATAGTGGTCCAATGACAAGATAAGTTATCTCATCAACAAAAAAATTATCGAGGGATACCTAACATGGTAGATGCTGTTTTTTTAACATATATTGGTGTAGTTCGAATACCTCATGAAACCAAGCTCCGATAGATAAGTCACGGTAACTCACTTAATCTTCTAGTAATCCTGCATTTAAGAATCTCTCGTAAGAGTTGCAATCAGCCAGAACAATTAAAGTTTAGAAAACCTTATATAATGCCCCAATTTTGACAGCTTCTGCTTGGAAAATCTGAGCTATCTGATTCGTTTACTACTTCTTCACTTTCAAGCTCTCACGAACTTCATAACAAAGGTGCAATTTAAACGGCACTTTAATTCAAATACTACAGTGATTTACTCTCTGTATCGCACTTGTTCTTACATATTGAGAAGAAATAATTAAAGATGTCAATGGTTTCTCCTCGTCCATAAGGCTCGTAAGCAGTTCCAGCACGTACAGACATAACAGGAACTATAGACTACGGCGAATCGCCCATAAACATATTTCAATTTGCTGCAATAATACTTTGAAATTAAGCATCCTCGGGTTCAGTTACTAGATTTTTAATTATTTTGAAAGTACCAATTATTTTTAGGTTTCAACTGAAGATGAGGTGGAACTAATCTTCTCCGCCTCGTTATGATAGTTTTGACAATTTTCTGGAATGTTTAAAAAATATCTGGAAGTTGTCACCTTCTCTTTCTTGAGCCAAGATTCGAAAAGGGAATTTGTACCTAACCACAAGAAGCAGCATCATAGAGTAAATGTAAATTAAAATCCGGGGTCAGTAAAAATAGAATTCAGTGGTAAAATTATAATTCGATACTTTCACTTTAACTTTCTAATATTGGGGCTTACAAAAGCTTTCTTTCGGTACTTTCTTTTTATTCACTGACTAGGGCGAGCTCTGGCGTCATTAGAATGTAAACAAATCTCGATTTCTATCTCATACCTAGACAACTTCCTCGGGATGGTCGACATAGCGAGATCTTGTTTGTTTACTCTAATTGTAACCAAGATGGCGGGAACTTGCATAATTAAAATTCCGATCAGAAGTTCCAGGTGAATCAGTCAAAGATGGTATCAGTTACTCTTTCTTAGAGCACCCTGAACAGAGTTTTTATTGTATTGTTTTAGTTGCATTGCATTGGTTTCTCTTGCCATGAACTCCTGATTTATTTTTTGAAGGCGTAAGTCGGTTCTATTTCATTTATTACAGTGGTGCAATGAGGCGTCAAATCCAACTACCAATCGAGAGAGCAAATGGTATGTGAAAGGCGATATAAATATCTGGATATAGAGCACACGGCTTACTTCTATCATTACCTATCCAAAAAGCTGCTCCTTCAGGTAAAATGAGATTTCTTGTTTCTTTTCTCTTATTCTTGGTATCAGTTTCAGCTGCTCCATTTTATAGAAGGATTGACTTAGTTTCTCCTGCTAATGATTCATTCTATTTTCCACCAAGCGGTTACGAATCGAGCACAGTTGGTACTATTCTTAAGACTAGACAAATTGATAATCCATTCACAGCACTGATAATACCACAGAAAATCAAGGGAGTATATCAATTTTTGGTCCGTTCAGAAGATACATTTGGTAACGCTAATGCTATTGTCACCACTCTTTTTGTTCCTTCAAATGCCGATGGAAAAAAGATCCTCTCATATCAAATCGCTGAAGACTCAGCAAATATTGATTCTGCTCCTTCTTATACCTTACGAGAGACTTCAGACTCAAATTTGCAAGCTGATGAAATAATGATGCAAGCGTGTATCAATCAGGGTTGGTATGTCGTAGTACCTGATTATGAAGGTCCAAAGTCTGCTTTTGGAGCTGGGATACAAGCAGGAAGGGCCACATTGAATTCAATGAGAGCAGTTTTAAACTCAGGGAGTACATACGGCATAAGCTCAGATGCCAAAGTCGCATACTGGGGGTATTCCGGTGGATCAATTGCAACTGGATGGGCCTCATTGTTGGAACCATCGTACGCTCCTGAACTTAAGAAAAACACTGCCGGATATGCAATGGGAGGAGTCGTTGCTAACATCCAACATACTGCCGAAGCGAACATGGGAAATATTGGTGCAGGTTTGATCATAACTGCAATCAATGGATTAAGTCAAGAGTACCCTGATTTGCTTGAATTCGTAGATGAAAACGTTTATGCAGATAAATTAAAAGCCTTCACCTCACCCCTCACCGATGATCCAGCGAGCTTTCTCTTTGCAACCTGGGCGGAATACTTCAAAACAGGAACATCTACATTGCTGAATCCAGTAGTAACCGCAATCACCACTGCTAACAGTATGGTAAGCTCATCATACATTCCAACCGCTCCTTTATTTATGTACAATTCAATTATTGACGAAATCATTCCGGCCAGCGACGCAACTACTCTTTACACTAATCTCTGTAAAGGTGGAGCATCGATTTCCTACAAACAAGATCTTGTGTTCGGACATATAGTGGAAAGTATCGTTGGATCGGCTGATGCATTTGTTTGGTTGCAAGCACGATTTGCTGGGACAGCTCAAACCGGCTGCACAAAGCAATTCTCACTCTCCAATGCTCTCAACTTGCAAGCTTTAATTGGATTCGGTGAGATATTTGCAGAGCCACTTCTTACTCTACTCCTACTGGGAAAAATGAGTAGTGTTTTTTAAATGCCTACAGACAAACACACACCTGTGGTATAGCAAATGATGCTTCCCGTGCGGCTCGCACTTCACAATTTGCAATACAGGCGATATAATATCAATCTCTCTTAAATTATCTTTCAATAAAAGTACGTACTAAAAATCTCTTTACCAGGCTCGAAAATGGAGTCCATCAAATGCAAATGATTATACCTTTCTATCTATGACATTATTTGTTGATTATTTCTTAGAAACTAGTTTTTTTTCTTGCATTAGAATAAGTTTTTGCCATATTGTAAGTCGAATGCGATAAATAATTTACAATGATTATATTGACGTAGTTTGAATTATTTTTTTAAGGTCAGGCATATTTATATGGGGGTTTTGGTATTTGTGAAAGAAATAAGCATATTTTAATGTGAGTTTGTTTGGGTTGGTCGTATTAAAGATTTCCTCTTGAATAATGCCAGAATTTAAATTATTTTCCAAGGTCAAGGATCTTCATTTAAGAGCCTTTGCTTGAATAATTTAATGAAGAGTTCTATTTCATCTTGAAATTCGGTATATTCTTCTAAGTATCCAAAAACAATATTTAAACCCAGTTTCAGGGTGCTTACCAACGAGATACCAAAATGAGTTTCAACACCTTGAGATTGAGAGAATATAAGTTCTTCAGCCTCCCAAGATCCATGATTGTAACTCTTATTGCCCAAGTTTGAAACATCTAATGTCAGTCTCGCTGATAATTGATCTAATTTGTCCTCTAAGTAATCCCCAACTTTGATATACTTGAGAAGACCGATTATTTTAGATCCATAATTTGCTTCTATTTTATTTTTCATTACATTTCCAACGTATTCCATAGTGGGGATTAAGTCATCCAACTTGCTGAACTTTTTGAATGGAGGTAAAGAAATTTCCATGGGGGAAACTATGAGACCAAACTCATCTGAATGAGCTTCGGGTAAGAATCTACGATTGTTAATGTCAATGACCGTTTCAGAAGAGTGTTCAATTGGAACAGAATTAGAAGATGTTGCAATTTCTTGTGAGGTTCTTTTCATAATGGTTTCTTGTAGGCATTGCAATGCAACAACAATGACATACGGAGTCAATGTGAGACCGTTTTGTTTACATCTTGAAAGCATACCACGTACTTCAGCGGGTGTGAAGTTTAGAAGCTTAAACTTGGTTGGCGTACTTTTCCTTGTTGGCTTATATCTATACATAGGATTTACTGAACCATCAATGTAAAATTTATCAGGGTACCATTTCTGATAAATAGAAGAGAAATAATTCTTTGCCCACGTAGGTACGAAGAGTCTACTGATTATTTCGTATAAAGCAAACAGTACTGAAGAATTATACAAGGCAAATCCTGCTTCATTGACTTGCGGAACTTCAAAAGAATCATCTAAAGTATGAAGTTTTTCAACGAATTGCAACTCACTTTGATACGATTCTACTTCATGCAACGCAAGCAAAAGCTTATCATGGAATATTCCTCCACAATTCCCGTCAAAAATTGTATGGTCACAGTAAAATGTCACATATTGCTTTCCAGTATCCTCTACTTCAAGCACGATAACTCTCCAAAGAGGGCTGTTTTCTATGTCTTGTTTAATTACAAATTGATCTAAATACTCTAACGTAGTTTCATCAAACTTGGAAATCTTACGAAATGTTGCAACGTCATCAAATTTTACCAGTTGGAGAGGTTTCATTAAAAAATTGTTACCATCTTGCTCTAAATCTTTGTCGTTTACGCGGAAGAAACTTACAGCAAAGCATGGATACTTCTTAATTAAGTTATGTAATGCATTTGAGAGGTTGATTCTCAGAATTGGGCGGTTGTACCTTGCTGAAACGTTGAAGTTCGTGTAATAGCCATGTTCTCCTCTAAGAATGTAGTATCGCTCAGCGAAAGTCGGAGACCGGTTCATTTGTGTCTACAATAAGCTCCAAAGATCTAAACTAGCGAAAAAGAACCTATTCATGGGTTGAACAACTTGTTAGATGTTCTTGCCTCTGATGCACAGCCCAATTGATGTCCTGTATACAGGCGCTTAGAGTGCACTAAGCCACACCTGTCAGCCGCCAGTTTAGGTAAAGAAAAAGTGTCAAAAATGAACGTTTAGTATTAGTATTCTATTAATGATCTATAGAGCATTAATTATAACTCCAACGTCGCATTATCCTTATGGATTTCCCAATACAAATTTTAAAGAATCTAAGTTACACGTTAAATTGAAAATTTCCTTAATTCGTAAATAATTTCTATTTTGGCACTTTGAAGGAGAAATATTGTTTATTTTCAACATGGCCAATTATAGATTAACCATTTTCAATAGAGGACTAAAACTATATAAACTCAAAGTTTTTCTTGAATAATATACAATAAATCCCAATGGAATTTGAATATTTTCGTTAAAGGAGGGCTATTCTTATCTAGTTTGAGATAAGTAGGGTGTTAGGGTGTTAGTATTGCTGAAAAATCACCTGCACCATGGAACCTAGTGGTATGTGCAGTCTTTACATAATCTTTTAACTATTTCTAGACCAAGTGAACCTTGCTTACTTGCGGTGGAGCTTGTAGGATCCATAATAGAAGTAATTTTGGTGAGATGCAGACAAATAGCCACTTTCAAGATCAAAGCTACGATCTCTGTCTATCGTACTCGTAACACTTGAAACATTAAAGTACTTTTATTAGGGTGCAGTGGATTCAGTTCCAGAGGTGCAGATGAAAAATCCAGCTTGGAGATGTGCACATGAATGTAACTAGCTTCAGAGACTCATAACATACCTTGAACTTCAAAGTTTAGCCAATTTAGGATGAAATCGTACTTATAAATGAACGAAAGCCGATTTAAGCAATTCAGAATGACTGCATAGGCAAAAAATCCTACAAAAACATCGTCCCAGTTTTATGGATTCTTCAGGTTTCCGGAGATACGCAAAAATTTCCACTAGTACATTGATCACTTTTCAAGCGTTAATTTTGAAAAGAAAACATGAATCATACATTCACATCCAAGTGGACTTCTGCATCAATTGTTTGATTTTCAATAAAAGAGTGCTTAGCTCATTAATGGTTAAAATTTTCGACGGCTTTGACTTTTCATTACCTTTCGTATTTAAAATAGCTTTAAGACTCCGTATACTGTACTACACAAGTAGGTTTATAATGTGAAGAAGATACCTCCCGGCCATGATTAAGATAGACAAGGCTTTTACCTGATGCACGGTAAAAGGCATTTCCGCAGATATTTCCGCTCTATGTGCGTCAACTGGGAAACATAAAGATTAGACTTCTTGCGCCAGGATGTTCAGCATAAGCCGCGAACAATGAATCCTGAAATCTGCAATCCGAAAGGTTTATATTATTTTATATTTTAAAATCGTACAATATTTTGCAAAGAATTCGATTTGTTTTTTGCTTGGTAAAAATAATTCTCGGAAATACTACAGTTCCGTAGGCTCATACATTGTTAGTAGATGAGTGCATTGCAGACGGGTTTATGTTGAACTGGAATTATATAATGCAATGGTTGAGCATTCATCAGACTGGACGGAAAGATGCCTTATGTTTCAGCCCCAGTGAAGTGCAGTTCTAGAAGCTATGCACTGGAATTGTGAGAATCGAGTTGATCAAAGTGACATGGCGCTACCCCATTTGCATTAGTGGTGTAAATCCGTTAAGGTAATAACTTCTCGCCAAATTTATTCTTCTTCATTTATGTGTACTTAAGTTCCTTCGTCAAGAACACTTTTCTACATTCGATGAGCGTATGCATATGTGACTGATTCTTCAATCACATTTATCAAGAAAATATTCAATTTTGCGTCGGAGAGATTAAAAGTTTTTTGGAAAGGGGTCATGTAGACTTATGCAGAAGAGCATTATAGATAATAGAGGCTTAACGTCTCTTATTTATATCTTCTCTCGAAATTTAAAACAATCAAAAATGATAATTCCAAAATATAGCAGGAATGCATGATATATACATAATGGATTATGAAAGAATTAGCTTTACTTGATACACTTAAACCCAGAGCTGGAATACAAAGAAACATTCATCACCTCCGGGTTTTCGTCATAACCAAATTTATTGTGCGTCGTAGTGCGTTTAGTAGTTCATGCATCGATAGTTTTATTAATGCAGATCCACATATTAGTGGATAGATTCGTTACAAAATCTCTTAGTTATATCCGTAACTTCCTAACGCGCATGCATAAAGCTCATCTTGCAATTCTTGTGTGAAACATAATGGGGTTGTTCAAAAAATATCCTACATCTACTTATGTTGTTCAGTAAAAAATGGACTTGGGCGAAGCTTTGAAGATTTTTTGCATCAGTTGAATTCAACTTGATTATTATATCCCAAGATTCTTTTCTTCAAGTATATCATCAATATGATTTCAAAAAGTCTTGAAGATTAACTAAATGGCAGCTCATAGTATATAGACGGCTACTAAGGACTCATGAATTTTCGGAAGCTAGATAGTATTAATTTTGCAGTGCTGCTCAGGACAAACAAGTTACTAAAGATGTGTGCCCGTTTGATTTTTTATTAACTGTACCCTTGCTTAAAGAATAAAGCTTTACAGCAAATAGACCAGATTAATTATTGTTTCTAGCTTTCAATCACCTGAAGGTGACACTAGACCTCTGCGACTATAGAATTTATTAAATCCTCGAAATAGATGATGGCTACTCATAGTATCATACATACATCAAGAGAAACTAAATGCAGATATTCATGGAATTGTGAGGATGGATGCTAATATCATTAGGGAATCATCTATGAGGTGCAAATCTATGTATGACATGACGTTTGCTAATTGAGACTCCATCTGGATCTTCACTTGTTGTCAATTGAGGCAGTATATTCACAATAAATCTACTGTAATTCAAAATAAGTCATTTCAACTGAATGGTTAGGACACTTCATAGTCACTATGCTTAGATCGTTTTGTTGATGTATTTGGCCAATATTCCAGAAAATAATAGCGTACTAGGAGATGTCTTGAACTACAATCAATGCAGAAGAAGCATTCATTGAAGAAAGTGCAAGTAACAGAGAAAGGATTAATAGCTTTTTCAATTTAGAAAGAATTTGTAGCAATGTACGCAGAGAAACATTTAATCAACCATAACTAGCTTCAAGTTCTTCCTTGAGTTGCATAGAGAATAAATGCCAACTTCGCTGAGTCACTAAAGGCACGTTATAGATTCCTCAATCAATGCTTTCGATTTCCATCATCAGGTTACCAGAACAGATGAGTTTCCATCATTACTAGCCTTGAAACTAGATAAAAGCAATTAATACATGTACCTGAACAGTTAAAGAAGCCATTAAGATACAATCACGTATTGAGCAGTTAGTATTTTTATAAATAGTAGTTTTAGTCGTTTGATAACAATATTAACGAAGATTCTAAAAAAAGAAAGTCTCAATAATGCTTTAAGAAATTCATGGGAAAATGCCTCGTATTCTCAGCTATTATTGAGCCTATGTAACAAGTTAGGAAAACATGAAGCAGTGTATTGGGCATTTCGAGAGCCATCATTGACCAATGTATTGCGCTGCAATCAGTTCATTCATCTCTTACTCGCTGAAGATATTTTGTGTTCCTTCAATAGTGCAAATCTTTTTGAAATGCACCACACAACACGGAATTAACATTATAGAAAAAAAGAGGCAAGTGGATGCGATCTTCATAAGCTCTTTAAAATATTACTTAAGAGAGAAGCATACAACCTTTATTTTAATTTGATTTTAGAAGCTTTCAAAGCTTTTCTCTAGTTTGACCTTGCATCTTGCATGTATGTTCAACGATTTTGAGAGAATTTTTCTGCTTGCGAAAGTCATTGGTGTAATGTTAAATATTATGCATAAAAAATAATACAGCTGGGATTCATTCTGTTAAATGGAATCTAAGAGTAGAAAAAAGCGGGATAGTGTGGGATTTACAAAGTTCCGATAATTCGGGCTACATATCATCCTTTTCTTATTCGTTACTATCTGCAAGCAGAGTTCCTAAAAGTACACTATGCATAAGCTCCTGCAGGTGTTAAAACTTCCTTTGATATTTATCATTTCTTGCCCATTTGCTTACGTATTGGAGGAGTTTAAATTATATGTTTCATTAAAGAAATATGAATCCTTTTTACACTTGACTATCAAAAAACTTGTTTTAAAAAAATCAATCAAAGAAAATCAGTCTCAATAAATAAATACAATAATGCTGCTCCCTCCGGTTTCTGAGTTCATTGCTGGTGCTCTAAGAAAGGGCATAAACAACAGTGACAAAAATCCAATACCCAGTTGCAATGATGTATATATGAATGATTCAAATAGTGAGGAGAGCAATAAGAAGCCAACATCCAGTTCTAATAGTACAATAGGAATCTCTAATGGACTGAAAGTAGGATTAGAGCACATTTCACAGTCTTACCAACCGCAAATTGGTTTTGTGAATCCATCTAACATCTTGCTAGAATATCAACTTCAGAATGCACCACTTCAACAACATTTTCAGAGCCAATATCCCCTACAGTCAGTTCCAAATCAGTCAGTTCCAAATCAGTCAGTTCCAACTCAGTCAGTTTCAATTCAGTCAGTTTCAACTCAGTCAGTTTCAACTCAGTCAGTTTCAACTCAGTCAGTTTCAACTCAATCGAGCCCCAACATTATGCAAGGACAAAGAATATTAGAATTTAGCCCATATCAAGGGAGAGTCGGACAAGTTTACAATTTGCAGGCTTCAGTCGAAGGATTGTACCGCAATCAAATCGGTCTCTGTCAAAATGTCCTTTATGTTGAAGCTGGTCCCTCTATGCCAGCACAATTTATTCAACCAAGATCTACAATGCTTGACATTTATAGAAATCAGCTTCCCCCAGTCATGTTGGAAAACCCCTGCGTCTTGAGTGGTAGTTCGTCAGTTGATCTGATACTTCTGCCACAGGTAGATACTATACTCGATTTACAGAAGAAAAACAGGAGGATACGAAGAAAGCATATATTTTACAGGAGATCAAGATCTGGATGCTTCACATGCAAGAAAAGAAAGGTGAAATGCGACGAAGGAAAGCCGGGCTGTAGGAACTGTTGGAAATCTAACAGAATCTGTGAAGGATACCCAGAAAAATATACTGAGGACAAGAGCAAGAGCATTCCTCAGATAAATTACATGAAAGATCACAATGAACACGGTAACAGTCCTAAAGTATAACATGCAATCTACCTTGTGATGAATCCTTCTAAACCTGAGAAGCCAGCGATGTCAAGAACCATAATAATAACTAATGAATAAGTGGCTGAAAAAGTTCCTCTCGAAACATGGGTGTAAGTCAAACAATTTCATTGAAATTTGGCTATCGCAAATACTTGTCGAAAAGCGGAGATATTCTTGGAAGTTCCTAGGCTTACCTTTCAAAGAGATATTACTCATTAACAAAGTGGCCTTCGTCGTGAAAATGGATGATAAATAATCCCCTTACGGAAAAGTTTCTTGAATTGTTGAGTTTCATTCCTCCAAATCATAACACTTAGAAATTGAACTTCATAACCTTGCAGTTGGTTTTAAGCCAAGATTTGTGCAATGAAACATCAAATGCACGCATGTGCAAAGATGCATCCGCAAAATTCCATGCAATATTTTTTAAATGCGGAATTATGGTATGTGAGGTAAGATGAAGTGTCAATTTTTTTCGTAATACCTCTTGAAGCCCAAATAATATCTCTTCCTGTAGTAAACAAATGAGAGGTCCATTGTCTTTCAAATACCACCTTTCATAAGTGGAACACAATACAGCACGTGAGAAATATGTAAAGAAAGAACTGAGCAGAAAAAGCAGGTCTTTTGTATGTTATAAAACAGATTTTTTAGCACTTATTATCATTAATGTGCTAGTTACAGTAGACATGATATATATGAAATGGAATTGAAACTTTTCAATACCAAATATGACATGCTTCCGATTATTATCCAAAAAAATTTAATATTAGTTTTCAAAATTTATACAATTCCGCTCGAAGGCTATACTACGAATTGTTGGAAAAAATTTCTCCACCTTCACTCGATAGAATTTTAATTGCATCTCGTACAGGTCAAGCCATCTTTAAATATTCTATCTCTACCGCAGAAATACTTCAAAATAACCCTAAGAGTAAATGATAAAAGGGGTAAGCTCATCAAAATCTATGTTTGGGCAAGTGATTTAAAACTTTCAAATTTCTGTTGAGTCAAAAGGTGGTAGAAGTTCACAAAGAAGAAGGAATTACTCCTCTTTAAGTGCTTATCTCATATATTTTCAACAGTAGTAAAATTTTTGTAATGAGTAATCTTCGTGAAGGAAAAATATTTTAGAGAGCAGCGCATATGCAATGCCCTTCCCGATTATTAAACTTGAGGCAAATTTCGCGTCGTTCGGCATTCGCGCCATCAACCTTATATCCGTAAGTGTCGCTATTACCGCACTAAAATTCGCTTAATATTCCTTTCTAGTGCATGAAGAATCCTAGATAACGAATTTGGTAATTTGAAACGGTCCCCACGCTAGAACACTTTCAAATAGTGGAGCTGCATATTGTTACAAGAATTCATTGAATATTATAATGATGATAATACTTAGCACACAAACTAACTGTAAATCATTTAGAACTATGCTCCTAAGGTATTTTAGAGATCCAAATATGTAATTTTCAAAGTGTAGATTTGAACCCGTATGGTGGAAAGTTAGTATCCAATAGCTACACTTTGCACCTTTTTCGAATCAAACTCTCAGAACATCCGAAATGTAGAACTTCAAGGGTGTTAGGGTGTTAGGGTGTTAGGGTGTTTAGGGCGTTTAGGATGTTAGGGTGTTAGGGTGTTAGGGTGTTAGGGTGTTAGGGTGTTAGGGTGTTAGGGTGTTAGGGTGTTAGGGTGTTA